CTCACGAGGCTCCAACTACTTAATTTCTCGTGGGGTCGTTTTTTTGGTCTTTTTTGCAATAAAATATCATTGATCCTTTTTACGAAGCTACCTTCCCCAGTTGAACTAACTTTACTGTTTTTATTCTTCTTCTTCCTACCACTCCCCTTTTCTTGACCGTTAAATTTTAAATCTTTTTCAATTTACGACGCAACCGAATTTTTAAAATATCGTATTTGATTGCAAAAACGACCAAAAAAATAATAGAGAAACGAAGAAGCATGTAAACGCAACTTTATTTGTTTTGGGCCATACGTAGTTCAGTCTTAAAAATGGGATCATAGAAGAAAACCACTGTGGGCCGAAAAAGCCCAATATAAAAAGCCCATAGTTCCTTGCTATTATTATGAAACAGCAGAAGTGGCGGGTAACTTGAGGATGTGTTCAAGAACAAGAAGTCTCCCCAAAGCGATGAATTTGCTACACTTAGCCGCACTTTCGCCGACTTGCTCGATCTTCTCAGTGAACCCATCGATCTTCTCCCTTATTTTCTGCATCGCAAGTCTCATCTCCTCTTCCTCTTCCTCTCCTTCCCTCTCCACAGCGATCTCCACCGTCTCCAGTATCAACGAGATCCTGATTCTCAGGTTCTCCACTAGGATCCTTATCGTCTCCATCGATTCATTTATAACCGTCGTACGGATCTCCATCGACAAAACCAGGCCTCTCTGTCTCTTCACCGCCTTCTCGTACTCCTTCCACATTTCGCTACACCACCTCCCCGCCAAATCAACCGGCGCGGTCAATCCAGACGCGACCGCACTCACCACCGGCGGTGCTCCCACCGAGGCCGCAACCACCGATAACACCAGAACAGAGACGAACGCTATCACGAACACCACGTTCGACAATCTCCTCCATGCTTTTACATTCCTCTGTTTCTTGTCAAGCTTTACTTTCTGCTTACGCAACTCCTCCAGAAGCAGAACCTGCTGCTCGTACACCGACTCGTACTGACTCACGAACTCTCCATCAAATGGGTCTCCCATGGCTTTAAACTTGTTCAGCTCCTCCAACGTCTTCGCATACTTCTTCTTCTTCTTAGTCTTACTTCCTCCAAGATCCGTGTCCAGTGACTCTGTTTCAAACTTTTTCACCGCGAGTCGGATGAGAAGTTGGCTAATCTCAGTTCTCTTGACGCAATTCTCGACGGTATTGCAGAACTCTAAGGTCCTGGTAGTGCTTTTGAAGTAGACATCAACGAGAGACTTGAGATCTTTGTTCTTCCACACATCTTCTCTGCTTTCGATGATGACTCTTACCGCATCTTGGTTTAGTTCAAGAAGAAACCCGTACACCTCCATGAGTGAGTCTAGAGATAGAGACTGAGTCTCGGCTCGAGCAGCGAGCGACTTGATGACTCTGTTGGTTCGCTTGTGAAGCGAAGAATCAAAGGATTTGAGGTCGGAGTCTTGTTGACAAGCGGATGTGTAAGAAGTCAGGTCTGCTGAGTATTTGGACCTCATATCTGTTCGGACCGTTTTGGCTCCATTTGTTCCGTTTCTGTCAGAACTGGATTTTACTTTCATGAGCTCCGTAAAGAATCCACAGAACACCATTGATATTACTTCTGGAGCTTATACTCTGACCTTAAAGAATAAAAAAATTTGGTTTAAAAGAAAAAGCAGAGAATTAGGACAAGCATAAAGAAACGAGGAAAGTAAACAGATCAAGATCACATGGAGTTGAATGTAAGAGAAACAGAAATTTACCTGAACTTTGATAAGAATCTGATTAGATAGCTTTTGAAATCTCAAATACAAGACAGGAAGAGCTTACTTGTGTCTTGACTAGTATATATAGCCTATTGTTCTAGAGATTTCACTCCGCCAAAATCAATAGTTAGTCAATCTCGAAATTGGACACCTCATATGATTTGGTCTTTTTATATAATAAGTTTATGTGGAACAAGCTGTCGTAAGACATTTTTTAGTATTTTTTGGGAGATTTTTGTTGAGTTAGTTGATTTGTCACATCAAACCATCAATGTAACGAGTAAAGACGTTACTCTATATGATAATCATATGAGTAATACAGCAATAATGGAGTTTTGAGCTTTTATTTCCACATAGGAAGATTATCATTGGCCAAAAAAATACAAAGGTCCCCTGAAGAAATGTCTTCAAAACAAAACTTCCCATGCTGGCTTACTCAAGTTTCTAATTTGTATCCCCTCGAGGAAACATGTTTTCCACAACTCTCGAAGATATCAAACAGTAAACATCAAAATCGACTTTGTGTTTTATTTCCAATTGTGTGTAATAATACATAATGTTGAGAAGCTATCTGCTAAACAGAATACAAATGTATACAGGAGCTGGTACACAACTACACAGACCATATATAAGCTATTTACTTTATCTGTCACATTACCAACAAAACCTCTTCTCAAAAACCACCGGTTTATATGGTTTATCTTCTCACAATGTGATTGCCTCAATCCTGTCCAAAACAAATGTCATTAAAAGTGAGCCTAAAAGATTCAAACTTTACACAAACCCAACAAAAAACCAAGACTTACAAGTTTCCTTGCCCTGAATCTGAACTTGAGGGAAAGCTAAGAATGTGCCTCAAAACAATAGTTCTCGCCAATGTGATGTTTTTGCTACACTTGGTTGCGTTCTCACCAACTTCCTCGATTCTCTCTGTGAAAACATCAAACTTCTTGCTCATCTCTTGAATCGAAAGCCTCACAGCCACCTCTTCATCTCCCTCCTTGATCGCAAAATCAACTCTCTGCATCATTGCTTCCATCTCAATCTTCAGCTTCTCCACATGGACTCTAATGTTGTCCATATCCTTCATAGTCACGTAAGCACCAATCCTCATCGACAAGACAATATCTTTCTGTCCTTTCACAGCGGTCTCATACTTCTTCCAAAGATGATTACACCATTTCCCTACAGAGCCGATCGGAACCGCCAACGCAGCTGCAACCGCGGTCACAACGGGCGGTGCAGCTATAGCAGCTGCAACCACAGAGAAGATCAAAACAGAGACGAAGGCAGTCACGAAAACCACATTCGAAATCTTCTTCCAATGCTTGATGTTCTTGAGCTTCTTATCAAGCTTCCTCTTCTGCTTATGAAGTATCTCCAAAAGCAGAACCTGCTGCTCGTAAACAGACTCGAACAGCATGAAGAAATCTCCATCAAACGGGTTACCAGAAGCTTTAAACTTGTTAAGCTCTTCCAGAGTTTTCGCGTACTTATTCTCACCCGGTTTATTCCCTTGTGATGATGATGATGGTTCGATCTCAAATTGCTTAACCGCGAACTGAATGATCATTTGACCAATCCTCGCTCGTTTCACACAATGATCAACGGCATTGCAGAAATCTAAGGTCTTGATGCTACTGTCGAAGTAAGCATTGACCAAGCAAGTCAAGTCTTTGTTGTCCCAAACGTCTTCTTTGCTTTCGATGATAAACCGGACCACCTCGTGGTTCATCTCGAGGAGACAGCCCGAGACTTCGATGAGGGCGTCAAAGGATAAGGAGCGAGTTTCGGCACCCGAGGCGAGCGAGTTGATGACTCGGTTGGTGCGTTGGTGAAGAGAGGAATCGAAGGATTGTAAGTCTGGATCTTCTCTGCAGGCTGTGTTGTAGGAAGTGAGATCGGCTGAGTATAAGGAACCTATGTCGGTTCGGATCTGTGGAAGAGGTGGAGTGTTGGTTCTGTTCCTGCTGGAATTTGAGTTGTCTTCCATGGTTTTGGTTTTGGAGAATAATCCAAGAAACATGGACGTTGGGGGACGGAAAGAGTTTGACTTTCAGATCGAAAGCAGGATCCACAACTGGTGTTTGAGCAGGAACAAACCCCAAAGACTGGAATCTAATGATCGCGAAGTTGGAATATGAGAAAAACAGGACCTGAGAGAGAGAGAAGTTGAAGACAAGAATTTTCGTTGCCCGAGTCTGGAAACAAAGTGAGATCGGAGAGAGATAAAAGAGGGGAGCAAGTAAGTACCTGAGAGTGGATGTGTGGATTCGGAAATGATAAGATTGATTGAGTTTGGTTACTCTGAGAGAGAGTCAGAGAGAGTTGTGAAGGAGAGCGATGGATTGATTGGGGAAGGAGAGAAACAACTGAGTTGCTTCTGTCTTCCTTTGACTTTTGACTTTTCTTCTCTATTGGGTTATTGGCATTTGGCAGCAAGTTTGACTTCTTCCACGCAGTGTTATTTAGTTAGTAGTAGCCCCACTACTGTATCAGTCAAGAACATAAAGTTTATTTTAATCCTTCTATCGTATTCATGCGCATGATTTTAAATACCTTCTAAATTTAATTTAGTTTGCTATACCATATTTATGAGTATGACGACAAACGATATTTCCAGTTATTTTACACGATACCACTTACTTCTAGTTATATACAATTGGACCCCGGTCATTTACATATATACCCGGAATTTATGCTTATTTATAATTGTGCCTGTTACTTCAAGCTAATTAATTTAAACGTATACCCGATACTTTTGGTTATTAACTACTGTTCTGTAACTTGTAATCATTTACAAATTTACCCGATGATTCAGTTATTCACACTATCAACATATATCTCTAGATATTTACCGTTGTATCCCGATAATTACAGGTATTTGTTATTTACTCGGAATTTCTGCTTATTTTCAAATTACACCCGATGCTTGCTTTTGCAAGAATCTAACATCCCTAATCTTTTTTTTTTTTTCATACAGATGCCTCATTATGGATTAAAAATGTGAGCTGGGATCCGCCTCGGACATACTTGATATCTTTACTAAAGTGAAAGAGAAGAAGGGAGTAAAGTTACGTTCACAAAATATCTGGGAAAAAAAAAAGGTTGCAAGTGTTTTACTACAACTACCGCAGATGAGAACTTTGTTGGCGAAAAATTGGTCTCCAGATTCAGATGTTTTTTTCTCGTCTAAATATGAAGGTTTGGCTTACTTTATGCGACTGGAGAACCATTTAAGGGATTCTACTTATGGTAGAGGTAGACGAAGCTGAAGACGAAGAAACCAGCCATCTGCAAAGAAGAGCAAAAGATGAGTGTTAGAGATTATTAGCTTTCTCTGTGTGTGCATGTGAAAAAGAGAGAAGATGAAAAGAAGGGGTTTACAGTGGTAAAGCAGGCTCCATAATAAGGATACGCAGTTGGGATAAATCTCTCATACTCATTGTGTCTGTAAGGCCGCACCGGAATCTGCAAAATGTCCGCAATTTTTACTGTCATTCGCCTTTGTCTGGAACGTGAGCAAAACTCTAAGAGATATGTATATAGTTACTCACCTGCTTCGAAAGAGATAGTGTAGTGTAGCCGAGCTTTTCATATTCAACCTTAAACTGGAATACACCATAGACATCAGGAACCTTGAAAGATGTGTGAAACAAACCCTGCAAAGTAGGTAACAAACCAGGCTGAGTTCTAACTTCTAACGCTGAAAAGAAATAAAGAAGACTCTGCTGATTTAGAGCTCAGAAAATAAGTCACCTTCTTGTCTGTTGACAGGGTTTTCAACACATATGGGCTCATCATGTAAAACTGAACCTGCACATCATCAGCGACATACGGTTCCCAGCTCTTCCCTGACCACTCGAATATCTCCACAGAAAATTCCTGCCACGAAAAAAATGCCACATTAAAAGCTTGCCGCAGATTCCCATTGAATAACCAGGCGATTATCATCCAAGTCCAAGGACAGAACTTGGGTGAGTCAGAGATGTAGAAACCATACCAGGTCATCCTTTATCCTATATATTGCTGGCTCATCTGTTTCTCCAACCCTGTGGTGTACAAGACTACCAGCCTGGACATGGAAGATTGGTGAGGAACGTACCAATGTTGACAAAAAAGATGACTAATTAAACAAACAAACTCTAGCTACCATCTGATTTATGTAAAGCAGTAAGCAATTAACTTCTGTAGGAGAGCAAAGCAAGTGAAAAAGACTATGCATATACCTTCAGATGGCCTCTTTCGTGGAAGACCCATTTGCTTAGTTCGGTCACAAACTGTTGGTTGCCAGATTTTTCATATCTGAGGGAATTTTACACAATATCAGTTAATCTTCTTTCAAAACGAAATGTGACATCTATCATTCACAAACAACGAAAAAAAACACTCATTTTAAATCTTTGTAGCTATAGATCATGTAAACTAAAGTTTCACATAATGAACTATGTGTTTACTTACTTGTTCGGACTCCCTGCTTTCTGGACACCAGATCTGAATAACCTGCATAATGCAAACAAATCTTGAATCAGAATCAGAAACATCCATATGCGTGAATTAGCTGGAAGAATACCATCAAACATTTGCTCACCTGTCGCTAAACAACTGCAAAGAACCTGAGATCACAACCCTAGCATTGTTCCTGGCCTGCAGTTTAAAGAAAAAATCAGAAGTGGAGAGCTAAGTACAGCCAAGAACATGATAGTTCAGACTTCACGGGAGAAATCGATTATCTAAATGTGCATATATCAAGTACAGGAGAGAGAGACAAACCTGCATGACCGACACTAGCGAAATTGCAGACCCAGTGAGCTGAGGAGGGCTCGACAACTTCGAGCTTGGGTTAGCAGAATAAGCTGAGGGAGAGGCTGAAAGAACTTTCAAAACCTAGCAATAGAGTATAAGGCATGGATTGGCAAAAGTTAATTCCCCCATCATCAAGGCATAGTAGTATTTTAACTTATCAACATCAACTCAATGCATGTTCTTCGACTCACCAGGTTGTTGTTAGGGTTCAGCGAATGCGCAACACCTCTGAAGAGCACGGGAGCCTGTATTTCAAAATCCAAACTCAGATGAACTTAGAGCGTCCCAAACAGAAAACCCACATTTTCATACATATTCTCCAAAATCCAAAACCATACAATAAAAACTTGTGGGTATTAGTCACATAGCTCAGCTAGAAAGCAAGCAAGTTACCTCAATCTTGGTTTTCCCTAAAATGACATCGGATTTCACTAAATCGTCGGCAGCGACCAAAGTGTGGTCTCCGTCGACATCAGAGACGGAGAAGCTCGAATGATCAATAACCATAGCTGAAGAATCCTAAGGAAATGAATAGCTAATAAATCAAAATCCGATTCCTAAGTCGCATTTTACTCCGAAAAGAAGATAATTCCACACACGGAGAGACCAAACCTCATCGAAATCAACCCCACACTCTGTGGCAATTCCCCGAATCAGATCAGACGCAGAAGTATCCGCCGATAAGATCAAATCACGACCGGAATCGACGAAATCAGCAATGGATTTCGAATCCAAGGATCCTCCTAATCCTATACAAAGGGAAATGGAAAATGTTTGGATTGATTCCCAAATGTATACAAAAACTAGCGATCAGGAAGCTCAGAGGTCGAAGATCTTACGCTCTGTCGACGGGGCGAAGATGATCAGCCCATCGTACAAGTACTGGCCGTATCGTTGAAGCGCGAGCTTCGAATCTTCAGCTAACTTGAAATCGAGATCGAATCCACGGGACTTGAGATTGTTGAAGAAGATAGAATGAGAGGATTTAAGTGATAAATCGTCGAGAAGAACCAGAACCCGCCGATCCGTCGGATTATCGACGGAGAATGAGAAGCTAAGTAAAGGGAGAATGAACAAAGAGATCAGCGCGAGAGATCTCGAGATGTTCATCATATTCGACTCTTAGGGTTTTTTCACGGGTATAGAGTGAGTGACCACTTGGAGCAGAGATGAAGAAGAAGCAGACCCAACGACGATCGTAAGCTTGCACCGTTGACGATCACGTACTCTTGAACGACATCGTTTCCCTACTGCTCGAAACATTAAAATGGGCCAAACTTAGGCTTAGAAATAATGGGTCTATATGATGGTGTGATACAAATGGGCCTAAAAGGACTCAAGTTATTATTATCAAATTTAGGCTCTTTGGTCAACAAGTTAAGAGAGATTATGAGTGAAAGAATTTACGCTCGAGTTGATTAACAGCATTAACGAACTTAATATATGAGAATTTTTTTCTTTTTCTTTAGACATACAAACATATACCCTCCAATAAAACATGCAAAGTTTCTGCTTCAATATGATAGTTTTGTTATCTTTTAGGTAATATAACAGAAACTAAAGTATTCAATCTTCCATCGTGTATGTTTCACTTGAGACAAGCATCAAACACAAAATATCTATGGATACATTATACATGGATATGCATAATTACACAGCAATATATCGTTAGGACAGGTGACAAAGATTGAGTGGACCGCGTAACATTGTGACATAAGATAGAACAATCCGACCGCCTTGTTCCAATTTTTTTAAAACTTGTTTAAGTGTTTGCTAACGACGGTCGCGCCAAAAAACTAATACTAAGATCAATCATTCACTCAAGTCAACAGACGACAATAAACCATTTAATTAGAGAAGAGGATCATCTTGTTATTTTAAGTCCAAAGTCGGCCCACTCCTATACCAATCACTGATATGGTTTTTTAGGTACGTAAGACAGAAGATCGGCTTTCCCTCGTTCATGCATTGACTTACCATTTCGCAGATTATATATTTTGTTTCATTAGAGATCACGGGAATAATATTGCGTAACTACGACGGAGATGGCGTGAAAAGAAATCAAGAAATCTGGGTTACATGTTAAGCATTGTATATAATAAGCATGAAGCAGTAACTTTCAACTCCAGTGATCCAATTCTTTTAAATTATTTTCTCACTGAATCTTTATTTATTTTCTTGAGTTAGCGTTTTTAAGTTATATATTTGTTCTATTAGATAACACGGCGAATATATTACGCAATGACGGTGATAGGAGGGGAAGAAATCAAGAAAATTTGGTCATGGAACATATTATGTAACAATCGGAAATTTCAAACAATAGCGTGGTCCAATTGTAGTTTACGATTAGCTGATGATGTTCTCTAACCTTAACAATAATATATTGTTCTATGAATTCACCTAATGTATGGCATTCACAGGCGACAGGCCACCGCATCTTTAGGCATTTCAATGGAGTGATCTTGGATAAAAAAACTACTAAGTCATTTTAATAAGGGAGATAGTGATTAATTTTATGCTTTCTTTGTAATAACCACTTATACCTGTTTTCTGTATAGCCTAAGTATTTGTTTGTCGACGTAAAATTTGTGTAACCATTGAACTTTCTTGATTTTGAAAACATTAATCAGTTATATTTTAACTTAAGCTTTATACGACCACCTGACAAAGAAAGACAAGTCAAAAACACATATAGTAATGATTTTTTCCACCAGTGATTTGTAAGCCATATGCTGGATATATTAATAATCAAAGGAAATTATGCCATTGGTTAGATAATGTGACCAATCCTTACCAGCAAAGACATGATAATCTGCGTAGCACAGAAGCTTCGTCCGATGACCGCTTCCCGCTTCGGAATCGGAATCGGAATCGGCTCTTGGAAGCTTTCGGAAGCTCGCTTCCATGACGCTTCCTAAAAAACCCTTTAAAAACGTTTTGGAAGCTTGCAATTCCGTTTTAAAAATATGATATCTTAAATAATTATGAATACTTTTATATGTTTATGATTTTATAAGTTTTATAAAAATGAAAAATTAATATACCATGTATTTAATTTGGCATTCACAAATTAAAGACTAATTTTTCATCTATTATTATAAAAAAAATGTTTAGAAAAATTATTACAAATAAAATGAGAATAATTCTTTTGATTAGAAAAATGCGATTTCAATTTAGTGATCTTTCTTTAATAACATAGATATAAGATTATTTTACATGGAGTTAGAGAATAACGAAATAAGAAACTAAAATTGGTTTTTGATTTGAATTATTTTAATTATTATTAATTGAATTATATAAAATTGATATATTTGATTTATGCTATATACATATATATGTGTATATATATAGACGCTTCCAACACGTACCCGCTTCCTAATTTTTTTAAAAAATATCGCTTCTGCGCTTCCAAACGCTTCCGCTTCCGTGTACCCGCTTCTGATTCCATGCAGCTTAGATGATAATGCACGAATCGTGAATAAAGTAGGTTAGGTTTGTTTTGTAAGACTATGAAATGGTTGCGTGGTGTTGTACTGTTGTGAGTGAAAACTGAAAACCAAACAAAAAAAGTACACACGGTATCTTATTTAGTTACTTTCATCATAGAAACAAAACAAATATGTTTATTTTCTCCTATAGAGTTTTATTTTCTTCTCTATTTTTTCGATAGAATGCGAATACATATTTCTTTAGTTTTAACTTTTAACAGCAGAAATATGTATGCATATTTTAACAAAACAACGAAAAGAAATAAATATGTATGCATATGCATATTATTCTTACTGGTCAATGATAATTATTATTGTCTAAAATAAAATATAATAATCGGCTGGGCATGCATGTGAATATGTGATTCAACGTGATACCGGTCATGTGGTAATTCATTTGTCATTTTTCTACAGATTTCTCAAAAGATAATGTGATCGTAATTAATACTGCGTTATGTAGGACAATTGTGGTAGTAGCTAGATCTTGCGAGGAGCCAATAATCTATCAATAATTTCTTATTTTATGCAAAGAAGACAATCATATATCTCATATTTGGTCACACGTCATTAGTTTTGTGTAAGCAAGAATTTAATTGAGTTTTTTATGATAAATTTCTATTTCCATAGTATTTTTCTACTGCCTTAAGTTTTACAAAATTCTTGCTTCGTTAAATATCTGTTTTGGTTTGGTTTAACTATTCATATCAACACAAACTTCTAAGTTCCATTGCTTATCCGCGTAGCTGCGTATTTACTATTTTATAGACGATAAGAACAAGCTGTGCGGGTTCATGTTATCTTATGATGGATCTGAAATATATCTAATTATATTTAGGTTACCCGTGTAGATTGTAGTGAAAATTGTGTTAATGAATAATGGAATCGTGGATACTAAAAGTAAAAACAAAGACTCAGACTGGTCGTAACTCTAGAACTCAATCTGGTCAACTTAATGACCATCGTGCACTCCACTCTGCTCACCTGTATTCTGTAAGAAAACTCAGTCTTCTGACACCGACGATATGCTTGTATAATGTAAATCTTTCTAGTTTATACTATGTAACAGTTCTTACGACCCACTGACCCAGAAAAATAATAAACATGATACCAAGACTCATATCAATAGTGTAAATAGTGATTTATGTTTTTGGTATAAAGTGTTTAGAGGAAAGTCTTAATTAAGTTGTGTAGCGTAAAAATAATAGTATAGATACTAAAGTCTTAATTGATTAGTTTAATACTCTTTCTGTTTCAAAATAGGGGTTTAGAGTTTTTTTTTTTCAAAATATAAGGGGTTTTAGAGTTTCTATGCGAAATTAAATGTGTTTTTGTTATTTTTTATTATTTCTATTCTAAAGATTCATTTTATATTTAATTTAATTTCAAAAAGTACAAAAATTAAATGGTTTATTAATTTGTATGCAGAAACCTTAAATCCCTTATATTATGAAACAGAAGGAGTACTTTAATAGCATAATCTTAATCAAATACTAGTATGTAGTAGTAGATACTGAAGTTTTAGTTAAGTAGTTAATACTTAATACTAATAGTCATTAAATGTCTTCTTAAGACCATGTGCACCCTTAAGATGGTAGTATAATAAAAACAAAAACAGACACCTCACACACAAACCAAGCCGGCGCGGTAGAAGAACTCCAATCATAAAGAAGTGGTTCACTGCTACAAACTACTCCTCCAATAGTAATCAACTTGTAATCAACTTGCAGATTTTGATGATAAATTATCCATTTTAATCAAGACTGAGCACATTGTCAATAATTATAGAGCTTGGAGAAGTCCTCTACTATCCATGTCAGTTACATTTATGTGTTGTTTTCTACAAATATATAATATTAACGTGCTTATTTAAATCTTCAAAAACATTTAATGAAATTAACTTAAAAAAAAAAACAGAAAGATGCTGAAATAAAGAAATGTAACGTAAGTATTACTAAAACAATTCTATCTTGATACTCAGTAAAAATATTGCTGAATATAATTATGGTTGCCACTTGCCAGGGTCAAAATTTTGGAACTTATAATTAATAGGGGTCAAAACCATTAAAAACTAACCAAATTATCAATTTATATTACAATTATATACCTAAATTCCATAAAATTTAAGAGCTAATGGGAGTCATTTGACCACATAAGTGTCTTAATGGCTGCTATAAATAACCCAAAATGAACCGGCAACGAATCCATCAAAAACAAAAACAAGTACCAAAATATCTGTGAAGAAGAGGAAGAAGTAGCAATGCAGCTCACGAAACCACACATCGCCATGTTCTCCAGTCCTGGAATGGGCCACGTCATCCCGGTGATCGAGCTCGCCAAGCGTCTCTCAGTCAACCATGGCTTCCACGTCACCGTCTTCGTCCTAGAAACCGACGCAGCCTCCGCTCAGTCCAAGTTCCTAAGCTCAAGCGGCGTCGACATCGCCAGTCTTCCTTCGCCGGACATTTCTGATCTAGTGGACCCCGCAGACCACGTGGTGACCAAGATCGGAATCATTATGCGTGAAGCCGTTCCAGCTCTCCGTTCCAAGATCGCTGCGATGCATCAAAAGCCAACGGCTCTTATCATCGACTTGTTCGGCACAGACTCCTTATGTCTTGCAGCAGAATTCAACATGTTGACTTACGTGTTAATTGCTTCAAACGCACGTTATCTTGGGGTTGCTATTTATTATCCAACTCTAGACCAAGATATCCAAGACGAGCACGCAAAGCAAAGAAAACCGCTTCAGATACCGGGATGCGAACCGGTTCGATTTGAAGATACTATGGACGCATACCTGGTTCCTGATGAACCGGTGTACCGAGATCTGGTTCGTCACTGCCTGGCTTACCCAAAGGCGGATGGCATTTTGGTGAATACATGGGATGAGATGGAGCCTAAATCATTGAAATCCCTTCAAGACCCAAAGCTTTTGGGCCGTGTTGCTCGTGTACCGGTTTATCCGATCGGTCCGTTATGCAGACCGGTAGAGTTGTCGAAAATCGATCACCCGGTTCTGGACTGGTTAAGTGAACAACCAGATGAGTCGGTTCTCTACATTTCCTTCGGGAGTGGCGGTTCTCTAACGGCTAAACAGTTAACCGAATTGGCGTGGGGACTCGAGCAGAGCCAGCAGCGGTTCGTGTGGGTGGTTCGCCCACCGGTCGACGGCTCTTCTTCCAGCGAGTATTTCTCGGTTAACGGTGGTGGCAACAAAGACAGCACGCCGGAGTATCTACCGGAAGGGTTCGTGAGTCGCACTTGCGACAGAGGTCTTGTGGTCCCATCATGGGCACCGCAAGCTGAAGTCTTGGCCCATCGGGCCGTTGGTGGGTTTTTGACCCATTGCGGTTGGAATTCGACGCTAGAAGGTGTGGTTAGCGGTGTTCCGATGATCGCGTGGCCGCTTTTCGCGGAGCAGAATATGAACGCGGCGTTGCTCAGCGATGAACTTGGAATCGCCGTCCGTGCGGATAATTTAGCCGAGGGGATTTCAAGGTCGGAGATTGAGGCGATCGTGAGGAAGGTAATGGCGGAAGAGGAAGGTGAGGAGATGAGAAGGAAAGTGAAGAAGCTGAGAGAGACGGCGGAGATGTCGTTGAGCATTGACGGGGGTGGTTCGGCGCACGAGTCGCTTTGCAGAGTCACGGTGGAGTGTGAACGGTTCTGGGAACGTAAGAGGGACTTGGCACGTGGTGCTTAGAAATGCTTACCGTTTTGCTAGCTCTTTAGCGGGTGAAACTGTGTGTTGTTCGAAATTATTGTATTTCCATTGTAATAGAATAATCAGTGTTTTGTAATATAGTAATGTTTTAGTGTTTATATTTCTCAACTAGTTTTTGATGCAGCACAAGTTAAGTGAGCTGCGATCAAACAAGTCATCGACATAAGTAGAATTATGTGTTGCCTTTACTTTCCTTTTCTTTTACAAAGTTGCTGTTTTCTTTACTATGATTGAATAATCGGTGTTGTTGTAAAAAATAGCAGTTTTGTAATATAATAGTCTGTGTAAAATTCGATTATCTAAAGCGATAAGTCGTTGTTTTCCATAGTATTTTAGAGCAGTACCATGTCAACTAATCTTTCCAACGTATTATTTCACTGTTCTCGAGAGTAATTTTCAGTCGGATTATAGTTTGGGGTAATTTATTATAACAAGAAATTATATTTGATGAATTGCTTAGTATGTAGAGAATCATAAGAGAAATCCTATCCTAGTCCTGTTATTATTAAACATAAAGTGTCAAGGAATAATTTTGTCCGCTTCATTTGGAGTTAACAACTATGATTTGGACCATTTCAATCATAGTTTCTCTAAGAATAGATAGCCTAGATTTCAAAATTGATTGTTCAGAGTTTATGTATATGTTACAACTTTCATCTGAATGGTCCGTTTTTTTCGGTTTCTACTCAAATATTTGAGTTTTTGTATAGTTCCATTACTTTTGACTTGATTTATCTTCCATTTAAATTGCAAGACCGATCGATAGTCATCTCTTACCACAATGAATGGAATTTCCAAGCCTAATTTTTGTTTCAGTTGTTTTTTTTGTTCTTTTTACAGTATTCTTCTAACAACCATTTTTGCAATATTCATATGCTAATATCCTAGCTAAAAAGGTAATTGTATCACAACCATCTTCATGATTTTAGATCATGGATGTCCTTGTTTTCATAAAAATATTGTAAACGATGACTGACTTTTTAGCTAAAATGGTTCTTGATATGTTAAAAAACTGCAATCATTTGCACCATTTTATTTTGTTGTCCACAGATGATAGGAGTAATTGTTTCAACCGTCGGAAAGATGCATGAATTTTCTTCTTCGTGTTATTTTAATAAAACCGACGTTCGTTCTTTTTAAGTTTTCACCATTGATCATTTACTCTGATAGCGATCTTCTAACCAATAATCATAGTATCCCTTCTCGTTGAGCTTCTAGATGAATTACTTTTTACTCAGTTTTTAGTTTATTAGTATAATTCAATAGTTGCTTTTTATTGGAGCACAAAACCAGAGGAAACCAACAACTGCATCGTTTGGACGTGACACACCTCTCTGATTTTCCTGTTATTTTGGAAGCATACTTTACGGATCCAATCAGTTAAAGGGAATAAATAATGTATTACAATGACAGATTCCAAACCTTACATAAATTAAAAAGAACATATACCTGACTCGCATGGATTATTATGCATTGCCCACGATATATGTAGCCAAATTTACGAGTTTAATTTCAAATCAGATGCCATTTCAATCATATATCTTTTTCTTGTCAAAAGCTACACGGCTTACAATTCGGATGGTGATACAACATAATACCAATATCTAATGAAATACTCAATGGAATTTAGTTTGGATGGTAAAAAGACTGATGGAATGATCAACCTTGGCTTTGGAAAACGTGAGAGGTAGAAAAATTAAAGATTTACTTTCACAAAAAAAAAATTTGTACACAACTTTCGTTACGATTTTTCTTACAATTAATATATGTTTCTAAATATTGATCAGCTACCGTAGCATGAAACGTGCTCGTCTACTTATGTTGGTTGACAAGCCTAAAAGCCTAGTTATGTACGTAATTAAGAAAGAATGTGAAGTCGTTTACCTTGCGATGTATGGGCTCCATATATTCTCTTACAAACGGCCCATGTTTTGAGCCTTAATGTTGTCATCGTACTGCACGAACTAATGTAACACTACGGCCCAAACGATTCACATATTTGATGTTGAGACCTTGTCAAGCAAACAAAATAAACCCGTACAATTAAAGTAAAGCCCACTCACACACACTCCAGTATTGGCTTCTTTTTGTTCCAACAAAATTTATTGCGCTAGAGACAAATGTCGCCGCCAGAGAACGAGACTTGTTTTCGTATTATCGTTTAAGTAAAATCTTGTTACGGATTTATGATTAACTCCAGTTGTTATCATGTGCTTAAAGTTGGTCCATGTTTTGTAATTTTGTACGAGAATACAGCTCGGTACAGTGTCTACACAATGCGCGGACGATGGGGATCCACGTGACCTATCCAATGTAGTACTGTTTCCTCATTATTTAAATCGTCAATGTCTATATAACAATCATATAATCAATATTAAAATCTTTACTTAGAACTTAGTCTTTAGTTACCACCACAAAAAAAAATAGAGAGCACTTTAATTTTATTGATGGTGTTTTTAGCTTTAATCTTTACGGTAGTCGACAACGTTTTATAAGAAAGTTGAGGTTTCTTCCTTTGGCGAATAAAACATTGCTAAAAAATAAAAGAAAAACTGTCTTACTACACATACTGAAATTATAGTAGTTTGTTGAAACATTAAAATAAAATACGATACTTATTGTGGAACAAATAACAAATCATTTTAGAAATCAGAGTCGAAATGTATATGTGAATTTGATTCCACGGGTTATTTAATTAATACAGTCAAAACATGCAATTTTTCCTTTTTTACCCGTATTTTGTCTCTTACGGATCCGACTATTATCTATTCACAGTGGGGTTGGTTAACTTTGACGTTGTTAGCTGAGCTGAGACTGAGACGGTTATTCATTTGATAAGTTTATCCAAATTAGTCCAACAAAGCATTGCCTTGGTTTCCGTGAAATTTACCATTGGGGATTAATTTCTTACTATATAACCCCCTAATTTGTGGCGTAACTTAGGGGTCACTACTGGTCAACTTCAGCTGTTCAAAAAACAGACTTTAATTAGAATGATATTAGGAGTAATTTCATGCAACTATACTTATTTATTTTTGTTGAGAATGTTGAAATGGCACATTCCTTTTAGTATTTACTAATAGTTTGGACGGTCCAAATTGTCCAAATTTAGTATCTGATAGACCGATTCATTTAATATCAAATTTTCATTATTTTGGATTTAGGATAAGTTGTCCATTTCTGCAGGACTTACCTCAATTTAGTCTTACTAATTTTTTTGGTATTGCTAATCAATCGCCACACAATCATGATACATTAAGAAAATTCGAGCATTACTATTATTTTTAATCAATTGTTAAAAATTAACTTATCGTTGATTAAAGAACGCAAAAACGTATGGAATCTTTCTTACCAATTATCTAGCTGTTACGCAAAGCACCGAGAGAGTTAGAAGTACGGGAAACAAGGAAGGCAAATGTTGGGATAAACATGACATTTAATTATTTTAATCATCTTGCTTTATTGATAATAATAATTCGGATTAGTTTATTAAAAGAACAGTATTATAGTACAATTAAAAGGCCTAATAAATCGCGAGTCCCAACTCAAAAGCATATGAGAAAAGGAATCTATCCCGTGCCATATCCCATATGCGCATCTCCTTTCACATATTTTTTTTTTTATCTTTTTCTTTTTCTTGCTATATATGTATCTCTACGAATACAAGAAACAAACCCTAATTGACGACTGAAACATTTTTTATCGTTACTTTTAAACTAGAGTTTGACATCGGTGCTTGGGTTTGAATACTTATCACATTATTACCACTTTTGTCTTTTGTCTTGAATCCCATATCAAGACAGGAGTAAACAAACCTACGTAAAATCCAATTCTTATCCATATATAATTTTAGTGTTGGACCATAAGTTAATTTATGGCTTAAATGATCCTTACGTTACACATGCCATTAAACTAACTTAAATTAGCCACATCTATCCATTTGATTTCTATATATCACTTAATGGTTGAGGGATCAGTTCATGTGATAATACAAATTCAAGCTAGTTTACACATCTATGTTTTTATATATGTATATTCGACTTCAATTTTTTGCCTGAGATAAACATAGAAATTCTTGTCCCCATTCTCGAATGCTATTATCACTTAGCAATTATAAGACCGGTCATCTGAAATATCTTAGATGCAAAACCATGCTAAGTATTTCCATTCCGTTTTACTTTTGCTTTATCTTATCGATTCCTTTTTGTTGTTGTTAAATGATATAAAAATGAAAAAAGGCTGGAAATCAAACGATGGAAAGGCAGGAGAAAATTTTCAGAAAATGGCAGGAGAAGCAAAGTTCACCAATCATGTATACGTATACGTTCTTTTTAGCCATTCTTCATCTGGAATAGCAACCTGAAGTTTCCAAAAAAAAAGGTAAGCTTTTAACTAAAATTCTTCGATAACCCAAAAAAAAAGAAAAAACTGTAAGCAAGTGCTTGTTTTGCATGTATTTTCTTTTATTGAACTATAATGGATGTCGATAAACGTATAATTCAAATGTCTCTTTATCCAGTTTATGATTTACACGACAGCTGGAAACTGTAGAAATTAGTCTCGAAGCTTTTAACAAATTCCTTAACGAGATAAGAAGAGAACAGGAGAGCTATATATATAGCTCTTATATATTCCTCGATCGTCAAAGCTCTTTACATTCATGCTAGTGTAATTTCACCCTTTTTTTATCATAGGTACAATTACAAATATGACATAATAATGAAAAAAAAAAATTGAGAAATAACCGACTCGTATTTTACTGATTGATAACCAATTCATTTATATACACACAATAAAAACAAAATGCAAACGGTAAGTCAAAGATGGAATCTCCAAGGGAAAAGCAAGAGGCCCGGAGAAGGAGGGAAGGTAAGAGGACACGTGGCAGAAGGAGAAGTGTGGACCAAAGGAAAAGGAGTATCAGGGAGACGACACGTAACCCAATTAGAAAGCAAACCCATGTGACCTCTTAAGTCTTAACTTTCCATCATCACTCATTCACTTGCGTGGAACTTGTCTTTGTCACCACTTTCCTTCCATCGTCATATGCTATCTTTTATTTATATATTTGTTTCATGCAAATAGAAAACACACAACAAAAACTATAAATTCTAAAACTCTTATCTTGTCTCGTCCTCTAATGCATACCACATTACTGATGTCATATAACAAATACTATTCTTTCGCGAAACTAATTGAGTTTTATAAATAACCACGTTTGGAATTGAGAAATCTTCGCTAAGTCCATCAAATTTGTGGATGTGACGCTATAACTTATGAGAGACAAAATGATGGCCCGACAGTGCACACCATTAGTTTTATATAGAACAATGTATGTACGCCTGAAAAGAAAAACTTTAGAATATGTGAGTTGTATGATGTGTCTTCCTCCAATTGTGAGAAAAGCTATGGGGAGGGTCCGGAGGGACATACATCCTAAAAATACTTTTACCGGTTTCATGTTCTGATTGGATGAAGAAAACCAAGCTTAATTTGCCCGAGAAAATCCGATGAAAAAAAGATAGGGATACATTCTTTTATACAATGGTCTTAAAACTAATTATCCATTTGGTCTAATCAACATCTGTACTCTCCTACCTTCGAGTCGATTTTCGGTTAGTTAAGTATATATAGAGAGGGTTACGTGAAACATTTTAAGACTTTGATTCCTAATTATTGTCTCTCTACTTTTTTTTGTGTTTTAAGTTTTAACCTGCAACGAAACGAAAGTACAGTAGATAAGTTGAATTTTATCCTACCCATTCGAAAGCCACGTGAACCTCACGTGCATAGCCGTCACTCAATGTCGGAATACGATTTTCTCTTCTTTCTCTGTGAATTATTTAATTTTTCCTAATAATATACCTTCCTATGATTCCTCTTTTCGTTTCCTAGTTCCTACGCATTACACACCTAAAAAAAGCACACTATAGTACTATACATAACCTTTATTATTATTATTTTTACCAAGTGATCATTTTTTTAAATAATGAAAGTATAGCCTATTATTTCTTTCATTTTTTAACAGCATATTCTATTCAAAACCTTTAATCATGCCATTTTTTAATTATTGTTCCAACATATTTCCCCCCCCACTTTTAGAGAACTTCGGAAACCCTTACAAGCCAGTCTACAAGGTATGTTAAATGGTACACCCGTCGGTGAATTTGTATTAACTTACCGATCGTCTAAGTCATATACCGTGCGAGCGAGTCTTCATATATTTTTTCTTACACCATACTTTTAAATATACAATTTTTTACCGTAGCCTCTCAAACACCTTCAACGTCGAGAATTCGTATATATAGGTAATAGGTCCTCTTTGTTTTCGTATTTAAATCTATTATTGGATTCTATCTTGATGAGGTGACGTGATTCTGCAACCTATTACATGACAGTGTTTTTGATTTTTCGGCATTACATGATCGTTTACGCCTTTACGGCCGAAGAAATTTCGTTCTAACTGATAAAAAGAAGGGGTTTTTAATGTTCCGTATACGTACAAAGCAAAGCCGGTTATGTTCAATTAATCGCATGGTCACTCTTATTATAACACTATTGATGAAGAAAAATAGAGAACAGTACTGTCTGTTTGAACTAATCAATAAAGAAAATTCGGGAAGATTCGTGGTTAGACCTATAGACTTGTAGTCACTACACTAGTGTAAAATAATAATCAATAGGGAAAACGGAAAAAGGAGGAGCACATTGCTTTTCAAAGAGAAATGAGTGGTCTCGAGCTCCGAAAACAAAGAAAAACAACCTATAAAATTAAATCGACAAATCAACAGTATAAACTAAAATAACCAAAGACAGAGACAGTTTATACTGGACAAAAGAAATTATATTAAACAAAAAAAATATATCCAATAGTTATCCAATATGATCGGATCACTTGGTTACTTACTCCAGAATTTGGCCGACTTCGGGATCCACACCACGTCACTACCTCTCTTGTCCAGAATAGTCACCCACCTCATGTAGTCATTTATATGTTTTGTTAATTTACTTCTTTAGGGTTAATTCTGTTCAATGAATTTGTGATGGAATAATGCGGCAGTATTTATTTTAACATAAAGCTCTTATTTTCTAGTTATGGCCAAGTTACGTTTTTCAAAGTAAAATAAAATGACAATAAACACAAGAAAAACAGCTATGAATTTGTTTCAACATATATATAAAACATTTTGATTAATTATTCAACCATTTAAGGTACATCTCAAAAAACATAAAAAATATCTAAATAAAAAAAAAACTAAATATGTCTAATTCAGTTTGTTGGCTTCAAAAGAAAATAACAAATGGCATAAGTGTAAATAAGGGGGGAAAAACAACTCAAGAATAAGGTCATAGTCCTCAAGCTTATAAAAAGCATAGCATAGGACTCAACCTCACCAAAGTCATATCCTCTTTCACCACTCTCCTTCGAACATAGTCAGAGAAAAACAACAAACTCTTGTCTGCAAAACCAGAGAGAGAGAGAAAAAAAAGAAAGAGAAAGAATGGAACAAATGGTGCTAGGTTCTCAAGTGTACCCCTACACGACCCAAACCCAACGTTCACAGTGCATCAGCAATATCGTGAACCAGATCGATGGATCATCATCAGGCGAGGGATCAAAACCGGTGAAGCGACGGAGGAAGAGGAGGAGCAAAGGGTCGTCAGCCACCAACGATGATGACGTGGTGGATATGGGAGGGGTCATGTTGAGGAAGAGGAAGTTGACCGATGAGCAAGTGAATATGCTCGAATATAGCTTCGAGAACGAGCACAAGCTTGAGTCAGGGAGAAAAGAGAAGATTGCCGGAGAGTTAGGTCTTGACCCCAGACAGGTGGCAGTTTGGTTCCAGAACCGCCGTGCACGGTGGAAGAACAAGAAACTCGAGGAAGAGTACGCCAAACTTAAGAGCCACCACGACTCCGTCGTCCTTGGCCAATGTCAGCTCGAGTCTCAGGTACAATTTAGAAACAACATAATCAGCTCTTACAACTAATTATCCTGTGTGGGTTATTGGTTAATTAATTTTGTCAAAAATTTACGCATATGTGAAATGTAGTTGCGTCGAATTTTATGACCAGTAAAAAAGTTAATTATAGGAAGCTTCCTCTTTAAATGACGCAATTAAAATAGTCAACTGTAGACGTTGGGCCCACAATAACATGAGTGGATAGTTCGTCATCTTATCCACAGTTTTGTCCGTACAAACTAAGTTGGGCTTATGATAGCCCATTTATATTTACCACTCAGTTAATGCCACGTTTAATCTTAGATTCTATTCTCTATTTGGGCTGACATTGCCAGAAATATCCTCGTTTGATTTTATGCAAATTTATTGCTATGATTAATTTTATACTTGGGATGGATAACGCAAACAAAAAAACTTTCATTTGTTACCAAAACTTAATATCAGTCATCTGTCACTTTATTGCTATGTTTAAGTTGATTAGTATTTTTTTTTTTTAAACTCAAACATTTTAATTAATTATATGTTCTGCATTTTATTTTGCAGGTGCTAAAACTGACAGAGCAATTGAGCGAAGCTCAACATGAAATTCGAAAACTTACGGAAAGACTTGGAGAAATGTCAACAAACAGTTCAAGTTCATCGATTTCTGTTGAATGCAACGATGTACCAATTGAATTCGAGTTTGCTGCGGAAACTGATTATAACATCCCCTATTATATGTTAGACAATAATTATGTACACAACATGGACTATTGGGATGGTTTGTATGTATAATGTTCATATTTGGAGTTTATGGGTGAAATGCATTTTCAAATTAATGTAGACATAGGTGTTGGTAAAACTGTTGTAAATGTGGTCTTTTTAATGTATTTATTTTATCAAATTACTTGTTTTTTTACCCTTTTCCAGTCCATATATACATATGCTAATTTACATATTTAAGAGATTCTATCGTATAAAGTACACATGACTTATTTCCCATTATTATGAAAATTAGATATACAAGAAATTAATGACCAGATTTGTTTTATATCCAGCTAAAAACAGAAACTCATTATTTTCAAAATCCTATATAGATATATTTCCTTATAATTCAACCAGATACAAATCTTGTTAAAAATGGAAATTTTACAAAATCTTAATCACAGTAAACACACGCGTATTACGAATAAAATATCAAATGTGTTTGAATTTGTTATTTTGTAGACATATTATAAACTTTTGCTTTCTTTTCCCTCCCGTTCCACGTCCAGGCCCCATTTTGAAATTAAAATTACTTTTCAGATAAGCCCTCATAATATATAGAGTTGACAGAAATACCCCAAACCTTTCGGGTATATAAATACGCAGCGACACTCTTTTACTCTCTCTCTCTCTCTCTCTCTCGTCGTCGTCGCTCACTTGAGAATGAGACCTCGCGGGTACAAACGAGCTCCGTCAATGGAGGAAGCAACGGAGATTCCGGCGGAGAAAACGCTTCATCCAAACTTCCCATTTCTCATGTCTTCAAATGGTTTCAAGTCGTTTGAATCGGACTACGACGACGACGACTCAGACATCGATTCCGACGATCAATTCGCTTTCAGCATCAACTCGGAATTTCTCGTCGATGCCAAAGACCTGTACATAGGGGAAGTAATCGGCGAAGGATCATCTTCAAAAGTCTACAAAGGATTGTGGGTTTTTCGCTCCTCAATTCCCATTTCAAAATCCGTCCTTTGGTTCCTGGGTTTTCATGAAAATGAGATTTTGATTTTCCCTTTCTTGATTTCGGTCTGTGCTTGCTTTATTATCGCTCTGGGGTTTTAATATTGTTGATTTCTCTAAAGCCTTAAACCCATTCTAAGAGTTTAGGTTTCAGGGTTTATCGCTGATTAGCGAGCTGCAAGTTTGAATTCTGGTTTTAACCTTGAAATTTGGGATCTTTTTAGACTGGTTTAGGGCTTTTTGGTCAGAATTCGGTGATTTATGTTAAACTGCGGCAATGCTGTATGAACATTGGTTTTGTCACTCCAAATTAAAACAATGGCATGGGATGAAAGAAGTAGGAGCAAGTTTTGTGTAGTCTCTGAGCTTTAGTTTTCCAAGTTTTAGGATAAATGTTACAGAAAAACCAAGAATTACAATCTCAACCAGTTACATAAAAAACAAACTTTGTGGTAGCTTTCTTGAGTAGAATTTGGTTTCATTTGGATTTTTCTCCCAAGTACTTGAATGAGTAATCCTTCTCTGTATTACGGCAGCATAGTTTTTGAATGAACAAATGGTGGCTAAAGAACATTTCTCTATTGATGAATGATGATTATAGGTACAGGAAAGTAAACCCTGTCTCAGTGAAGATATTCCAGCAAAGCAGAACATCTATTGTAAACATTGAGCTGAAGAAAAAGTTTCAAAGAGAGGTTCTGTTGCTCTCCAAGATTAACCACGAAAACGTTGTGCAGGTAATGGAGCCTTTAATGTTTGATTGTTTTCATATGTTATAGTCGTTGGTAATCCTAGCTGAGATCATTTTGTGATGACAGTTTATTGGGGCATGCATAGAACCAGACTTGATGATAATTACTGAGCTCATGGAAGGCAACACTCTTCAGAAGTTTATGTTGAGTACTCGTCCAAAGCCTCTTGACCTGAAGCTCTCTATCAGCTTTGCGTTGGATATTGCTCGAGGAATGGAGTTCTTGAATGCAAACGGCATCATTCACCGTGATTTGAAACCAAGTAAAAATATGAGTCATTTACTTAACCTGCAATGTCACCAAAGAATCAAGATTGTGAATTGGGGAAGATTTGTTTCTTTCTGTTGCAGGTAATATGCTCTTAACAGGTGATAAGAAGCATGTAAAATTGGCTGATTTTGGACTTGCTAGAGAGGAGGCTAAAGGTTTCATGACCTGTGAAGCTGGTACCTACAGATGGATGGCCCCTGAGGTGATTGTTTCTCAAGTTTATTGATCCATAAATAGAATATTGTCGTTTTCTTGGCTTCACAGAATGTTTGTTTGTTTCGCAGTTGTTCAGCCATGAGCCGCTTTTAGTCGGAGAAAAGAAACACTATGATCATAAGGTGGATGTTTACAGCTTTGCTATCGTCTTCTGGGAGTTACTAACCAACAAAACCCCATTCAAAGGAAAGAACAACGTTTGTGTTGCTTATGCTGCCAGCAAAGTAAGTTAAAGCCACATATTTTGAGCTGAAAAAAAACCCACTTGAAGCATGAAACTGATTATTTTTTTGCTTTATTCAGAACCAGAGACCAAGTTTGGAGAATCTTCCGGAAGAAGTTGTTTCTATCCTAGAATCATGCTGGGCAGCGGATCCTAGCGCTCGTCCCGAGTTCAAAGAGATTACAGTTTCACTTGAAAACTTGCTTAGAAGCTTATGTTCAGACAACAATGATGGTCCTTCGTCAGATTGTAATGTAGCTACCGAGGATTCAACAAGCAAGCTGGTTCAAGAACGAGTTGTCTCTGACTATCCAGGGCTGAAGATGACAAAGAAGAAGAAGAAGAGGAAGACGACAAGTAAAGTGATGAACATGATTGTTCCTTTTGTCAGGATGTTCAAGAGTTGTATGTCCAAGTGATAGAAAGTTGAAACTCCCCGGTTCCATAGATGAGGGTATAGCAATACAAACTTCATTAGAGGGTAAAAAGAAAGAAAATTTCATCTTATTTTGTTAGGTTTCGTTTTTGGCTTTTGTTGTCCTTGTCGGCTTTGATATTTCAATAGAAATTGTTGGAAAAACAGTTTGATCATCATAATATACATGGTTATACTAATTTTATATTTACGGATTCACATTTAGTAACCACAGCTAAAAAATTTAATCTTTGATTCCGTGAAAATAGATTCATGATGCCTCAGTTATTACCGTTAGAACAATTTAAAAACAAAACAAAAAGAAAGAAAGAAAAAGACCGATCTAGGCGGGATTCAGTCGTTTAAGCAGGAGTGACGTAGGAGACGACGGCGGTGATGTCATCAAGCTTTCCTCCGTAGTACCTGAAGCCAGCCTCCTGAGCCGCGGTTGCGAAAGGGCTCTGCCGTTTTCTGTCGAGGGCTCTCGCACGTGCCAAATCAGCAATCTTCTTAGCCGTGGCCTTGGGGTCTAAACCGGCTCTAACCGAACTAACCACCACTCCTGCGATCTCTTCGTTGTATAGATTATCATACACACCGTCCGTTCCCGCCACAATCACATCTCCACTCTCAACTTCAATCGTGAATACCTGACCGGAGTTAGGCATATCACCGTTGCTAGGGCCGTTGCCAGCCTCTAACTGAAAAGTAAAGTTGAAACCGTGCTGCTGAACCGGTGACTGAAACACGGTGGTCCCATCTCTAACCACCGTGAATCCACTGTCTCCGAGATTAATAGCGTTTAATCCCTGAAAGAACAAAACATTTTACTACACAAACTCCCTAGAAAATGCGGTTTTTGTTGTTCACTCACATCACAAGTCACAAGCAAAAAAGCTACCTTATTTGTCAAAGCGATGATACAAGCAGTAGAGGAGCCTTGGGCTCTGGTTTGAGAATGAGCTTTCTCTAACACCAACAACGGGTCGATAGAAGAAGCTTTACCTTTAGCCTGCTCTCGAATAGCTGAAACTGAATAAGACATCAGCTCACGAGAAAACAGACCCGCGTTAACACCAACTTCTGCCCAACCGCCAACGCCATCTGCTACTCCAATCGCTTGTTCTTCTTCGCAGATAAAGTGTGCGTCTTCTCCTCCAGTTGCTTCCTTCTCAGGATGTGGGAGATAACACGAACCCGACACTAGCTTCAAGCTCCTGCTCAAAACACACATACACGGTAAAATCAAAACTTTGAATCATCTTTAAGTAGCAAAAAGACTTAAAAAGTGTGAAGAAAAAACTTACTTAAGAGATGTGATAGTTGGTGGTGAACCTGAAAGTTCAGTGTCTTGAGAACCACCGTTGAGCTCATGAGCAGGTCCTACCGAGAAGCAAGCAATGGAGGATGTATGAACACTCTTCGACAACGGTGCAAAGAGTGCACGAGTCTTCTCTAGGGGATTAACGGCAGAGTAACGGCAAACCAAACGGTTCTTCATTCCTTCTCTCTTTCCTCCAAGTCTCATGCTAGCAGCTACACAAGTGAAGCTAACAGCACCACTTGAACGCTTCGTAGTGAAGTCTAAACCATTTGAACAAGTTGTAATCAAATCATCCAAGCAAGCGTCGCCGAAAACCGGCAAAGAACCAGAAGCAGCCATGGCTTGTCTCCTCCTTCCGGGTAGATGAAACCGGGAGCTATCAGAAAAGAGTCTCCTTTCGCCGGAAATGGAGAAGAAGCTCTTGCTTTTCCCAGCTACGATTCTTTGAATCCCAAATTGAGAAACAGGGTTTAATCTCGATAGAGCAGTCGCTGACATCTGAATCAAGCAGAAAAAACAACCGTTGCTATAATTACACTATATAAATCAACCATGAATCTTAGAGACTGTAATCGATAGAATTGAACGAAACTACACCAATTAAACAGAACCAGATTCAAATACATGGAAATAAATACAATAAACCATTACCGGATTCTTCAACGTTCAGGGCTTCTTCACGTACCTTAATGCTGAAATTAGGTTTGACAATTGAAAAAGTGGAAGCAAAACAAGGAGAAGAGAAGAAAATATAGAAAAATCTCCAGTTTGCTACCAAACCTCCGTAAATTGCATCAGCCGTTGAGGGCGAAATCGGAATTTTAAAACGGCAAAGTTTTGTTTGTTCGTGTTGTTCACTTCCCGGTCGGAAAATGTCCAGCTGGTCTTTCGGGATTTTAGGATAAAAATATTATTTACAAAATAATCCCTAGACTCGATATCAGAGGCCCAATCTAGCTTTGTAAACTTGAATTCCTCATACTAATGGGCTTACAATTATATATTGCATCACACACTTTTATGGAGTAATTAACAGTTTCATTATATACAGTTGATATACGTAATTTTGGTAACATTTACATTGCTGTGATGATGTTTTTTAATCAAAAATTAAGCCTGATATGTATGTAAACCAAGGAACGTTTCAGACTCTATGATACCCTAACATGGCACTTTTTGGTTGAAAATGAGTGAGTGAAAACATGAATGAAAACATGATAATCAAGGATAAATGAATGAAAACATGATAAACATGTTCACCTCGGGGCATCCAAATGCTATCAAATCATAGTCTCATGTGTAGACAAGATCAACTTGTTTATTTGATGCCATCAAGTCTAACTGTGCATCAACTCCGTAAGGAGCTACAATGATTTTCACATCAGGATGCTCCACTTTCATAGCCTGATGAGATGCACAAATAACATTTACTAAGAAAAGATGATTCTTAGCAAAAAAGAAGAGAAGATAAGAGAAGATATACCTTTATAAAGACATTTACCATGAGAGGCATAATGTATATAGCCCTTTGATATTGTTTATCAGCGCATTCAAACACAAGGATGAGATTCTCTCGTTTAATAGTTGACTTTCCTTGTGGTTTCAGCTAATAGTTTCCCGATAAAATTTGACTAATGTAATGGAAATCAGAAAGGTAATGAACTAATGATCTTGAAAAAAAAAGCGATAGTGCAAATAAAGTTCAAATCAAATGTAGAATTCCTTTTTTGTAGTGAGTAATGTGTTTGATTTTCATTATGAATGCTGCATGTTCTAGCTTGGAGGCACGCACTTTCTTGGGTTGAATAGTCATGAGGGGAGAAACCAAATACATAAAGGTCAGAAATCAAGAAGAACGGGTAGTCCTTATGAATATTGGTCTCAAATACATAAAAAAAAATTTCACACATGGTAGAAACCACAACTTCTTGAGTTGAATAGTCATGATAATTCCATCACTATTGTGGACCTACGACGCAACTGAAACATCAAAATCCAAAATCAATCCACTGGTGTCAAGTCGGTTGGTAGTATACTTCAAAATGATCTGGCCTAATTTAGACCATTTTTAGTTGTACAAAAATATCCCAACAGTTCACTTTTGGGAGAAGTCAAGGCAATCTCATCTACGAATTTTTCCCATTAATGCTAAAAACCGATACAGCGTTCTAAGACTACAAACAGCACACAAATGATAGAGGTTTCACATGGAACTTATACTCATTGAGACATCATCATTACTAGACCAAGATTTTGTAGTCTAATGATTTGTAAATTGTAACAGCTCCACCGTTAGTTCAACAACTCGGTTTCAAATTCAAAATAATTTCTGTTCTTGTTGGGAGGAGCTTTATGTACTTAAAAAACCCACTTGGGGTAATAACAAACACTAGAGCTTTCTCTAATACAAGATGCCAAAAGATCTAAACCTTATACATTACCTTAAAACTATATATATATATATATATATATACTACACTCTTCTCCTACGTTCACATCTCTTGTCTCTCTTACGAACTTCTACCAATGTCTTTGCCTGAAAACTCCCCATTCCCAAACACATCGATTCCGCCGCCACCTCCGATCGAAGTCAACAGAGCAGACAATCCGCCACCGGGATTACCACCATTCCCAACAGCTCTTCCCAACCCGAGAAAATCGAGTGTCGTCTGTTTCGGACCAAACACCGAAGAGTTCCCCATCATGAGCTCTTTCAGACCTGATCCACTACCACCGCTGCTACAAGGCAGCCCCAGTCCAAGACCGGAAGCCGCGTCGTGACTGCTAAGTTCCATAGATGACGAAGTAGTTGAGACTATCCCTAACCCGCGGAGCAACGAGCCTCCTGAGCCTGTGGAACCCATCTGAGCAGCTTTTTGGAGCAATGCGGTTGCTGACATTGCCGGTTGAGGAGGCAGAGGTGTTAAGAAATGCGGCGGATGATGGTCTTGCATTGTCGTTGGTCCGAACAAAGAAGGATTCGTGGAGAGACAGAGAGAGATGGGCTCTATTGAGGAAGATGGTGCGAATAGACTTGGGGAAGGAGTTGAAGAAGCATATAAACTAGGCGAAGCTGAAGATGATACAAACAAGCCTGCGTATCCGCTGTTGTTGTTGTTGCTGTGGTCGTTGCTTAGAGACGATGAGCTCACATTGAAACCGATTGTTCTTTGAGCTTCCTCGATGATATCTTCATGAGGGTTGTTTTCTGGAGATTCTGCTCACAAATAAACAGAGTGATGATTGGTCATTAGACTCATTAGTCATTACATAAAGTTTGAGACTTTATATCTCAAAAAATGTTTTTAAAAGAAAACAACAACCAGTTGTGAGTTTTTTATTTGATCTTATGGAATTGGCTAATGGAAGACGACGAACAAGAGCAGAAATATAACGGCGCTACAGACAAAACCAACTAAATTTCAATATTACCGAACATTAAATCTACATTTTCTCAGACTTGTTCCATTTTCGGTTGAAGGCGTGAGAATTGTTGCATGTGTCTACAAATCCTTAAGTCCTTAAAGCAGAGAGTTTGTGAAAATGTACCTGAACAATTCCGTATTGATAAAACCGGGGAAGATACGATTTTGGCAGGCTCAGGCTCAACAGATGGTGGAGGTAAAGTCACCGACGGTGGAGAAGGAGGCTGCGGTGGTGGAGGAGGAGAATTAACGGCGGCTTGAGATTTCTGAGCAGGTTCTGTGTTCTTCCTTTCTGGATAAAGTTTCTTGCTTTGAGTATGATTCTTCGCACTCTCTTCAGCCAACGCATCACAGAAAGCTCTGTGCGTTATGAAGCTATCTCTCCTGTAACAAAAACACCAAATCCACAAATTCAGTAAGAAAAGATCAAAACTTTGTAGCTTTTAAACAACAGCTCAAAAAATCGCACACCTAGAAAACAGAGTTCCACAATCGCATCGATACTCTTTGGTTCCGCAAATCTTCGAATGAGCTTTCCAATCTGACTGAACAGCGTACTTCTTCGAACATTTCTCACACTTCCATTTCTTCTCGCCGTGTTTCCGACAAAAGTGTTTCTTAATTCCGGTAAGATCTCCTAGAGCGCGTGACGGGTCGTTATGGACGCAGCCCGCCACTGGACAAACGTAGACCTTCTTCCTCACTTCTTTACTCGATCTCTGCCTGAGTTTCCACGGTAGATTGTGGCCTCGACGATGGAGCTGGAGATTCTGGTCTCGTTGAAAGCCCTTGTTGCAGATTTCGCAGACAAATCGATTCGTCGCCATCAGAGTTTTAGGCGACAAGGCTATCACTTCCGCGTCTGGATCTGAATCAAATCAAACACCCCAAAACCCAAAAGACAAGAATCAGTGCAAAACGAAACATAATTTTCAAAAATGAAAAAAAAAAGTTTGGGTTTTTGAAAGTACCAGGCATTCCGGGAAGGTTTCGCTTCTTCTTCCCGGCAGGTTTTGGAGGTGGGTTTTGGTTTCCGGTCGACGAGACGCTTGCATCGCCGGAAACCGTAGAGGAGTTATCTAAATCAACCGGCATGTGTGAAGAAACAAAATTTCTACCTTTCTTCTTCTTCTCTCTCTCTCCTCCTACTCCTCTGTTTACTATCTCTCTCTCTTCTTCAGCTACCAGTCAATCTGCTTTTCGTAAAAACCTCTTTTTTTTCCCTTTTCCGCCACCAAACTTTTCTGATAACTCTCTCTGACCTCTCTTCTCCAAAAGATTTTTTAAAACAAAAGAAAAAAAAAAATCTAAAACTTCTTTACCCAAGAAATATCCTAATCATTTAACCCAGAACTCTCTCCACACGCTTCCTCCATCCACCGATCTGATCCAACGGCCGAGATTTCGCCGGAGATGTTTATCCTTAGTTCCTCCGGCTTCCTGAAAGAAATGATTTTGCTAGTTTTTCTCGCAATCACCGAAGAAAAATAAGGCGGCTTGCGAGACTTCGTGTGAAAGCTTTCAACTCTTTTTTTTGTTTTCTTCGGTTTGTCCGAGACAAAGGAGCCTTCGGTTTCTTCTTCTTTCTCTTTCTCTCAAGACAATTATACTAATTTTCTTTTCTTCTCAACTTTTCAGCATTTTTTAATTTTTCTTTTACCAACATTTTTTTTTATAATTGTGTCGACTTCCAAGTTCCAAGTTTGTAATAAATCTGATTTTTGGATTCCCATGCAAAAGATAAATAAAATAATCTCTACTTCTGTCCGATTTTTACTTTTTAAAACTGAAAACTGTGTAAAAAGTAAAGCACCAAACTTGAGGCAGCGTAGTAAAAAGTAGGCTGTTAATGTTTTCACCTTTTTATTAAAAGGAAAATATCAGAGACGAAATGGCATGTGAATAGATGCAGTGCCCAATGAATGCAATTTCAGAATTTTTATTATTTTTGTATTGTACATGTTACGTAATCAACTGACCAAGTATTTAATACAGTATTCGTCTATTACCAGAAATTTTCTAATATGCGTTATTTTTCTTTTTGGGTTTTCAGTGTAATTTTGTTGTTTAAAACAAAGTTCGATTTATGTTCTTACAAAACTAGTGAGTTACTGTCACTGTCCTAAGCCGGAGACAATTACCATTCTGTTGTCGGACCGTAAAATAAATTCAATTTTGTTGTTGAACTAATAACAACTCCACGAAAATTAAAACAACTTTTTTACTGTGGGTTTCGTCGTGTAGCGAAATGTTCGAAACCGCATTTTGTTTTGTTCTTTCTGCGTATTTCTGATTAACGGAACTATAACCCATTTAATGCTATGTTCGTCTGATTTTGTTGACTTTGACCTTTTGGTATTATTCGTTCAGCTTTTGTTTTAACATTGCCTTGTAGGCGTTTCAGACGCTCAGATGCTGCCACGTGCAAATGGCTTTCTTATTTGCATCCGTTGGATAAACATGACGACGACAGGTGGAAGAAAAAAACACAGACCAAGCTTGGATTTCTGCGAACTGTTACACCGCCACACCTCCTTAATATTTTCTTTTATGTAAAAGTTAAAACAAAAGTCGGAGCAAAATTAAATGTATTTTTAACGCTATGCAAAAACATATACAGTAAAAAACAAATTTCAGAATATTTTGGTTTTTCGTGTGGAGGAATTCTGTTACACTAGTACAATAGGAGTGGTAGCTAGTGAAGATAACATTTCAAAACATTACTTTTACAATTCATCATGTAGTATAATTTTCAAAGCTACTTATTCTGCCTGGTTATTTTTTTTTTTTAGATAATTCCAGAAAAGAAATACTAAAAATCAACCAAATTCTACAAAATTCAACCATTAACAAATTCTGATTATACAGTTAAGACAAAAAATGATTTTTGGATTGTAAACTATTAAGTTTTAAAATGACAAATTATTGTAAAAATAGAAAGAGCAAAACTTAGTTGTGATAATAAGGTTCATTAGATGGCTTGTCGTGTTAAGAAACAATGTCTTAAGATGGAGACCTGGTTAAGCATAGTAGAAAGCCAGGTAATGTTCCTTTTATATATGTCCATTAAAACTAGCATTTGACTTTAGAAATATTGAAATTAAACAATTCGGGACCCTTTTCCATTGCTTTTTATCTTGGTAGTTTCAAAGGAAGAATTATTTAGGCTTCACATGGGTCCCTCCATAAACACACTGTTCTGCCAGCTTACAAATTCCTTAACATATGGTCCAAAAAACAGTTCCAACCACTAGTTTCATCATTCCATTCATCTAAATAAGCGAATTATCATGATAATCTTGAATAGTTGTATTGTTGTTTGTTGATACAAAATACTTTGATCATCCGTACATATTGATTACACATATCTACAACGGAGGAAACAGGAATTGTATTACATCCAGAGATATCAAGATGTTAATCAGTGTAAAGGAATTAAAATGGATGACTATTGATTTTATTTGGGCCGAAGCATTTATAATCTTCGAACTGGTTCCAATCCATCAATAGTTTAGGGGCTTTCGGATGATTTTTTTCCTAATCTGATTTATGTTTTATTTATGGGATAATGTAATTTTTTTTTTTTTTGGGGTCAACAATGTAAATAATTTTATAACCGGAAAAGATATTATAAAACCGATAATCAAAACATCGAAAATAATTTACGGGAAATATATATTTTCCAGATAATTCTAAAAGTTAAAGCATGCAAAAACAATCCACTACAGTAAACAACAGCTTGGCCAAAAATCTTCATTATCCGGATGAACGTTTACGCGTGTAAAATTCAGATTTTTTGAAAATTGCGTGTATGTATGATATTTTTGGTTGGACCAATTATTGAAAAGGACAAGGCTGACTCTGGTATTTAATGAGTAGCCCCATGGGAGTTATGTTCTTTTACCCTAAGTTTTATTTTACATATTATGTCTACAGAGAACAATGATTCAAGTTGTTTGTCCAAAAATGCACACATAAATAAGCTTTTGGAATTACGAAATCACGAATCCAAAATAAGAGGGCAACCAAAGACCAAACACTCCAGTGAAACAAGTTTTTTTCTTCTTTTTCTTTTGGATAAATCGATAAACGAATCCTAAAGACGAGGGCAAACCGAGACCAAGCAACTAAAAACTGAAAACATTTTAAAAAACTAAAAACTAAAAAATTGATTTTCAGAAAATGCATACATGAAAACCAAGTCTTGTGTGTTATCGACCGAGCGCCGACAAGTATTGCTACATATGCTATATTTATTTCATATTCTGTCCAATATTTATTCCACTGTTTTCATGTATGCATGTATAGAATACGACGTTAATTATTCTCATTCTCAAGAACACAAGGCTAATTAAGGACGAGATTATAGAAGAACCCAAACGACGTTCGAAATAAAACAGCCTAAAACAAAGGAGAACCACAAAATATCAATTGGAAGACCTTAAAAAACAATTAAACTCGGAAGATAACAAGTTTTTGAATCACAAATTTACCAAAACAAACAAAAATCAACAAGAGGGTTGATGAATTATAGTCTTCGAACCATTTGTGGATTTCATACAGTCAATCGCCCATAGGACAAAAGAGAAACAGAAGAAGAGGAGAAATCGAAGGAGCGGAAAGTGTATGAGGAAGCTGTGTCCGAACATAGACAAAGACGATGGTTTGGAGACGGTTTTGGAAGTTCCGATACCGGAGGAGATGTTTTCCGGTATGGGTAACAACGCCGCGCTTAGGTGGCAGAATATGATGACGTGGATGAAAGCTCAAACCTCTGATAAATGGTCACAACCGATTATCGCCGCTCGTATCAACGAGCTCCGTTTTCTTCTCTATCTCGTTGGCTCTCCTCTTATACCTCTACAGGTCCAAGTCGGCCACTCCGTTCATAAGCCTGTCAAAGATTCCTCCATTGTAAGTAATTGTCTATTAAGCCTCTGTTTTGATATAATTGATACGATCGATTTGATTCACAAATCGGTTGCAGCAAGCTTCGACGGCGAAATATATAGTGCAGCAGTACATAGCGGCAACGGGAGGACCGGCGGCGTTAAATGCCGTGAACAGTATGTGCGTCACCGGACAAGTGAAGATGACGGCGTCGGAGTTTCATCAGGGAGATGAGTCCGGCACGAATCTTAAGAGCAACGATGAGATGGGTGGTTTCGTTCTGTGGCAGAAGGATCCAGATCTTTGGTGTCTGGAGCTCGTCGTCTCCGGATGTAAAGTCATATGTGGAAGCAACGGTCGGATTTCATGGCGACATTCCTCGAACCAGCAAACGCCGGCGTCTACTGGAACGCCCAGACCTCTCCGTCGGTTTTTACAGGTACCATTTCTGTTATCGAAAATTTTGATGTGTAGATTTAATTTCGGTTATGTTGAACCGTTGGTTTATTATTACTAGGGGTTAGATCCTCGATCGACGGCGAATCTGTTCCTTGACGCGACGTGCATCGGAGAGAAGATAATCAACGGCGAGGATTGCTTTATCTTGAAACTGGAGACGAGTCCGGCGGTTCGAGAGGCTCAGAGCGGTCCGGATTTCGAGATCATTCACCATACTATTTGGGGTTATTTCAGCCAAAGATCGGGGCTACTGATTCAGTTCGAGGACTCGCGGCTTCTGAGAATGCGGACGAAGGACGACGATGACGTTTTCTGGGAGACTAGCGCCGAATCGGTGATGGATGATTACCGGTATGTGGATAATGTGAACATCGCTCACGGCGGGAAAACGTCTGTTACGGTTTTCCGGTACGGTGAAGCGTCGGCGAATCATCGGAGACAGATGACGGAGAAATGGCGGATCGAAGAAGTTGATTTCAATGTTTGGGGTCTCTCGGTCGATCATTTTCTTCCGCTGGCCAATTTGCAGATCGGAAAATGATCTTTGTTATCATCATTTGTCATATACATTTTCTCCGATTTCATTCATTTTTGTTAATTTTTGATATATTAATTGCGTCGATGCTTTTAAAGACTCTCTTGACTCCTCAGTTTTGAATCCCTACAAGAAACGTAGTATCGAACTTGTATAAATATAGACAACATGAATTTTGGATCCATACAAGCACACAAATGTTGTTTAAGGTTCTTTATAAATATCAAATCTCGTGTCTAGTGGACCTGCTAAACTGATTTCAATCAAAATTTGTATGAATGTTTCTGAGCAGGAACTATTGTATTTAGATTTACAATACTTCTACCAATTGTGTTTTTTTTCCCCTGATAGTGTTTGCTTTTTCTTGAGAATAGTTTAGCTCTTGCTTAGCAGTAAATAAAATCCTTTTTATGGATCTTAAATCTCACATTGGATATCAATTAGGCAATTACCGACAGAAAAAGAAAAAAAAAAAACTGCCCATTTCAGGTGAATACAGTTACTTTTAAAGTTTTAATAAAATAAACGGATTTAAAATAACAATACATATAATTTTTTTTGTTATTTTCGGTTAGATGAATGATGTCTAATTATAATTAGGGAGTTTGTATTATAATCAAACTAATTTCTCCTCTTTCTCATTGCTCAAAGTGCTATTAGGTGTGATCTTACGCAGTCTTATGTGACTAGTACTCATCCTGGTTGGTTAAACAACATTTTTGAAAGTGAGAAAGCTTTTCCCTCTGTTTGAGCAGGTTTTTTTGGGTGTGGTCTTTTGGAGTTGGTTTCCGTTGATGCCTTTGGTTTTTACCATTTTTCTTCTGCGTCTTTTGTGGACTGTGGTGTACAAAGATTGTGGAGAGGGCTGTTATTAGAGCCAGAGGAAGGTCATGGCTACTACGAAGGATGCAGAATCTGGAGGCGAGTTGAGCCAGAGGAAGGTCATGGCTACTACGAAAGGCGTAGGCGTTCAAGCCATTACGACCGTGAGGAGGAACAAGGTGGTGGTGACCAAAACCGTTATAATCAGTACGGTGACCGTTATGATCGAGGGGAGGAAGAAAAATACCGTTATGATGATCGTGAGTACAAGCGTTCAGAGCGTTCCAAGTCGCGTGAGTATTGATCTCATCGCTGACGTTATTTTCTTCTGTAGCGATATAACAATAAAATCTCTCAAACTTTGTGTGTGTGTGTGTGTAATGATGATGCTTGTGTGAATCTCGTGATTACATTTGTTTTATTTTTCGTCCGACATTTTTTTCCTTAAAAATAAACAAAAGCATTTAGCATTTTACATAGACAACAAAATTCAGTCTATTCCAATAAATGACCAAAATTGTAAATGGGAGGGAAAAGGTAGGGGGTAAAAGTGTCATCTCAATCTTCCCGCCCATAGGCGCTACTTCCAATCAATAAAAAATCGGAAATAAGCGAAAGTGTGAAAAGCGTCGTTTCATTATACCCTCGTTTTGAATTCGAGTAAGCGACGGAGGCTGTTCAGTAATTTCTCCCGCCGTTTGTTTTTTTTCTACCGGAATTTCGTCCTTCTCCGATGGTTAGTCTGCGCTCTAAGAAAGCCACCACGTAAGTCTCTCACATTTGCTTGTTTTGTTTCCTTCTTCTCGGTATTGTTTTCCGGCGATTTTCTGGCCACCTAACAGTAACACCCTCGAAATTGCTCGCTGTTTTTGGGGGTTTTTCCCTGTCTGCGTAATATTGCTTGTACTTTTTGTGTTTCTGTTCTGAAATCATTAGCATCTCTGTTGATTTTTCGTTTGTCAATTTATTTTCTGATTCTTAGGGCTTCGGAAATGGTCGTCGACGGAAAAACGGAGAAAGATGCCTCTGGCAATTCACCGAATTCTGTTCTCAGTGAAGAGGTTTGTTCTGGGTTTTACTATTTCCCCTCATTTCCTGTCATTTATACGCTTTTTTCGGTCGTGTGGGATATGCTCACGAGCAAACTTACAATAATTAATAGAAAAAGTTTGCTGGATCTTTTCCTTTTAGGAATGTGAATCTTTCTGTGTTTTGGATTTGGTTCTGCAAATGGGTATTGTTTTCACTATCTGATTTGTCCTTGTCTTTTGACTCTGAAGGAAAACTGTGATGAAAAAGCTGCTACTGTTGTAAAGGAAGATATACTTGAAGCCAAAAACGGAGATTCATCTCTTATTTCTGAAGTCATGGCTCAGGAAGAAGAGCAGCTGCTCAAAATTCGGGAAGATGAAGAGAAAGCAAAATGTGCTGAGTCTGGTGAAGCTCCTGATTTGAATGACACCCAGTTTAATAAACTGGATGAGCTCTTGACGCAAACCCAACTGTACTCTGAGTTTCTCCTTGAGAAAATGGAGGATATCACAAAAGTAATCTTCTCATCTTCTTTTTACCTTCCTTTTTTTTGAATGAGAGACATTGTTTCTTAATTGGGGACTTGTGTTTTGCTAGAATGGGATTGAAGGTGAGAGCCAAAAGGCCGAGCCCCAGAAGAGTGGTCGTGGACGCAAGAGAAAGGCTACATCCCAGTGCAACACAGTCAGTTCCATCTATAAACTCTATCTACCATGATCTCAAATAGATTTTGTGATATCTGCTTGTTTGGAAAATCAACTGACTTAGATGTAACTGTATGCTTTGTTTTTTTCTTCAGTCTAAGGCAAAGAGAGCTGTTGCTGCTATGATTTCAAGATCTAAAGAAGGTGACGAAACTCCCAACTCAGATCTGACAGAGGAAGAAAGAGTCTTGAAAGAGCAGAGCGAACTTGTTCCTCTTCTGACGGGTGGAAAGTTAAAGTCCTATCAGCTCAAAGGTGTCAAATGGCTGATATCATTGTGGCAAAATGGCTTGAATGGGATATTAGCTGATCAAATGGGACTTGGAAAGACAATTCAAACGATTGGTTTTCTATCACATCTGAAAGGAAATGGGTTGGATGGTCCATATCTTGTAATTGCTCCACTGTCTACTCTTTCAAATTGGATGAATGAGATTGCTAGGTACTCTCTTGACTATTTGTGTTTATAGAGATGTCAAGCTTTCAGTTCTTTTTCAATTTCTTTCCCTTTGTTGATAGGTTCACGCCCTCCATTAATGCAATCATCTACCATGGAAATCAGAAAGAAAGGGATGAACTCAGGAGGAAGCACATGCCCAAAACTGTCGGTCCGAAGTTCCCAATAGTTATCACTTCTTATGAGGTTGCTATGAATGATGCTAAAAGAAGTCTGCGGCACTATCCATGGAAATATGTTGTGATTGATGAGGTAATTTTCCAGCTTGTTTAATGTCATAGGCACACGAGTTTGCATCATCTTGATGGTCCTTCTTAACTTATGAATTTGTTCTATGTATTTTATAGGGCCACAGGTTGAAAAACCACAAGTGTAAATTGCTGAGGGAACTAAGATACTTGAAAATGGAGAACAAACTTCTGCTGACAGGAACACCTCTGCAAAATAATTTGTCTGAGCTTTGGTCACTGTTGAATTTTATTCTGCCTGACATCTTTGCTTCACATGATGAATTTGAATCATGGTACAAACATCCTTCTTTTCTACTATTATCCTTAAGACCTTAACCAGTATATTGTCTTTTGTTTGCTCTTTACAGAGAAACTGGTGGAATCTTTTTGACATTTATACATTTATCCCTTCTTAAGTATCAACTGATAGAGTAAATCTTTGACAGGTTTGATTTTTCTGGAAAGAACAAAAATGAAGCGACTAAGGAAGAAGGAGAAGAGAAAAGAAGAGCTCAAGTATGAACAATTTTGGTTAATTTTAGTAGATTTCTTTGTTTGTGTACCTACGATATATCTCATGGGAAGAGTAAATTTTTGTCTAGGTTGTTGGGAAACTTCATGGTATACTGCGACCATTCATCCTTCGAAGAATGAAGTGTGATGTTGAGCTCTTGCTTCCAAGGAAAAAGGAAATTATTCTTTATGCTACGATGACGGCTCATCAGAAAAAGTTCCAGGAACATCTTGTGAATCGCACGTTGGAAGCACACCTTGGAGAGAATGCTGTCCGAGGTATATGATCTTTCGTGTTTTTATGCTTTACGGTTAATTACATCATTTTCTGCATTGCTTTGTTAATCCCTTATACTTCATGTCAAGGCTGGAAGGGAAAGCTTAACAATCTGTTTGTTCAACTTCGGAAGAACTGCAACCATCCTGACCTTCTTGTGGGGCAAATAGATGGTTCATGTAAGTCTGTTTGCTTTTGTTTTTGACAAAAACTCTGTGAAAAAATTCTGCTGTACTGATTTGTCTAATTGTTCCTTTTCTTGGCAGATCTCTATCCTCCTATTGAAGATATTGTTGGACAGTGCGGTAAATTCCGCTTATTGGAGAGATTGCTTGTTCGGTTATTTGCCAAAAATCACAGAGTATATTCCACAAACCTTTGGCTCGTAGCTCGTTTCCCTTGAGAACTGCTCTGATCCGTTTTTGATGAACAGGTTCTAATCTTCTCCCAGTGGACAAAACTTCTAGACATTATGGACTACTACTTCAGTGAGAAGGGGTTTGAGGTTTGCAGAATTGATGGCCAGGTGAAGCTGGAAGAAAGGAGAAGACAGGTATCTCCTGATGCTGCTTTTGCGTTTAAACAATATATTCTGACCAATATCATAACCACAATCCCTCTCTGTAATGAATTGATAGATCCAAGAGTTCAATGATGAGAAGAGCAGCCTTAGAATATTTCTTCTCAGTACAAGAGCTGGAGGACTCGGAATCAATCTTACTGCTGCTGATACATGCATCCTCTACGACAGCGACTGGGTAATCAAATCATTTGATTTTCTAAGAAATTACTTCCTGGCCTTACCACTTTCAGCTGGTCTGTAACTGTGTTTTGTCTGATCTCCAGAACCCTCAAATGGACTTGCAAGCCATGGACAGATGCCACAGAATCGGTCAGACAAAACCTGTTCATGTTTACAGGCTTGCGACGGCTCAGTCAATAGAGGTAAAAAAAAAACTCTTTTTCATGTTTTCATGAATCAACTTCTACTCCAAGCTGCCTCTTGAGACTAGTTTATGGGATTTTCAACAGGGCCGGATTCTGAAACGAGCGTACAGTAAGCTCAAGCTGGAACATGTGGTTATTGGCAAAGGTCAGTTTCATCAAGAACGTTCCAAGTCTTCAGCATCACTAGAGGTTTCATTTCTTTCCTTTTCTTGTATTGATTGAAGTTTAAGAAAAGCATCATCTTTTAGTAAAAGCTTGAAAACCAAATGCACACACAGGAGGATGACATAATGGCGTTGCTTAAGGACGATGAAACCGCTGAAGATAAACTGATACAAACCGATATAAGCGAAGAGGATCTTGACCGGTTGCTTGACCGGAGTGACCTGATGATTACTACACCGGGAGAGACGGAACCAGAAGCTGGTGAAGCTTTTCCAGTGAAGGGTCCTGGTTGGGAAGTGGTCCTGCCTAGTTCTGCTGGAGGGATGCTTTCTTCCCTCAACAGTTGAAACCACTTCGGTGTGTTTTTTTTTGGCTGCAAGGGTTTTATCATTAGAGGGCCTTCAGAAGTTTTTTTGTAAGTTAAGAAAACTCTAGAAACCTTGAAAACCTTTAGAGCTCTCATGTGATGAAAACAATTGGCCCTCTGCTTTTGCAATTGCGGATATGAATATGAATTATGGATACTATTATTTTTGTTTTATTTATGTTTTAGCGAATTTTGGCAGTTGCAATCTTGATCATGTACGTTTTTAGGATCTGGGCTTTTGTATAAACTATAAAGGATCAAGCCTAACCGATTATTAGCGAAATAAAAGTTCAAAAAGCTGAAACAAGAGTTAAATAATCTCCGTTGCCGGGAATCGAACCCGGGTCTCCTGGGTGAAAGCCAGATATCCTAACCGCTGGACGACAACGGATTTGATGCTGATGAAGTTCGTTAATATATTCTGTACGTAGGTTGTTTTCCTTCGCACGATACGCCGACAAAGAATGCACCAAACAATTGGGTAAGTACGTATCGGGGTGGTATTGACAATTTGACCATTACAAGTGCCTAATTTTGGGGGGTTTTAGTTCCCTAAGCAAACCGGTTTAGCCGTAATTATCATTTGAGAGTGAGGGTACGCAAGGAATTTAAGAAAAGTCATCGTTTTCCATTTCTCTTTTTTAAGCACCTCGGTGGCTCTCCTCACTCCGTTCGCGTCCTCTTCTTAAGGGAAGTTCTGAGGGAAAACAAAAACTCAATTTCGTCTTCATTTCTACGGATTTACATACAACTGATTCGCTTGTGTATTGAAGAAGAAGATGTGGCGCTGCGTCTCTCGTAGCCTTCGAGTTCCTTCTTCAAGGACCTCACTCTCTGGATCTCGGATTTCTAGACTCTTCTCCACCGGTTCGGTATGATCCTCTTCCTTCTCCTTCCGTTTGTTAATATTCCATTTCGATCGTATGAAGATACGTGCGAATCTCGAGAATACGGCCTCTGGTTTATCTAGGAATCATAGTTTTTTTCCGTCATTTGATCTGTTAGTACTCGAGGAAATGTTGGAATCGGAGAAAATCCTCCTTCCGATGAGTTTTAGCTCTGATTTTGATCGGCTCGCGATTGTAATTTCGAAATTCCGTTGTGTTTATTTCTCTCCCTGATGATTGTGTTGCAGACTGGTGGCTACACGATAGTGGATCACACCTATGATGCGGTGGTAGTGGGAGCTGGTGGTGCTGGGCTAAGGGCGGCGATTGGATTATCGGAGCATGGCTTCAACACCGCTTGCATTACCAAGCTTTTCCCCACGCGGTCACATACCGTCGCTGCTCAGGTTTTTTGCTTACCAACCTCTGTCTACCATCGATTTTAATGGAGTTTGGTTTCTCTGAGATTAATTGTTATGATGTGGGAATCTGTGAAGGGTGGTATCAACGCTGCGCTGGGAAACATGTCTGAGGATGACTGGAGATGGCACATGTATGATACTGTGAAAGGAAGTGACTGGCTAGGTAATTTTGCTCTCTATTTTTGGTGAATTGATCTTGCTAGTTGTGGTTTTTGTTCTGTATGCATGATTGAGTTTCAATTCTTGTTTATCTCTTTGTGTAGGTGATCAAGATGCTATCCAGTATATGTGCAGAGAGGCACCAAAAGCTGTGATTGAACTTGAGAATTACGGTCTGCCGTTTTCTCGTACTGAAGAGGGGAAAATCTACCAGCGTGCATTTGGTGGTCAGAGTCTTGACTTTGGAAAAGGTGAGCTGCTAGTCTTGCTAGCTTTTTATGCTCTTATTTACTTTTGTTTTAGTAGACTTCTCATGTTGGCTTTCTTATTATTCTATCATCAGGTGGTCAGGCCTATCGTTGTGCTTGTGCTGCGGATCGGACTGGGCATGCTCTGTTGCATACCCTCTATGGACAAGCTATGAAGCATAACACCCAGTTCTTTGTTGAATACTTTGCTTTGGATTTGATCATGGCTAGTGACGGTAAGTTTATGACAGTTTCTCTCCTTTTACTGTCGCTTATGTTGGTATTTGCCTGTTTGGTGTAGGACATGTGCCTTTGAAGTTAATACAACATGTTATTTGATATGCAGGCACTTGCCAGGGTGTAATTGCACTTAACATGGAGGATGGAACATTGCATCGTTTCCGCTCTGCACAGACAATTTTGGCCACCGGGGTGAGTCAGTTTTGAGTTTTTGTTTTTATATATGGAACAGATTTTCCTAAAAGTGCGAATATACTCACCTGATGTTTTTCCAGGGGTATGGCAGAGCATACTTCTCTGCAACCTCAGCACATACATGCACAGGAGATGGCAATGCCATGGTTGCACGAGCTGGTCTTCCACTTCAGGTTCCCCACCTTTTTCGCTGTAAAATAAATGGTGTATAATGTAATTGTCTGTCATTTGTATGCTAATAATATTATAATTGTCCAATATTTTATGCAGGACTTGGAGTTTGTTCAATTCCATCCAACTGGTATATACGGGGCCGGATGTCTCATCACTGAAGGTAAGCATCATGTCCTCTCATACTCTAATCTACTTGCAATATAAGTTTTAATGTGTTTTGTGACATTTGCGATTGGTGGTGTTTGTTCATTATACAATTGCAGGATCTCGAGGTGAAGGTGGTATCCTTAGAAACAGTGAAGGTGAGCGTTTTATGGAACGATATGCTCCCACAGCCAAAGATCTTGCATCAAGAGACGTTGTCTCCAGATCTATGACTATGGAGATCAGGGAAGGTCGTGGTGTAGGTATGCACCCCTTCAAACTGGTTTTAATTTTTGGAGCAAACCGTCATTACGTGCCTTTGAGGGTGTATCAATGCTTGATTTTGTGATCTGTCTAGTTTTATTCTCATCTTGGGTAACTGTGACTAAATTGGTCAGGACCGCATAAGGATCATATCTACCTTCATTTGAACCATCTTCCACCAGAAGTTCTAAAGGAAAGGCTGCCTGGAATCTCTGAGACTGCTGCAATCTTTGCTGGTGTTGATGTTACAAAGGAGCCAATTCCAGTCTTGCCCACTGTTCACTATAACATGGGTGGTATCCCAACAAATTACCATGGCGAGGTAAGATTAGGACAAGTTTTTCCGTACAATTTCCATGATAAGATGCATTAGAAGCCTAGGAGTCAAAGTAATTCTTGATGTCACGCAGGTAGTTACAATCAAAGGAGATGATCCAGATGTAGTGGTACCTGGGCTAATGGCTGCAGGGGAGGCAGCTTGTGCCTCGGTTCATGGTGCCAACAGGCTTGGTGCAAATTCTCTGCTCGACATTGTTGTCTTTGGCCGTGCTTGTGCAAATAGGGTTGCAGAGATAAACAAACCAGGTTAGTCTTTTATTGATGTTATATCTCTCTGGAAAGGAACATTTCTCTAAAGGCTTATATTGGGTGCAGGGGCGAAACAAAGACCACTTGAGGCGGATGCAGGGAATAAGACAATCGAATGGCTGGACAGGTTAAGAAACTCAAACGGGTCGCTTCCTACTTCAAAAATCAGGTTGAACATGCAGAAAATTATGCAGAACAATGCAGCTGTCTTCCGCACCCAAGAAACATTGGAAGAAGGTTATAAAACTTTTATCTTTATTTGTACTGGAATTCACCTGCGAAAAGCCAATTGCTTATGAGTATGAAACAATAACAGGTTGTGAGTTGATCGACAAGGCGTGGGAGAGTTTCGGAGATGTCCAGGTTAAGGACAGGAGTTTGATATGGAACTCTGATCTGATAGAGACATTGGAACTGGAGAACCTAATGATAAATGCTTGCATAACAATGCATTCAGCTGAAGCACGAAAGGAAAGCAGAGGAGCACACGCTCGCGAAGATTTCACGGTAAACATGTCATTCCTATTCCTATACATAATGATTATATCCTAGTCCTAAGAACAAACCATAAAAGGTGATAATATTGGTAACGAATGTGCAGAAAAGAGAGGATGATGAATGGATGAAGCATACGTGTGGGTTCTGGGAAGATGAGAAAGTGAGATTGGACTACAGGCCTGTCCACTTGAACACTCTTGATGACGAGATTGAGTCATTCCCTCCCAAAGCTCGCGTCTATTGATTTCGACCCAGCAGCCTGATGCTTTTATTTTTTATGTCTTCTGAAATAAAATGATCAGGAACAGAAAAAGGAGATTTAGGACAAAGACAAAACAACAATACAAAATTATGAGTTTGCTGTTTTCTGATCTGATGGAGGACAAAGGAGTGTTCTTCGTCCTCTAGTTTTTGCATTTATTTGACACCAGAAAGGGGTGAAAAATAAAATAAAAACCTGTCAATTTGTTTGGTATTCATTTCTCTAACCATTTCCTGATACTCTCTCTGGTACTTTGTTTTTACGCCTCTTGGTGATATATCAATTTACAGTATATTATTCTGAATTGTTTTTGGTAATGTTACTTGATAAGTTAATAGGGCTATTATATTAATAAGAATCAAAACTTGAGATCCAATTTTGTCCTTCTGAAAGAAAAGAAATCGGGGTCTGTATTTCCATGTAACAAATCTTGGTCTATACTTTATAGCAATACTTATAGAGTGTGTGCCAATGATGATATCACTTCCACGCCCTCCTCACCGTCTTAAACCTGGTGGCCCAAATTGGAAAAAGAGGATTAGCCATGGAAATGTGAACCAGTCGCATCGCTCAACACGTGCCATATCTCTGACAAACACCTAACCAACTCCTTTCACCGTTTCACCACCTGTCGTTAGAGTTTCACGTGGCGAACACTGGTCAAGACACCGTTGTACTATTATGTCGGAAGACAGAGACGCTTAATTAAGCTTAATCCTGACGTGATTAAATTCGTTAACTCCACCTTCATCAAACTTTCTTTATTCAAAATCCACCACTTAATACACATATGTCATCGCTCATATCAATCCTCTAATACTAATCTCTTTGTGCTTTTTTTTTTTTCTTTAACTTGCAAGAACTAAACCTAGTTTTCTCTATAAATTTAAAGCTTCTAGAGATATCAAAAAGCTGAGAAATGATCAGCGCGTTTAAGTCAATCCGGTCACTGCCTTCAACAACCGTCTCTTTCTTGTCCTCACCGTCTCGATTAGGCCGCAAAGTTGCCCGAGTTAGTTTCGCCACCGCTTCTGACCAGCCAAATATGGATAAAAAACCTGAGAATCCAAACGACAAAACGGGGTTCGTTTCGTCCGCTATATATGTGTAATACTTTCTGATTCATTTGGATTTATTTCTTACGTATATCAATTTTAACTAATGGAGCAGTGACGTGATGTCGCATTCGTTTGGAGAAGGGTACTCGACGAGGTCAGATGAAGAAGGGTTTGGAGGAACCTATGGAGGAAATCAAACCTTTCAAAAGGATAAGGAGGTCCATGAAAATCACCCTGGTAATTAACAACATAATGTTTTCTATTGCATATATTGTTGATATATACAACACAAGTAAATCTCTTGGCCATTTTGACGTATTAAGTAAAGTTAACTTTGTGCGTTTTCGTTTTGGAAGATTACGACAAAACTCAAGGCAGTGAAGCGAAGGAGAAGGAGCGAGCTAGGAACCAGACGTAATCCCCCTGATGAAGAACAATGATTTACTTCGTTTTTTGTTATGCTTTAATAAATCAGACTCGTACGTGCTCTGTATACTCTGGCTGAAGTTTTTTTTGTGGGGAGTTTTTCGACCCAAGTAACTTTCGCCTTTTTTGTGTGTGTTATCCTTTTGTCAGTTTAAGTTATCACTTGTGTAACACTCGCTGCATTAGTTTTTAGTTTTATGTTGATTAATGGGGTTTTCCCTTAGTTTGACCATTGGTGGCCAAAAAATCCATAGTTTTATGCTAATAAAGTGGATCGTCAGATATGAAAACAATGTCTTAGAGAACGTCAGCAATGAATTTTAATCCGGTTTCAGACTTTGGGTGCAAGGCTTCACATTAAAAGCAATGTCACGAAAATTAGTATGATACATAGCTCTTTTGCTTAATGCTAATGGAAGTCAAGTTATTGGATCGACCATATATAGTTTGTGTGCTCGTATCTATGTGAAACAGATTTCAAAAAACTAATGTTATAAAAAATCAACGAAGTCTAATTAGTAGAAAAAGTCGGCGCCGGAGGTTTGAAATTTTCATGTTGTTATCTTGCGGGTCAAGTTAAAAGTTGTAAGAATGGTTTTTAGCAGCGCTTATGCTATTTCACTGGATCTTTAGACCGTCAAAGAAGAATAAACTAGTAAAAAACTCATTACATTTTCCAGATAAATTATAATCGCCAAAATCAGCTGAGTGATTAGCCAAATGACAAGAGTTCCCCTAATCCACTCTAATTGCCTATTCTCGATGAATCGTATCTAAACACAATATTCACATATATCTCCTATTAAATGGCAATAGGCTCGCGGTTAGTCAACGGAGCCAGAAAAGGTCAACTCAACCCGTTAGGAACGAAACAGTCAAAACATATCAATCAATCGACATGGAAATTTACAGTCTCTGCCATTGGGAATATCTCCACGGGACAAGACAATCATTCGATTTCGAAATTCAATTATTATCATCATTCAATATTCATCTTCCTCTTTCCCCATGGCGGAAACTCGCCAACCAAACACTCCCTATCTCTTACTCGTCTCTGCCTTCTTCACTCTAACCGTCGCTACACGAACCACCGGCTCGGTTAACTGCCAAACCGGCTCTCTCCGTTACCCGTTCGGTTTCACCGACGGTTATCCGATCCGGTTCAACTGCTCCAAGAAGACCGGTTACGCGGAAATCGGAGAATTCGCTGTACTGGAAGTGACGAGCGCAAGCATCTACGTCAAGATCCCGGCGGTGTGCAAACGCGAGATCGGCAAAATCGGACAGCTCTTCCGGGAGAGTTTCTCGCCTTCCAACTCCCAGAACTTACTTCTCGTCCAGGGATGCAAGGAAAACTCTTCTAACTGCTCGATCAGCCGTAGATTCGTCGAAGATCGGCTGAATCTCAGTAGATGCAAGTCTCCGGTGAGATGTCTCGACGGAGTGACGACAGAGTCCGATGTGATGAGTATCGGAGACGTCGTTAACAGAAGCGGATGCAAGTATTGGTTCTCTTCGATCACGCATCAGTCGAGGAACACGAAATCGGGAGTTTCGATCGATGTGGGCCGACTTAGACTCGATTGGTGGATTAAGGAACGTTGCAGTAACATGACTTGCTCGCTCAACGCCAGCTGTACGAATGTCACGCTCGCCGACGGTGGTTTTGGTCATCGCTGCACTTGTCTCGATGGATTTACCGGCAACGCCTTCACCGTGCACGGTGGTTGCCGACCAGGTTCCTATTTTGACCCTTTTAATTCAAACAAGAACTAATCATACTATTGACACGTGGCTACTGCAAACGAACGCTGACTTTTCAAAAATGAGCGGAAAAAAACAATTATTAATTATACAGTGTGAGTATAATATTACTTTCATTGATTTCCAAAAAAGGAAAAAAAAAACAGAACAAACAAGAAAAATTCTCTTCTTGATTCATTACTTTATGCTACTTTCAGTTGGCAAAGGCAAAGGACTACACAAACTCATTGTTCTTGGTTCTGGTAAGTAAAAACTCTAACTTATTAATAGATTACTTTTTTGCTAAAACTGATGATTATTTGAATGTCTGTACCAGGGATTTTGGTTGGAGTTACACTAATTGTGATATTGATATGTGCTTACATATACCGTCACAAGCGTTCTGCGTCTTACGTAAGAAAATCAATCGCGAATCGCTTGCTCAGTGAGCTCGCCGGAAACTCAACCGTTCCCTTCTACACGTACAAAGAGATAGAGAAAGCCACCGATAGTTTCTCCGATAAAAACAAGCTTGGAACCGGAGCATACGGGACAGTTTACGCCGGCGAATTCCCAAACAGCTCATGGGTCGCTGTAAAACGTCTAAGACGCAAAGACAACACAAGCATCGACCAAGTCGTGAATGAGATCAAGCTTCTTTCCTCAGTGAGCCACCCAAACCTCCTTCGTCTCTTAGGCTGTTGCATCTCCCAAGGAGAGCCGTTTCTAGTCTACGAGTTCATGCCAAACGGAACGCTTTCTCAGCATTTGCAACACGAAAGAGGCCACAAACCGCTTTCTTGGCCGCTACGTCTCTCCATCGCTTCTCAAACCGCAAACGCGATCGCACATCTTCACGACTCTTCAGTAAACACTCCTATCTACCACCGAGACATCAAATCAAGCAACATACTTCTTGACTACGAATTCAACTCCAAGATCTCTGATTTCGGACTCTCTAGGCTCGGCATGTCCACCGACCTGGACGGCTCTCATATCTCCACGGCTCCACAAGGCACTCCTGGTTATTTAGACCCTCAGTACCACCAAGACTTCCAGCTCTCGGACAAGAGCGATGTTTATAGCTTTGGTGTTGTTCTCGTTGAGATCATCTCGGGGTTTAAAGTCATAGACTTTGCTCGTCCTTACAATGAAGTGAACCTAGCCGCTCTTGCCGTTGACAGGATCGGAAGAGGGCGTGTGGTAGATATCATCGATCCATGCTTGAAAGCTGAGAATGATCCGAAAATGTTTGCTTCTATCCACAACTTAGCCGAATTGGCGTTTCGCTGCTTATCCTTTCATCGAAACATGAGGCCTACAATGGTAGAAGTTACAGAAGATCTCCAACGGATCAAGCTTATGTACGATGGTGCAGAGACAGGAAACTCCAAGAACCGATCCGAAATCCATATGAACAGATTAAGCAGCCAAAAATCATCCTCGAGAATACAATTGTCGCTCCAAGAGATTAGGTGAGTCCGGTCTTGGAATTTTTCTTCTTTTTCTTTTTTGGTTCCTTGTGTATGAAGTTACAAATATATATACAGCTGGAAAAATCCTAGTGGTTTTTTACTGATGAATTTGTAAAACGAAGAAATTGTTCATATATAGTTTCTGTTTTAACAATTCTACAAAATTCCTACTAATTGGGCTTTGAGAGTTTACAATTTAGTAGTAAGAATCTATCATGCACGCAATTAATTAGGGAAGAATCGTAATCGGCCAGTGGAAGATATGCAGCACATAGTTCAACTCATTAATAAACGACAGCTCATTGCGTCCATTTGTCAGCTTATCCGAAGCCGACCATATTGAAGACTTCGAAATTAAATTACTTATAGGGGATATAAGTTGAAACTGATTTCTATATTACTCGTCTATACTGTATTTTATAATTGGTAGATTCGTGAAATTAAAAACAAAAAACATTGTAACCACGCACGTACGCCTCCGTGGTACCCTGTGGACAGCTTTCGATGCATTAACTAGTAATTACATTAGCATAGTATATAGAAAAAGGTACATAATCACTTACGGCTAACTATAAACTTAATTAAAACAGTGGATAGAAAAGAAGATTAAAAAACAATTCAAGACGCGTTGAAGATTGCACTGAAGGACAGTAAGGTTTGTGCTTTTGTGGCCAATAGGCAATAGCCAATATGACTTATGAGTTATGACTATGACTATGACTATGACTATTACATACGGTAAATTGATGGGTTATCCGATAAACTATACATCTGTTCGATATTATTTCTAAGACAATTTAGTATCTTGATACCAATACTGAAATTTAGCAGCTGATACTTCTGCTCTAGTTTCGATTTTTTTTCTTTGTATAAGGATGAAATTCCAGGTCATATATTGGATTATATTGAAAGGTAAATCAATTATTTTCGAAAATAACAGTGAACAATCTTTGACCAGTCATGCGGACGAGCAAAAAAGATACGTGGCATAAACCCACTTGCCACTCAACACCTGAGAAAAGCGCTCTTCGAACCATGTGATTGACAACCGGTGTCCTTTGACTGCACGTTATACATTTTTATTATTGTTAAAGATTTTTGTTTTTAGAATTACATACTTTCGATATTTTGTCATTTTCCATACAGGCCGACTTCAAATTTTAACATAATCCAGATTCCAGACCCATATTTAATGGTTCAAAAAAATAAATTATATGCGCAAGAGTAACCCAACACATTCACAACAAAACAAAATTTTATTATTACCGTAAGAAACATTGGTAATTTAGTACCCAAAAGAAAAACCCCCGAAAATCCTTAAAAAGGATAAGAAACTAATTTAGGGGATAATATAGAAGCTTCTTTACACGTCCACGTGATCTTAACCTATGTGATAAAGAAAAGGTTTGTCATTAATCAAACCAAGATACGATGTTAGTACCTTAGATTCACGTCAGCAATTAGCGAAATAAAAAACTGAAAGAAATAACAAAACAAAATAACAAAATCCTTTAACAAATAAAGAAAGCTATAACAAAATTTGTTCATATTGGTTTCTTTATGACTTAACACAAATCAGTTGTAATTTGTAAATAAAGGAGTATACACATACGTAGTTATGTGTAAGTATATATGTAAGTGAAAGTAACAGAAGAAGCACGTGGGGTCAGGGAAAGGGTCGGCATCGCCAGCTAATAAGTCTCTTTTCACTATTCAGTCAAACCACTGTAAATGCTAGTGAGGTTATGGTTCATATTCTTCCTCTCTAAAAAACCTCTTTACAGATATTATTGACAAAAATAAACATAATTTGTAATAAATAAACATCATGTACGAAAACATTTGTAATTTTGTCTGCTTTAGTCGGCTGCTAAACAATGAAGCAATGTTTGGCAACGCAATTGGCAATAGTGTGGCTTTGCTGGAAATGTTGAAAAATCTTTCAACTCCCCGTAGGTAAACAATGTAACACAAAGGTTTATACAAATCTTAATTTGGTCGAATTTATTGCACCATAACATATAAGAGATGAGACACTCTGGCTGTCCCAAAGGCTCATTGATTACATATATTTTTTCTTCCTGATATCTGCTTTTAAAAATTTTGGTAGAAAAAGGAGTGATGTAGCTTTCAAAGGCACTTCCGTGGAAGAGATGCCATCTCTCCAAATCTGGCTACTATGACACTTTCCTTTTATATCTTTTCCTCCTCATTTTTCTTCCCATTTTATTTTATACAGCTTTTTCTCTTTCTTATCGATTATTCAAATTTGAATATTTTGTTTTGGACCCACGATTATTTTCATTTACAATACTATATTTTATTTTGCTGAGAGCTACGAACCCTGTTACTATAACTTGTAAGTGAAAAGGGAAATTAAACTACCCTATGAGGCTATGAGGGATCTTTTTATTTACACCGGTATCAAATATTGAAAGTAAATGCAGATTGACCATTTTGTTTTTTCGTATTTAATAACCTCTCACAGAATCCTCATTAAATAGGTTCCTTTATCTTTGAACAAAATAACCCATTAGAGTTAAACAATAAAATCCATATAAAAAATAAATAGATTCTATATTAAGTTATCTTAAGGAAGCCTCCCCGAATCATCCTATATCAGCCACAGCCTTATAAAATAAATCATCCACAGAGAAACTTCATTCTAAATGATTTGTTAATTAGACGACAACTCTATATTTATTTTCTTGTAACTTATCTACGCGTACGTTGACGCCCCCAAAGAAAATAAACTTATCTACGAGTACGTGTGTATTTGTCGTTTCCAAAGTAAGAAATAAGCAAGCCCGAGAGGACTCTTCGCAACTTCTAAATAGTAAAATGCTCTTTTCTAAACATTACTTCCTCCGTTTCACAATAAATGTTATTTTGACTCTTAGGTTATCCAATATATCTAGATATATATATATAAATGTATTAAGATTCAAAACACATCTCTATACATCATTAAATAGTTCAGATTCATTTTGTCAAAATGACACTTATTATGAAACGGAAAGAATACTAATGTATAAGAAATTAGGAATGGTGCATTAACTTTGTTTTTTTTTTTCTTTTCATTTTAATAACTAAGTTACCTCTAAGTGTGAAAATCAAAATCATTTTTTTTTCTTTCTGTCAACGTATTAGATAATTAAAAAAGAACATTACGTTATGACAAAACATCATATCATATGTACACGACTGACATTTTGGCACTGCATGTCACTTTATATTATCCAAATAATAAGAGGCCAAGAGTCAAAGATAATAGTTTTAAATTGAAAGGTGAAGATAAGTGTGTTGGTGTTGGTTTAAAAATAATTTAACATTAAAACCAATGAAGCAGCGCTATACAAAATAAACAATATTACAATATGCCAAAATTACCAGGATCGACCAATAATTGTGTTTGAAACAGATAAAATACAAAAACTATATATGTAACTTTTTCCACGGAGAGCAGAAACATATTTTCATATAAGTAACTACAAAAACAATAATCTATGTAGATAATAGTAAAAAAGAAGATTATATATACCATATCTGTGAATATCTGAACTTTTTTTTGGGTTGATATGTGAATATCTGTTTTTTTTTGGGTTGATATGTGAATATCTGATTATTGCATAGGATGAAAATTTTAATAAGAAAAAGAAAGGGTAAAGAAACCAGTTCCATGTGTTTTTAATTTAGCAACTCTGTCGGAGCGTGTCTACGCAGAAATTCTTAGGCCATTTTTGTCCAAATTACGATAACCGAACAGCTAATTGACACGTGTAGAAGACATCACCAACCCAATTAATTACTTCCCGTGTACTGTGCAGATTGGTTTGATGATAAAATTTCGAAACAGTAAATAACTACCAGAAAAATTCCTTCTTAATTGTTAACTAAAATTTTGAAACTCTTTTTTTTACTAAACTAAAGATTTAAATTTTAAATCTTAAATTTCTGTTATACTACTACTGTATTTGGGTTATTATGGCTTCATCATTGATCCTTTGTGCATAAGAACTAAATGAGTATTGGGTACTATAATACTGCACAAGGCTTCTCTGGCAATTGACTGTCCCTACCCGAATTAACTCTCTCTCTCTCTCTCTCTCTCTCTCTCTCTCTCTCTTCGAAAGAGTCTTTTAAGTCAGTTTATAATTCGACACAAACGAGCTCTGTCTCTAATGGCATGCTTAGAAATGTACAACTCCAATGGTGGTGGTTGTGGTGCTCCCATGAGTCCTAGAATCTCTTTCTCTAATGATTTCGTTGAGATTAGGCCCGAGACGACGAAGACGACGAGGTCAAGCCCTTTATCCAAACCAGAGGGCTCTTCCTCAGCGTCTGATAATTTCGAGTTCTCTGTCTCCAACTACACAATGATGCCTGCTGATGAACTTTTCTCTAAAGGAAAGCTTTTGCCTTTCAAAGAGACTAACCAAGTTCAGAGAACATTGAGAGAAGAGCTTCTCGTTGAAGACGACGACCAAGAAGAAGAAGAAAGTCGTCGTGATGCTACCAATATCTTCTCTCTCAGGCCACCGATCTTCTCATCATCTTCTTCTTCCTCTAAGGGAAGGTGGAAAGGGCTTTTGGGCCTCAAGAGGACCCATGTTGGGTCTAAGAACAGTGAAGAGCGATTTGTTCATACGATCAACAACAAACAATCTCAGGTACTACTTTCTCTGATCTGGTTTGGTCAAAAGCTTTTATATTTTTCTTATGGGTATTGATGAAAGTTATGTAATTTGCTATATTCCTTAAATAGGTTGATTAATGCAATTTCTTTCTATCGAAATTTTGGGGTTTTCAGGAAGCTTTGGGTGGAAGAGAAGGGTCAAGTTGAAGGGACATGAAGAAGAGAATGTAGAGCTTAAAACTAAGCTTTTACTTTGTTTTTAGTTAGAACATGGTTGCTTCCAGATTTTTATAATTTTAGATTTATGTTAATCTTAGATCTGGAAAGTTATATTTTAAAAAGATGTGTTGTTGAATGAGATGGATTATTTCATTTACTCTGTTCCACTACTCATGTTTCATCGATCTCGTGACTTTTTTTTTTGTTTTTGCTTTGAAGGGAATCCGAATTATTCTCCCAACCTCCCTTAACTATCATTGTGGTTTTTTGAACTTTTTTTTTTAAAGTCTTAATAACAAAGAAAGGCTTTCTTACCTCAACGATGCTGTCGTTGATGCCGAGAGATGAAAGGCTAAATCAAGCTCAACCTTCATCCACTGCTCTAGAGTGAGTGCCGGCCATACGCAGTTTGGTGGAGTGAGCACCGAACCTTCAAGAGAAAGAATCCGTTTTACTGACTCACTGTTTTTATCTTTAGAAAGAGCACGGAGGATCAGACCAAGTCTTGAAAAGGCTTCATACGATGAAATACTCTCCAACCAATCGTCGTATATGTTGCTGAACTTAACCATCTTCGGTTTGGTGGAGTCAGAAAATACATCCCCAAAAAGCTTCATCTTCAGAAGACCCTGCAATGGTAACTCGGGTAGTTTGATTTTGTTTACCACTATGTTGGTTGAGTAACCGACGAGGGCAGACTTCATTGGCTCTAGCAGTTCTTCGCGAATAGCAATGATTTGTTTCGGCTGATCTTCAACAGGGTGAGACCGCACAAGTTGAGCAACCTCTTCAGCAGTTTTCTGTGTTGCTAGCCGACCAGGACGCGACTTCTTACAAGAAAAAGCGCTTGACTTGAAAACCTTCAGGTATAGTTCCCCTTTTCTTGGGTCGACTATAAAAGCCACACCGCTGCGAAATGTGGGCATATAGGCCACAGTATCATCCACCAACCATGTAATTTGATCATCGCTGAAAATCTCCTTCAAGTCTTGAGATTTCGTTCCTCTTAGGTGCAACTCGTTCCTGATCCGTTCTCTGGAGTTGCTTTTCTTCATAAAGTCCTTCAAAGCTCTATCAACAACCGTTTTTAGGCCTGGAAACCAGTTACCATATGCTCCATATGAGTGGTAAGGAAAGTCAATGCCAATTACAATACCTGCAAAAGTTTAAGTTTAAGAAGAAAAGTCTAGGTTTAAATTTTAGAAAAGAAACCAACCAAAGCACACAAATAGACGACAAACGAAAGAAAGAAGAAAAGTTAGTTTACCGTATCCAGAGGGGTTAATCGATGTAATCTCTGTGAATCTTTCACTAATACAGAGGGAAACATCTTCGGAATCATAATTGCCCCAGAGAAATTGGATTTCTATCCAAAACTTCTCTGAGGTACGTCTGTAATCAAATTGATCCTCCACTGAAGCTGACAGCGAACTGGGCGTGGACATTGACCATTGATGGGGACGCAATATGAGACACAAGTTTACAAGTCCTGTCCTTCTGTAATAAAGGCCACCTCTCATCGTCACAGAACATGACTTAACAGCAGCGGTGAGCTGTCTTCAGTGAATTCTGTAGATAGAACACCAAATCTACAAAAACTGATCTCCATGACTGACCCTTGAAGACATTTAATACGGCGGACTCAAGATATGGAAACGCCTCGCTGTGAATAACTGGTCCAGTCATATATGGAAGACTGAATATACCAACTGATATGCTCTCGCGGTTGATGGTCGGGGACCACCAAAGACAAAACCTTGTCTTCCACATTTCCATATCAGATAACTCTTCAAAGAACTTATCATTCCACGTCGCTAAACCCAATCCTTTGAAGATGGTGCGTTCCAAAACTTGTTGTGAACCTCCAAAAGCATGCATCACATCACTTCCGTATTTGTTTAAGTTCCACAGCTTACCATCGTGGGTCTCTTGCGTCCACCATAAAGGATTTCGTTTCACGACTCGGTACTGATTGAAGAGCGCACGGATCCTCCAACCTTTATCATATGCTAACGTGTGCCTATCCTTCTGAAACAGCGTGTTAATACGTGGGACTCCCCTGTCCCATGAGTCCTGCCAAAATGAAGTTCGATGAATTATAATACTCTCTCAATAAACTCAGAACTCTTGATTACGTAAACTCAGAACTCTGGATTATGGACTACCTCCAGATCCACCAAAGAAAGATGCTTATGTTGGGCTTTTGCTTCATGCCTCTGCAAAGCAATGTCTTCCCATACCTGCTGTGAATCCACAAACTCCCTTTTCCATGGATTTATGTAACGGTAAAGACTAGGAATCAACTGCTTCTTTTGCTGGCTCGTATCACTTTCCGGGATCACAATATGACCCATGGACAGCATTCCAAGCCCTCCAATTTCTCTAGGAGTGTAGAAGATTATCGGAGGAAGTCTACAAGGAAAGTATAGAGCAATTAGCCTTGGCAAGGGTTTAGGGTGTAACATTTTCTACAAGGAAAGTATAGAGCAAGGGTGTAGCATTTTCTCACCGACTAAGCATCCTTGGACTCAACTCTCTCTGAATACTTTTCTGGATTTTATCTTCAGAGTGAGCCATGAGGTCCAAGAGCCCTTTCGAATTCAAAATTGCTTCACGGAAGTAAGCCACCAAACCTGGTACAAAAAGATAAACGTGACTTAGCTTCTGTGCTGGCTTAAAAAGGGAATAGCGAGCACAACAATAATATTTTACCTATCAAAACCGTATTCCATTCATCGACGGTTTTGATAAATGTGGTCGACATAAGAATTTGACGCACACTATTCTCAAACAACTTCATATGTTCATCATCAACCTGCAGAAAAGCAACTGCAGTCGTCTCTTTAGTCTGTTCATCCTGCAGATTCCAGGCACCATCTCCTGTGTTTTTTGAATCTTCTATGGTCATCCTGGATTTTGGAACTATGCGGACTTCAAATCCACACCTGCAAGCAATAATGCAAGAGTTATCACTGGCGTCACACTAATTTACAGAAATCACTAGAAAACTATTAACAAACACACAAAACTATCAACAGAAGAATTACACACATGCTGAAAAGCAGATTAGGGTTCTTGCTGCTGTACACAGAGACGAAACTATTCTCCCACTTCAAGGTTGTGACGCTCTGAGGAAGACGGTTCTTCATATCCCAGAAGACACTTTTACCAAGATTGTCTGAAAGATGAGACAACAGCTTATGTATAAAACTGGTATTCGATCTAGTAAACAAAAACAAAATCAAAGAAAAGAGAGAGAGCATACCATCATGTTCCGTCAAGCTCACCACATTTTCATTGTTAGGATCTGCAAGGTAATTTTGAATAAGAGTCTGAGCCTCGTCCTTGGTAAACTTCAATATGACATGGACTTTGTCTATATAACGACAATACAGTCTTATGCGATGGTGCGTCTCGGTCAGAAACTCGTTAGACATCTGCGGAGTGCCGGCAATCTCACTGGCTCGATCCACACCAAGAACTAAGAGATCCAAAGCCAAACCATAATACTGAAGCACAAAGGAGGCGAATGGAAGCCCCTTTATGAGATTGTGACTCATACTCAGAACCACATAGTCTGCAATACTCGGGTTCATAACCAGACGAAGGAGCCTCTTTAACATCTTCAAATCAATCTTCTCGAAAAGATTTTCAAACTTTGTCTGTAAAATCACCATACAGCCATCTGTGTCCCATCCTTGCAAATTATTTATACCTTGACACCATTGATAAACCAGAAGGGGCGGTGGCTCTGAGTCTGAAGGTTTAATCCATCAGCAATCTTCTTGTCCAAGCTATTTAGATCCTTGCTCTTTATGCCCAAGAACAACTTCTGTATGCGTTCCATAGCATAACCAATGTTGTCAGAGTACTTTTGGATTACACTAAGCTCCTCAGCTGATGTATAAGATTTTTTCAATCCGTCAATAGCCAGCCTGAGAAGCTCTATGTTATTTTGGGAAGTAACTGGGAAAGGAATGGTCTCCTGTTGCCTTGATTTCAGCCAATCAGCAGCAGTTGTACAGATTTTCTCTGCCTCCTCCGTAGTGATATATGGAACATCACCTTCCTGCAACTTCCCTGACGTTCCTGCAACAACACAGACCTGCAACTTTCCTGACGTTCCTGCAATTCATTTGTCCACCATTGTTCTAAGTAAGGTAATACTCCACGAATGAACAAAAGCCAAACCCTCCACATTGGAGCCCAAAACCCTTCGCCCACATGACCATTAGCATATGAACGGAGTAATTCCTTGCACGTCCTGATCTGTTTCATCACTCTGTACCCGCAATGGTAGATACCTGTCAACTGGCCACCATTGGAGAAAATATATTGCAGGCCATCAGCCAACTGGAAAGCACTAATTCTACCAAGTCGGAATTGGACATGTGCGTCGACTACAAGTTTCGTCAGTTGCAGGATTTCACGGCAGAGATGGAAACCGGATTCAGAAGATAACGTTTCCTGCTCGTTGGTGTTATGCCTTTTTACAGACATGAGGCTGAAGTTACGATCCAACTTCTTTTTGTGAGTAAGCAGGTTCAACATGTGGTAGCCCTGCTGGCAGACTTGCAAACCCACTTCAACCCAATCCAGTGTGGTTCTCTCGAAAGCCTTGGAAGATGCAAGAAATTGGACCGAGTCCCCATCCTTCTGAACGTTCTGTGGGCTGCAGATTATGATTATGAGATCAGTAAGGGATAAGGAGATTCGAAAAAGCTAAAGTAGCATGACAAAAGGGAAAAAAGAAAACAAAGTTAGCTCACTAGCGCTGCTGAAAACAAAGGGGTATATCGTCAGCCGGACTCGTCATCCCAGACACAAAGCCATTCTCAGCTTTTTCCCCTTCCTTCATATCAACCTTAAGGCAGCCTGGAAAAAGCCATCAGATAAGAACACAAAAACGGCCAATAGCAATGCGATCAAAGAGATGAAAAAGCAACTGGCCTGCAAGCTTGTGAAGGTTTGCCATAGTTTCAGCTGAGAGTTTCCACATCCGGCTACTGGGACCATTGGTCAGTTCTCTATTCAGGTAAGGCTGTAGTTCATCTGAATTTAGTTCTAACTGAAGTGGCTCAGGAGGATCCACGTCCAACAAATTAGCAGCATAGAGACTGGGAGGAGAGTCGTCCCCAAATGGTGGAAACATCATCCTCTCGAAACGAGGATGATGATTCCTCTCATCTGTCTGCATAACTCTCAACATAGAACCCCACTGCAAATCCGAGAAACGAAAGCACCATTATTCGCAAATTCATGGAAGCACATACACAAAAGAAGAAGAGAGAGAGAGAGAGACTATTCACTCACCTGAGCTCTGTAGATCGGCTCCACAACCCATGGTGTCTCGTTCACAATTGTAACAGCTCCTTTGAGGTGGTACAAAACCTTCACATCCCGGACCTGAAAGAAAATTCGAATAGCTTACATTAACTAAGAAGATGACGGACGACAAGAGAGGAAGCTGTAAGGTCCAAAATAATACCTCCTCCCAGGGCATTGGCATATTCTCCAGGAGCTTAAAAGCTGCGCGAGGTACGAACTTAAGAGCTCCAATGTACAAACGATTTTGACGGAGTCTTTCTTCCGATGCCAAATAATCACGATCCCTGGATAAAGAAACTTTGTTTCAATTTCAACCTCATAAACCTAATCTAAGGATTTCAAATTCGCGGTTGACCTTGGATATCGCAAACTGGCCTCGATTTTGAATAGGAAGAACAACGAGAAAGACAGAAATAAGAAATTGACCTCATCGAGATGATCTTCCTGACGTGCTCAGGTGGCACTTCCTCACCCTGGCCTTTTTCCGACGGAATCGCCGAGCCTTTTTCCGACGGAATCGCCGAGCCTTTTTCCGACGGAATCGCCGAGTAAGAAGTAGAAGCAGCAGACATTGGGACGCCGGTACCAGGAGGATCTTAGGAGTTTTGAATCCAAACGCCCAGCGAAATCGCCAAGAAGAAACCCTAAATCCTTCACGCGAGTGAGTGTCTCGTAGCTTGGGAGCAAAGTGAATGTTCTGTTACAGTGAAGAAGACGCGAGAAAAATTGAGCTATGTGTATAGCCAACCGCTTAACTGCATCGATGGTGACGTGTCAGTTTGCTTCGATTTTTTAAAAAACTGGCGCTTTTAAGTTTGATAATTTTTCGTATTAAATTTATTTAAGGGATTTTCTTTTGGGCTTTTACATATGCAAACTAATGTAGAAAAAGCCCAACAAAAGAAAAGGCCAAAACAAAAGACCAAATGGGCTCGGTATGCAAAACTTACGCCTAGAAAACAGTAGCCGTCGACACCGCCGCCGGCTCTGCAAACTGAGCCACCGTCCACCACCATAAGCCGCACGGAGACCTAACCGCCTAGAACTGCTAACGCCTGAACCGGAAACCTGTGACCTCCGGAAGATACGACCAAAGTGGGACAAAAGTCGATCCACGCCTCTAGGATCCTCCCGTACGCCGCCGCCGGATAGAGAAACCAGAATTGGAGCAGAGTAGCAGATCGCTTTCAAAACAAGTGGGAGGAGAGATCCGTACCACGCCTCGGCCCCTCGGAATGTCGTCGCCGCCGATATCAGCCGCTTCCGGGGAAGCTGCTTTTGGATCTGCGGCCGTCCTCAAGCCACAAACATACTCGAAGCCACCGGAAGTTCATGTACCCATGGCCCTTCTTCTACGCTCACACCGCCATACGACGCCGGAAGACACAAAAATCCGACCAAACCTAATAAACGCTTGAGGATGCTTTTCCGGACCCTGTCCTCGTCGGATCTGGATCAGCATTGCACCTCCCTGGATAACTGAAGCCGAAACAAAACAGGTTCGCCGGAAAGACCACGACTTGACACAAAAGGAAACCATGGAGAGCCACAAAACCACAGAGAGAAGCGCAAGCCTAAAGAGGAAAAGAGATTAAAGCAGAAAAGACCCTCTCACGGTACCGGCAAAGGCCAGCGGCAATCGGAGAGGGAAAGGGACAAGCAAAAAAGTTTTTTTAGAGAGAATCCAAAATATAAACAATTTTAAAATTTGGCATCCAATTCAAACTTTAATAAAATTTAACTAACATCAATCTTTTTAAAAATATTTTGCTTTATATATTTTCAATGAAATTTAACATCAAATTGAAACTTAACGAAGCTGATGTTTCAAAAAAAAATTTAAACTTATGCGCCGCTAACACCACCTATCTTTTAGTTATAAAGAAAACTTTTGCAAATTCAAATCTAAAGCATCGCAGAATATGACTGGAAGGTAACAGTAAAGTGAAATACAAGAACGCTACAAATTGTTAAGAGTTTCAGAGAAGACGAAAGAAAAAAAAGACTTCAAGCTGTTGAAGAGGTTATGAGTCCAGTCCAGTCTAGTAAATTCTGATGCTCTGAAGTGTCTTCTAGGCAGCTATGGGACAAAAAAAAAGAGGCGTCTTAACCTGTGAGCCGATCCTAGCGTCTGAAACGAGGAGGAGAACACACTCGGATAACAAAAGGTCAGGCACATGAAGGTCCAGAACAAGATTTTTATCCATACGCGTCTTGTCAGCAATAAAGTGCTTGTGACAAAGGATCTTGTGCCCAGCACTGTCTTCCACAAATATCCATAATCCTTCAGCAACCACGTCGTCCCATGGGAATTCAATAACCCCGAGCTTGACCTGCATACCGGTAGAAGTCCTCTGCAGACTAAGTGTTTCAAGGCTCGGTTTTTGGAACTGGTGAAGGGGCGTCTGATCACTCCACATCCTCTTCCTGATCATTTTAGACATTTCAAGAGCTTTCTTAGCCAGTTGAGCCCATCCTTGCCTCAAGACCATCTCAAAAAGAGCTCGTACAAGACGTCCAGCACTCTAAACAACCAGAATAAAACAGATTACATCAATTAATCGACTTAACTAGCAGGAAATGAAAGCAGCAAGCTAAGAGAACAAGGACACAAACCTCAGCAATATAAACCATGTCAGATGACAAAGAAAGACTCTCAACCTGTAGCCGGGATATATATGCCTGCAGCAAAACACTAATCTTGGCACTGCGCCTCTCCAGCGCTTCCTCGATCGGATTCGGGATACCATCACCAGCCAAAAGTTTCGCCAGTTCCTTCCTCTCATCTTGTCTAACAGCCACATACTTGAGCTCCTCACTCAGTGATAACAGACGATAAATCTCTACATGACCCATTTTTGGCTTCAAATGCTTATTGAATGTAGCTATTGTCCCATGGGTTATGCAGTAGTAGCTAGCAATGCGTCCCAACTCGGTAGCCTGGAAGTCTCCACTTGTCCTGTCATACTTTACCATGTTGTTCTTGTCCAAGATAGTGGCAGCAGAATGCACCTGCGAAATACGAAGGTTCAAGCAAACTTTATATAGTATATAACCAAAAAAAAAGACTAGGCCAATGCAGATGAAACTACATACCAGGTCAGCTATTCTCCCCTCCAATGTTTTGTCTTGTGCAAGGCCATACAGCTTTGGATTACGTAGCATACAGAAATACAAGTATGTATGTGAAAGCCAATCGAAAGCCTCTTTAGCATTATGAACGGTTCCAAGCACAATCTCAGCATTAAGCTGATCAGCAAGTTTGGATATAAACTGGCTTTCAATGCGTACCTGATCAGCCTTTCCTTCACCCGTAATTATAAACCCAGACCCAGACCCTCGTCCAACACCAATCATTCTCATTATCTCCATACAGTTCAGCTCCATCCATGCCCCTTTCTCGGGATTGTATTCTTCCGTTCCTTTGATAACTACGGTGTCTGCAGACAAATTCATACCCCATACTTCACTTCTCGTGGATATCAACACAGTCAGATGCTTCTCTTCAAATAATCTCTCAACTATTTGACGATCATTCTTTGTCAATCCAGCATGGAGAAGTGCAAAACCATGAGGCAGAAGATCTTTCAGGTCATCACTCACGATACTACCAATCTTATCCTGAATAAACTTCCGACTTTTCTCATCTATAGAGTTAATTTTCAATACGGCGTCTGCGTCCCGTATTGCTCTTGCAGTTCTTGCTGCGTCTTTCCTCGAATGGACAAAAACAAGCACCTGATGGTTTCCAGCAGCAACAGCAGCCAATACTTTATCAGAGCATGCATCATTCATCAATTGGAACCTTGGGAATGGCTTTTGCCTGCTAATTGCAAAATGATTAACTGGTCTGTAGCTGCAGTCAAACTCGAACAACCCATCCTTGAGATCAACCTGCAAAAAACTGGCCACATCTGCACAACTTTGTCGTGTTGGCGATAAACCCACCAGACGAACGTCCGTTCTCTGCATACGAGTTCTAGCAACAATAGCCTCAAGCACAGGCCCTCGAGTAGGATGATGAAACAGAAGAATATCGTCGATGATAACAAGTCTCACAAGCTGAGTATAAGTCAAATTTTCAGGCTTCCTGGTGAATATATCCCAATTCTCTGGAGTTGTAACAATTATTTGAGCCTTCTGGATTTCCTGCACACTAAGGATCTGATCTCCACTAAGTAGGGTAGCTTGATAATCCTTTAGACAATCGGAAAACTTACGCACAACCTCAGAAGCTAAGGCATTCATGCCTGCAACATAGACAATCTTGGAATCCTTGTTCAATTCAATTTGCCGCATTATGGTGTGCACAGCGGCAGCAACACTGGTCCTCCCAGTACCGGGCGGAGCGCAAAGGAGAATGTTATTTGCCTTGAACCGATCAGTCTGATACACTTGGCTCTGAACACAGTTCAACTTCTGGAATCCCTTAATATCCACAAGCTTCTCATCACTGTCCAACGGTTTAGGGCCACATGACACCTTGGTCAAAAGCTTACTTCTCCAAGCCTCATCTAATTCCTTGCCGTGAAATCTACCACCTTGGTCAAGAGCCAACTTCTCCAATTCTATCATCCGAGGCTGACTATTCCACCAACCAACCCTTAAATCTTTAGGAGGAATAACTCCATCAGTGTTGTCCTTCAGACCCTGGACCCTGGGCTCCTCGTCCATGTTTTCCGAATGCTCTTGTCCAGGTTCTTCATCCTCTTCATCCAAAAAGATGTCATAATCATCCTGAAATTCATCATCAGATTCCTCCTGAAATTGTTGAATCAATTCTCGTAGCTGACCAGAAACATTATCAGATGTTGGATTCAACACCTTCGTTACTTCCTTCACTTTTTCAGAGTTTTCTAGGGTTTCCTCCTGCAAGATTTTCAAAATCTGGTCTAGTGCACCACCAACCACAGCAGGAGACGGTTCACCCAATTCTTCTTGAATTATGCTAAACATTTCATCATAAACCGCCTTATTCTCTTTACTCTTCGGCTGATAATCAACGTCGTCCGCAGTATCAGTAAGCACGCTCTCCCTTCTCTTGAGAGGATATTGAGGTCGTTTTCTCACGGGTTTACCCCTGGTAGCGCGATCTCCAAAGGAATTGGGATCCATTTTTCCCCAGAGAGATTCCACTTCTCCTGCAGATTCATCTTCGTCGTTCAGCTTCATCACCTAGATTCACACCTTGAACACAAAATTGCGGAGCTTCAGAAGAAAGAAATCTCTGAGATTTGAAGAACAAGGTAGAGAATATGTCGACGCCGCCTCTAGAACTAACCAAAAAACACGCACGCCAGTGGGTTTCGAGATGGAAAGAATTGGGAGAAGAAAGAGATGATAGGCCGCGGATGGAAAATACTAGAACGATTAGGGCTTTTTCGTCTTTTCTTATGATTTTCTCGACTTGGTTTCGTTAATTTTTGTTTCTCATTGCCTGCCTTATGCAAACTAATGTTTTTTTTCCGTCAACCTTCGCAATATTTCGTTGGCTCTCTTAAGAGATGGTATGGAAATTCTTTACCACAATTTGTGAATTACAACATTTTAAATTCTTTATAATTCTATATTCAGTTCTTCAATCCAGTCACCTTAATTTTTCCTTTTTTCTTTGTCAACCCAAAAACTCGTTAATCCTTCCCCATTTTTTTTCCTTTTCCTTCTTCTAATAATTTAATTGAAACGAGATCAAAATTTAATATAGTAAATATTAAAAAATAATACTCCATATATTAAAATTTAAAGGACATAAGATAAAAAAACCAATAAAAGATAAATGTTCACACATTAAAAAGAAATCTTATTATATAAAGCTGGATGCGCGCGACGTGGTTGCGACACGTAGGATTTTTATAAAATTTAGGATTGCGACATGTGTCACTTTTAATGTTATGTCCGTTAAGATCGTGACATGTGTCTTAGAAAAAAAAAAAAAAATTAATAATTAAAAAAAAAACGAAATTTTAATCTTTTATAGTTAAAAGAAAAAAAAATATATTTGTCATATCCTAATAGAAAAAGGTTTCCATTCATCAAATTTATATTATCCAAACACATATAAGATTCAAATTAATGAAATAAATAAAATCCTATTAGTACATGAAATAGGTTAGGTAAACTAAATTTCCTATAACTGCATGGAATAAGTTACATGAACCCCTATAAAAAGAGAGTTAAAGTAGTCTTTTTTCTCATTTACAAACTCATCAAAGCAAACAACATGATAGCAATATGCATGATTTTTATAACTCACAAAATTGCGATATGTGTTTATATTCCCATTATGAACAGGAAAAAAAACAATATATAATAAGCTATTGCGATTCAATTATGTGCTTCTATCTTTTGTATAATCTTTTCTCTCATAAAAAATCATGTATTTAAAATTCATGGTATCAATGAATAATATTTAACTCTATATTAGTTGGATAGAAATCAAAATTATTGTCGATACATGTATCTAACTCTATATCGGTTGGATAGAAATCAAAATTATTGTCGTTACATGTATTTGATCCGGTGAAGACATGTTAATTGGAAAAATGTTAAACAGATATAAAAACTAGAAAAAAAAACTAACTAATAATGAAAATGAAAATTTATAATGGTCTGAGTCAAAAACAAAATTGAGAAAGAAACAATATAAATAGAAAACTAACAAATTAATTATCAAGCAACTAACTTTTTTTTTATATCATAACAACTAACTAATATTAAGAAAATATAATGAACCGATATTCTAATTTTAAATAGTTTAATTTTCAATATTGTTAGGTAAAAAATTATTAAATAAAGATTTCATCAATTGAAATCTCTTGAATGGAATAATAAAGTTTTGTTGAATTAATTAATCAGTTGATCATATTTAGACATATATAAGTCTTTCTATATTGGATAAAAATAAAAATAAAACAAATTAATTCATTTTTCATATCATGAATATATCAATTACAATAAAAACGTAAAAAGGTTACCGATCTTATTTTATTTAAATATTTTTATCGGGTTTTTAATATTATTCTGTTTACTTTAAAATGATCAAATTTGGTTTAATACTTTTCCATGATTTTATTACAAAATCTTAAAATAAACCCGCGTATACGCGGGTCTTAATCTAGTATTGTATAATCCAAGAGAAATAATTATCATCATGATATATTTTTGAAATCTGAAAGTTTTAGTATCTTATTATATAAAGCTGGATGCGCGCGATGTGGTTGTGACACATAAGATTTTATAAAATATAAGATAGCGACATGTGTCACTTTCAAGATTATGTCCGTTAAGATCGTGACACGTGTATTACGGGAAAAAATAAAATTTTAAATAAAAAAAATATTAGAAAAAGGATAATTGAAAAAACGAAATTTAATCTATTATATTAAAAAAAAAATTAATATTTGTCATATCCTAACAGAAAAAGGTAAAATAATAATTTAAAAAAAAATATTAGATAAAGAAAAATTTAAAAAATAATAATAATCAATTATAGTTAAAAGAAAAAAAAATATTCATGTTCTAATAGAAAAAAGTTTCTCATTCGGCAAATTTATATTATCCAAACACATAATAAATTCAAAATAATGTAATAAATAAAATCCTATTAGTACATAAAATATGTTTTGTAAACTAAATTTCTTATAACTGCATGGTTCGCATGGAATAGGTTAAATGAACCCCTATAAAAAAGAGTTAAGATAGTCTTTTTTTGTCTCAATCACAAACTCATTAAATCTCTTTGATTCTCTTTCTCTAATTTAAAAACCATGTCTTTGAAAGATTACGACGCAATACATAGGATTTTTATAACTCACAAAAATTCCAACATGTGTTTCTTAAAAAAATCTGAAAGTATTAAGATCGTGACACATGTCATGGAATAAAAAATATAAAAAAATTAGTATGTATAAGACCAATAAAAAAATAGATAACAAACAATTAAAATAAAAAAATGCTACATCCATTAAGAAAAATAAAAAAATAATAAATGAAACAAATAATTTAAATTCTTTTGTTACATCTATTAAGAAAAGGAAAAAAATCCCAATACGAAAAGGAAGAAAACAAATATATAATTTATAATTTTCTAAATCATTAAGAAATAAAAAAATTATGTCTTTAAAATTCAAGATTTCAGTGAAAAATATTTAACTCTAAATCAGTTAGATCGAAATCAAAATTATTATCTTAACATATATCTAATATTTGATCCGGTGAAGACATATGTTAACACAAGTAAATTGGAAATATGTTAAACAGAAACAAAAACTAGCAAAATAATTATAAAAAAAAACTAACTAATAATGAAAATTAAAATTTATAATGGTCTGAGGCAAAAATAAAATTGAGAAAGAAAACATTATAAACAGAAAACTACCAAAATAATTATCAAGCAACTAATTAATATCAAAAAAAAAAATGAACTAGATATTCTAATTTTAAATAGTTTAATTTTAAATTTCTGTTAGGTAAAAATATTAAATAAAGAATTCATCCATTAAGTCTCTTGAATATAATATATAAGTTTGATGAATTAAACAGTTGATCAGATTTAGACATGTGTAAGTCTTTCTATATTAGATAAAAATAAAGGTAAAACAAATTATTTCATTTTTCATATCATGAATTAAAAAAAATATATATCTATTAAAATAAAAATGTAAAAATATTACCAATCTTATTTTATTTAAATATTTTTTATCGGGTGTTGAATATTATTTTGTTTACTTTTAAAAGTTATCAAATTTTGTTTGATATTTTTCCGTGATTTTATTACAAAATCTAAAATAAACCCGCGTATACGCGGACCTTAATCTAGTTAGTTAATAAAAGGTGTATCAAAGACTGAAATAAAAAAATATTGTTAGGAAACAACAACAAATTGCTACAAAAATCAGTATTCAAAAACATACAAATATATACAATTAATGATATTTTATCATTATTTATAATAAACTTTTAAAAGAGCTAGCTGTGAAATGTTTTATTTTAATAGATAGTAGTTTTATTTTACTTGTTACTTAATAGTTAATACATAGAGAATATGACTATGTACTACCATAAATCACAAAAGCCCTACCTAATTAATTGTAGAAATTCTATTATGATAAGTATTAGGAAGATTTACATTATTTAGTATTATTAATATGTTAACCTTAAACACTACATATAATTGTCTTATACTTTTTAACAACAACTCAACTCAAAAATATATCCTACCTATTATATATATTTCACATCCTTTTCTCTCTTCCCTGTTCCGTCAATGGACAATCTACCTTCGCTTCTTCTCAATGAGATTCTCTTCAGGTTGGACCGCAGAGATATGGCAATAATGCGGTGTACGAATAAATATCTCCGGGGGCATATGTCCGAGGACCCTTATTTTGAAAAGGAATACAGATCGATTCTGTTTCCCATCTCCAATGACAACCTCTCCTTCGGCAACTTTAAGCTGCAACCGAAGTTTCATATTATGGGATGCTGCTCCGGCCTTCTTCTACTCTTCGTTGAGAAACTCTTCGTCGTAAACCCTCTCACAAGGAAGTATCGACTCGTGAACTATACTTGCTCAAGGGTTTTGGCTAAGTTGTTTAGCCGTGGAGTTGTTGATCCTGCGCGGGTAGGGTTTGCGGTGGATGAGATCAATCCAAGCACGCAGAGATTCAAAATCGTATGCTTAATCGAGGTGAAGGAGGAGGAGGCAAAAACTATGTATCAATTCGAGGTTAGCAGAGAAGATTCGTTCTGGAGATTATCGAAAACAAGCATTACTTGCCACTCAAGCGACCTGGTGAAGGGTACGAGACCTGTTTACTTGGACCAAGTTCTTTTCTGGTTAAGAAACGACGGAAGCATCGTAACGTTCAATACCGTGACTGAGAAGGCACAGCTGCTTCAAACCAGATTACCCTACTCGAAATCATTGTTTTGGGCCGCACCTGCTGATATCGGACTAACTCTGTTAGCGGCGACAGAGGAGGTTATTTTCGTTTATGCTCTGAACAACAACACCGAATGGGTACTCGTGAGACGGATTCTGAATGATCAAAAAAAGAGGATCATGTCCTGGAAAGTGGCTGCTTACGACGGTAAGTTTCTAGTTTTGACAGAGGCTGTCAAGGATGTTACGGTTATTCATGAGTACGACTTGAGAACTAACAACTGGAGAATCGTAAAAAGGATAAGAATTTGGGACAATCATGATCGTTTTTTTGGGGTGCAAGACAAGAAAGAGTTTTTTCAGCTAAGGCCGTCTTCGTCCTCTGTCATAGGAGTGAACTACGAGATAGGAATCCATAATCTGCTCCTACGAATTCAGCCTCAGAATTACACACCCATCAACCATCTATCTTTGTTTTTGAAGGATATCTTTACTCCGGAAACGAGGCCATTCGATGAAAGTAACGCCGCTTACATAAAAGTAGATTAGGAAACCTAACAGAGTATTTTCTATTCTCTTTTTCTTTTTTTTTAGTTTCCGATCCTTTATTTTTTTCATGTCTTACTTTTTAGAATTATGTTTATATTTTTATTATTTGGCTAGTCCATATATCTATATGTTAAACCTTGAAAAATGATTTTTAAATTTACATTTTTAAATTAAACAAAGTTTGTAAACATTAGCAGTTTCTAAATGCTCTCCTAAAACCTAAATGCTAAAAAGTTGATTGAATTAGAAAGAGTTTAATGCTCTACCAATCAAGGACAAACTATAGTTTCTGCATACTTGAATGGTAATTTTTTTTAAAAAGAACTTAAATGATAAAAGTCACATACATAAATAATGTCATATGAAGGCCTTTTAACAAAAAATAAATAAATAATCCTCATGCAAAAAAAGACACCCAAATATCTATAGGAAACACATGATTTTTTTTTTTTTTTTTTTTTTTGGTCAAAAACAAACACATGATTTAAAACAGGAAACCTACTAATAATTTTTAACACATCATACTAACTTATCCGTTTTTATGTTGTTTGCACACAAAAATATGAAGAAGAAAAAAGTGAAATTAATTTCATTGTTCAAAATATATTTTTTCTAAATATGCTGATAGTCAGACTACTAGTTTCACTAATTCTGGGCAATTTTGTGCAGTAAATAATTTTGTTATTGTAGTTTGTTAATCGAGCTTGTTTTGCTTGTGATTAATAGTTTGTGGTTTTTTTGGAATTTTTAGTGTTGAGTCATGTTATTTGAGTTTTTACAAAATCAGTTTTATTTTTAAGTCTACATATCTCAAAAAAGTTTCTCCATTTTTGAAGTCGAACTTGTTTGGGGTTGCCAATTCTCCATTTATTTTTTGAACAATCTAACATTCAATCTTCATAAGCACGAGTAAAATAATGAGCGCTACATTCTCTATATTTTTACCGCCACTGTTTATGTGATCTCTCTAAATGTCACGTGGCATTTCTTTGTGGTTGGTTTTTTGTTTAACAGTTAACCCGAAGGATGAATTTGTTTCACTTGTTCTTCTTAAACAAAATTAACCGATCGGGCCGATCCCAACACGCAGAGCAGCTACTCTGAGATTGCCGATTTTCTCGCCGGCCGGTATCGGTAGGAGAAATATAGAGGTAAAAGACACAAAACGAGGGAGTAGAAGAAAACAACACAACAGATGGATTCTACAGCGGTGAATTGGGAAGCGCTTGATTCTCTGATAATCGATTTCGTTAGCTCTGAAAACTTGGTTGAAGATGCCTGCGCGAATTCATCTCCATCTCCAGTATCGTCTCCTTCCTCTTCTTCCTCTCCTTCTATTTCCTCTTCGTCTTACCACGCTAGATTGATCATTCGCCGGATCCGAAACTCGATTGAATCCGGTGACATTGAGAACGCCATCGATATCCTTCGCTCTCACGCTCCTTTTGTCCTCGATGATCATCGGATTCTATTTCGCCTCCAGAAACAGGTTAGTTTTCAGTTTTAATTCCCTGCCAAAACTGCAGCCGATTAGGATAAGATGAATCCGTATTTGGTTTCTTAGGATTGCTGGAAATTTCATTTCGCCATCGATTTTAGGGATAATCAACTAACTCAAACCGAATCTCGTTATCTTCTCTTTGTTTCCGTGAAGAAATTTATTGAGCTGCTGAGAAAAGGAACTCATGAAGATCGTGTTGCTGCAATTAGTTGCTTGAGGACTTCTGTTGCTCCATGTGCTCTTGATGCCTACCCGGTACTGGAATATTCAATCCGTTTATCTTGTGATAGAGTACACTTATCTACTATTTGATGTTTAGTTAGATTCTTGCTCAAGTTTGTGTATGTTTTTGGCTCCACATTTATTGCCATTAAAGCGTATTGGTAGTAGTAAAACAACCTTCTTGATTATCTATCCTACTGGGTTTTCTCCTTTTCAATTGATTCATCATCTTCTTTGTAAGAGAGTGTTTTTCCTTCATTTATTCTGAGTTTTCAATTAGTCACTGTTTTGGTGGTTCTCTGTCTATGAAGTTCTGACCTTAGCGTATATATATCTTTAAGGAAGCTTACGAGGAATTCAAGCATGTCCTTCTTGCTCTCATTTATGATAAAAATGATCAAACCTCTCCAGTAGCAAACGAGGTATTGCACGTTTCCGCAGCGGTTTTCTTTAATCTTGTATTTTTTGTTTGAACCGCTGCTATACATCATGCAGAATTTGTATTTTGGATTATAAGGAATGCGCTTTCTGTTCTACAGTGGGCTGAGAAAAGAAGGTATGAAATGGCTGGACTCATGTCATCTGTCTTGAGAGCCTCTTTACAAGCATACGATCCAGTATTTTCAATGACACTAAGATATCTGATAAGGTAAGGCCATATTTCGTTTTGAACATTGTTATTATCCGTTCTGTTCTTTTTCACTTGCTCGGATTAAGCCTTTGTTCTATCTTTACCAGCATACATAAAGGATTTTGCTTTCACCAAGGAATATCCTCCGCAGTTTCTGATCTCACCCATAGATTGCTCCTCGAGGAACGTGACGCACCAGCCACTCCTTTGGAAAGTATGTGTGAAGCACCACCGTTTGATGAGGTAACGTGGCAGTTAGCTTCTTGGTCATCTTGTAAATGAAACGTGAGTATATATCTGCAGCACGCATTGTACTGATTTTTAATATCAAATATCAGGTGGACATACAGGCGCTTGCTCATGCGGTTGAGCTTACTAGACAAGGTGCTGTTGATAGCATGAAATTTGCCAAAGGTGACCTTTTCCAGGCATTCCAGGTTATCCTTTCTTAATACTTTTTCCTGCTTTATTCTCAATGCTTATCACTCCTCACCATTTCTAGGCTGTTTTAAATGGGATCTCTTGCGAACACTTTAGTTTAGTTTGGGGCTTAAGCTGTATATTTTACCACATGTCACTTACTATTTTATTATTGTTGTGTAATTTTATATATCTGCAATGCGACCTTATTTTTGCTTCTACATATCGCAGAATGAATTGTGCAGGATGCAATTAGATGTTTCGGTTCTTGATGAACTTGTAAAGGAGTACTGCATATACAGGGGTATTGTGGATTCAGGTTGGTGATCAACCTCTAGGCAGTTTTATTATTCACCCTCTTTTTGTTTTTGTTTGGCTTTTATGAAAGTCTGATCGTTTAAAACTTCAAACAGAGATGCAAATGATCAAGGGTCCTGCCAAACGCAACCAATCGGAGGTGGGTCAGAGCTTATCAAGAGACTGTTCTTCTGAAATAGATCTCAACACAAGTCAACATTCAGATGTTAAGAACTATAGCAACAACAGCATGCTTGATGGCGCACTCGTAAATGACACTGAAATGTCTAGCAAACAAGAAAGTGACGTTGGCACACGTGATGGCAGTGAACCAACCAGCGGTTGTGAAGACTACAGCACTAGCTGGTCAAACCATTGTGAAAATACAAGAGCTCTCCACAGAATTAGATCCCATATGAACTGTGAGAGTAATAATAAACGCAAAAGATGGCGAGGAAGAGCTGATGAAATGGATTGTCTTCCATATCCCAAGTCCGAGTCAGGCGTAAACCCTACAGAGGACAAGTATGAGATAGCATTGGCACTGAAGGAATTGGTCAGCAGAGGAATGGTAGCAGAAGCTGTTTATGAAATCAGCACCATATATCCAGACTTTTTCACACAAAACCCGGCTCTACATTTCCATCTTAAGCAGGTAAAGGGTGCAAGAACAACTTAAAACTCTCTGTGTATTCCCAAAGGTAAAATTTATTTATATAAATGTATGCACAGGTCGAATTTCTCAAGCTGGTGAGTGGTGGTGATCACAATGGAGCGATAAAGGTCGCGTCTTCTCACTTAGGTCCCTTAGCTGCCAATGACCCGTCTTTACTGAAGAAACTGAAGGAGACTTTGATGGTTTTACTCCAACCCGACGGAATCACACCTGGGAAAGATTTGCCTTTGAATGTTCTTGCAAATACGCTACAGGTAACAGTGAATGTTTTTAGTTTCGATAATGTCTTGTTCTGGTTTTGTCTGATGAAAGCTTAACATTTCTGCCAATCTTTTTTTCCTGAAAGGTTTCTGTCGGTAACAGGCTCGGGATCGAAGAACCGCAGCTTATGAAAATAATAAAAGCGACGCTTCACACGCATACAGAGTGGTTCAAGCTTCAGATGTGTAAAGACCGGTTCAACAATCTCCTGAAGATAGACTCTTTGAAAGAAGTGAACACTGATTTGATCGGTGCCATCAGATCAAGTTCAGACAAAGAGAAGAACACAAACTTGTCGTCTCAAGTCACGACGACGTCTTCCAGCACCATGACCTCCGAGGATGGTGGTAGCAGCGGCTTGATGACAATGACTCAGACTTCGCCAAGAGAAGCTTTGTGGGATGAAAGTGCAATTCTTAAAGTAATGGTACGTTTTTCGAGATCCTTGTGACTTTGTGGACCAATTTCTTGTACTTGTTAATAGATTCAGGAGTGTTGGTTTCAGGAATTTCTGGCGTTGCCGAGGTCTGATGCAATTCAACTTCTGTCACAATACAATGGAAACGCTGAGGCTGTGATTCAGCAACTCTTTGGTTAAAATCAAACCGGACTATCTATACCAAACACATCGGAAGGAAGTTGTTTCTTATTTGAATTTGGATGAGTTATTGTTATTGGTTTATTTATTCATTCTGCATTTCTTGTATGTCTTTTTGTACATTTTCATTACTTTACACACTTTTTTTTGTCAACACACAGAAACACACTTGTGAAAAATGAAATAAAATGAACAAAAAACTCGGATGATATGGGCCTTAATGAAAGCCCAATGTTATTATACAATGCTTTAATTATAAAGGGGAAACTGCAAGGGAAGCTACAAATATTGCTTTCGTGATTTATTTAAGGGGGAAAGCACAACAATGATTAAATAGTAGACAGAAAGGGGAAATTATTAATAACATTTATACAGGAAAAGACGGAAAAAGGAAATAATAGGTAAGATTGTATGGCCTCCGAACCGCTAGGGTTTTGATTCGGAGTCAGGCCAACTTTAAGGTTGTAAAGCTTCGGCTCTGTCTTTTTGAATGAATGTCGACGTTTTCTAGAGTTCATTATGAATATATATATATAATCTTTTGATTTTGTTTCCGGCACGTAATTTTTTTTTTAAAAGTTCATTTCATCAAATTTGGTCCAGTCTTTCTGTTTCTTCTTCTTGAATTCTTCTATAATATACAAAAATAAATAATTTGATAAAATGTTATGTAGAATTTTGATTCTGTTATTTGCATGTTTTTCTTGCACCAATCATTGTTTAACAAAGAATATAATTATAATAGCATTCGACCTACTTTGTCATAACAATAATAATAAACAAAATCGTCTTTAACTAATTAGTTTATTTGCAATAAGCACGTACAGTCTCTATATAAGTGCCCCCATAGAAGCAAGTGTTACTTCACACCAGCACTCTCAGATATTCTCAGACTCCTCAACAACGATACATATATACAGTTTTTCTTTTTTTTCTGTTTTCTATTTGTCTCCCATTTTTCCCCCCAATGGAGTCGTCTATGGGTCAAAAGAAAACATTGTACGCTTGTGTTTTTTTAATGATGGTGTTTTCTCTAGGGTTTAACTGTGTCCATGGACGGACCCTTAAAAACATGAAAGTTGATGATGATATGAATGTTGGACATGATGATACCAAGACGGTGATATTTGATGAAAAGATGGTGCAGCTCTCGCCACCACCTCCACCGTCGCTGCTACCACCTGGAGGTAAAGGGGAAGAAGATTTTAGGCCTACAACTCCCGGTCATAGCCCTGGCATTGGCCATAGTTTATCCCACAACTAATCATTTTCGTGCATGTAGTCCACATGTTTGTATATGTTGTGAACTTATTATTTCGTATTGCATGTCTTTTAATCATTTCTATTCAGTTCCACTTATGATATTTAACGTTGTTCATCATTTTATATTTCTTCAATTGCTTTATGGAATTAAATGATTTAAGATTTTCTCGTGTCTTGGATGAGTAACAAACGTTAGGTTATAAGAACTACTAATTTAAGGTTTGATATAAATGATTCCAGTTTAAAAACAGATACTCAAGTTTATACTTTTAAATATGGCTAAAGAATTTTACTTCTATTTCATAAATTATCGTTTCAGAACTTTGACATTATTCTGATTTTATTTTATTAACTTCAGTTTACTAACTAGGGAGAGAGAAAACTGTAGAATTGAAGTGTTAATATAAATAGAATATAGTTATTTTGATATCTGTATTTGTATACGTTCGTAAACTTTTAAAACTATTTTGATAAACTGGAAATGATTTATTTGAGCAAACCCTAAATCTTTATGTATATAAACACTCATTGTATATGTAAGTCTTTTGGGCTCTGTATGACTGTATGCTTTATAAATGTCAAAGAATAATCATGTGCTCACATGCGATCGAAAAGACCATACGAAGGTGTGGTAAATTTCCTAATATATATCTGTGTGTGGTTATAAACTAAGAGCATTGGTGCTGTGGTGACTTGAGAGTATATGTTTACTGGGAACTTTTGGTGAGTTGGTGTTTATTTATTTGATAAGAGTCATAATAAAGTAACAACCGTGAGGTTGATAGTTGAGATTGTAATACAAAGATTGCTTGACTTTTCGCTTGTCATCATCATGAATCAATGGTTTTCAAGCCTTTTTAGTTTCCTTTCATTGTTGTTCCTTTCTCTTTTCCTCTGTTGTAAATAATGTTAGTAGTACTATACATAACCCCTGTTTATTTATTATTTTCCTCTGTAAAATGTTTCTTAAATAGAGAATATAGTTTTCTGTGCAGAATAAATTGAAAGGAAAAATAAAAGATCTGTGGTTAGAGAGACTGTGGTAGGCCCTTTCAAGGACTTCCCTGCGTGTGGGAACCAACCAAATAAAAAATAAACCTTTTTCACTTTTCAACATGTCATTATTATGGCTGCACGAATATTCAAACTATGGGATATTCCGGCTACAAGTGTACTAGCACGAATAACAGCTATTTTTTTTTCATTCAATCGTAGTTCAGTTGGTAGCTAGAGCGGTGTACCATACCATTTACAATCGATAAAAAGTTCTGCTTGGTTAATATATTTCTTTTTCCTGCTCTTTAAACCATGCGGGAAGGTATACCATCACATGCTTTGATATTTCATGTCCATATAAATTTCAATCAAAACTATCCAAGCAATAAGATAACGATTACAACCTAATTTAGTTACAGTATACATTTGCGATTACCAAAAATAAGTTTAAAGTGAGTATGTTTCGATTTTTTTCATGTTTCAAAAGTGATTTATTTTTTTTGTATCGAAATCTCTTGACTTTACATACTAATGTAAAGTTGAGGTCTAAACGACTAAACTTATTTGAAAATAAAAACGCTTCAAGTTAAATTAAAAACAATAATAATGACAAACGACAAAGAAAGAGCGAGTGGTAGGGTGGAGTTAGTGGTTAAGTCGATGGTGGTGGTGCCTTTGACTTGGTTCTCCTCACTCGTTGACGAGACGAACTAACTTTTCCTCTCACTCGTTTTCTTTACTTAATGACTCTTTATAATAATAAAAATGCGCTTTAATTTTTTTGTTTGTTGTATATTCTTACAAGCATGGCGGCGTTGTCGGACAATTAAAAAGTTTTTAAAACCGGTGGACAGAATAAAGGAAAACAAGTGTCCATATAAAAAGAACTAGTACATGCCGACGTTTATTTACGTAAACAATCGTCTTAAAATGAATTATGATATTGGTTCAACCGATTAAGTGTCTCAAATTTTGTTAAAACAAAAAAAAACCTGGACATTTTACATGTGATTGTGTTTAAAAGGTTTCTATAGAACGAATGAATAGTCCATATGGTTTGATTATATCATTTTTATGTGAAAGAACTGACATATTAATGCTGTTAATATATAATGAACGTTTTCATGGCATCACCACCGGTAACTGATAAACAACAAGAAAACTATTTACAGAACTGGTTAATTAGAAGAGAATGATCTTCACGAAACTCGACGGCTGGTTCCACCTCTTAAACTTTATTTATCGGGAGTTTGTTTGCCTTCTAATTTTCACTGTGTAAAGAAACTACTCGTTCCAGAGCTTTGTGAAAAAAGAAAAACAAATTTTATTTGTATTCTTTATAAAATTATTAAATTCCAAAAAATTGATTTGCAAGCGTCACAAACACCATGCAAATATACACTATGCATACTAAAAATCAGCCATATACAAATCCAGAGAAAAATAGCAAATGCGCTTGGCATTTACGTTCACATCTTGGGAGTGTTTACTTACGGTCAGGGAATAATTTTTTTATATCACATACTGGTTCTAGACGAGAAGTCTAAAAATAAAAGCATATAGGTATACACATAATGATTACAAGTACTTTTCGTTACGAAGAATATTTTATAAACCTGACCTGATGGTAACCAACCCTTTTTGGTAGTGGAGAAGATCTTATACTAGTGAGTGGAGTGGAGGGTCCAATTTTTTACAATACACTTTAGGAGTCAAGAATATGATCATATAACTAGGGAGTCTCAAGAATCACAATTTTGCAGTATATAGCCAAACATTTATTGAAACATATTTTTGTAACACTATGTTTTTTACTAAAAGAATAAAGATACAACTAGTGAAGTCTCTTGGAAAAAAATCATGAACATAACGAAAGAGACACATTCCAGTTTCCAACAACCATGCACACATAGATACCTAAATACGGGATTTGTCTCAAGATTTGTACGATTTTTCTATATAAGAAAAGAAAAGAATAGAAAGCTTTTGTATATATTATCTATGGAGATGGACAGATGGGAGAGGGTCCTTCTAACACTAGTGTCTTTCTGTGGTTAGGGAAGGGCGGCTTTTGTGGAACTTAATTAGCCTTTGGAATTTTATAGTATTTTTGTAAATTATTTCATTTCCATGCTGTAATAAATAACCATTTTTAATATCTAAAAATGATTTGATTTATATGTATAATCGCAAGACAGTGAATGAAAATATTGTTAAGTCCTGGTTGGACCAGAGAAAATGTCTTCATGCTTACAAATTTATCTCTTTCTCTGAATTTATAACTTCTTGAAAATATGTGTTTAGGATACGAACTTAGTTAAAATCTGAATTACCACTAACCATGTTCGTCACCAACAATGTTTTATATTCACTGGAAAATTGACAAAAAAAGTACAATACAAGTATGATTGTATGAGTTGGTATATTCAACAATATTGGAGCACTATGGGAGATTCAAGACATCTGCCGAAAATCCCACGCTTAGATTTTGTCATAGAAATATATATTCCCTTTGTTTATAGTTTTTAAGCTGAGTTATATTTTATAATGATTGAAACCGACGTTTCTGATTTTATATTTTCCTTAAAAGATACCAACTGACCATTTGAAATCTCCTTTTTCAGGTTGGCTACATACATGCCGTCCATCGATTGTCTATTATAGCATATGTTTTAATACCAGTACCCACCCCCTTTGTTTTTTTTTTATTTACATTATGCGTTTTTAATAGTTTTGGGAATTGATACGCGAACGGTCAGAATTAAATCACTGTACGCAGTACGCTCATTGTTCCACTCAAATTACACTTATAAAGAAGATCTATCTTTCGGAAAAACGTAAAAACGTAAGCCAGAGTCGTGTGATCTCAGCCTTATTTCTCTCATAACTCTAGAAACTAATCCCCCCATACATAAGAAAAAAAAAAAGTTAATATGAAACTCTCAACTTATACCATTCTCACCGTTCTCTTCATTTCGATAGTTTTTGATAAAGTTCAACTCACTGAGGCAAGACAGTTGCGGAAAGCCGACGGTCAAGAGCATGATCATGATCACTTCACCGCCGGTTACACTGATGATTTCGGGCCTACTTCTCCGGGTAACAGTCCGGGCATTGGCCATAAGATGAAGGAGAGTGAAAATGTTGACGGGTTTAAAGATGAGTTCAAGCCTACGACACCAGGTCATAGTCCCGGCGTTGGACATGCTGTCAAGAACAACGAGCCTTAGGCTTGATGAAAAAGGTTTTAATAGTTTAGCGTACTTATTCGTATTGTTTACTAAATTGATAAGTATTTTAAACTGTCGGTAAGTGTAATTTCAGTTTTACTGTATATATGTATTTGATGCCTGATGGTTTATGTCATTTGTAAGTTGGTCGATTAAGAGTTTTTCTAGATCATTAATAAAGTTAGATTTCATTTGAAACTTAAAATTCTTGCATGAGTTTGCATGTTATTATATATATAGTAGATACTTCATAGTGAGATTCTTACTACTTGCCACCATGTGCAAAAGGTAGAATTGCAAAGCACATGAAGAAAGGCTTTGGAGATTTATTAAATTTATATTTTTTAGAAGAAGAAATAAGATACCTTAGTACTACAGTGGGAATTTTTAAAATAATTAAAAAGTTTGGTGGTGCAAAAGGAGGCTTAAAGATCTCCAAATTGGGGAGATTGAAAATGACTTGATTGAGTTTATTAAAGCATACCCAAAAAAAAAATCAAAGTATTCAAGGCAACACCCATTATGTTGTTGAAAATAATGCATTTGGTGAACAAAAAAGGTTAAAGCAATATGCCCAGAGGCGCGGAAAAAACAATGAAAAAGCAAAGAGGCGCATATAAAAGAACAAAAAATGATAATGCACCAGCCGGGAATCGAACCCGGGTCTGTACCGTGGCAGGGTACTATTCTACCACTAGACCACTGGTGCTTCATGCCAATGTTTTTCATTTATATATATCACTTTATATATTCTCCTCCGTAAATCTCGTTGCTTTATCTTTAGATCCTTCAACCGGAGTACACCCTTAAACTTTTTGCTAGTGAGATTTCTCTTACTTGTATACTCAAGTCTCATCCAATTGACATAACATTTTGAGGTACTAAAGTTAAACTATAATGAAAGATTATGAGCACACTATGTCAAACTCATGATTTTTGTACTATATAACTATAAATATTTTTACCAAAAAATCATATGCATATACATAGGGCATCGCCGCAAAGCACAGGGACAGGAAGATCCAAAAACGATTCCTAATGCATGTGCAGTCAAAAACACTAATTTAGTGCAAATTGTCAAATGAATCACGAGATCTCGTGAGAATGTCAAAAAGTTCTGTGAGTGGCAGTCTAAACGTGCACCCATTTTCTCAACTTTTTAACGAATGAGCATTCACCTCAGTTTGTTTCGAACTAGTATGGAGTCCGATCAGGATGAGTATTATTCTTTTCTTTTCTTTTCTTTTGGGCATGCATGTAAGTATGTAACGTACGCATTCATACACTAATGTTTTATAGCAACGCCAATTCTTGCTCGACGTTTTTTTCTGTTATATGTTTGCATATGAGCTCCATTCACGGAATCTTCCCAGAAGCTTGGAATTTATAACTAAAATCCTAATTATTTCCATGTGTATAAATATTAATTATCATAATTTATAAATTAGTTTATTGGCTTTGTTTGTTGGAGGTTCAGTGGTTCACATGCATGGTCCAGCTAGTCATTTCTCTTCTCCATAAATAGCCATCTTGAGTTGAAGCCATTGATACATACATTCAACTCTTATCGAATAATCTTCATATATACACATATATATTTCCTAAGCTTTTACATTCATTTTGTTTAATCTAGAAAGTATAACAATCTCTGATAATTGCTATGGCTAAATGCACTTTGACTAGCTTGGTTTTACTACTATCATTGCTGATTCTCATCCAAGAATCTCACATCGTTGAAGGTCGACCTTTGAGCTATTCGGGGATCTCTAATATCCCGAAGAAACTCAGTGGTCGTGGTTTGAACATTTCAAGCAAGTTAGAGACAGAAGACCATTCCTTGGATGCATTCCGACCAACCAAACCCGGGAACAGTCCCGGAATCGGTCACTAGCTATATGTTGTTGTGACAAAGTAAGATCCTAGGGTTATGTTATTAGACATTTACTTGTGACAAAAAGTAAGATGTTGTTGTGGGTGCGGTGTGTATTAGCCTGGGGTTTCTTTGTATTGTCCGTTGTGTTTCCGTGATTGTAATCGATTACTCATGGACTTTTAATTAAATCGCATTTTTTTTCTTTACTTCTTCGTTTCTCTAAATATTTGTCTACCTATATGCCACATCGCAAGGTTCTTTGTTTTTTTTTTCTCCATGGTTATTAGAAATTGTAATTGATAGATTAAGAAAACATAATATTTCATAACTGATACGAAGGTAATCACTGGCGCATACATCTATCGACACATTCTTAGTCATATTTTTACTGGTAGATGCTAAACGAAGTATTTTTGAACTTGCGAATATCAGAATCTTTTCACCAACCAGCACTTTACATTGATAAAATATATATTAAATCAAGCATGTGTATCACATTTGGAAAAGACGTCCACGGAAAGGGAAAAGCGGAAACTATTTGTGAAACCATTAGGGTTTGTCTTTAATAATATAAACAAGGAGTTACACCCCTTTTTATGTATTCTATGTATCTACTTGGTGGTGGGTCTCCGACATAAGAGAAAATTTGGAGAATATGAAAATGAGAGAATGTGCAAACCAATTAACATCATGGTTAATCAGCCACGGATTAGCTACAAAATTACTCACCATTACATATAGTTTTGTTAGGCGGTCAATCGGTGGTTTATCGATGCTCTTTTCGTGAATTTATGTAAAATGAACATCCGCTTGTTGTTAATTAAACAGATTTTACTTTGTTAGGAATTGTTGTGTCTTTAAAACTAGGCAACTCTACAGCCAAATTTCACATACAATTGGTTTGTATTAATGTTATAGCAGTATCACTTGAATAAAAAAGATCAAGGAATGTTTTGAACAAAAATTATTAACAAAATAAAGTCCGAGAATAATAATTTGTCTTAATCATGGTGGTGGGTCTGACCAAAGATCATGCTGGTCTATAGATCTTTAAATTGACGGTTGTGGCTGACTTGAAAGCTAAGAGCCAACTAATCCTATTTTCCATATTTGGTTTAATCCTTAATTAATGATTAGTGGTCACAAGCTATAGTGGCCTTAAGGGCATATGGAATAGTGGCAAAAGGACACTCTGTTTTTTTTTATCTTATTATTAAATTGGAAGCTTTTTCATGTAATATGTTTGAAAACTATAAGAGGTGTAGCTCTTGAGGAGTTTGAAGAGCGGCTTGAAGCTAATTTATTAAGTAAAGTGTTCAAAGAATGATATCAATAATATTATGATATAATAAGCACCCAATGGTCTTGGAGTACTTGAAAGCCTGCTCTCGCTGTCGATCAACATGTACTGTACTTAGCTTTTTAAGTTTTAACATATAGTATAGGTCTCATTGGTACGGTTCATTTAGTGCATAGTGTGATTATATTAATACCGTACGATTACGACAATAATTATTAGTTTTCTTTTCCAAATCGTACCGATAACTAATGTTTACATGGTATTTAAGTAAGGTAAGGAAACAACGAAGTGGTGGTTGTGAGTAAAATTATTATATTAGTTTTAATTTGGTCACTACTGTATTATACTTTTTTTTGATAAAACACTATTGTATTATACCAAAGAATATAATGAATTTATGGGGTTAATTTATGTGCTAAACCCATTAGCCTTACTAGTTGGCATGTTACTTTTCTTTGGGTGCCTTTATATAGACGACACCCTTAAACCCAAGATTCCGTAAACCTTTTTAAGATTCAAGACTCTTCACACCACACCGCATGCATTTCTTGACTACTATTTATAGATTCTTATACAAGCTTAAAGACACTTATATTTCCCTCTTAAACCCCAATAGAACATAAAGAAACAGAGAGAGACTTCTCGTTCTTTTTTACGTACTTCTTTGCATTCTTTATTAACAGACTCTCAATCATCATCAATGGCAAAAGCTGTGTTCTTAAATTTTTGCATATTTCTTCTTGTTATCACCATACTTGTGTGCCATGAAATCACACCGACCGAGGCAAGACACTTGATAACCCAAAGAAAGCCAATTAAAAACAGCAGAAAAACTACCCTCAAGGTACACGACAGCTTGAGCATAGCCGCCGTCGGCTCTGTGAAGAAGAGTGGCATTAGCAAAGAAGAACACGGTGTTGATGAGTTCCGGCCAACAACTCCCGGAAACAGCCCCGGCATTGGCCATTCCATTAAAACCTAGTTGATTAAAAGATCTACACACCTGTATAGTGTCCCCAAGCTTATATATTTGTTTTTCTTTCTTTCTTCTCCTTTCGTTTCATGTCACCAAGTCTATTGACTATTGTATCTCGTAATATCAAATTTTTATTTATAGCAATCAACGTTTGGAATTTTATGGTAAATAAGACTTGATACAGACAGAACTTAAATTAAAAAGGATTTGATACAGATATAAACTCCGTAACTACAAAACAAGAATAGTAAATGTGTCAGAGGTTGGTGACACTTCGGAGTTAGGAGTGAGTGATATAAAATTAAAAAGTAGAAGTTGATAGAAACGCACAACATTATACAAGTGTTTATACTTTTGATTTGGGCGATATGTAGAAGCGAAGGCCCGTTGAAGCCCAAAAAGAAAGCGAAGGCCCGTTCATTTTTGTCAATAAGAGTTTACAGTTAAGCCCATTTAGTGTTTTCTTAGCATTTTTTTTTTGTTTGGTTCACACTACATGTCATTAGGTTTAGTGGTTTCTTAGCATTAAAAAGGAAAATTCACAAATCATCTCCACGTCTGTCGTTTTTGATTTTTGAATCATCCCTTCAAGAACTTCTTCGCTTTTCATAAAGTTTCGAATTATCTGCTCTTTACAACTCCATATTTTACCCCTTTCTTCTTAACCATAAGTTAATATTTTTAGAGTATTTGTAACTTCACATTTGCTTTAATCTGTGTTATCTGCGAACAAGAACTGTTATTTTTTCCCCAAATTAACAAACCTTTTTTAACATTGTTTGTATGATATCCAATACTCTATTTTGTTGAATTTGAGGATATCCAATACTTACAAGAACGAAACTTAAATTGTAAATAGTGACGTGATTCTGAAATCTGAATGACAAAACTTGGAAATGTGGGGTCTAGAATATTGGTCGCTGTCTATAATACATGGCTTAATGGTTCAGTTGGTGCATGTTGTTAATTTATAATTATGAGAATCTTTACTTATTCTTTTGAAAAAAATATTTATGTAAGCTAATAAATTATTGATGTGTGATTAATACGTCAATTATGTATGTCTTTATCTTCGTGAATTTAAAAACGTAGTTATGGTCCACTTAATTCTCAGCCGTTGGATCATCCATATCTTTACAAAGATGTGACCTTTTCGTGGGGCCCAGAACCACGAATCGTAGCAATGTGGGCAACACGTCGAGAGGAATCTCTTAGACAGATGATAACCGCCGTTATATGCACCGAGATTCCCCCGTTACTAACTCCGTTAGCGAGGCAACCGTCTCGCAACTGTACCGGACCGTACCGGTTTTGTCGTACGCAAGGGAAAAGTCCAATACACTCGCCTCGCAGTCCCCCTCGTGTATAATTCCGTTTTTGCCCCCAAAAGTTTAATAAGGATTTTTTCTGCCAAGTTTCAAACAAAAGTATTTGGCTCTTCTTTTTTGAAATTGAAAGGTCTTATACTCTTATTGATATTTGATCAATTGTTCCGTTCAACTCCGCTAATTTAAATTCAGCTACAAGTACTACAAATTGTACCACATAAAGGCTACGACTAGTATGTGTGGCAGAGTACGACTATAGGAGAGAAATATGTACATTCGTAAGTGTATTTTAATATACTCATGTATGGCAGAGTTCGAATTTTTTTGGAAATATAGCCTGGATTCTTTCAGTTCAGTAACGCTTGTACTCGAACATTGACGTGGAATTGCATAGACGAAGAAAAGCTACTGATAATTTTTTGTAAGTCTTTGTAAAATTTAAATAAGCTATCTTTGATTTTATTGGGATAAGTTTGAATAATTATCATAGCAAAGATATTTATGATAATATACACAAATTTTGTCTGCTAAAGATTTGAATAAAAACATTTTGAAAAATACTTGTCTGATAACGCAATAAATGCCATTTCAAAAAAGAGTAAAAGTAAACGACTCCAAAAAATAAAAGATCAGGGAAGGACCAAATGAACAGTTAGGTCATCAGAAGAGGGTAGTTTGGTAATTTAAAGAAGATGAACATGTCATCTTGTTCCTCTCCTTTAATTTTTTTTTTCCAGTCTATTGGTCCTCAGCCTCCCCTTCGCTTCAGGTGGCGTTTGCTTTATCGTCCCCAAGAAAATCGCTCTCTTTCTTTTGATTTAATCTCACTAAACCAAATAAAAAAAGCTCCGAAATTTCAGACGATAAGTTCTAGATGATTCGATGTTTGTTTCAGACATGGAGCGAAAAACCCTAGCCACTACGCCTCCGCTTCTACTCTCCTCTTTCTTCTTCCATCTTCGGTAAAATCCATTTCTACTTCCTTTCTCACTCTTTCATGCTTTTTTTTTTCCCGACGATTGGTTACTGTTGTTTCTCACAGAAGCTCAACAATTTTCACGAAAGTTTTGATTTTTTATTTTATTTTATATGAAGTTGGAATCTCTCTGGGTTTTAGCTCGATATTCATTGAAAAGTCTACTCTTTTAATTCTGGTTTTGTTTCGCTATCAATAGAGAATAGTCAATCTTCTTCTTTGTCCCTTTTCTGTTTATAGAACTATTTCTTAGCTTCTGATTTCTTCAAATGACATTCTCTTTTCCAGTACTATTCCATAACTTTATTGGCTGATTTTTTTTTTTCATGAAGAAGTTGGTGAATCCTCAAATTAGACATATTTCGTTGTTTGTTGACCTTCTCTTGTTATGTGTGTTAACAGAGGAGCTGCATTTGGTTCATCAAAGACGTTTCATTGTCTTCTGCTTCTCTCATGTCTATTGCTCTCCTCAGTCAACACATTGCACAACTTGGCTGAGTACGACTCTTATCGAGGTTCCAATGGCTACAACACTCCTGCTTCTAAAGCGTTTCAGAGCTTCGACGGTGGAGATTCCGAGAGTGTAGCTATCCAGAATGTCTGCCCCAGCTCACAGCTCTTCTCTTTCCTTTCAGCTTTAAGATCAGAGAATCAGTTTGATCCAGTTGTCCCCTTCTTCGGGCTGTCCTGTCCCACCAAGTCATGGAGTAACTCTGCTCTGATAAGTAACAATCTCTCTGGTGTTGTGTGGCTATCTCTGAAGCCTGTCCACATCATAGAATTTCAGCCTTTTGCTGGAATCTTCCACATTGGAGGAGCCACCACTCCTTTGTCTAGAGAGCTCCATGGTAACAAGAACGCAGGAGAGTTGAGTCTTTCGGTTTCTGGAAGACAGTGTGGAGGAAATGGTAATAATAATCAGTATGAAGGGTTCTCATCAGAAACAGGGGATTACATAAAGTTTCTCTTTTTCTACCAGACCGGGCTCTCTTGGGCGTCTGGAGTTGCTGTCTTTGCAGTACCTATGAAGGCAACAGCGCCTGTTTTGATGCTTAATCTTTGCAAGAAACCAGTCTTTTGGATGCGGACCAAGAAACTCTCAGTTGCGGTTCTTGTTGCTGCTGCGTTACTCATCCTGATATTCTGCTTCAACGATAACTTCATGGACGAAAACAATAAGAGAAACCAGAGTGAGGTTAAGAAAGTTGAGAAGAAGCCATCTACGATCACAATCTCCCCTGAAATGGATTCTCTGCTTAGGTCCATAAGCCAAGGGTCCAATGAGGTTTCCGAGAACAGTATAAAGCCAATTGCTTCTGTTACTTCTTCTTCATCTTCACAAGCAGAAACATCAGAAGCTGCGAGTCTAAGTGTAAAGACTGCGAAAGACAAGAAGAGACGTCGAAACAAGAAGAAGAAGAAAGGAGCAGTCACCGGGTTAACATCCGAACGCACAGATGTTTCAAGCAGTCAAAGTGGAAACTCAACTCCAAGGTCTCCAATGTCACCAGAACCACAAACTACTCAAGCTACAAGGAAGCCTCCTAAACCGATCCTATCGCACTCAGCAACGTTTCCGGTTTCAGGGGTTAAGTCAATGATCATACAAGGAAGCGCTCTGGCTCCAAATGTGAGAGCTCCTGGAGCGAAAATAAGAACTGAAGTGAAAGAAGAGAAGGCGAAAGAGTATAGGTATGATATCTGGGGAGACCATTTGACTGGGCTTCATTTGCTGGATAGGTTTAAGGAGGTGAAAGAAGGTAAAAGCATCTCAGGTTATGGTGAAGTTGATGATGAGTGTGAGAGTTTCTTTGTTAAGGGTCCTCAAAACTTGTTAGCAGACTCTCATGCCAGTTTTGTAAGTTCCTGCAACCAGTGGGGCTAATCAAGAAATAAAGAATATAAAAATAAAAAAAAAGTATTTTATAATAATGCGAAGCCCAGTATGCTTTGTGATCAGCTTTTTAGATCTTGTGGGCCGAACTAGAAAAGTAAAACATAATGGCAAAAAGGTAAAATACTTGGCGGAGGGAGTAAATACTAAATACCGTTGATAGGAAAAAAAATGTAGAAATTGCTTTTTTCTACATACACGAAATTCATTTGCTGTTGTTGGAATTCAGAAAATTATAATATAAAAAATATTCTTGATCACAAGATTCATAACATAACAGGAAAGAGAAGCTTGAGAAAGGGATGATCAAGAGAATCATGAAACTTCCTTATCTTTCATGATTACAGAGAAGTACAAATTTAAGTTTACTTGCAGACGAGAGCAGTACCAAGTTCATAGGATGAATACTCACAAAGAGTGTTACCGATGATGATTTGGCCTGTAAGTGTCCCTACTCTGCCTCTGCGTGTCTCCAGCGTACATGTCCCGTGCTCCATGGTTGTAGCCGCTATTGGCGTTGGTATGATGGTTATTGAATGGTCTGCGAGTGTCCTCACTCTGCCTGTATACGTCTCCTTCTCTTCTGTGACTTATCATCATTTCTGAGAAGTGATCCAGTTCCCTCACTCCGTAGTTGTAACCACTGTTTGAGTTGGCATGGTAGTTGTGATGGTTCTGGTATGGTCTCCTCTGATGCGTAACCTGCATAGCGTGTGTATTGGCACGCGGGTTGAAAGATGATTGTCCCTGCACAGCATTAAAGGTAGGTCTTCCGTTGTAGAAAACCGGTGGTGGTGGTCTTTGGATTGACTGGTTTTGCTGTGTTGAATAAGCGTATGCGTGTGAAGGATGAATATTTGGACGAGGATGATGTGAATTGGGAGCATTGAAAGGAGGAGTGTATGGACGAGGAGCATTTGGTCGTGGAGCATATGTATGGGAATTGTGGGAATGATAAGGAGGATTCATATTTCTCAACTGGGTTGGATTCTTATGGCCCTGTGAAGGATTTTGGTTTGGCAAATCAGCAAGAGAATGATTCTCATCTTTCTGGTTTTTTCTTGTCTTTACTTGGCAAGGCTTCTTCACATGACCAGGCTTTTGAAGTCTTCCATCTGATTACAAACACACAAAAACATCGCTAGAAGAAATCTCTAATTCATAACATTACTAGAACAAAGAAGAAGGAAGCAAGCATGTCACCTTTTAGTACATAGCCTGACTTTATTTTCCTTTCTCTCATAATCTTTCTTGCTGCGGCACCACGGCTATGCTTTTCAGATAGAATTTTGACTCTGTCTTGTTCATTAGCCCATCGCTAGAAATAAGCAAACTCATAAGCATATGCAACTGGCGAGACCAATGACTGAATATGTAAAGTAATAGAATAAAACACATTTTTCAAGACACTCACCTGCCTTAAGGTCATTAACCTATAAAGATTTCGTCCTTTGACTAGTAAAGGATACAGAGGAGGCAATTTCTGTATCCCCTCGCACCAAAGCACTTCAATCTTTGGGTAAAGAGACACATATTTATCAGAATGGATCAAGCAGCGAATCACACAATGATGATGATCAACAACATTTAAGGTCTCACTTACAGTGAAAGTGTGTTGCTGTTTGGCAGTACCATAGCTTTCTTTAACAACCTGGCCAGCGACTGTTCTTCTCCCCATAATCTTCCCACTCCCTTTCATCTTTTCATACCTATTCAAGCCCCAAAGATCGTTGATTTACGACAATATTAGCCTAGGGAAATTTTTAAAAATTAAACAGAAGGAAGCATGAGTTAAAGAAGTCACTACTTTTGATGAACCTTCTGTGTAAACAAAACTGTATCTCCTTTGCACACATCACCTGCGCACCAATTTTTCAAAGACTGTCAAATTCCGCCGAAAACTTCAACACTAACAGACAAAAAAACGAACGAGTATAATCCAAAACAATACTATTACCTTTACAATTTATAGCAAAAGATGATCTTGGATAAAGTGCTTCTCCACTCCCATCTTTTATCCTGAGAATCAGATAGGATCATAAGAATATCATGAAGAGAGAGAGGCAAAGGCAGGAGTTGTTTGTTACCTCCAATGCTCAACAATTCTCTCAATGAAAACTGGTTTTGTGCCAGATAATCTTAGACCATGCTTTCTCAGATATGCTTTGCATTCTTTCACATTTAGTGCTTTCAAATCGCTTCCGGCTACAGCAACAACACACAGAGAGAGAGAGAGAGAGTTAACATCAGAAACATTCATTAGTCGATCATGTTTCCTTAGCATCCCAATTTGACAGTGTTAGGTCAATAAGAAATTGATGCAAACGAAACCATTTTGGAGAAATGAAAGGATCTATAAACTGAAAATGACAAAAACCTGTGAGCAAGCGAGTGACTGCGTCGTCGTCATCATCATCGGCTTTTTTCCCGGTCTCCTCATTTTCATCGTACTCAACATCTGACTCCGTAGCATCATCGTGGCTCCAATCGCTATCATCCTCACTGACCAGTGACCACACAACAAGCACAATCGATAAAGATGAAAAAACCCACAAAATAAGCAAAGAAGCCCAATCGGCAAATACCTTGAACTCGTATCTTCTTCTTCTTGTTCCGTTTCGTCAAGCTCTTCCTCGCAATTATTCTCATCATCGAAATCGTCTTCTTCTTCCTCTTCCGAGCTACAGAGATCGATGATTACCTTCTCGGCCGACATTGGAGATCTTTTCAGAGGAAGGAAGAAATTTCAAAAAAAATGTAAACGGCTCTTGGGATTTTTGTCGGATTTTAGTAATTTACGTTTTACAAAAATCCCAATTTGGTAGTGGGTGTTAATCGAGGCACTTTAATTATTTACAGAATTTCCCTTACAGTTCAAATATTTACAAGATTTATCCAAAATTTCTTCCTTTTAGGACTCTATAAAAGCCCCTGTACTTTTCATTTTTACCAAAACTGTCGTGAAACCAGAGAGATTAATAAGCAAGCATCCAACACTAAACCCGTAACAAAAACACAAAGTGTAATGAGGGACAAAGTGAAATCGCAGATACTATCAAAGGAATACGACTATACGAGTGAAACTTTTTCATCAGAGAGACTGTTTTCTTTTAAAATGGATCAAATCTAAGAATGATACAAATCCGAGACCAAATGTACATAAGACATCGTTTATACACAACTCTCTGAAGCCAAAAAAAAAATGGAAACAAAGAAGGAAGCCTCTTCTATCGATTTAAATTTGTCTACCCACACGATCTCATTCACCTAAACTGTTTCCCCCACAACCCCAAACTCATTGATACACACATACGAATGAGCAGTAGCTTCAAATGTAATCCTTGGGGTGGTGCAAAATCAAACGTGATCTGAAGGGACGCAGATTCTTCTCCGGTCAGTGCTTGGCTTAGGTCGTTGGGAAGGAGACGGGCTCGGAATAGCCTCGAGAGTTGAACGAGGGGACAGACGGGTCACTGTTCCGGTTAGATCGGGAGACCGGTACTGTTGCTGTTGCTGCTGCTGCCAACTTTCACTGGAGAAAAAGAATTACGCGTGAAGAAGCTTCAGAAAGCCACAACACAGAGAAACACAGGTTTTCACATACATGTTTCGTTTTTGAAAAATGGAGATGAAACTGTGATGAGTGTGTGCTTACCTCTCTGAAGATGCCACGTTTCTAGCACGCGGAACTTGGTCTAGTTTGAAATTTGGTTTCTCCCTCCTTCCGTTTGGTTCCTGTCAATGCAAGTAGAGAGAGAGTTTAGTAATGATTGGTAGATATGTACATGAGAGAGATGCACGCTTGGAGCTGAGCTGTGCTCACCGTTATGTTCATCCCGTTAAACAACTGGGAGCAATTAGAGACATCGCTGTTGCGTGGAGAGGTTGGTTGCGTAGAACTCTTTAGGAAGCGGTGTTCAAGCAACATAGACGCGGTCGGTCGCTCAGCTGGGTTTCTCTGGAAACATAATCTTAGAAAGTCTTTACCCTCATGTGACATTGATTCCGGTACCGGTGGGCTATCTCTCATGACCTTGAACATCGCTGCAGCCTATTGATAAGGTTGAACAAAACAGTTTTAAGATAATCAGGAGAAATTCAATCTTTTTTTGTGTAACACTATAAGGCATATACGTGTATGTGCTTACCCCTTCAAACTCACTCCACGGAGGCTTCCCAGTGAACATCTCAATGATTGTACATCCTAGACTCCATATATCCACAGCAAAAGCGAGATCCGGGTTGCTATCTTTTTGCATCACAGCTTGCATGAGCTGTGCGAGTCAAAGAAATATACATTTAGTATATATATATATATATATAAGACTTTATAGGGTTTAGTGAATTTCAAAGATCATAGAACAAAGACTACCTCTGGTGCCATCCAGTACGGACTTCCCTTTAGCGAAAGATCAGCTCTTTGCCCGGTAAGCTGAAGAAGAAAATAGCAACTATATTATTATCAAACTGAAACGAAACGAAACCAAGAGAGCCTTGATCACTTGTTTAGCAGCAGTAAAACACTAGACAGAGTAAAGAACTCACATGTTTAGCCATGCCGAAGTCAGCAAGCTTCACAACCCCAGAAGCATCAACAAGTAGATTAGCACCTTTGATATCCCTGATGAACATTACAAAAAAAAAGGGAAACCAATATGCTTAAATCTTCAACATCTGGAAAAATACTCAACAAGATTGATTAATTACACAAATATTATCACTTTACCTATGTACAGTCTTTTTGTTGTGCAAATAAGCCAGCCCGGACAAAATGTGACGAGTGAAATTGCGAACAACAGATTCCGTCATGGTACCGCAATGGTCACGGATGTATTTGTTGATTGAGCCCGGGTGAACATATTCCAGGTATATAAAGAAACGATCATCTACCTGTACACAAAAATTATAATCGATTAATTTTCAGCCACATTGGGTAGGTATACAAAATGCATTCAAACAGAGGATATATACTCACTGTTTCACTACCAAAATACTGCACAATGTTTGGGTGTTGAAGGTTACTGAGAAGTCTGATCTCCTGAAACACAAACAAGTTATGAGATATGCGGCTTAACAACATATAAACACTGAGAGCATTGTCTCTCATGTAGCTTACCTGCTCTAATTGCTTTATACACTCTGCAGATTTGGGGTCATCAGGGAATAACTCAACTTCCTTCATCGCACACAATGCTCCAGTTTCGCTGCGAACATAAACGCAAAGGAGAATAAGGCACTCAACAACATTAGTAAGGATTGAGAATACAATGTGAGAAAAGAATACCTGTTGCTGGCGACATAAACGCTTCCAAAAGTACCACGACCTATAAGCTTCCCTTTAATCCACTGAGAATTCATTGGGAAGGAATCCACTTTAAGAGGAGCCTGCGGGCAAGGAACAGAAGAAGCACCTGATGGAGAAGGACAAGCAGCTCCAGGAGGGAGCGGCAAAGGATGAACATTGGAGCTATCACGGCGTCCATTAGTAACATCAATGGACATCCTCGGATGCAACGGCGAGGAAACACTATCCCGCGGTGCAGCCGAGTTATCAGGCGATTGCATCGAGTGCAACGGCGAAGACGGTCTGCTCGGTTGTGGGCTTCTGATCTGTCTGCGTGGACTTCGAGGTTGCGGGCTATGGATGGGAGAGTTGTCTGTACTAAACGCGGTGAAGTCGTAAAACGCAGGAGGAGGAAGTCCGGAGGTATCAAGCGGCATATCTGGTGCTGACCATGCTTGGTTGCTCTTTGGAGGCAAGTAGAAAAACGGCAAATCATGACCAGTGCTCTTCCTCTGTGGACTCGGCACAGGACTCACGTACGGGCTCGTTGGAGCACTCATCGTTGGAATGCTCACCCAGTAACCATTTCTGTTTCTCGGACTATTTGTACAGCTAGAGTCTTGATGTGACGAATTCTCCGAGGCTCTTCTCGATTCACGAGCAAAGCCAAAGCCATTGACGCTGATAACAAACACGTCAAAAAGATCATAAACACAAATTGCCTTTTAATGGAAAACAATCGCTAAAATGGAAATGGTATATTTTGTTTCTTATCCTTATCCATGTTCTTAGTATCGTCGTGAAATGAGGATCAAATCTCTAAACCCTAATTGAAAATGAAAGGGGAAATTGAAATCGAAATCTACCTGGTGAGAGGAGGAGCAGAGGAGGTGCGATCAGCAATAACTCTATCGGGATCTCGATCTCTTTCCTCCAATCCTCTGCCGTTTCCAGGAATTCGATTTCTGGAATCTCCGGGGACCTCGGGTAAAGGGAGAGGCAATGGTAAGGGAACGGCAGAAGGCGAGCGAGGAACCGTCGTGTAAGCGCTGGGAGAACGAGTTAAACCGAAATCGACGGTGGAGGAAGACGTTGATGCACGACGTTCCCCCAAAACATCGTCATCCGTCAAGTGACGGAGCTTCCTCTGACGGGTGAGCCTCCCGGGGTTAAAACGGAACAGGCGGCGACGGAAACGATCCCGATCCAGGTTCTGATCAGGATCCGGAGATTCGGAGTAAGAAGCCACCGGTTTAAGAGAAGAAGAAGATGGAGAAGATGAGGGAGACGAGAACGAGATTTGCGGAAGCCAACGCATAGCGAGAAATCATGGTATGCTCATGAGAGAGATCTCCACATGAAATCCTCTCGCGCTCTCTTTGTTCCTGTTACGATTAGAATCGACCTGAAAGACGGAGATGGAGGCGATGGCGATGAGGATCCATGGAAGGAACCCAACGGATTTAACAGAAAATAAAACAAACTCAGAGAAAAGTAGTATACGTGAAAAAGGAAAAACACCAGAAAATGATAAGGAAGAAGAATGAATATTAGGACCAATTATGTAGGAAAATTTATCTTTTGGGAAAAAAAATAATCGAGAAGACAAAAAAGTTGAGAGCCGGTTGGGTTATTTTTGTGACACGGTTTACAACGGCTTTCTTCTGAGTTTTTTTCTTTATCCCGGTAAAATAATGAAATAATTAAGCTAGATAACCACTCTTAAATAGATTATTAAATGCAAGTTAATCCGATTAAATTGAAAAATGGATAATGTAATTTACAATCGTATATGCAATCTTTGCCAGTTCAGTTTATTTTACACTCACAAACAGTAGTTCGGAGCTTAAGATATTTGAATGAACAAACAATAGGTCCAAAAACAACACGCAATTAATGGAGATAATTCAAAAGTGTAAAGTCTATAAAATCTTTATCACAAAAAAAAAGTAAATGTAAAGTCTATGATATGAAAGGGATTATGAGAAAGAAAAATAAAAAGAATAATGCGGAGGAAAATGTCAATCTGTACTGTGTAATAGACAGGCGTAAAGTCGACTCCAGTGTAAAACGGTACGGTACAAATCTCAAAGCATTGACTTAAACAAAACCTAATTTATTAGACCAACTCAACCGTTAGTCTAATCACCGAACTTTAGTAAAATAAAACCTGGTTTACATGTAAACTCAACCAACTGATTTCCTAAACTAGGCAAGATGCGTTGCGTTTGTTTAAAGATCTTTTCCAATTATAGGTCAAGATTTACATGGCCAACCAATTAAATTAAATGTAATAGCATTGCAATATTGTCAGAGATGGGAAGAGAAAAATTCAAACAAAATTAAAAGTCATAGTAGCCAGATCAGTCAAAGCTACCCCAAAAAAAAAAGCAGCTGAAAATATTTATTTATTTAAGATCGGATCTATCCGGATATTAACTTGGTTGGTGTAAAGTTTAGGCGGTAAATTTGATTGAAAACTATCTGAATTTGATTTCACCTATAAAAAAACAAAAACAAGACTTGTTAAGAAGATCCCACAATAATTCAGAGTAGCTAATTCAGAGACCATCGTAAGTCGAATAGTAGTGAAAAAGAAAAATTAAATGGTATTTGGAGACTGGAACGGCGACGGAAGATTCCGAACTGGTTCGGGGTCAGGTCAACTACAGTTTTTGTCCGCAATATTCCACAAACAAGTCAACCGTCAACGAAAACCAAAGAGTACGTGGCGAAACCTTCTGGTCATAACTCAAAACAAAGGGCACGTGTCATTCTTAGTTTCCAGTGAGGAACCGTTATAAACTTATAATTGGACCAAGTCGCTTGCTCTTGTTTCAGTGTTAACGACCTTTTCAATTATACGAGACGAGTTTTGTTCATTATACGATTACCAACTATTCTAAACAGTAAACACATATCGTGTAACTGCAAACACGACTATTTCAAATTATTAGGACACTGCAACAAAACGGATACTAATGAAATAATGCAAAAAAAAAAAAAAAACAAATATTTGATCAGCAATTAAAATTTGGATACTGAAAGGGTTCTTTCACTTAAAAGAGTTTATACAAAAAGGGTTATTCTAAAAACTGTTTCTTCCCTTTTTTTCTTCTCATGGGACAGAATCTTCAGAGACATCACCTTTCAAAGGACTTAATGTTATGCTTGAACAGCTTCTGATTCTTTCACGGGGCTCGTGGCGACAATCTTACACACAGGCGCGGTTTCATCCTTGCTCAATAGCTTCAGTGATGGATGAAATACAACTTCTTGCATCAACACTTTGTCCTCGATGTCGAGTTTGCTCACATCTACTTCGATCTTAGATGGAATATGTTCTGCTAGGCCTACAAGTTTCACACTGCTTCGGATTGACTTCAAATTCCCCCCTGGCAAAACACAAGAGTAATCGTTTCTTCATCAAAAAACAGTGAGCTTGTAAAGATCAGGCAATGGTAAGATACTGAAATTTCCCGCGCTAAAAGAGATGTTCACATGAGAACACTCCAAAAAGTAGTCTATTCCCAATGCTAACAAAGTGAAAACTGTGCTCTACAAGTGAGAAAACCACAAACATATCGTTTCTTCTTTCTAACCATTGGAACATAAACTTCACTATCAGAGAGAAGTGAAAGATCTCTACTTACATGACTCAGCTCAATCTTAAGAATTGATGGATAACGGTGAAAGAGAAAGCATTAAGATCAAAACTAATAGTCACACTACCTTATCAATCAAAAGAGAAAGCTTTAAGATTGATACAAGCATCAAAAGTCACAAAACTTCACAGTAAGTACAAAATGTGAAATTAGCTTCACAGAGGAATGGAAGAAATGAGAACGAGAAGAGAGAAAAAGTGATACCTTTCTTGAGACCGGGACTATGATCTAATCCTTTGAAAACAAGAGGAACATCAACCTTGAGTTGCTCCCCATCCTCAGCCCATACAAACACTAAATTCAGTATCTTTCCACTTTCGTCTCTATGAATCTGAGAATCAAGTAACACCAACCAAACTATATCAATCCAAAAATTCACTCACAATATTCACTAACTTCACCAAACACACAAATCACATTTTTTTCTTCTAAATTCATGATGTGATCGCGACTGAAATTGAAATGGGTGGATTTGTATTGGAAATACCTTGAGGGGAAGCACTCGACCGGATTCAACTAGCGTCGATGAGCCCTGCCCAGCTCGGATCTGGAGCTTGAATGTGGTCGAGCAGAAGAACGGGAGACCCACAGATTCTAAAATGGACTTAATCTGCTTCCTATCAGTCGTTAACATCTGCTTCCTCGAAGCCCCTCGCTTCGAAGCTTCCGTGTCGAGAAGCGACTGAGGGAAAACCACGGCGGGAATCCGGCCAATCGTCCGATCCCGTGCCGATACTCTTCGTCCCGTGGCCTCACGTGGTATCGCCTGGATCGTCTCGTACTGATGCAAACACCGAATCGATCGACCGAATGAATACGCCGGAAAATCAGCCACCTCCGCCGCGGATCTCAGGCCGCGCAACCATTTCGCCATTTCTGTTGGTTAGTGTTCGAGTGACGTTAGGGTTTTTTTCCCCCAAATCAAATTCAGGCGATGGAGGGGTTTAAGCTTTATGGGCTTTCTATGGGTTTTTCCAATAAAATTGGGCTTTTTATTGGCCCATAGGTATAATATAACTTCAACTTTCATGTGTTATTTTGTTTTCATATCATTTTGATCCACCACCGTTCAGTATTTTATTATTGTGTTGTTTGTTATGAAGGTGCAATACTAAACATACAAGTCAGTGAAGTCACATTTATATGTTTTATTAACATATATAAACCTAATCACGAACAATTTGGTCGTGCTTTTGTCTTTTTCGTAATAACAACATTCTTTCGTTGTCTTGTTCTGATTTTTTCATAAGCGAATCAGTATGCAGTTGCTCACACGCTAAACCTATATTTACCCCTCAAAGGCCAAAAAAACAAATGTCCTATACCTTCTATAATTATTTAATTTAAATTACTTTCATAGTTTCTTACCAACCAATCCTTTTTTAATTTGAATCTTCACATTACTTTGACTCTATTGATTCTTCTCGTTTTACTCATGATAATTGTGTACCATATCAAACAATACTATAATTTTTTTAATAAGATATGGTTGTAGGTTGTACATAAATTTGTTTATGTGGCTATAAGTATATGGTTACGTATTGAAAAGTTCTTGCTTTTGTTTTATCCCTTTGCTAAACAAGACACTGTTAGAAACAGAAAACAAAAGTTACTAGATTACTAGTTCATTTAGCTTCAATTACCTGTCGTTCGACTATACTTTTCTTTTCTTTCCTTTCAACCAGCATGAATTACATTTTTGTTGTACTTGTATTGTATCATTTGACTATATGTTTGATTAATTCCCTTTTTATTATATTTGTGATAATTTGCTTGTCTGATCTAATTGTTTTGCATCGCGTTGTATAGTATCACCATTAGTACCTTCAAAACTTGTTGTGTTTTGGATGGATGACAACGAGAGGGGAGACAATCAGAATATACAATAAAATTATGCATTAACAATCATATCTGGCAAATGAGAGACTGTTCGGTCCACGTGACAGTGTTGAATCAGAGCAAATGACAAAGTCAACATGCTGACGATATAATATAACAAACCCAACGATCATTATTAATTTTATACAACGATACAAAATAAAAGGTGAAGGTTATTTAGCTCCATCTCAACATTCCAAATGTACAACTATCTACAAACGCGTTGAAGTTTAATCTAATCAGCAAACCTACATAAAGATATGATGATGAGCCATTGAGCTTTTGATAATGTCTTCATTTTTCCTTTCTTTGGTAAGATCCGCAAGTGCGTACGGCTGACGTAATCCAGTGGGCCCACTATTTTCTTGTTATTACAGTAATGCCATCGGATTTGCACGAACGAAACAAGTTTTTGACTTTTTGTAGTATAGAGGTCTACGTCTAATAAAAGATCGGATCCCAACTTCTAGATTTTTTGTTTCGTATATATGTATTTTTTTTTCAATGCTGAAGGTTCTTATAGATAGATTAAGTGGGAATGAAAATATAATTTTTGGTAAAGAAGCGGGGATTAAGCTATATACGAGGCTACGAGCACGTAGAAAAGCGCCTTTGTTTACCAAATTCTTACGCCAGTCCCTTGTTCTTCTTCATATACATTTCGTATGCGACTTTTATACGTTTCTACGTTTATTTTTTCGCCTAAGTTTCATAAATCCCAACGAAACAAACAGGAGAAAAAGTGAAAACCATTATTATTTATTTGTCGGTGTTTGTGCACCATTTGAAACTTCGGGGGTTTGTGTTTATATTTGTTTGTACATAAATCTTATCAGTTACTATCTGTTGTAAAATAATTTTTGAAGAATCTAATTCGTTTTAAAAATATATTTACTGAGAACGACCTGGTTGTTTGGACGCATAAAACTGCCTACACGTGAAAGTGTCTTTCTCAGGTAAATAACCGGTGTATTAAGATGAGTTATTTTCTGTTTAGTTCACTAACACAAGTTTTGTAATTTAGTTCTAAAATATATGGGTTATTATCAAAAATTTCAAAAGTTTTGAATCATCCACCGTATGGTCCCTTTTGGATACAAGCGACAGATTATATAAATCCGTCATGCTTTTTTAGAGTCATGTAAGTCAAATTTTTTTTAATGAATGATAAGATGAAAATTCGGTGAAATGTTGACCTAACGTTAGCCGCGTCGTTTATTTTTGTATCTGGCGCACGTGCGGCAACTCGTACTGATCATATAAGCTTATCCTAGTTACAATAATGCCCTTGCCAATGGTCAAAATTTGTTATTGTAATTCGTTAGAAATTTGCTACTTTTAGGAGCAACGAGAGCATTTAATTTGTTTGTTATACACTTATACTCTATTGGATTTTTAATGATTTTTTACTTATTTCCTATTTATCATCAAGAGTTCCAATGCAAAATTCGTTGTCAATAGAAAAAAAAAATAGTATTCAGACATAGTTCAAAATTCTCATACACGTTTATTTTACGATTTTTTTCATAGTCGAATTTCATTCAATGAAACTTCTTAGTTTTGTCGACGAATGAGATAAGTTAATCAAAGTACTTACACAAACCATGTGCAACACTAGGCTTGTGTTGAACATAACGAAGCACTTTAATTCCATCTCCAGTTGGCATGTGACCCCTTAATCATCTACTAAAAATATATGTAATTATATTCGAATATACAACTTAACTATTTTGTAATATCTATGCTTAAATAGTAGAGATAGTTAATTAAGTAATTTAATAATTGGACGTTGGGCGGAATTGTAATAAAGATTTTGGAATTGTTGTTTTCGTTGGGCTGACTTTTTCAGTAACTGTTTAAGATTTCGTATTTGAGATTAGAGGAAAAGGACTTATCTCGAGACGATGACAGCAGTTAGAGGGTAAATTAGGCAAAACTCAAACGAAATAATACAGGGACAACAATGTAATTACGCACGCGGTTGCTTAGAATTAAAAACCCCAAATTAATAATTACGAGATCGGACGGCTGTAAAACCACCTTGTTGTGATCTCAGCGGCTGTGGTTTTATGACGTATCATCATTATCTAGTATAAAATGATCATCTCCGTCATTAGAAAAGCCTCCTTTTTTTTTCCATTTTCTTTCTTTCTTGATCTTTTTTTTTTTCCTCTCTTTCGTTTTATAAATCTTTGGCCTTTGGGGCCAGAATAATTCGGAGAAAAAAAAAACGGGTTTTAATTTCATGAGTTTTCTCAGAAACCCTAGAACCCGATTAGTAGCTTCTTAGTCACTCTACGTATCTCTCGATCGATCATGGAATCAAGCGATGAAGGGAGTGAGATACGAAGCTAGCTTTAAAAGATCACAGATAAAACAAGTTTTCGGAAAGAAGAAATATTCGTTTTTGATTGAGGTAAGACTGATTTTTGTTTTCCTTTTTTTGATCGATGATTTGATTCAGTTAATTGTTTTGATTGACATGGATTGATACTGATTGATTTTGTTTTTCTTTTTTATTTTATTTCATCATTTATGATGATTATATAAAAGATTAGAGAACCTGTTGATCTTCTTCATATTCAACTGATAAACCTCTTTATTTATACTATTTACAGGAAAATGAAAAATCATCTCCTCCCAAACAGATCTGTAATCGAAGAAAACTTCTGAAAGTTTACGCTTGTCATCATTTCGATTCTGGTTTGTAACCGTTTCTTCTTCTGTTTATATTTTACAAAAACTTCTGATTTCATTTTTTTCTTTCACTATTCTATTACTTGTACGGAACATTTTTGTGTATATGCACGAATAACGATAACGTTTTCTTTTTTTCATTTCTCTCAATGTTATTTATCAAAATATGACTGTGACACGAAGCTTCCTCGATGCATTTACTTTCACGATCCCTATTTTCTTATTTTGAGGGAAACCTTTTTTATTTAATCAAATATATTTTCTTGTTTCTCCCATTCCAGGCTTTTCCAGAGAGACAAAAATGGCGTCCTCAAGCTCTCCCTGCGCAGCTTGCAAATTCTTGAGAAGAAAATGCACTCAAGAATGCGTGTTCGCTCCATATTTCCCGCCAGACCAACCTCAAAAGTTCGCATTCGTTCACAAAATCTTCGGTGCAAGTAACGTCGCTAAGCTTCTCAACGAGCTCGTCTCCAGCCAGAGAGAAGACGCCGTTAACTCTCTTTTCTACGAAGCCGAAGCTCGACTCCGAGATCCGGTTTACGGCTGCGTCGGTTTAATCTCGATCTTGCAACACCGTCTTAAACAGCTTCAACACGATCTTGAGAACGCCAAGAAAGAGCTCGCTACTTACATCGGTCCTCAAGCTCTGCTTCCTATGCTCCAACCGCAGCAACCGCAACCGCATTTCATGTCTCTACCGTCTCAACCGCAGCGACCGTCTTCTTCTTCTTCAGCGTCTGTGCTGACTCAGCAGCAACAACATCATCATAATCTGTTGCCAATGATGGGTATTCCAACTGGACAACTCTACCATCAACAGCAACAACAACAACAGCAACAGATTTTCGAGGCTCAGCAATTAGCAGCGGTTGCGAGAGAGCAACATAATGAGATGTTTAGAGCTTACGGAGGTGGCGGAGGAGGAGCAAGTAATCATCAAAACCAACCTCAAGTTGAGATTATGAGGTTTAATAATAATGGTTTTGACTCTGTACCGACCGGTTCGGTTACGGTAACCGGGTTTAATCAGTTGAGCTCCGGCGGTACAACCGTAACTGGCATGTCACCGTCTCTGGCTCTTGGTGGTAACTTTGTTGAAAGTCCTCCGACGAATGAAAACTATCACACGGATCATCAGCAGTTACATCATCATCAACAACATCATGAGGCTAATTTTCTCATACATACACAGTCTTCTCAACCGCTACCGCTTCAAACGCACGAGACTCAGACGCAGCCGAATTCAGAGAGCGAGGATGGTAGAAGGAGTATCATTGGTTCATCTCGGTAATTAGTAAAAAAAAAGAAGAAGACGGGAGAGATTAAAAAAGAAAAAAGATACGGCCTTTGACCTTCTCGCTTGCTCAATAACCTCAAATTTTCCTCAACTCAAGGTACGTGGAGAAAAAACAATCGAACGTTAATTTCTCCACTAATAATAATTAGGGTTTCGATTTTTTTGTTGTTTTTCAATTTTCTCTGCGATTTGATTATTCTTTATGGTATAGTACAGTTACAGTGATACAGAGGAAGTTTTGCTTTATATATAACATTTAATGATAAAGCCTTGTCATTTCTTCAATAACTCTTCTGCTTCTCCTAGCTCGTATTTTTAACTTCCTTTTTGTTGGATTCTCTGAACAATAATGCATTAACTAACCTTGTCGTCCTCTAAAAAAAGAAAAAAGAAATGGGTTTTTAAATTCATGGTCAGTCACATCACTTCACCGATTCTTGCTAGAATAGTGTGGTAGTAATTTACGATATGTGTTAGTTTTGTTCTACCTAACAGAGATGAAAAGAAGATAATTTGTGTAGCTTAAAGAGTCTAAGATTTGCTTACACCTTTCTGTCTCGAAATCTTTCAAGTGTTGTCCCATTAGATACACTTTATTCGTTCATATATTAGCTTCAATCACATCGATCAAGTTCTTTATATCAATTACATTGTCTTGGATCCAATACTGCTTTTTTTAAACTTATTTCCTCGACTTTTCTTGCAGTTGGAAACTCTGACTTTGCTCAAGGCATTACGGACACAATCAGGATTTTCTTTCTTTATAATTTTGTCGCACTTCCAACAGCGAAAAAGACACTCGACACGTGAAAGTCAAACGACACACACAAGAAGTCAACGTTATTTGGTTGATTTTGAGTTTTGGTGAAGAGTATTACCTAAAGGCTCGTATCAAACTGAACAAAAGATCTAAACTACATCTCCCGCTTTGGTTTTTCCCGTATGGAAACTTATTATTTTAATTTTTTCTTGTATTTTCCTATCATTAATTTTTGACAATATTATGGTTTAAGTAAAAAAAGAGATATTAGTGTTTTGGATGCAATTGTCTTTGTAAATTAGATGCTACGAACAGTCATTTGGCCTAGTGCTTTATCACAAGTGGTATTAAGGAGCTTAAACGATTACAACAAAAATAGAACAAACGAAATGAAGAAAAACAGTAAAATTTGATAAAACATTATGATAATGAGTTAATGACTACAAAAGTCCACACCATTTTATTAAAAAACTATGTATACACTTATATTTGTAAGCAAACGCATATAATAACCATCAAGTAGATGAATCTAAGGAAGTAGTTAAGTGTGAATGCTTGGCAATTAAGATTGTGTTGGGTCATTTATTAACACTCTTTGACCACTCATCAATTTAATTTCGGCTCTCTCTTCCATAGCCTTTTCTTCTTCAATACTAACATTTCTTTTATACAGCGAAACCAATCTACAGACTAAAGCCTGATGATTCATGAGAAACATGGATACTTAATGTTGCATGTGCATGTGGATATAATAGTATACTTTATATACTAACCTCACCAGTAGGATGCTTAGTATAGCAATAAAGAGAAGGTGATGAAATTGATGAGCATCGGTCATTAAATTAAGCACTGACCCATTAATTGCGCACTTACCCATAAACCCCATTCACTCCTTTTTTTATTAACTTAATAAAGATTATACATATGCACCTCTCTCTCTCTAACACTAGTCACCATTGTACCTTCTTGGTACTCTTAAATGGCTCGTGTCGCAATAATTTTTCATGTATAGATTTCTTCAAACTAGGTCAATCCAACAACCAATTTAATACAGTAGTCCTTGGTGAATTTTCTATTTAAGAGAGTATATATGTATATGGACCGACAAAATCAATAAGCTAAAGTTTTGACTATATGTCATGCATATATGATAATAGACTGTACATGCAATTAAATCATTCACGGTGCACATTTGGGTTGGTCTTATAAACATAGTAAAGGCCCAAATAGGAATTGTGTTTGATAAGTAGAGTCAGGCCCAAATAGAAGATTAGAAGTTGCCACGTCAATTGTCAATGTCATTGTCATCCTCCTTACAACTCTGTTGTCTGATCAGTGTCTTCTGACTTCTGAGCTTCGTTTCTGTTTTGCAATCAGTGTCTTCGTTTAACGCCGTCAACTAACGGCATAATGCTACCGAATATTCTTTCATCACATGGCCGCTTGTTAAGCAGCACGTGACTTTCTATGAAGCTTTCTGTTTCCTTCTGAAGTAAGGTTTTCTCTTTTTACCCACAAACTATTATTTTAGCATATCTTGTGTCATCCAAAACGAAAATATCTTCTTATTTTATTGTTTTTTTAAAGAACTAATTCATTTTTCTGATAATTCTTTTATTTTTTGCTTGGACTCTTTTATTTGGTAAATTGTTTTTGCTTGTTTGATTGATAGTATACAAACTCTTAACTAAAGAAATAATTCGAATCCCGTGAGTGAATGAATATATATATATTTTTTTGGTCGATAAACATAAATAAATTGAAATGGATAAATACATAGAATTTAGAGAAAAGAAAAAAGTTTTTTTTTAAGCGACAAGGACGAGTGAAGAAGTCGCGCTTTTGGTTTGGTAATAATAGTTTCTTGAGAAGCAACATCAAGCATCAAAACGCGGCGGCTCTTGTCGTATCAAGCAACAGAACGTTGTCGTTTTGGGATTAGCCTTATCTCTTGGGGCGACCAATAATTGCCTTTATTGATTTGTTCCTCTCTGCTCTCCATTTCTTTTATTCTTCTCTCTTCTCTCTTTCTCTCATTCGCTCTTCAATTCCCTTCCTCTTTCAGAGATATTTCTTTCCTTTCTCGAACCTTCCTCTTCCTAGATTCCGGCGAAAACAGATACTCTTCGAATTTGGCGGTGGGAAGAGTGGAGGTTTTGAGGTCTCTTATGTGATCGGCGAATTAGAGGAAGAGGCGAGAGAAAATCAGAGATGGATCGAGCACCGGTGACCACAGGACCGATGGACATGCCGATTATGCACGACAGCGATCGATACGACTTCGTGAAGGATATTGGGTCGGGCAATTTCGGAGTGGCTCGTCTCATGAGGGATAAAGTCACAAAGGAGCTCGTTGCTGTTAAGTACATCGAGAGAGGCGATAAGGTTTGTTCAAATTATTTTTAAAAATCTCATTTTTATTTTCGTCTTTACTAAATTTGGAAGCTGATGGTTTTATTTAATTCAGTGATCGTTATAGTGGTTAGCTTTTTGGTCGTGGGATTTTCGATTTCGCGTTTTACCGCTTGTTTTAACGAATTTTTCAAAGCTCTGGTTTTGTTGAATTGTGGCTGAGCTCTCTTCTAACTATGGTGATCGATTCACGGGTTGCAGATTGATGAAAATGTTCAAAGGGAGATCATAAATCACAGGTCACTAAAGCATTCTAATATCGTCAGATTTAAAGAGGTAAATCTGCTTACTTCTCAGTTCCTACTTATCTTGTGAAAAATTACAAAGGCAGACACTTTAAACAGGGTTTCTTGTGAAATGAGGATAGGTCATTTTAACGCCGACTCATTTGGCGATCATAATGGAATATGCTTCTGGTGGTGAGCTTTACGAGCGGATTTGCAATGCCGGACGCTTTAGCGAGGACGAGGTTTGCATTGCTGTTGAGCGCTTAGTTCTCTTATTTCAATTTTAATGCGTCCCCTGTTTTCTTTTTAAAGAGAAATGTCTTGTTGTACAACAGGCTCGATTCTTCTTTCAGCAGCTTATATCCGGAGTCAGCTATTGTCATGCGATGGTATGTAGTAGACCAAGTGTTCATAGAGCTTAGGGACTTTTTTTATGTAGCATTGGTTCAGTGATTTACTCTGGTTATTCATGTGTTTTATGAAGCAAATCTGCCATCGAGACCTGAAGCTGGAGAATACATTGTTGGATGGAAGTCCTGCACCTCGCTTGAAAATATGTGATTTTGGATACTCTAAGGTAACAAAATGTGTTTCTTCAATTCTCTGCTTTGAGGTAATTGTGTTTGCTAAAGCATTTTTGCTTTGGACAGTCTTCTGTTCTTCATTCACAACCAAAGTCAACTGTTGGTACTCCTGCTTACATTGCACCAGAGGTGCTTCTTCGTCAGGAATATGATGGCAAGGTAAAGAGCTTCTTCTTCCTCTGTTCATATCTCCTTTTTTATCTTCTTCCATGGATGAATAATCAGTTATCCGATTGTTGCAATACAACCAGATTGCAGATGTATGGTCTTGCGGTGTAACCTTATACGTCATGTTGGTTGGAGCTTATCCGTTCGAAGATCCAGAAGAGCCAAGAGACTATCGTAAGACTATACAGGTAACAAACAACAGCTTAAAGATTGTTTCTTTGCTTATCTCTTCTGATATATTATCCTCTTATTCTTTATCTTTATGATTCTAAAACATACAGAGAATCCTTAGCGTTAAATACTCAATCCCTGATGACATACGGATTTCACCTGAATGCTGTCATCTAATTTCAAGAATCTTCGTAGCTGATCCCGCTACGGTAATAACTCATTCCCTTTACTCATCTCTCTCATCTTTAACCATCAGCAGAAAAAATGATAATTTCGTTGTTGTTATTGTTACAGAGGATTAGCATTCCAGAGATCAAAAACCACAATTGGTTCTTGAAGAATCTGCCAGCTGATCTAATGGACGAAAGCAACACAGGAAGCCAGTTTGAGGAGCCTGAACAACCAATGCAAAGCCTTGACACCATCATGCAGATCATCTCCGAAGCCACCATTCCCGGTGTTCGAAACCGTTGCCTCGACGATTTCATGACTGACAATCTTGATCTTGACGATGACATGGACGACTTTGATTCCGAATCTGAAATCGATATTGACAGTAGCGGAGAGATAGTTTATGCTCTTTAATAAACACTAAAAGAAGGCTTTTTATGACCAAAACACTTCTCTTAATCTGTTTCAAGACCAGTGTCTCACTGATCCTCTGTTTTTTCTTCTTCTATATCTGCCATTTTTGTATTGCTTAGCTCATTGTCTGTCTGTTTGTTGTTTTCTTTTCCTTAACACACATATATGCAATGTAAAATATTATATCATATCTATACACATATTTTCCCAATGTTACAAGCTCACAAGACATCACATCACACACTCAAACCAAATTGAAATTAGAATAGTTGAAGCAAGTTGAGGTTATGTTCTGTCTCCTCTTCTGTGATCGTCAGATTCTTCATTTTTGGTTTGAGTCTTTCCCACAAGAACACAGTCCCTTCGTCGCATTTCACCTCCAGATTCTCTAGACCCTTCACTGAATCTGGCAACTCGCATCGGTAACAATCTCTCATCAAAATCTTCTTCAGTTTCTGCAACTTTCCGATCTCTAGAGGCAACTTCTTCAACTGGAAGCATCCGGAAACATCTAGAAACCGCAGATTGCTGAGTCTCTCGATCGTTTCAGGAAGCTCAAAGAGATTACTACAAGAACTCAGTCTAAGCATTTCAAGGTTCCTCAAATTGCCTATAGCTTCAAAGAGTCCACAAAGCTTGTTACAGTTTGTGATGCTAAGCTTCTTCAGTGAAACAACTTGAGAGAACCAATGTGGTAACTCAACAAGATTGTAACAATAATCAATTTCGATTTCCTGTAAACTCTGTAGAGTCTTAGAAACATCAACTTGTAACTCGTTTAAAGACTCATCTACATGACACAACCATAGAGATAGGTTCTCAAGACTATTGAGCTGGAGTCTGGAGATGTCAAGCAAAGTGATTGAAGCTTTCTCGAATCTAATCCGTCTCAGGTTCGGTAATGAGCTGAGACACGACAAGTTGGTCAGTTTTGCAGGATCAGGACCATGATTTCTGATCATTACAACCTTCAGTTTCTTCATTGTAGTAATGAAGTTTGGTAATGCATAGTTTGATGAATAGAGATTAAGAACTAAAGCTTCAACATTTGGACAATCCATTTCAACCCAACTTGATAAAAATGAATCATCTGTAAGCCAAAAAAATAAAAATAAAATGAAAGACCAATCATATAAAGCTGTAGAAGAAAATATGGTTAAAGGCTGTGTGAAAGAGAGTAAAGAAAGAATTATTTTACCACTAGAGATAGACAAGAGAGAGGCATTGATTATAATAGGCTGTTTTGGATTTGAACACCAGTTTGGGAATTTGTTTTCTTGTATTTCCATGTTTAATCTCTTTCTTTCAAGGATCGAAGACGACTCCTTTTCGCATTCATTTACAGCAAATTTTCGTAGGATATTCTCTTGTTTGACCAACAACTCATTGAAGAAACCATCTTCACACTCATTTCTCCTGATTTTATAGAAAACAATGAATAAACAAGAAATATGTAGCGAGATTAAGAATTGGTAGATGAATAGAAAGTAACATACCCAAGAGGAAGAAGTGTAATGAGATTGTTAGAGGCAAGATCTTGGAGGTAACTCATGCAGAGACTACTCTCTTTACCGTATAGTTCAGACCATAAGTCAATTATCGAGGAAGCAATTATTTTCTGGTCTTTGAGAAACGAGCCCATGTCCAAGAAACATTCTCGAATATTGTGGGGCAAGGCATCCAAGGTTTGGATCGAAATCGAATCCATAATGTTTCATATGAATGGAGGGGGAGGAGTTTTATAAGCTTAAGATCGGATGCCAAAAAGAGATGGGAAATTTAAGAGAAAGTTTCTATATTGATCAAGTCTTTCTTTTAAACGTGACTCTTGACAAAACCCATTAGAGGGGTTATTTATAACGAATTAGTCACGCGGGACTTTGAACAAAACAGACTTTGAATGGAAAACTTAAATAATATCAACCCCAGCGTAGAAGTTAAACTAAAAGTACTATGGTGACTTGATACAAACGCTAAAGCCAGAAGCTTGCTAGGAAAAAGAGGTAAATAACAATGAATGCTTACTATACTTGAATACAAATGTCTGAAGAAAAATATTTCTCCTTAAAAGATATTGTTGATTGAAGTAAGTGATGATTATGCAGGAGAACAAAAACAAAATCTATCAAAATCTTTAAAATTAACATCCAATATCACACCTAGTAATTATGTTTCTCTAAAACAATGAAACCCAAAACTCTTATATGCCCTATATCAGGGTTTTGACCTAAATAAGGTTTTTTTTTCACTAAACCCTAATGCTCTATATCAGGGTTTTGACCTAAATAAGGTTTTTTTTTTCACTAAACCCTAATGCCCTAAATCAGGGTTTATCACTAAACCTGATTTTCCCTAAATCAGGGTTTTTTCCAAAACCCTAATGCCCTAAATCAGGGTTTTTCCCTAAACCCTAATGCCCTAAATCAGGGTTTTACCCTAAACCTGATTTGCCCTAAATCAGGGTTTTACCCTAAAACCTGATTAGCCCTAAAACCTAATTTGCCCTAAAACCTGATTAGCCCTAAAACCTAATTTGCCCTAAACCCTCGCCAGAAACCCTGATTTTGCCCTAAACTTTCATTATCCTAACCCTGATTCACTCTAGTCATATTCGTTCTAGTCATAATCTTTTGCTCGTACATTCTATTCGTGTTTAATCACAGTAACGCTAATTTCTTATAATTCTATATTTTTGTATACTCAAATTTTATAGATAATTCAAAAAAATTCAAAACTAATTATAGTACATTTTTTCACTAATATATACATTTTTATGTAAAATTAAAAAGTTCGTGAGGTGATGATTTTGAAAAACATTTTTAGGTGTGGTGCTGTGGTGCTTTTTTGTGTTTGGTTGAACCTATCATCGATGACAGAGATATAGACAAAGATTTCAGGTAAGTTAGTGTGGTTCTTCTGAAGGTCAATTCCACCATATCTTTTGCTCTAGTTGTGCTAAAGGCTTTTGAGGCGATTTGCTTTTACCGTTTGAAGGTTTAGTTTGGGTTTTAAAAGTTTTTAGCTCTAGTTCTGTATGTTTTTTCCTTATGTTGGACTTGTCTCCTTCTTTGAGTTCTAAAAGGGAATGTATCCGTTTTTCTCAGTTTTGGCTTTGTTATTGAAGATGTGTTTATCTTCTATAGTGTCTTAGGTGTTTCACCACTTTTTTAGTTTGGCCGGTTATATTTGGGAAAAATTTATATAAGTTCATATGAAAAAAAAAATGATTTTGAAAAATCAATACAATTTGATATTTTAATAAGTGATGATTTTGCAATAGAAAAAAAACAAAATCAATAATATCTATTTTGACTTTTGATTTATTTTTGGCAAAAGGCTGAGATGATACTACACGATTTTAAGATCTCAAAGAATTAATCAAGATTTTCCACGAAATATAAATTATATACACTGACACTGTATATCGTTTGTTAATTCAAAAACATACATATCCTTATTTCCATTTACATTGGATGAGAAGAGCATAGCAACAGCTAAGAAAAAGACAAGAATCTTCCCCTGTGTGGGCTTAAGTCTCTCTTTTTCTACTAGAGTCTTTCAATAGTAAGGAAAAGAGCATTGTGTGGACATCCTTGGTCCAAAGTTCTGGTGTTTGTCGTGCTGTCGAGTTTTGCGTGGTCACCTTGGCTTTAGGTCTTTTTCAGATCTAGATCTCAGGTCGTGTTCCGTTCCAAAGTTTGCGGTGGTTTGAAGCTTAGTGGTATCAGAGAAGCTTGGTTTTTGAGGATTGTGGCAACGGTATCGCTTCTGAATTTCGGAAATGTCGGCAGCAATGGATAGGGCGTTAATGGCGATGTCTTTAGAAGAAGAGGAGGAAGACAAGCCGCTCATGCTCCCAAACAGACCAGAGTCCTGCTCTCGTGGGAACAATGCTCTGAGCTTGATAGGGAGGATTCTGAATCCGGATTGTCAAAAAATTTCTCACTTGTTGGTGGATTTGCCACGGAAGTGGGGTAAAAAGGGGAGAATTAGAGGAGTGGCTCTGACCAAAGAAAGGTTCCAATTCTTCTTCAAATCGGAACAAGACCTTCTAGACGTCCTGGAGAAGGGTGTTCAATGTTCGAATGAGTGGGCTGTAGCGATGAAAAGATGGGTGAACAAAGAACCGGCAACGTTCCTTCAGTTTGTGGCGGTTTGGGTCCAGATAAGGAATCTGCCTGTGAATCATTACACATCTCAAAAGATTTGGGATATCGGAGAGGTTTTGGGAGAGGTTAAAGAAATTGCTTTTGATGATACGGAAAATCAAAGTCAACCGTTCGTGAGAGTGAAGATATGGTTCGATGTTTCGAAACCTCTTAGACGATCGAAGTTAATTCATCTACCAGATGGAGAGGAGGTAACGGTATACTTCTATTACGAGAATCTACAGAAAAGGTGCTTCAATTGTCACCGGCTTAATCATGAAAAAGATTTCTGTCCACTTCTGGTTAAAGCTAGGCAAGAGCAAGCGGCGATTAGAAGAACCAATGTTGTTGTGGAAAAACGGAAGTCTGAACCGGTGCTTAAAGAATCTGATCCGCTATTTGGTGTTCTTAGTGAAGATCAAGTGGGAGTGAATCCGATTACTGGGAAGCTGAAGATAAATCCGGAGGTACTGGAAGATTTAAGGAGATATCTTTTGGCTAATAATGGAGATAATTTATAGGTCAAGAAAGATAGAGTGAAGAGCACAGTGGCTCAAGTGGAGAAAGATCCGCATGCTCAAAAAGTGGTCCTGAGGTTAGAATCGGCTCCGGTGATCACAAGAGATGTATGTAAGGGCAAAGGTCTTTGTTTTCGATTACATGAAACCAGACTTATCAACTGAGCTGGATTCAGAGAACAAACTGAAGGCGGGAGCGATTTCAACTGGAGAAAGGATGAGTGGTAGGTTCGGTCCTGAGGACTTACGCTCACATCATCTTGACTCGTTGAAGGAACTAAAAGGAGAAATCCTTAGAGAAAGGAGTCTTGTGTCCGAAGAGGAAGATATCAACAGTCGCAGCCAGCTCGACTAAAAAAGCAAGGCGCAAAAACCAAATGGTGATCCCAAATGAGGGATCGTCCAATCCATAATGAGCATTCTGTCTTGGAATTGCCAAGGAGTGGGGCGGCCTCATGAGTTGACAATTCCACACCTAAGGGATTTGCGTAAAAAACATTTTCCGGAGGTAATGTTCTTGATGGAAACTATGAATCGTAGAGATGTGTTGGTAGACTTGCAAGAATGGTTGTGTTACAAGAGAGTGTTTACAGTGGAGCCGATCGGAACATGTGGTGGACTTGCTCTGTTTTGTAAAAACGGTGTAGATATTGTGGTGCTAGAAGAGAACAAGAACTTGTTAGATATTTATGTTCAGTATGGTGCTGTTTCCTTCTTCGTCTCGTGTGTCTATGGAGCTCCAGATAAGAGGTATAGAGATGAGGTGTGGGAGCAGCTTAGTAGAATTGGTGTAAATAGGCAAGACAGTTGGTGCATGATTGGAGACTTCAATGAAATCACAAGCAATGGAGAAAAGCTTGGAGGTCCAAGGAGGAGTGTGAGCTCATTTCAGTCTTTTGTAGATATGTTGAATGCTTGTGGTATGTCGGAATTAGAAGCAAAAGGAAACAGGTTCTCTTGGGGGGGGAATGAGAGGTTCTCACTGGGTCCAATGTAGGTTGGATAGGTGTTTTGGGAATAAAAACTGGTTTCTCAAGTTCCCAGCCTCAAATCAGTGTTTCCTAGACAAACGAGGGTCAGACCATAGGCCGGTTTTAGTCAGTCTTCAAGATTCGCAGGAAGCTTACAGAGGTCACTTCAGATTTGATAAGAGGCTGCTTTTACAACCTGAAGTCAAGATGTCCATCTCCAATTCGTGGAAAAGGAGAGTCTCGGGCAACTTGTTCTCTGTCTCAGATCGTCTGCGGGATGTGAGGAAGAGCCTAAGTGTTTGGAAAAGGAACAATAAGATGAATTTGAATGACAGAGTGCAACTGTTGGAGAAGAATTTAGAGGAAGAACAGTCAGTGAGCTTCCCTTGCACAGGGAGACTAAGATATCTAAAGAGAGAATTGGTGTTTGCATACAAAGATGAAGAAATGTACTGGAGGCAGAAGAGCAGACAAAAGTGGTTGAGATCAGGAATAGGAAAAGACTGGAAGTTCTAAGAGACGTGAATGGAATTGAACAAAAATCGGAAGCTGCAAAAGCGGATGTGGCTGTCAAGTACTTCAATTCTCTGTTCCAATCCTCGAATCCCACCAGATTTGAAGATTGGTTTGAAGATTTCTTGCCAAAGATCACTCCGATAATGAATGAGAGACTGGTCAAAGAGGTTACGGATTTGGAAATCAAGGAAGCAGTATTCTCAATAAAGCCGGGAAGTGCACCGGGACCTGACGGTATGACGGGCCTTTTCTTTCAACAATTCTGGCATGTAATTGGTAAAGAAGTGGTGGCAGAGGTGAAATTGTTCTTTCAAACTGGTTTGTTTCCGAAAGAATGGAACTTCACCCATATCTGTCTCTTACCCAAGATCATAGAGGCAAAGGAGATGTCGGATCTCAGACCTATTAACCTTTGCTCCGTTCTGTACAAGATTGTCTCCAAAATCATGGTGAAAAGGATGCAGCCGCTTCTGGGTCAAATAGTATCTGTGAATCAGTCGGCTTTTGTCTCGGAGAGGCTCATTTCAGACAACATCATCATAGCGCATGAATTGGTGCATGGTTTGAGAACTCATAGGAAAATAAGTGAGGAGTATATGGCGATCAAATCCGATATGTCAAAGGCGTATGATAGGGTGGAATGGGGTTATTTGAGAGCTTTGTTGACAGCCCTGGGGTTTCACAGTGAATGGGTGAAGTGGACGATGTTCTGTGTAACGGCTGTGTCCTATTCCGTTCTCATCAATGACCAACCTCACGGGATAATCACGCCACAGAGGGGACTGAGGCAAGGGGATCCCCTCTCTCCCTTTCTCTTTGTGTTATGCACGGAAGTTTTGTCTCATCTTTTAAACCGTGCGGAAAGCAGAGGAGACCTTCAAGGGATTAGGTTTCAGGAAGAAGGTCCATCAGTGCACCATCTTCTTTTCGCAGACGATAGTTTGTTCCTGTGCAGAGCAAACGACCAGGATTGTGAGACTCTGAAAGGGATCTTGTCAGTTTACGGAAACGCAACGGGTCAGATGGTCAATCAGGCAAAATCGTCTATCACTTTTGGGAAGAATATAAGTAAGGATCAGAGGAAAAGAATTCAAGATAAGCATCTAATTGTCAATGAAGGAGGTGCAGGTTCTTACTTGGGTTTACCGGAGTGTTTCAGTGGCTCTAAAGTGAAACTGTTTGATTACATAAAGGAGAAAGTGCAGGACAGAGTGTCAGGTTGGTTCACAAGAACACTATCTCAAGGTGGTAAAGAGGTTTTGATGAAATCGGTGCTTTCTGCCATGCCAGTGTACGCTATGTCTTGTTTCAAGCTGCCTAAAGCGACGTGTGATAACCTGAGAAGTGTAATGGCTAACTTTTGGTGGAGTGCAGTGGAGCATAAGCGAAAGATACATTGGGTGAGTTGGGAGAAATTGTGTCTTCCAAAGCACTTGGGAGGTATGGGGTTCAGAGATATAGCAGACTTCAATCAAGCGCTTTTGGCGAAACAGGCTTGGAAATTTCTTCAAGACCCTAACAGCTTAGTGGCGAGGCTGCTAAAGAGTAGATACTTCCCAAAGTCCTCCTTCCTATCTGCTATAGTTGGAAGCAGGCCGTCTTATGCATGGAGGAGCATCGTTTGGGGAAGGGAACTCCTGGAAAAAGGAATCCGGAAAAGAGTGGGAAATGGTAGTACAGTGAGTGTATGGACGGATAAGTGGATCATGGATGGGATACTAAGGCCTCCGTGGCGAATGGTTTTTCCCTTCAATGTCAATCTATTGGCAAGGGAGCTTATCAATCCTCAGTCGAGAAGATGGGATGAGAGGAAGCTTAGAGAAACGTTTTTCCCAGAGGATGTTGAAAGGATTCTTAAGGAGCAACCGGTAAAAAGAGGTGAAGATTATTGGAGTTGGAACCACAATCATAGTGGGGATTACTCAGTCAAATCTGGTTTTTGGTTGGCTTCGGAGATAAACAAAAAAAGGAGAGAGAAGAAGCGGGTTTTCTTCCATCGCTCAATGACCTCAAAATGAGAGTATGGTCCCTCAAAACTACTTCCAAGATCCAAAACTTCCTGTGGAAAGTTCTAAGTGGAGCGGTTTCAGTGGTGGACAAACTCAAGGAGAGAGGAATGGTTATCGATTCCATCTGTCAAGCTTGCGGTATGCCAGGTGAATCTATTAACCACGTTCTTTTTTCTTGCTCCATTTCAAGACAAATTTGGGCCATGAGTGATTTCCCGTTTCCGGAGAATGGGTTTGGGGAGTCGATTTATGCGAATATTCACCATCTGATGAGCCAGTGTCAAAATGAGAGAGTGCATAGTGAGATTAAGAAAAGGTTCCCTTGGGTCTTATGGTTCATTTGGAAAAATAGGAATTTCTTCTTGTTTGAAAACAAATCTCTGGACACAAGAACTATCATGGGAAAGATTATAGAAGAGATGGAATTGTGGTTCCTTGCTCAAGAGGTAGAAGAAAGAGATGAAGGGTCTCGATCGGAGACAGTGGTTAAGGTCGCCAAGAATTGGAGACCACCACCCATACCATGGCTGAAATGCAACGTGGCCGGTGTATGGTCAGAAGCTAAACAATTGGGTGGTATGGCATGGGTCCTAAGAGATGAAGAGGGGAAGGTTCTGCTACATAGTAGAAGCGCGTGGGCGGGTATCAAGTCTAAGGCGGAGTGCAGTTTCAGGTGTTTAACGTGGGCAGCGGAAAGTCTGCTTGTTCATGGAGTTAAGAGAGTAGTGTTTGCATCGGAGGATTCGGATTTGGTGCAGTCTTTGACGAGACCGATTGTGTGGCCCTCCTTCAGATTGCAAACCTCCGATCTTTATCATGTTTTGACTAATTTTAGGTGTTGGAGAATGGAACAAGAGGTGAGGTGCACCAACAGAGGGGCTTTTCTCATTGCTCGAAGTGTAATCAAAGAAAACAGGATGCAGGCGTATGTGGCAAGAGGTCCGCCTCCTTGGCTGAAGTTGATTTTCGATTCTGAGAAAGTTTTACCCTCTGTTTGAGGTGTGTTTTTTGGAGATTGGTGTAGTTGGGTTCTATTTCTTTCTTCCTCTAATCATCCTCTTTGTTTGAGATGGATTAGAGAGGCCCTGTTTGTTGTGGGCTGAAAGTCCTTTTGATTAGTGGTAGTTAAATTTGGCTCTCTTGTTTGGTGTATAACACCGGAACTTATCCCTATTTCAATGCAATCTTAGACGACAAAAAAAAAAAAAAAAAAAAAAAAGAGAAGAGCATAGCAACACTACAGAATCCACACAAAACAATGAAAATGTTCTTTCATTTACATTTTAACGCATATGAAGTATGTTCAAATTATGCTGTGTCTCCACCTCATTAACTTTCAAGTTTCGCATTTTGGGCTTCAACCTTTCCCACAATAATCCAGTTTCCTCATCACATTTCACCTCCAGATTCTCTAGATTCCTCACCGAATCAGGCAATTCGCATTTCCCACACTTGCTCATCGATATCTTCTTCAGCTTCTGCAGCTTGCCAATCTCTAGAGGTAACTTTCTCAATCCTAAGCAATGAGATATATCCAAAAACCGCAAGTTACAGAGTCTCTCAGTCGTTTCAGGCAGCTCGGAGAGACTGATGCAAGAACTCAGCCTCAGTGTTTCCAGTTTGCCCAAGTTGCCAATAGATTCCGGAAGTTTAGAAAGCTTATTACAGTTTGTGATGCTGAGTGTCTTCAATGAAACAGCTTCAGAGATCCAGTAAGGTAACTCATCGAGATCATAGCAATAGTCTATCTCAATCTCCTGTAAACTCGAGAGAGCTGTAGTAGAGACATCTGTGTCGTCTTCCACGTCGTAGAAGACCTCACCGAAGCTACAACCAACCAAAGATAGCTTTTTGAGACTAATGAGTTGCAATTGGTGAATGTCCAGCAGAGTGATCGAAGCGTTCTCCAATCTGATCCGTTTCAGGTTTGGTAATGAGCTGAGAACTGAGAAATTGCTCAATCTTGCTGGATAAAAACCGTGACTTGTGATTGTCAAAACCTTTAGCTTCTTCATTCCAGCAATGAAGCTTGGCAATGCATAGCTTGATGAAGAGATAATATTAAGAATTAAAGCTTCAACATTTGGACAATCTAGTTCAACCCAATTTGATGAGAACAAATCATCTGTCACAAAAAAAAGAAAGACCATTAGGTTTGTATAATCACTAAGTTGAATTATCAGACAGAAGAGAGCTAAAAATAATTACCAGTAGAGATAGACAAGAGACGAGCTTTAATAGGCTGGTTTAGATCCAAACACCACTCTGGAAAATTGTCTTCTTTGATCTCCAGATTTAGTCTTTTTCTTTCCAGGATTGCTTCTGGTTCGCTTTGGTGGATAGCGAGCTCCCTCAGGATATCATGTTGAGTGACTAAGAACTCGTTGTAGAAACCGTCTTCTTGCTCATTTCTGCCAATAAAGAAAACAATTAAGTTCCTCAAGTGGTATACATGCAAAGAAACGATGCTGAAACGGAAACAACATACCCAAGTGGAACAAGTTTAAGCAGATTCTGGGAGGCAAGGTCTTCAAGGTACTTCATGCACAGGTTACTACTACTTCTACCGTATAACTCCATCCACATGTCAATTATCACCGAAGCAAGTATCTTTTGGTCCTCAAGAAATGAGCCCATGTCCAAGAAACACTCTTTAAGATTGGGTTCCAGGGCATTGAAGCTAGGCTGCAGGCATTGTAGCACAGTAGGCTGAGGCTTATCAAGAACTGTTTCCCCTTCAGACCAGCTTTCCACTTTTCCTTTCCACGTTCTTAGAGATCGTCCATTAAGTGAAATGCCAACCACTTCAATCACGATTGGGAATCCATTGCAACGTTTCAGTATCTGCAAACAAGACAAAGTGAAAGCTTAAAACTTGAAGGTAGAATCATCAGACTCATAAGATAACAAATGTATAAAAGTAACACCTTTTGGAGAAGATCTTCGTACTCAGCAGGAGACGCGTTATAAGGCCGTGACGCCCACTGAATGAGAAGGGCTCTGGCATCTTCATCTTTTAAAGGTTTCAGAACATAGTTGGAGCCAAAGCTCGGAAACTCAGACCGAGAAGTCACCAAAATCTTATAATCCGGTAAGTCCATTCGAAATTTCAGAAGCATGGACTCTGCTCCGGGCCACACATCATCCAACACCAGCAATATAGGACCCTTAAGTCCCTCAAGCAGAGTTCTTAAAGCAACAACTGCTTGAGGATCGTTCGCAAATGTAAGTGCTTGGTAACCGTTGTGCTGGAGTAGATTCTGTACTAAGACCCTAAAGTTTGGAGTATTCGACACAACGTTAAAGAAGATATGCTTGAACTTTCCTGCCAATTGATGAAACTACATGAGAAAAAAAGCAAGAAGCACAAAAAATTAAGTTTAAAGATGGAAACTTTAAGACTTGTATATATATATATATATATATATATATACCTTTGATGTCTTCATTGTGGCAAAGCTGAGTAACGAGAGTGGTCTTCCCGCAGCCGGGAGGAGCAGAGACCACTAGGTTAACGACGGCATTGTCAAGGAGTCTCTTCTTGAGCTCAATCAATGGCCAATCCAATCCAAATAGAGCCTTATCACTCTTGGGAACCGAACAAAGACCCTTAGAAAAAGGCAGAGGAACTCTCAAGCCCTCCATTCTCTTACTTAAACCATCAAGCTTTTCCAGAATATTCCCAGTCAAACCCAACTGTATCTGCGAGTTACTATACTGAAGAAGCTGTAGATCAATGCTACAGAAATTGAGCAGCTCCTTATTGATTCCTTCGATTTTTCTGGTATATCTAGATCTCTTAAGATACCCGACGTTAGGAAACTTGAGAACCAACACGCGAGCTTTTTCGATCGTATCCCTCAGTTCCTTAAGCTCCCCAGCACCAAGATCTAGCTCGTTTTGCTTCGAATCGATATCTTGAGTCAAGGGAAGCAACTTCGTCATCGTTGAAACGAGATCAACGGATAAGGGTTTGAAATCTTTGTGCTTTATGGCCTCTGCGATCACCAATTTCAGAGCCCCAGAGACCAGAGCTCCTGCAACAGAACTTACTCCCAAATCAACCCAATCGGTCATCCTCGTGTCTCTTCCTTTAGACAGCTCACAGTAAGTGAAAACCAAAATCAAAATGAAGAAGAAGAAGGAAAAACACCCTCGGATTTTGATTCTGTTTAATCTGAAATTCGCTGGAAATGAAGGGAATTTCTCAAGTGTAAGCTTCGCGATTGAGGAAAACGATAGTAAAATAGTGATAAAAACAAAACAAAAAAAAAAAAAAAAAAAAAAACTTTAGCTTAATCGCAAAACGATATCGTCGTCGTTGACGTTGACTATCTGTCAGTGTCAGTCCATCGAAAACTTCTTCCCACTTACCGCGCAATTACCTATAACCGCGTTTGCGTCTGCGTCTGGCCTTTCTACGTTAACACGCGCCGCACGTGGTTCGGTCTTCGCGCGTGCGAACGGATGCCTTTCTTAGTTTTATTATGAACACATGGATTTCAAACCAACTTATGGTGATGAATAAGAGAAATAAAAAGAGTTATATCTGGTTTTTATCCTTTTCGTTTTTTAAAAGGAACAAGTATTGGTGGAATAAGTCTATTTTCTATTAAAAAAGTGGGTCTCACATATTCTACTTAAAAATTAAAAAAAAATCTGTAAAAATATTAATAGTAGAATTTTAGAGGAAAGTAGTGTACTAACCAATTACACTGAAATTTGTTCATTTATTCTTACAAACATTTGTACCCTTAATTGTTTTCATTACACGCAAAATCACAAAACCAGAAATTCAAAACAAGTTTTCAAATCATAGTTATCTAAGCAACTTTTCTCGAAATCATGTAGACATGTTCTTGGTTAAAACTCCTAAAAGCAATGCAACAGTACAATCTGTTGTAGTAGATAATAAAGGTTGGATCATCATTACCCTTTCTTCAATCTCACTTGGCCGTCATAGCCTTGAGAAACTCTTCACAGCTCATTTGACCATCTCCATTAGCATCAGCCTCACAGATCATTTCTTTAGCTTTCGCATTGGTTAGCTTCTCACCAAGATTGTTCATCACTTCGTGTAGTTCGGCAGTTGAGATGAAACCGTTCTGGCCTATGCCGAAAATCTTGAATGCTTCTTTAAGCTTTTTCTCTAAGTCATTGTCTTTCAGCTTCTTAGCCACCAGGTTCAGTAACTCCGTAAAGTCAATTGTGATGTTTCCATCTGCGTCAACCTCGTTGATCTTGTCATGGAGCTCGGCCTTTGTCATAATCTTGAGAAACTCTTCACAGCTCATTTGACCATCTCCATTAGCATCAGCCTCAAAGATAATCTCTTTAGCTTCCTCATTGGTTAGCTTCTGACCAAGATTGTTCATCACTTCATGTAGTTCGGCAGTTGAGATGAAACCGTTCTGGTCTACGTCGAAAATCGTGAATGCTTCTTTTAGCTTTTTCTCCAAGTCATTGTCTTTCATCTTCTTGGCCATCAGGTTCAGTAACTCCTTAAAGTCAATTGTGCTGTTTCCATATGGGTCAACCTCGTTGATCAAATACTGGAGCTCGACCTTTGTCATAATCTTGAAAAACTCTTCATAACTCATCTGGCCATCTCCATTAGCATCAGCCTCACACATCATTTCTTTAGCTTCCGCATTGGTTAGCGTCGCACCAAGATTGTTCATCACTTTATGTAGTTCGGCAGTTGAGATGAAACCATTCTGATCTACGTCGAAAATCCTGAATGCTTGTTTTAGCTCTTCCTCTAAGTCACTGTCTTTCATCTTCTTAGCCATCAGGTTCAGTAACTCTTGGAGCTCGGCCTCTGTTGGGTTTCGCCCTAAGAAATGCATAAATGTTTCGAGCTCTTTGGTAGTGATGCAACCTGTGTAACCACAATTTGAGAGAGAGCATTGCATTTTAGAGCACATGATAGATAAACAAGGCTAAAATCTTTCTTTGAGAAAAAAGTAAGTTGTTAAAAAAAAAAAAAAAGAGAAAGCAATGATAAATGCAAAAAGCACATAAACTTCCTCAAAAGAAAATCTAAGAAACGAATATATTTATATACATTGCCCTTCAACTTTTTAGAAGATGCAGATCTGTGAGATAATCCAAGAACTATATTTTCAGATAATTTATAAGTAGAGGTTTTTTGGTTAAAATGATGAAAATACAGTAACAATTCATATACTTCACCAAGAAAGATGATTGATTTTTCATCAATAAAGAGCAACATATACTCTATTTGTCTCTGTTAATCATGCAAAACTATGCACAATGAGGGTGCTGTGTGGAGTAATGTAGTATAATAATTTATGGTGTTGAAATGATGTGATAATTTAGTGTTGGAAAAATGCAAAATGTGGTGTTGTTTAAAAAAAAAATCAGATTTTTTACTCTTTAAAATACGAAAGTGCCATCATTATAGAGTTTACAGTGTACCTTTAATGTCTTCCTTGTGACAAAGCGGAGTACCGAGAGGATCGGAGGCCACAAGATCCTGAAAAAAGGGCACATGAACACTCAGTTCTTCTATTCTCTTGCCTAAACCATCAACCTTATCCATAAGTCTCCCCGTCAAACCCATCAATTTCAGCTGGTTCCTATACAGAAGAAGCGGTAGATCAATGTCGCAGAACTTGAGCAGGTCCTTATTCACTTTTTCGATCTTTCTTGTGTATTTAGATTTCTCGTAAAACAGGACGCCAGGGAACTCGCGAACCAATTCTCGAGCTCTTTGGATCGTATCCTTGAGCGTTTTTAGCTCCCCGACACCGAAATCTAGCTCGTTTTGCATCGAATCCATCTTCTGGGTCATCGGAAGCAATTTCTCCATCGTTGATACGAGATCGACGGATAAGGGTTTGAAATTATTGAACTTTTTGGCCTCTTGGATCACAAGTCTCAGAGCCTCAGAGACCACAGCTCCTGTAAAAGCAGCACCTAATCCCCAACTAGCCGACTCGGCCATCCTTGTAAGTGAAGACGAAGTAAAAACCCAGAATGAAAAAGAAGAAAGAAAAAAAAAAAAAAAAAAAGACTCTCAGATTTTGATTATGTTTAATCTGAAATTCGCTGCAAAACTTCACATTTTATGAAGAGTATAATAAAAAGGGTTTAGCTTCATACCACAAAAAGAAAGAAAAAAAACATTGTCGTTGACGTTAACTTTCAGTCAGTCCATCCGAAAATTATTCGTTTCTGCTTCTTCCCACCACTTACCGCGCGATTACCTAGAACGGCGTCTGCGACTTTTCTACGTTAACACGGCCACCATTCAAAGCGGCCCACTCTGATAAGTTTTATATTTCTGTGGACCCATTAAACAAATTGCCTGTTTTCTTTTTGTCAACACAAGAGCTCCTACTGTGTAATATCGCAATAGCATGTGGAAATAAGATAAGAGAGAGCCATAGCATATTCATGTGGCTACCCATTGTCGCGAGAGTTTCCACATGTCCGGTCCGAACAAGGTCAGACCATGTTGACTCTTTTATTTTACTTCATGTTAATCTAAATAGTGATGTGATACTGGTTAGAGACATGAAGAAACAAAATAATCAAAATCAGTGGCTAATATCTTAACTAAAAAAAAAAAATCCAAATAAAAACAACAAACAAATATATCTTTACTAAAAACAATTATGCTTCATCAACTACTCCCCACGTTCTTCCTCTTTTCAACTAGTAATAATCTATCCGTCACACCATAATAATTATGCTGCTTAATGTAATTATGCGTTTTGTGATCTGTATACACGGAGTCTACGGATGATCCGTCAAATTACAATTGGATATCTAACGTATATCCTAAGGTTTAGCTTAATCGTTCGTAAGCCAATATCGTCGTCGTTGACGTTGACTGTCAGTGTCAGTCCATCGGAAACTTGTACCAGGGAACCGCGTTTGCGTCTGCGTCTGGCCTTCCTGCGTTAATGAAACGTGCGTGTTTGCTCTCTTCGCGCTCGCGAATGTATGCCTCTCTTAATTTTAGGCCACCATTCGCGCGCTCGCAAAAGCGGCCCGTTCGAAAGAAAGCTCGTAATATAATACTATAGCTACAATACAATGGGTCGTAATTTAATTTCAGAGCAGTATAAGAAGAAACCAGACAAGAGAGACATAGCATGTGACTGTGCATTATTACGAGTGTTTCCACATGTCCGAATAGGATCAGTCCATGTTGACTCTTGTATTTTACTCAATTAATCTAAACAGTGTGATTACTGATTAGAGACAAACAGATTAGTGGTTAATATTTTAAGTAAAAACAATTATGCTTCATCAACTACTCCTCCTCACATGCTTCCTCGTTTGTTCTAATAATCCTCCCGACACAGCATAATAATTATGCTGCTTAATGTATGTAGTATGTATGCGGTTTTGTGATCTGCATGCATGAAGTCCATGAATCTTCGATATGATCCTATATTGCTTCTTTTGGTAAATAACATTATGTTTTCTATCTCGACCATATTAGTAGTAATAACTAATAACTACTGTAATAACCTTTTTGGAAGAATATCGTCGGTGCAGACGGTGGACCATATTTTATTGATTTTTCCCAACCGCGAGTTTTAAAAACTTTGAATTGTATCCAAAATAAAATAAAATTATCTTTTCATCAGATTCGCAGTAAATCAGGAAATGTGCGGCACAGCTTTCAACAAGGCAGATGTCCGTAAAACGATGATACTAATAAATAGACAGATACTCTTTTGTCCAAAGAACAATATTATACGACTACTACTATTTTGTTAATTTTTAGTTTTTTACTATCGTATTGTAGAAACTAGAAATTTCGTTTATAATTGGTGCAAAGAAGAAGAAAAAGCTTCCTTGGCCGTGAACACGAAGGAAGCTGCTGCAAAAAGGCAAATCCAATCAGAGGCGATAAATTAGGACATGTTTTCACAAAGCATGTTTTGTCTTTTTTTTTTGGTTGTGAAAGAGAGCCTCTTTTGTCTTTTGGTAATTTTCTTTCCAATTCCTTTTTCATTTTCTAATTTAAACAAATTTCATTTTGCCTTTTTTGTGGTACCGTTATGGGAAATAGGCGAATAATGATAGCTAAGCTTTGGCTGGAAGCAATAATCATAACCAAAACGCGTGACCACCATTCAATTCCCTTGTCACCGCGTTATCCACTATTCCCTTTTTCACATTAACAACTTTATTTTTATTTTATTTTCCCTAACTAATTCACACCAATAAGTAAAAGACCCCAACCAAACCCAACCTGCAATTCAAATGTCAATGATACTTACGAGTAGTAATTTTTTGCCGACAAGCATTTAAGGATTTGTAAACAAAAATATGTGTTTAAAATAAAAATCTAAGGCCGTAAAAAGTTGTTGAAGTTGATTTATGAGGAGCCTGAATTTAATTCATTTGACCAAACGAAAGGAAAAAAATAAATAAAAGCAAAAAAAACTCACTCGAGATCTTCACTGTCATTGATTTGGAACCACCTCTGTTTACCTTTTCTCTCACTTATTTATTCATGTCACCTTCAACTTTCACTTTTCTAATTGCATGACCCCATTTTTATAGATCAAACGTCCCTTCATTTCTCAAACCCATCTAGTAGAAGAGTTTTGAGCTGTCTTCATTATCATTCTTCTAGGAGGAAGCCATGAAAATGGCAAGAGTAAAAGCAACAATGTCTTTGATTCATCTTCTTCTTGGAGCCTTGGCTCTGTTGAGGTGTTCGGTGACGGTGAAAGGAGAAAGTCCTTACAAGTTCTACACTTGGACTGTGACTTATGGCATTATCTCTCCCCTTGGTGTTCCTCAACAGGTACAACAACAATCAGTTTCTGTTCATGTAATGACTGAAATCCATTATTTTTGTTTGATACTCAGACCTTTTTTACCCTGTTTTGTTTGTTTAGGTTATTCTGATCAATGGTCAGTTTCCTGGGCCAAAGCTTGATGTTGTGACCAATGACAACATCATCCTCAATCTCATCAACAAACTTGACCAGCCTTTCCTCTTGACCTGGTAATTCCTTTTTTGTTCCTCTTTCTAATTCCAAAAATCCCTAAAAGATTTCAACTTTCTTGTTTTCACATGCTTAGTAAAGAATAGTCCTCTGTTTTGCTCTGAAAGGTTTGATCTTTAGGGTTTAAACACAAAAAAAACTGAAAACTTTATCAATCAGTTGAGAGTTCTTAGGCTAAATCTGATATTTTTCTCCTAATGTTTGTGGTTTAGGAATGGAATAAAGCAGAGGAAGAACTCATGGCAAGATGGTGTATTGGGAACAAACTGTCCAATCCAACCAAACTCAAACTTCACATACAAATTCCAAACCAAAGATCAGATCGGAACTTACAATTACTTCCCTTCCACCGCATTCCACAAAGCCGCCGGTGGATTCGGAGCCATCAATGTCTACGCAAGACCTGGAATCCCAATCCCTTACCCTCTCCCAGTCGCAGATTTCACTCTGCTCATCGGTGACTGGTTCAAAACCAACCACAAAACGCTTCAACAGCGACTCGATTCCGGTGGGACTCTTCCATTTCCCGACGGACTTCTCATCAACGGACAAACCCAAACAACAATTACCGGCGACAAAGGTGAGTTTATATCAAATCTCTCAGCTTCCCACCAAAATTGTGAATTGATTCTGTTTGTTTGACTCTCTGTCTTTGTTTATAATCTTTTCAGGGAAGACTTACATGTTGAGAATCTCCAATGTTGGTTTGTCGAGTTCATTCAATTTCAGAATCCAAGGACATAAAATGATAGTAGTCGAAGTAGAAGGCTCTCATGTATCTCAAAACCCTTACGAATCTCTTGACATTCATGTTGGCCAGTCTCTATCAGTTCTTGTGACCTTAGACCAATCTCCTAAAGATTACTACATCGTTGCAAGCACCCGCTTCGTAAGCTCCAAGCTTTCAGTCACGGGTCTGTTGCGTTACTCCAACTCTGATGTCTCAGCTTCTGGTGATCCCCCAGCTCTTCCCCCTGGAGAGTTGGTTTGGTCCATGAGACAAGCAAGATCATTCAAGTAACCATTCTTACAAAGAAACATTTAAACCGAGGTTTGATGATAAAAAGTTGGATCTTTAACTTTTTGTTTTGTGGTTTTTCAGGTGGAACTTAACAGCAAATGCAGCTAGACCAAACCCTCAAGGATCTTACCACTACGGACTAATCAGTGTGACGAAGTCGTTTGTGTTCTCAAATTCAGCTCCTTTGATCAACGGGAAGCAAAGATATGCAGTGAATGGAGTCTCTTACGTGAACTCAGAGACGCCTCTCAAGCTCGCTGATTACTTCGGCATCAGTGGAGTTTTTAGCACAAGTGCCATTCAAAGTTTCCCATCTAACTCTGCTGCTACTGTTGCAACATCAGTTGTTCAAACCTCTCTCCATGATTTCCTTGAGATTGTGTTTCAGAACAATGAGAAGTCAATGCAGTCTTGGCATCTTGACGGTTATGACTTCTGGGTTGTTGGGTGAGTCTTTGTCTAACGCTCCTCTCTTATAGTGTTTTACTCAAAGTTAAATTTTTCACTAAGTGTTTGTTTGATATGAATGTAGATTTGGGTCTGGACAATGGACACCTGAAAAGAGACAACTTTACAATCGTGCTGACGCTCTCACCAGACACACAACTCAGGTAACAATACGTCGGAACTAAAAGTCAGAAGCTTTGAGTTGTTTCTTGTGTTATTTATTGATGTGTTTCTTTTGCAGGTGTATCCAAACTCTTGGACAACTATCTTGGTGTCTTTGGACAATCAAGGGATGTGGAACATGAGATCGGCGATTTGGGAGAGACAATATTCGGGACAGCAGTTTTATATGAAAGTAGGGAATCCAGTGCAGAGTCTTGCCAACGAATACAATCCTCCTGATAATCTTCTTCTCTGTGGCAAAGCTGTTGGACGACACGTTTAGATTATGAGATATCATCTTTGTCTTTGTTTAAGGTTTTATTCGATTCAATTTGGTTGAGGTTTTTGGGTTTGTTGTTTTATGGTCATGAGAGTATGGCTGAAGATGGCTATTTACATTTGTTGTAGTAAACACACGGAAAGAGCAAAGTTTATTTATGTCACTGGTAGGTTTATTTATGGCTATCTACATGTGTTTTAAAATAATATTTTGTACAATTTTTTCAATTCAAATGTTGTTTTGACCACTGTGGAGTGTGGACGGTACATTTTACAAATTACAACAGAAATATTGAAGGATTAAGGGTATATAGTATATGATCTACGTCCAGCAACAACAGAATTATTGAAGGATTAAGAGTTTCCGTGACGAATTAAGGGTATATAGAGTATATGATCTCTTCTGAAGAATGCACCATCTTGATTCTCGATGAGGTGAGAAACTCTTTGCTTAATAATATGGATTGATTTGCTAGAAGCCTAGAACCATCGAAGGAATAGCTTAAGTTGATACGAGATTGGTAATACATATAACTAGAGAGAGAGAGACGTATTCAAACAATATGTGAATTCTCTCCTTGTTCTCTTGTTTGCAGGCTACAAGTCTGTTTTGCAGAGTTTGAGTAACCTTGATAAGACACCTCTTCACACTTTCATCTGTGATTATGACTTATCTCATCCACTGTCTGGTAGTGAATTGGTATGTGTCATCCACTGTTTTTCGTTTACTCATGTTTTCGTCAAATTGTAGCCCTCGTTTGATATGGAAATTGATGAGTTTCTATGAGAATGGAGGCAAACTGTAAATTATAATATTTATTAGGTAATACTTTGATTAATAAAACGGAGCTTACACTGCAGAGCAGAAGCAGAGAGAGTGAAATCAAACAAACATTGCTTAGTAAGAGCATCAGCACACAAGTTTTTTAAATTAAAATTTATAATAGAATATTATTAACTAAGATCCCCCCCCCTTATTAAGCTCTTTGCGTTGATCATAATAGAATATTAACTAGATAAAGAGCGCCGGAGTGTCCACGTGGTTGAGGAAGCAGTCAACACCTCCGTCGTAAAAAGTGCCGTCGATTTGAACCTTGTCCAACTTTTTCCGGCGGACATCGTAAACCAAAACATGGAGCGTACCGCCATGGAGAAGGGTGGGAGCGAAGACGACCATACCGGGACGTAGAGTACCAATACAGGTCTAAAAGAGCAGAAGCCCGTCGCACGACTTAGTCACTTGTGTCCACGAAGGAATCGAAATCTGGACTCTGGTAGTCCATCCCTTTTCTTCTAGAACCCAGATCACACATTCCGGCCCGTTACTTTGGACTAGGCCCAATTTACCCTCGTACTGAATCAACCTTCTCGTCCTAGAGCCGCCGCCGTCGAGAAGAGACGCTTTGGTTTCCTGGGGTACTTGGATAACATCATAAAACTCACCGTGCAGATCGAAGCTGATAACGAAGACCTTCTTCTCCTCTCACCTGACCGGTTATGGACCTTGCTACATAGAAGATTAATCCCTCTAAGCAGATTGCGCTGCTTAGAGGGAAATGGGGAAACACGCACTCCAGCGTCAGAATATGCGATTCTCCAGGAACTGTACCAGTAGGATTCCAGATCATCAAAACCACCTTGTACTCGAGCCTTTTCGCGTCGAACCCGAGAGCACATGCCACGCGTGCTTGTACTCTCTCCGATGAGTTAACCTTCGGAAGCTCCGTGAACTTCGAGCAACGTGGATTGCCAACTACGACGCTCGAGCTGTTGTAGCGACAAATTGAACCCATAACCGGTGGAGCGATATGGTTTGTTGCAGAACCGATATCCAGCGACGGCATTTCCACCTGCGACAAGAACGTAACTTTGTGAATATATGACATTTAAATAATTCTTGAATATCAATTCTATTATAAAAATAAAATAAATGTGTGAGGTTAGAACAAAAAGGAAAAAAAAGAAACCAACCACATTTATTCAAATCATACGTATCCTTTAAATTATCTATGAAAAAAACTTAGAGAACCGGTTTGAAACTAAAATAAATAAATAAGATGAGAAATTCTTCAATAAAATAAAACAAAAAATTATACCTGGTTTTGTTTTTGGCTCCACAGCTCTGGCGGCTCTTGAGGCACAGAATGGAACCATCGCTGCCATGTGGTTGTCTTTCTACCAACAGGACCCATTCTTCGGACGGACGTGAATTGTAAACGAGGTTTTTCCACCGAATGAGACAAGACATCACTTACGAACTGTTTAGTGGCCATCATGTCACGCCAGCCTTTTGAGACTGCGGCTAGCCTGACCACGGACTTGGCCGGAGTCCTCGCTAGAATATCATGTGTCAGTTCTTGAGGAAGATTTACCACAAAATCTTTATCCTTCATATTCTTCTTTTTCGAGTCTTCAGGAATACATTCCTCCTTCATAATCTCCTTTCCTCTATCATTTCTTCTCTCCATTTTCACTCTTTCTAAAATCTGTTTGGAACCAAAAAAATTAGCAGGAAAGTTTTGTTTAGGAACTTAACTGGAGAGGATGGAGAAGAAATGAGGAACAAGGAACTACGAATTTATATAGGAAATATTAAAGTGTGACAATGAAAGGTTACAGTTTAGTCTACGCTGTTTTCTTCTTACGAAAGAAGTTATTTCTTTTCTCAGGAAAATCTCCACCGACCAATTCCAATTGCAAAGCACTCAACATTATTTCAAGTATTTTACCATTTTAAAGCATAGTTTCACTGATTTCCTAATTATTTATACTGTACCAGTGAATTTTTAAAAAAAAAAAAAAAAAAAACAATGGGCAGCAAATTGGCTATAATTCGTTCTTCTATAAAATAGATAAAAGTTTATCTAAATATATTTTATCATACAAAATAAATGTTTACAAAGATGAATTATATATATATATATATATCTACTCCCAGTTACATCTATTTTTTAGTTACATCTATGTTCGAGTCTTAATGTATTTTTGGGGTCCCATTTATCATATTTGTCTAATACATTGCATTAATTAATATAGAGTAATTTAAATATTCTCGTATTTATCATATTACATTCGTACAGATATTCTCAACTTTTCTTTTGATGAGTTTGTTAAGCAAGTTCCAGCCTGTTTCAAACATAACGCTATAAGACATACAAAAATAGATTCTTGTCTAAGAATTGCTTCATGCATGTTATATATATGACATAATTATTATTCGAATTATTTACGGAAATGGACATTATTTCTCTTGTTCTACCATCTTGCATTTATAAACTGAGATTTAAAATTGTTGAAATAGTATGATAGGTGACTAACTGAGTATATAATATAAAAAGTTGTGTTTGGGTCCACAGTCACGTTACAACAAATTGACAAGTGACAATATCGGAAATGAGTCAACATGTACTTTGACTTTCCATGTGATTTCATAAATCTTGTTGTTTCTGTATGTGCTCAAATAAGATTTGAGTTTGAGTTTCTGTACAAGGATTTCTTTTTACAGTTTTTGTACAACATATATAGTTATAAGGTCGATAAAATTATAGTTATATGATATTTTTTTTCAAAAAATAGTCATACTTATACCTAATTAAATTTGTTAACAGCTGGGAAGAAACCAAAATTGCAAAAGTTGCACAGCTAAAAAACCTCACGCTGAACCTAACCTTCGTATCTATATATATGTATACATATATATATATACATCTTCGTTCCATAATTAGTAGCCGAGTTGTTCTGCAACATAAACTAAAGACTTACGAGTTACGATTCGAATATGCAACAACTAAAAGCTGGTTCAAGTAATAATATTTTGATTTCTAGTGATTTGTCATTTTTGTTTGATGTCTGAGAAGAAATGAATAATATTAAAGTGTGACAATGAAAGGATACAGTTTAGCTACGCTGTTTTCATCTTACGAAAAAAGTTATTTATTTTCTCAGGAATCACCACCGACCACTTCCAATTGTAAACCACCAACATTATTTCACGTATTTTACCATTAATAAAGTATATTTTCGCTGATTTTCTTAATTATTTATACTGTACCATTTTGGGGGCAGCAAATTAAACTGGCCTTTGTAATTATTTCTTCTATAAAATAGATAAAGTTTATGCACATAAATTTTATCATACAAAAAAAATGAATTATAAACTGAGATATTTGTAATTGTTGAAATAGTATGAAATTGTTAAAACTGAGTATATATATAATCATCAAAGTTGTGTTTGGGTCCACAATCACACGGTACAACAAATTGACAAGTGACAGTATCGGAAATGAGTCAACATGTATTTTGACTTTAATGTCCATGTGATTTCATAAGTCTTGTTGTGCTCAATTAAAATTTGAGTTTGAGTTTCTGTACAAGGATTTCTTTTTACAGTTTTGGTACAATGTATATAGTTATAAGGTCGATAATATTAGCGTTATATGATATTATTTCAAAAGAAATTGTATAGTTATCCCTAATTAAATTTGTTAACAATTGGGAAGAAACCAAAATTGCAAAAGTTGCACAGCTAAAAACCTCAATCTTAGGTGGTCCTGATGAATTGCGCGCAACGTCGTCAGAAAACAAAAAAGAAATTCATAAGTCACAACCACATCACTTATATTCAATAAACCTTTACCTTTTATGTTTCGATTTTTGTTTTGTATCCTTCTCAGTTCCCACTCACGCTGAATCTAACCTTCGTGTATATATATATATATATATATATATCTCTTCCTCTTTCCATAATTAGTAACCGAGTTATTTTGCAATATAAACTAAAGACTTAAGAGTTACGATTCGAATATGCAACAACTAAAAGCTGGTTCAAGTAATACTAATATTCTGATTTCTAGTGATTTGTCATTTTATCATAACTGCATAGATAAACCTACAAGGACGTCAAATGTCACTTTCCACCACTCAGCTGCGAGGAAGGATAGTTGATTATATTTAGTTTAGTGAAATTTTGATATATTTATTTCTGACTTTATTTTTAATTTTTATATCAGCATATGTATAATGTTGTGTGGCGTGTGCGCATATTTTAACTTTTACTATCGCCGATTTATTTTCATGTGACAAAAGAGAATAAACAAATTGGAGTATCAGAATGATGAAAGAAGAAGAGAAGGAAAAGTGAAGAGATACAAAAAGACTAGAAAGATGAGCGCGTGGACAACATGTTTTCTTATAGAAACGACTGGAAATCGTTTAATGTGGGCCTATCTGACAATGTGTGACTTAGATATTATGTTACATAGTACTCCGTAATCATTATGACCTAAAATATCTCTTCACGAATATATATTTTTATATTGTCTTGTATATATTTTGATACAATAATTTTCATAATTCAATTTCAACAGGTAATATTTTCTGCCAAAGTGGTAAAATAAAACACAAATTCACATCTATGTTTGAGTCGTAATGTATTTAATGTATGTTTGGGGTCCCATTTATCATATTTAATGTTATTTAGATATTTTCGTGTCTATTAATTAAAAGACTTCGCTGAAGTTTTAATCTCTATCGTATTCGTATAATTATTCACAACTTTTTTTCTGATGCGTTTGTTAAACAAGTTCCAGCCGGTTTCAAACATAATACAAAAATTTACTTCATGTATACAACTTAATTAATATTCGAATTATTTACGAGAAGGGGCATTAATTCTCCTCTGTTCTACCATCTTGCATGCATGTCTTTTATAAACTGAGATTTAAAATTGTTAAAATAGTATGATAAGTGACTAACGGAGTGTATATTAATATATAAGTGTGATATGATCATCATTGGTGCTGTTTTAAATTATTTCGAATGTCCTGCGAGCATAAATAATCATGAAAGTTGCTATGCTGCATGGAATCAGAAGCGGGTACGCGGAAGCGGAAGCGTTTGGAAGCGCAGAAGCGATATTTTTAAAAAAATTAGGAAGCGGGTACGTGTTGGAAGCGTCTATATATATATATATGTGTATATAGCATAAATTAAATATATCAATTTTATATAATTCAATTAATAATAATTAAAATAATTCAAATCAAAAACCAATTTTAGTTTCTTATTTCGTTATTCTCTAATTCCATGTAAAATAATCTTATATCTATGTTATTAAAGAAAGATCACTAAATTGAAATCGCATTTTTCTAATCAAAAGAATTATTCTCATTTTATTTTTAATAATTTTTCTAAATAATTTTTTTATAGATAATAGATTAAAATTAGTCTTTAATTTGTGAATGCCAAATTAAATACATGGTATAATTAATTTTTCATTTTTATAAAAACTTATAAAATCATAAACATATAAAAGTATTCATAATTATTTAAGATATTATATTTTTATACGGAAGCGTAAGCTTCCGAAACGGAATTGCAAGCTTCCAAAACGTTTTTAAAGAGGTTTTTTAGGAAGCGTCATGGAAGCGAGCTTCCGAAAGCTTCCGAGAGCTTCCGATTCCGATTCCGATTCCGAAGCGGGAAGCGGTCATCGGACGAAGCTTCCGTGCTACGTAGGAAAGTTGTGTCTGGGTCCACAGTCACGTTACAACTAAATGACAAGTGACAATATCGGAAATGAGTCAACATGTATTTTGACTTTCCTTGTGATTTCATAATTCTTGTTGTTTCAGTATGTGCTTAATTAAAATTTGAGTTTGAGTTTCTGTACAATTTTTTTTTTTACAGTTTATGTACAATATATATAACAATAAGATCGATAATATTAGCGTTATATGATTTTTTTTTTCAAAAATAGTATAGTTTTCCTTAATTAAATTTTGTTAACAGCTGGGAAGAAACCAAAATTACAAAAGTTGCATGCACAGCTAAAAACCTCAATCTTAGGTGATCCTGATGAATCACCTTTTATTTAATAAAACTTTACTTTTAACAATTTAATTTTTGTTTTTTGTCAGAAGCCGTTCCCACTCACGCTGAACCTAACCTTCCTATCTTCCATAATTAGTAGTCCTAGTTATTTTGCAATATAAACTAAAGACTTACGAGAACCTAACCTTCCTATCTTCCATAATTAGCAGTCCTAGTTATTTTGGAATATAAACTAAAGACTTACGAGTTACGACTCGAATATGCTACAACTAAAAGCTGGTTCAAGTAATAATATATTGATTTCTAATGATTTCTCATTTTAGCAGAACCGCGTAGATAAACGTAACCTACAACAATCTACCCGATCGATGTGACGATGTAGCATAGATTTATTGATCATTTATTATTCTATTAATCAGAATAGTGATTATTCACTAGTGTATATGTATAACACTAGTGTATGTTATTCACTAGTGATTTATTGATTTCAAATATATAAGAAAATTATCTAATGAAGCCAATTTTCAGTCGAGGACAGCAGTTTGTCCGATGCAGCATAGATTGTTTATATCGGAGACTAAATTACTGAACCTCTAGTTTTAATTGGCCTTCTTCTCAATGCATGCATGGTCTTCGGGATATATATCATCAATGACAAATTTATCATCGTATAAATGGAGTATGGATTGGAGTGTAATTATGTGGGAAATAATAAGGATGATGTCACTTTCCACCACGCAGCTGCGAGGAAGGATAGATGATTTTTTTTTAGTGAAAATTTGATATATGTATTACTTAATTAACAGTAATCACGTGATTGCTCTGACTTTATTTTTAATTTTTATATCAACATATGTATAATGTTGTGTGGCGTGTGCGCGCATATCCGCCGAATTATTTCCAATAAACAAAAGGGACTCGTCTCGGGATGTTGAAAGACGAAGAGAAGGAAAAGTGAAGAGATACGAAAAAGGCAAAAAGACTAGAAAGATGAGTGCGTGGACACAATGTTTTTTTTAGAAAAGTCTGGAATCGTTTACATGTGGGGCAAAGGTTATACAAAACCTAGCGAAACAATGACCTTTCTTAGTAACATTTAAAGATAATGTGTGACTTATTATATAGATACATGACATATAGTAGCTAACTAAGATTATACAAATTCATTATGACATAAATATCTCTTCACAAATAGTATATATTTTTATACTGTCTTGTATATATATTTATACAAGATTTTTCTTGATTCGTCAGGTAATATTTTTCTGCCAAAGTGTGAAAATAAAACACAAATTTACACGTAAAAATACTTGGCTCTGTTGGCGTGGAGAGGACTAGAAAGTAGAAATGCTTTATTTCTAACGGCTGAAATTGCTTCTTCTTATCTTATTTTTTCCCAACTGCTCAAGTTTGTATTTAAAGCCATTAGTGAAATGAGCTGATGACTTTGTTAGTACGAACTACGAAGATGCGAGAGATGGCGTCATCAAAGCAGTTTCTCTCCTCCTTGACGAAAACATGCGTCATCTTTATCCTACTGAAGGTTAAGCTTTTTATAAATAGAGGTCTCTAAAATTTACATGATGTTCTAAAGTATTTCATTATAATTAATTAGAAGTTTAGAAATTATAACTCAGCAGTTATCCTTTAATTTATATATATATTTTTTTTGTGATGGAACAAAACAAAAGAGTATGTAGGTGGAATATATATTAAAGATTTGGAACCAGTTTTTGGAATTCAGTGGGTCTAACGGATATTTCGAAAAGGCTATATTAACCATAAAAATCATCACTCGGTCTATTACCAACCGTAATCACAATGAAAAAATCAAATTCTACAGTAAAAGAAAAGCTCCTTTAATTTTGTGCTATATTTTGTTCTAGCATTTTTTATATATAAAAATGTTTTATTCTAGCATTATAGTGTTACTGACTTTAAAGGCAGAAAGAACTAGTGGATCGTAGAGATCGACGATGTACGGAATGGTTGTCCAAAATGTATGTTAAGTTCATGGTATCTTGTAATTTCATGCATGATAAATCAACCATTTCTAGCGTCGACCTTAGAACCTGGAGTAACAAACATTCTAGTTTAAAACATCAATTCATTAATTTATTCAAACAACATTGATCACAAGAAAAAGAAAATGAAAAAAAAAAAAAAGTAAAGAGAATCAACAAAATACTTTGACACTAATATTTTTTTTTTGTCTCCAGTTAAGAACTAGCTAGAACTGAACCAAACTCGGAACATAACTTTCCATATATGACCAATATTGTTTAGAAACTCCGAGATCCTCTTCTCTGTATTCATTCTCTCCAATAATGTAAACCATTCTAGTATTTGTAAGGTCATTTCTATCGTGACACACGACAACTTTTCTCTCTTCATCAATGAAGAAACTCACCATGTCCGAAAACCCTCCTCTAAAAATTAACTCAATTGTCATAGATACTGTAAAGAACTTAATCCACGATACAATGCTGGGCTCAATCTTATTTGTCACCCACACCCTTATTTCGAATATGTTAAAATAATGCATGAATGCCAAATGTTCCTCTTCTCTAAAAGATGATAGAGTGATAATATCAAGATCAGAACATTCAAACGGCAAATTATTCCAGCTGCCAAATCTTTCTGTCGTAAAATTAAAACTTAATAAGATATTATTCACGTATATTGTATCTTTAGCAATCCAGTAAGTATTTCCTTTCAAAGATACATCGCGACAATGCAAACACATGTGGTGACACGGGCCATAAAAAATCCTCCACGAATCAGAGTCAAAATCATAGATTCCCAACTTAATTGTTTCGGGGGACCTTGTTTTGGAAGGTGGGGGGTAATTGCTACCCGGAAAATGCAATATTTTGTATATATGACACGATGTGTTTTTTTCGTATCCGAAAGCATACACAGTGTTTAGACCGTAAACATCTTCTTGTCTTGGTTTGATGATCTTCTTGGTTTTTTGTGTACAAGGATTCCAAACCATAATTTCAGTGTCGCTATTTGAAAAGCATAATAATAAACCGTCACAGTGAAAATATGTCTCATCAACATATGAATTACCACGGGAATCAATTGGGTTTAAAACCACAAAAGATGGATCATCAACGTCGTTGTGAATCTCATATAAATTAACGCTAATTGAATAAAACCTATAATCTTTCATCATCACAACCATAAACTGTTTTGCTGCATTACTAAAATGTTTTTTCGTGAATTGTTTATCAATGAACAACTTGTTCCACTTTTTGCAAATAGATCGTAATCGCATCAAACTTTTAGCCGGAACTCTAAAAAGTATTTCTTCTACCAAATCTTCTGGAAGATTAGGAATCATTTTTTTCTGTGTGATTGCTTATCTTTTCTTTCTCGACTTCTCGCAAGAAAACAATCGATAGGGATTAAAAGTGAATGTTTTATTTACCCTAAGTTTGGCCAATCTTATATAGGTTACATACTTCAAAAAACAAGTAAAAAAGAAAGAGTATATTTATAGTATGTTATCAAAAAGTTAGATTATGACTCATAATAGTGTGATATATTAATAAAATTTTAATAAGATTTTTGGTAAAACAGATTATGAATTTTAATTATGTGCCTAATGAAATTGCATTATATTAGATAATTGTGCGTATATTTATTATTTAAGAGCTTGTATATATATTTTAAACTAAGAAATAAAAAATAGTAATTTTAAATTAGTATTTGAAGCTAAAATCTTCCATTTAGCTAAGTAATTCATTTTCTAAAGGAAATAATATCATTAATATCATAAAAGTCTCAACAAATAAAAGACTTCTAGATTTCAAAGTATCCATTAGATCAATAAAATTGATTTTTTTTCTTTTTAAATAATTATTTTTAAATCAGAGAAAATTTATTATTTTAATATAATCTCTCTAACTTTTTTTAAAAAAAATAAAATTTGAATACACCTCTAAATATACTCTTCTATTCTACAAACTTCACTACACTAAACCCAAATAGAGATTTCAAGAAAAAAATTTGTCAACAAAAAAAAAAAACAAAAGAAAAGAAATATAAATCTAGCCAAGTGACCATTTGAAAAAAGAACACTTATTTTGTGAAAATGCCATTGAATTAATATGTTAAAAGTGTTTGTAAACAAGTATGTATGTTGGTAAAGGATAATTTGTGATATAAAATAAGGAGTTCACACAGTTAACTCAGAAAACAAAACCCGACCCAAAAACTCTAAAAAATAACAAATACTATCTTCATTTTACTATAATTGGAGAGAACTCTAAGATCTTTTGTATTTGTTTCCAACACTTGACACACTTATATTATCAACAATATACAGACCTGCTCAAAGTAATGAACATTAGAAAGAGAGGGAAATTCCATATTTTCAACTGAAAAAAGATTATCAGATAAGCTATATCTCAATTTTTCAATCAGAAAATTCGCTAAAAAACAAAAGTTATTTTATTAACAGATTGATAGAACGTGGGTCTATTTATTTGATTATATGGGCTTAAGTGCTTAACTAAGCCCAATACGAGAGTAACACAACACAAAGTTGACAACTCCAGATTTTAATTTAGATCAAACAACAGCGAGAAATCAAAAGAGAGAAAAGGTTGCAATTTCTTCAAGTTAACTTTCGACGATCAAATTCAATCTCAGAATCGGACATAATCGCACTCGAATTCGAATTCTTCTCCGGTGAATATGAATTGCGAAGTTTGTCAACTGAAGGAACTGGTGAGATTTCGTCTTCTTCTTTGCTAGATCAGTCCAATTTTTAGTCATCGAGCCGTGTTTCTATTTCTGGATTTTGTTCGATTACGCGTAAGGTCTTTTAATACTTTGAGATATTTTGTTCGCAGGAAGTGGAATCCTTCGAGATTCGCGAGGTTCTTCGCTGTAAGTTTCCGATGAATACTTTTACACGCTTTTTGTATAGGAAGGTTTGATTCATGCAATCAAGTAGCTGAAGATAACATCGGATCTTACTGATCAAATCATGTTTTCGATTTTGAGCTTTTTGAGATTCGGATTAGGTCTTCCTCAGGCTTAGACATGTATACATTGATTAGATTTTGGAGTTTTGGAGATCATTTCTGTGTAGGTAGTAGATATAAATCTTGTGTATCTTTGATTTTGATGCAGGCATTCTACATACGATCGTCTTTCATCGAGCACTTGGTCTTATCCGCCCGAAAGATATCGATTTGGAGCTTTTTGAGATCACTTACGTAAGACTGGATTTACGTTTCGTTTTGCTTTGTGTTTGTTTCAGCTTCTTTTGAGATTTTTGTGGAGTATGCTTTTGAGTTTGATATTTGTCACAGGTACAATGCGGTGAGATAGAAGTGGAGAAGAAAATTGATGAGAAGATTGAGCAGTACATAAGCTGGATTGAGAAACACCCCAACAAGAAAAATCAGGTATGTGTATTATACAGAGAGCAATCATTTCATGGACACTTGTTTATCTCTTCCTAGTACTGATCTCTTCTTCTTATTCTTCGTTTTGATGGTGTGTGTGTGATTGTGAAGATATGTGTATCGTTTTATGAAGTGAAAAGCAAACAGCCGTCTTGGTTCACTAATAAGATTGAGCGGTCCTACTGGGAACAATGGTACATCAATCTGAATGTGCTTCAGCCTAGTAAATCCCCAATCGGAAAGTCCCACCATGCTAAACTAGTCATGGACCCTGGAGGTATGATTTATGAATTTTCCTATCCAAAAATCCTTTTTTTCTTGCAAGATTGGAAAGTGATTTCGTCCTGTTGTGAGTGTAGAGGCGTCGGAGGAGAGAAACTCTCGTAGGACACAGCTTGAGCAGTCCCTTCAAGAAGTCTTGTTCCAAATCATAAAATTCGTGAATGAGAAGAAGGATCACGTTCCTCCGATCAACGATGGAGTCATCTACTGCCCTTTCGAGATCACTACCCCAAGGTACATGAGTTAAAAAGACTGTGTTTAGGGGTGGAGTGGTCAGATGAGTGAAGAATTTTCATTGAGTTAAGTTTGTTTCGCAGCTCATCGGACTCGACCTTTGGGATGGACATGATTAAGAGGATGCTCCACAGTGGCCATCCATCAATGCTCGGTTGATTCCATTTTCCCACTCAGCTTTTTGTACATATTCAGCCTAATCTCAGTCTACATTTTCCTATGTAAATATATACGTTTCCTCTTCCTTTGTCTGGATAATGTTTGTCTTATCAAATGTTACGGATTCTTTTGTAAACTAGTTCACTTTGGTGACTTTGATTAATCTAATTATTTTATTACAGTAGTATACAATAAGCAGTATAATTTATCCTTATCTCGTATCACATATCGTTCGTCAAAAATTTATTAACTTTATTCGAAATTGATATGGGACGCGATCTAAATATAAATTAAACAATAACTTAGAAAATGGCATTGATAGAAGCGAGGAAACATAAAACAAGGAACAAAAGAAGTGGAGTTGCTTTCTCGCCAAGTTTTTGTAATTCTTCCTTAATTATTTGATAAGGGTGAAAACAGAAATATATGTTCGTATATGATAAGTAATGGAAAATTACAATATTGAGATTTCCATATTAAATTGAGATTTTAGTGTTCCTATTTAAGTTTTACGTATTGAGATTGAGGTTTACGAATCTGGTAAGTTTAGGCTTAGAGGAGCACGAATTAGGCTTCACGGCTAGATCACTCATATTGATACTGTCTCTTCAAGATAATGTCTCATGAAACAGAAACATGCATTCGTTATGTTCATGCATCATCATCATCGTTCTCTTTTTCATCATCAGATATATCATCCGCTGCCAGCAACAAAACTTGGTAAATGAAATACAAACACATTACTCACTAAAGAAAAATATGAATTCTACATTTGATTTGAACTTTTTCTGCACTATCTATTTTTCTTCAACATCATTACCATTTTCAGCTTTGTATTAGTTCACTCGTAGTATATAGAGCTAAAAGTCATCGAATAATTATGTGACATGCTCCTTTGAATGTCTATCTTATGCGGCTGCCACTTATTTCATATGAATAATATGACGAGTAAGAAGACTTAGAGCATCCACAATGGACATCCCCACATGGGGATCTTTAACAATAAAAAGAAAACACTTTTGAGTTGAAAAGAAAATGAAAAAACGAATTTTAAATAAATAATTTAAAAAAAAATGAAAATAAAAGGAAGGAACCAATCACAATATAACACATGACAAATTGGTGTAAGAGAGACGATTTTTTTGAGCTCTGCTTGTAGAGTCGATTCAGCTCATAAGGCTTGACACCTCATTTCTTTTTACTTTTTTTCTTTTCTTTTAATTACCAGAACCCCAATGGGGTTGTCCAATGCAGATGCTCTTATGAGCTAATTTCACAACAATTTTCTTAGTAATTGTTATTTGTGTATCTCGTCATCAGGCTATGAAAGTGATGCATTCTGATGTGGAAATCATAGTAGCTCCTTATGAAGCTGATGCACAATTAGCCTATATGGCCTTAAACCATTAAGCGGATCTTGTCTACATGGGTGACTCCGATTTCATAGCTTTTGGATGCCCCGAGGTGAGTTATATTTCGATCATATAACATCTCAATTGTCATGTTTTCACTCATTTTTCCTTGATAATCATGTTTTCACTCATTTCTCCTTGATAATCATGTTTCCACTCATATTTGTTTATCATGTTTTCACTGACTAATTTATAGTTGATAATCATGTTTTCACTCATATATCCTTAATTATCATATTTTCACTCACTCATTTATCTTTCATTATCATGTTTTCACAATGACAATTTCTTCTTTGTGCCGTTAAATTACAAATAAGCGATAAAGAACATCCCTCTTTCTTGTATCAGGCCAGCAAATTACAAATGTCACTCACAAACCGAAATGACTTCTCCGGTTTTCAAGGTAAAATGCTTCTTGAAATGTGCATCTTATGCGGCTGTGACTACTTCCGTATGAATAATATGACAGAGTAAGAAAGTTTATGAGCTAATTAAAGAGCACAAGAGTTACAAAAACGTGATCAAAGAGGAGGAGACAAAGAGGGTGCAATTCCAGGACAGTCTAAGAGCTCTAGTGGCGTTTAAGCACCAACTCATCTATGACTTCACACAAGGAAATGTTAGGCACTTGAATCCAACTTCTCAGAGCCTTGATGGATGTTGTGTATGATCTTTCTTGTCAAAGGAAGCTCATCAGATGATAGCACATGTCTCTTGAATGTCTCTCACCTATTGGTCAACACTAACTACATCTTCTTGGTGAGAGACATTCAAGATTTTGAAGCCGTGTAAGCATTTGAAATTGAACTTCTTTGTCCATTTCTGAACCATAAAGAAATGTTGTCTTATAGTAAGTAGCTCTTGTTATTCTTTAAAACATTTTGTGGTAAAACTAATTGTGTATCAGTTTAAGTCCTAAGACCACCTCCATTGCAAGAACCAAATTTTTGGTCTTTTTTAGCAACAACATAAAACTTTCTGTTAGTAACTTTTGTGTTGGACCTTAATTTTCTCTTCTTCATTGCTATAGGGTTTTCAAACTTTCTTCTCACCTTGCTGTTTTTTTTTTTTTTTTGTAATGTTTATGCAAGCTAGTTGCCCAAAATACAAAGAACATCAAAGCTCACAGGCATTTACAAAGTCGTAAAGGATTATAACTTTTTGAACGAATATCTTATTTTCTGAAGTTGACTTTTATCTTGTGTTTTGACCTTCGAGTCTAGAGTTTTAAATAATACATTGTCTTTTTTTTTGGAGTTACTAGAGTTTGTCTTTGTGTAAGCTTCTTTGGGTTCTTGTTCTCCTTGTTCTAGACTCTGGGTGGCTTCTGCTTCATTTGACGATGACAGTTACCTCACAAAGCTCTACTAGCATTTGAGAAGATGATAACTGATAAGGAGAAGATGATAACTGATAAGCTTTCTGTTTCACAAGTTATCAGAGTTATCACGAAGTTCTCGCTGCATAAAACCTCAATTTTGAGAAAATACAGTTTCGTCAAATCATACTCTTGCATCAACTTCTGCTTAAAAGCTATTACATTTCTTAAGATCGAAGCTAGTAAGGCTCTCTAATCCCAGTTACAGATTCCATGCAATATGATGCAGTCTTCGTCGTAAACTGCTAAAACCGGATATGATTCTACTACTGAAGATTTTTTTCAATAAACATGTCTCTCTGTTTTTTTCATAATACCGGTTCGTTGCTCGGCGGTTATCAGAGCCAAAACGAACATGTCTCTCTGTTTTGTTCACAAGTAACAGACTAAGAAGAGAGATCAGACACTGTAGAGAATAGAGAACTTCTCCTAGGAATTTGTTTGGGCAATCACTTAAACTCTTAATGGATTCGTGAATAAGAACAAAGATAACGTCCATTGTCCATAAATTGAGTGCAGAATTGTCATTATCTTTTGTTTGTTCAGACTTGCTTTCTTGTTAAAAAAGTCATCTGTTGATTTCAAAGTTGGAATTGACATTAAGCAAACAAACTGTTTCTGATTTGTAGTTTCATTCGTTCATAAGTAATCTAACTAAATAACCAGACATACTAGTACTAGAGAGATCCATCACTAAACTGAAAGTTAAGAGGCGATAAAGATTGAAACCCTCTGACCGAGGAAGAAGAAGAAGAAGCTGCTGTCTCACGCTAAGTAATCTCCAGACACAAACCCGATCTTGCTCTCTTGACCTTCAAGCTGCCACGTGGCGGGTATCGGAGCCACGTGGTTCGTAGTAGTAGCCGTGGCATCAGCAGCGCCACTCGAAAACGGCCACACCTGCCCATATCTGACGTCATCGAGAAACGACCCGTGACCAAGCCCAAGCCCAAACCCGTCTGGCCCATTAAAGCCGCCACCAGGCCCATGTCTGCTCGCGCCGGCGTTGAAGTTGAGCAGAGAGGTGAATCCGCCGTAGAGCGACGACGCGCTTCCCTTCGCCGCCGAAGGAGGGAACAGAACAGGCGTCGCTTGTAACGGAAAGTTCCGGCTTCCGATGGCCGTGGAAACAGCGTTGGAGCAGTAAGTTCGGGAGCGTTTGGAGCTTTTCCGGGAAACGCCTCCGACGGGGATGTCACGGAGAGTACCTCCGTGAGTCCAGTAACGGCGACAGGACTTGCAGAAATGACGAGGCTGTGAGAAGTTGTAGTTGTTGTAGTAACAGAACTTGGTGTTGGTTGAGTCACAGCGAGGACAAGGAAGCTGCTCCTGCTGATCCGCCGGAATCGCAACCGCTCCTCCGTGAGGAACCTTAGTAGTCATCCGACGAGATTCGTTGAGATCAGAAGGAATGTTGAAGATAGGTAAGCGAAAGAAAGTTGGAAGATTTTTGAAGTGTGGTGTGTTTTCAAGTGTTGGAACTTTCTGAGAGAGTATGGTTCCTTTTATGGAGAAGAGAGAAGGATTGAAGCTTTTTTTGACAGAGAGTGTTGGGTTTATTGAGAACATAGAGAGAGAAAGACAGAGATAGAGATGGAGAGAGATGCTCTGTTTCGACTTTCTCTCTCTTTACTTCATGATACGTAGGTGGCTCTTCTTTCAAGATTTTCTGTTTCGAAAATTACTTTTTCAGTTTTCAAGAAACAATAATTGAATTTGTTAGATTTTTATTGGTCTAAGTTTATAGAAAGTTGTTTTATTACCAAAATCTATACATTAATGATTGAAAATCAACTTTTTCTTAATATATGTGAAAACTTTAGAAAATTCATCTTAAAAAAACGGAGCGAGTATATGAAAACCCACAATTCTCTAATCTCTATCCATAATTTGTCACACGTTTTGTTGGCACGTATAGACAGTTAAACTAAGATAAGTTAACACATTTGAAAATTGCATGATTCAATTGCTGACTAGGAAACTATGTAGTTAGAAGTTTAATGACGCTGTTACCTTGTATCCTTTGTTATCATTTGAGTTAAGAGTTGAACTATAAAAACCTACATAATATTCGTCCTAAACAAATGGGCAAAAAAACCAGAGACGTGACTCAAAAATAGGAAGTGAAATTTGAAGAGAGTAACAACAGGCAAAAGGTAGGAGACTATTGACTGTTGAGGTTATCAATGTAGTGCAGTTCCCAATAGTAATTGTTGAGGGCTTATGGCTAGTTTACATTTTTCTTAAGATGATTATTGCGATAATTAAGTAACGTACTTGCGTCATCTCTTTCTAAAATGAAAAATTAGCATATGGACCCAAGACATTGATGGTGTGTGTAGATGTGCTACCAGTTACTACTACAGAGTCTACAGTACCTTAATATACCTGTAGGAGAATCAATGCGTTCAGGACCTCGAAATGTTACATACAAAACGGATCTTGTTTACTCGGATATACAGTTAAACCAAAAGATAATCATAAAAAAAAATACATATATTAGGCCATGTTTCCATTTATTATCTTGCGATATCTTATCATGTTACATTGTAACTTTAGTCTTGTTTAGGAGCTATAAAAAGTAAAGATGGAAACCTAGACAATATCAACAAGACGCAATAATGGTATGAATTCTGATTGAAAATGCTATTGCGGAACAAGACAAAAGGATCTTTAAGGTAGAGAGAGAATGACAAATCACAAATTTGTCCCAAAACGAATGGAGAGGGTCAAAACTGTAAATTAGGGGCTAGCACGGTCAAAAGAGACAAGAAGAGATTCGTTTTGTGAAGAGACAGAATTAAGCGAAGCTTGTCGGATAAAGAATGGGTATGGAGAGTAGAGGAATTAAGAAGCATGCAAATCTCACAACCAAAAGCAACCAACATTTTAGAGAGAGAGAGAGACATGTGAGAAGTGTGTGTGTGGAGACGTGTCTACTGGTTCAGAGCCGTCCTTGCTCTGTGTGTACCGACCGGTCTAATCTGGTCAAGCTCTGACACACTCTCTTTATCCCATTCTTTTTGTCTTCTTCCTCTCCGAGTCTGAGTCCTCTCTGTTTCCCTTTAAAGGGTGGTGTATTCATCATTTCACTAACACGCATCGTTTTATCTTCCGGTTCGTCTGTCTAATGGGCCTCATTATTCTTGAAGATATATTACAACCACTTGGCCCATTTCATCCTCAAGTTAAGTCAATAGAGTTTAAATGGTTGTTGATTTCATTTCATGTACGGACGGACTTGGTAAATTGCTCTCATCAATTGTTTCAAACTTGCAAGAACAAAAACGCATTGTTGGGCTTATTATCCTTTATTTTTTCTTCTCTTCTTATTCCATTTTAATATACTATCAAATAGGTGAGATGTTTGTATTAAAATGATATGGAATCTGACATGATTGTGTAAAGAAAGCATGCAATAATCGTACTTTATTAGAAGGTGCCTAATTGTAAGGCTTTTATGTGCATGTTTCACCAAACATCCCATTATGAAAGATATTCAAAGCTGAAAATAGCTTTACTGATGCATGGTCGTCTATAAACCACGATCTATGTCCCATTTCGAAAGTGAAAACTTGGTCATCATCATAACAGTAAAAGGTGCCAATTGAGAAATTATACATCAAAATAATAAAAATTGTGAAACAATAATTATAAGACTCTTTTTTATTTATGAGATTTCAAAGGTATGGGAGCAACGAATACAGACAACTCGATTGGGACCAAGAACAATGGAACTATAGACAAAGTCCAAATGGAAATATCATCTCGAGGTTTCTCTGCCTTCTATTGTAGAACTAATTAATGAATAGGCACGGTTCTATTTTCGAGGAAAGGATCTTGAAACTAGATAGTGTAACCAATTTTTTCTAAAAAATGTCTATTGTAGAACTTTCGTATAACCTTTTCCAAAATGTAACTTCATCTGCAAACCTGAACCAGAGAAATTTACTAAACCGAAACTATGCGGCAGATATAATCAACTAAACCGATTACAAATCGCTCTTCGTGATTGAAAGTTACAGCTCTTTTGATAAATGTTTGACTGAGATATGATTAGAAACACTAACACTACAAGAATAAATGTGCCAAAAGATAAAATTTCTCTACTCATGAAGCTGGGTGCGACGTGCGTTTCCACTTGCGCTGTTTTATTTCCACGGTCGGAGAAGGGGACGTCACATTCCCATCTCTATATGTTCTGTTTGTTGTCTCTACCTTTATAACTATGCACACAGTCAAATTTTAAAATAATTAATCAGAATCATAGAGGGAAATAGTTAGTAAGAAGAAAAATGAAACCGATCGACTTTGGTTTTGGAACGTCGATAATTTGTTGCCCATGAAAAAGCCGCTTTTGGAAAAAGTTTGAGTTTTGAACAAAAAAAAAAAGAAAAAGTTTGAGTAGTCAAAATGAAATGATATGAGGAAGGGTGAATTTGTAACTATAGATAGATAGTTGACTAATCATTGCATAAGTAAGCATTTTGGATTTGATGATTCTCTAACATTTGAATGCACGTTTGTCTTTGCCCCTATACTAATCAATCTTATCTGTTTACCCTTTTTTTTACAAGGTTGCATAAATATATAAGTTACTAGTACTATTCATTAACACAAGTATGTATGCGTGAGGTTCTAATAAAGTATTTATAACTAACTGTTGGTTGTTGGAAGGCGTCGTAGAATCATTGTTTAAGGACGTTAATACGTTATGGTTATAAACTTATAATCGTATGTAATGTAAATTGTTAACTTCAACTGATTCATTTATCATTTATAATATGATTATATAAAATATCTCTATGATGATGTAACTACAAGAAAACGTTTGTGATGAAAAGATAAGATTTATGGTACGATTGAGTCTTATGATTTTTATCAGTAGGAGATGATTAGGATTTTCCATTGGAGACTAGTATTTCTATTGCCTAAAAACAAATACGATTGAATTTACAATAATATGACAATTTTTACTCTCCTTTTTTTGTTTTGGGTGTGTGGATCCACATGTTATAGTTAGGGATATTAAATTACTCTATAGTATTGTTGAGCCCCCACATTACCTACTAATATTTATTTATTAAATAATATAAATACATGTTTATTTAAAAAAAAAACATTTTTTTGGCCACTTTTATGAGGTAATGTACTGTTATAACTATAACAATAAATGCGTGGGTTGGATCATAAATTTGGATATTTAATATTTACTTGTTCAAAACCGTTCAGAGACAGATATGGAAGAACATTGGTGAGGTTAGAGTTACCAAAATATACTAAAATATCAAATGCAGGAAATAATATCTCAACGGCTAAGTTTTAGTTTCGATATGTATTGTCTAGAAAATATAGTTATTTCTGTCAACCACAGACAGCTAAGTTAAATAAGAGTATATATTCCATAAATGTAAAGCTTATCACCAAATATTGTCAAATGATTTTGAAATTTCTCTGTTTGATGTGTAAAAGAAGAGAGATAAAGAAAATTAACATCATAAAATAAGAGAAAAGCAAAAGTGAGGATCTTTAGTTAATTTCTTAATTGTATAACGAGAAGAGCCAGCATTTCAAGGTCTCTTTGACTTAAAAAAAAATTGAGAGCTTCAAAACAATGGAGAAAAAAACAGTAAAGAAAAAGAGAAAAGGAGGAAGCTTTCATGGGTCCCAGGATAACCAATCACCAAAAGATATCGAAATCGAAATAAAAAAATTCAAAATAATCATAATATGCTGCGTGGATTGATTGATTTTAAAAAATGATATATGGAATTGGAACAGCAAGTAACAGCAACGATCAGGCATCTGATTGATATAAAAAAAGTCAAATGGCCTTTTAGTCACTATATTCGTTTTAAGGGAAGATAATTACGAGAGTCAGAGAGATTATTACAAAACAGACGCCTCAAAATTGTCTCTGTGTTGTTGGTTTTAATGGCTACTTTGATGTGAAAGGACTTAAATTTCTCTTGAAGTAGAGCACAAGGTGGGTGTGAGACGAAGAGAAAGGAAGCTTCTTCTCTGTGTTTCAGATGTTAAACACAAAGATTTTATTTTTTTAGAGCACTGTTGATGGATCTGTTCTTCTGGGTTTTGGGATTTGCGTCTCTGTCTCCGGTTTCTCTGTTCAAGACGGGACAAAGGTTTTGACTTTTTTTTCGGATCCTCTTATCGAATTCTGGGTTTATTTTCTCTTTGTTCAAGTTTTATCCTTTTTTACCTGATCTGGGATTTGATTTTCTTTCTATTTTACTCTCCTCCTCTCATTTCGGGTTTCGAAGCCAATCCAGTGAGTGATTTTGACTTCTGGGTTTCTAAATTAGGGACCTTTTTGATTTCCCCATTTGATAAACCGAAATCCAAAATTAGGGATTTGATGCATATCTCACTCTGGAAGCCAATTTACCACTGTGCCGCTGCTCTAGTCCTCGACAAGAAGAGCAGCAGCAGCAGCAGGAATCGAGATGCTTCCTTGACTCAGCGGAAACTCCATGAATCCAAGCTCAGAGAAGCTCTCGAAGAAGCATCCGAAGATGGTCTACTCGTCAAATCTCAAGACATGGAAGAAGAAGAAGCCGAATCTCAAGATCAAACCCTCGGACGGTCGAGATCACTCGCTAGACTCAACGCTCAACGCGAGTTCCTCAAAGCTACATCAATCGCAGCGCAGAGAGCATTCGAATCGGAAGAAGCTTTGCCTGAGCTCGAAGAAGCCTTGAACACATTCCTCACCATGTACCCAAAGTATAAATCTTCGGAGAAAGTCGACGAATTGAGAAACGACGAGTACTTCCACTTATCGTTACCAAAGGTATGTCTCGACTATTGCGGATTTGGGCTCTTCTCGTATCTTCAAACCGTTCATTACTGGGACACTTGCACGTTTAGCTTATCGGAGATTAGTGCGAATCTGAGCAACCATGCTTTGTACGGCGGTGCTGAGAAAGGATCCATTGAGCATGATATAAAGATTAGGATAATGGATTACTTGAACATCCCTGAGAATGAGTATGGTCTTGTGTTCACTGTTAGTAGAGGCTCTGCTTTCAAGCTGCTTGCGGAGTCTTATCCGTTCCACACGAACAAGAAGCTTCTGACTATGTTTGATCACGAGAGCCAATCTGTTAGCTGGATGGGACAGTGCGCAAAGGAGAAGGGAGCAAAAGTTGGTAGCGCTTGGTTTAAGTGGCCTACGCTTAGGCTGTGTTCAATGGATCTCAAGAAGGAGATTCTGAGCAAGAAGAAGAGGAAGAAGGATTCCGCAACCGGTTTGTTTGTGTTTCCGGTGCAGTCGAGAGTCACTGGGTCTAAGTACTCGTACCAGTGGATGGCATTGGCTCAGCAGAACAATTGGCATGTGTTGCTTGACGCTGGAGCTTTGGGGCCTAAAGACATGGACTCGCTTGGATTGTCTTTGTTCCGTCCTGATTTCATCATCACTTCGTTTTACCGTGTGTTTGGGTTTGATCCAACTGGTTTTGGTTGTCTGTTGATTAAGAAGTCTGTGATTAGCTGCTTGCAGAGTCAGTCAGGGAAGACGAGCTCAGGGATTGTGAAGATCACGCCTGAGTATCCTCTCTATCTGAGTGACTCCATGGATGGTTTGGAAGGTTTGACTGGGATTGAAGATAATGACATCGCCGTTAATGGAGATAAGAAAGTCTTGGGGACTCAGTTACCTGCCTTCTCTGGTGTTTATACTTCTGCTCAGGTGCAGGATGTGTTTGAGACGGATATGGAGGATCATGAGATTGGTTCTGATAGAGATGGGACAAGCACTGTGTTTGAGGAAGCTGAGGGCATGTCAGTGGGTGAGTTGATTAAGAGTCCGGTTTTCAGTGAAGATGAGTCATCGGATAGCTCGCTGTGGATCGAGTTGGGTCAGAGTCCTGTTGGTTCTGATAATGCAAACAAGCAGAAGAGTCCGTTAGTGGTTCCACAAAGCCACAAACGAAGACTCTCTTCTCCTAAACCAGCTGCAAAGGCTGAGAATGGGAGCCGCCATGTTCTCTCCTTTGATGCTGCTGTTTTGTCAGTATCACATGAAGTGGGTGAGGTAGTCCCGGAAGAAGAGAAATCTGAAATGAATCGGTTGCGAGTTAATGAGATTGAAGAAGAAGATGTTGGAAGGAGCAGTAAGCTTATTGCTGATGCAAATGGAAATGGAAATGGATCAACCTCTGGAATCAAAGAGAGTGCGATAAGAAGAGAGACGGAAGGAGAGTTTAGGCTACTGGGAAGAAGGGAGAAGAGTCAGTACAATGGAGGGAGACTTCTCGTGAATGAAGAAGAACATCCGAGTAAACGAAGAGTGTCGTTTAGATCAGTAGATCATGGAGAAGCATCTGTGATCAGTCTTGGAGATGAAGACGAAGAAGAAGAAGAAGATGGAAGCAATGGAGTAGAGTGGGATGATGATCAGAGAGAACCAGAGATTGTTTGCCGCCATATTGATCATGTAAACATGTTAGGTCTCAACAAAACCACCTCGCGGCTCAGATACCTCATCAACTGGCTTGTGACTTCTCTGCTCCAGCTGAGGCTGCCTAGATCAGATCCAGGTGGAGAGCAGAAGAATCTTGTTCAGATCTACGGTCCAAAGATTAAATACGAACGAGGATCTTCTGTGGCGTTCAACGTCAGGGATTTGAAGAGTGGAATGGTGCATCCTGAGATAGTGCAGAAACTAGCTGAGAGAGAAGGGATATCTCTAGGCATTGGTTACCTGAGTCACATAAAGATCATCGATAGTCGAAGCGAAGACTCTTCAAGTTCTTGGAAACCGGGGGATAGAGAGGCAAGAAACAACGGCTTCATAAGAGTTGAGGTTGTCACAGCTTCTCTCGGGTTCTTGACCAACTTCGAAGATGTTCACAGGTTATGGAGTTTTGTGGCCAAGTTCTTGAGCCCTGGTTTTGCTAAACAGGGGACACTCCCAACAGTTCTTGAAGAAGATGATTCTTCAGAAACTTGAAAAAGACAGTTATTGAGCAATGGATTCATTTATTTTTGCTACACTTGCTTTACTGTGTACTTATCTGAGACTATCTCGTGTATGATTATGGTAAGTTATGTGAACAGAGACGATCTCAGACACGTTTGTAACTGTTCATTTCTCTTCTGTCTTTGTGTCACACAATTCATTGATTTTATTATATCTCAAATTTATTAGAACCAGAAGATATTGTGTCTGTTCATTTACAAGATTCCATCATCTTTATAAGAAACGCAATCTCTAAAGCAGATTCCTTAGTCTGCAAGAACCGATTTTCTTCGACAATATCAGTCGTTAAGTTGAGTAAGACTGGTCGTTCGGGGTCATTGAATGTATTGTCACGGACTCTTGCAACCCATTTCGCAGCTTCCCACACACCAAATCTGACAATGGATGCAGAAGAAATCTCAAACATGAATAAGAAGGCAGCTTCGAAATCATCTATCTATGATTACGAAAGAGAAGATTGGATGGATGTTTACCGAGTATTGAATGAGGAAGTGACTAAAACAGCTGGATAAAGAACATCTTTAGGAATGTTGTCATAAGGCGAATACTCGCGTATCGCATGAAAATCATCGATATCTCCTGGATAGCCAAATTCTTCATAATCCGCTGCCGTTAAAGGTAGTATTGGATATATCAGAGTGTGTGTAGGATCAAGAAAAGGAACCTGAAACAAAACAAAAAAACAAGAGAAACAGTTGATGATTTTAAGGTTTCATTATAAGTCACTCTACTTTAACTATCTCTGATTACCTTTAGAACCGCAGCTTGGAAGAGATGAGGACAACGATTGATAGCTGAAGCAACGACAAGCCCTCCCGCACTATATCCCCAACCGGCAAGATTGTTTTCTTGAACTATATTCTTCTCAACAAGGAACTTGGCACAGTGAATGTAATCTTTAATGGAGTTAAGTTTCTTTGCGCCTCTTCCTTCTTCATGCCACTTCTTTCCTTTCCCTCCGCCACCTCTGAGAACAAACCAAAAATAGATTACATATCTACACATGAGCTCAAAGTGTTTTGAGAGAGAAGAGAGAAGATGAGACTGACTGACCTAACATCTGCATATGCAAGAACCCATCCACGATCAAGGAGGCTTTTAAGTTCACTACGCCATCTCTTGTCAAGCATTTCACCATAAGCACCATGAACATGAAGCAGACCAGGTTTTTGGTTCTCTTCTTTCTGAGCTCTCGAGTAGACAACAGTTAATGGAACCATGGCTCCATCATGAGAAGAGACCTCGTGGTAATCACACGCGTAGAACTCGGTTAAGTCATTCCACAAGTTGTCATTCTCCGCAGTTGTATCATCAGAAGCATCAAAACTAACAGTTCTGGTTCCTGAGGGTATGTTAGGCGTCTCCGTGGAGTTTGCAGTGCCATACAAAACCCGTGTTCTTTCGTGAAGCATGTTTTGCTGCTGCACAATATTCCATTTCCCATTTGACAGATCATAATCAACCACAGCATCAGGCATCTGCAGACCAAAAAAGTGTTAAACTCAAAAACACTAGCAACTAAAAAACTCTAACCACAGAAGCAAAAAAGCAAGATGGATTGTTCTCCTACCACAAGTGAAGAAATCGTGAACCGCATTGTTGGAGAATTGAAGTCGTAGTTTGTGCCTGGAGATATTTGAGAAACGTGCTTCGGAAGAGGAAGATAACGAGGTTTGATCTCTCTCAGATGAACCGGTACCTGCTCTGTCTTGAGAGGTAGATCAACTACACAAATCTTATAGCTCTGCATTTGCTTCACAATGAGGGACAAATGTGTTTTGCAGAAATCAACATCCTCTATGATCAATTCAGGGTCGTCCATAAAAACTGTCTGCAAATGAAAGATGAACATGTAACATATCAGACCGGAGGATAAGACTAATCAGCAGATGAAAACTTTGATTGTATCAGCCAAACCAACCTCCCAGATCCTTGGACTGGAAGAGAAGAGAAGAGGACTTCGAAGAAGATAATGATTGTCCTTGGAAGCATCTGTAAATAGATAGAGGAATCCCTGATGATGCTCGATGATGCAGTGTGCTGGAGCATTGTGTTCCCAAACCAATGCCAAACCAGAAAATGGGTCAGCTGCATTTATCAGAAAGACCTAAGACATAGTACTTGTTATGATTACAACTAGTTCCACAACAATACATAAAAATTAAAGCTTTTATTAACAGATCAATTTTAGAGCTTTCACCTTGGAAAATGTAGGAGAGAATGTATTTACAGTCACAAAGTTGAAATCTTTTGTATGTCTTATGTTAACATGAACATTGCCTTCGACTTCTTCATGAAGCAGAACATCCTCATCAGTTGATCCGATCTTGCTACAATAAATCCTGATAACAGAACAACAAATAAATAACGATTTCACACACAAGCAAGTCCAAGTTGAAACCAGACAATCAACAAAATTGATCAGAGACGAAAACCTGAATGGCCGTTTCTTCTGATCAGTCACAACATAGAGCAAAGCCTGACCGTTCTTTGCCCAAGCTATGTTCGAGACACGATCTGCGTGAGGCTTACTACATAAAGCTCCAGAATTCAAGTTTCTCACACAAAGCTTGAAGTAGTCGTTATCCTTATCATACATAGTGTATGCAAGAAACTTATGGTCAGGAGATATCTCTGACATTTCTTCATAAGCATAACCTACACAACAAGAAGGACACAGCAACTGTTGATTCCTCTTAAATCCTTACAAGTATAAGAACCTTGAATTGCTTGTTTTTTTTTACCTCCAAATCTTTCAGCTTCCTGATTGTAATCAAGCAGCTTCTGCTCAATCCTCTTCCCAGATGTGAAATCAAAGCCAGCAGCAGGAGATTTATGAGAAATGAACTCATCGTGCAAGCTCGCTAGCCTCCTACACAGTACTGGATACTGCTTCCCTTCTTCAACGCGTCTATAATACAACCTATTCCCACCAATTCAATGTCCAATTGGTTAAAAAAAGGACGAAACTTTCAAATTAATCGATGAGTATGCACTAAAAGATCCAAGCTTTTTACCACCCTCTGTTTTCCAAACTCTTGAAATCTACTGAATTCGATGATAAACAAGAAAAATGTTGAAATTTAAAATGACCCACCAAGGTCCCCAGCGAAGCGGAGGAGTAGAGAGGTCAAAAGACAAGCGAGAAGCCATCTCAGATTGAAGCTTGTTCTGAATCCGATCAGTATCGGCCAAGATAGCTTCGGTATACTTCTCTTCTTGCTCCATATACATATCCATATGCCGCATCGCCACTTTGTCTTCCAGCTTTGACATCCAGCTGTAAGGATCCTCCCACGTGGCGTCGTGGAAGGTGAAACTCTGAGGCTTCTTCGGCGGTTTTGGTAACGCAGGTGGCGGCTGAGGAGGAGGCGGAGTCTTCGGAGGCTTGTAACGACGGCATTGTTGCCGGAAATGACAATTACGACGGAGGCTCCGGGAGAGATTGGCAAACATTTGGGGGTTTTACAGGGTTTTTGCATCTCTGGGAAAACATTTTTATAAACTCTTCAAAATTAGAACCTTCTAACTCATATAGAGGCTTTAGTCCTATAGCCAAATTCAACATATAATATTTTTTTTATTAAAAAAGACGAAATTATCCAGAGTAATTTCCATTAATGAAAAGTCTGAAAACTAGTTTGTTTCCATATTTTTAAGTTAGGTTTTAATTTGTTTCCATAAAATATTTTACGTTTATTATCTAGAATGAAAAATTTGTGTTAAAGCAAGAGAGAGATGAATATTCGTAACTGACACACAAAAAGTTATGATGAGCTTGTCAGACTGAAAACAGAGACAAATCGTCTTTTCTTATCAGATCCTCTCGGCTTCTGAGATCTTTTTGCTTCTTTAGTTACCTTTCAGATCAAACCACTACACGGCAAACCCTAAATCAAATCAGGAAGAAATAATGGTTGAAAAGGTTTCTTCTTATGCGCGTAAAGACTTGCAGTTTTTCAAGGTTTTTCTCCCCGAATTCAGTTCTCGCGAGCTTGTATGTTTCTTCTCTCTCAATGTCAAAAACAAATCTCCTTTTTCTTTTTTTCATAAATTAATTAAAATTAATTAACTTGCAGGTGATACCTCCAGCATTCATCGACATCTTAGAGAAGCCATTACCTAATGAAGTTTCGTTACGCGATGAGATCGGGCGGTCATGGTTCGTGGATACAGAAACAGAAGACACAGATGAAAGACTCCGTGTTGTTTTCAAACAAGGCTGGAAGCTTTTCGCAGAAGATCAATCCCTTGAGTTCGGAGACTTTCTAGTGTTCAGCTACGACGGCCGTTCGAGATTCTCCGTTACGATTTTCGCTAAAGACGGATGTAAAAAAGATCTCGGTTTCGTCACAGCCACGGATAGATCTACTAGGGTTTCGGCTGATGAGAGAGAACCGGAACGTCGGGTTAAGCGGAATCGGCATTCGGAGTGGGTTGATATTGAACCGGAGTATGTATCGACTATCAAAACCGAACCGGAACGCCATAGAAAGGTCAACCAGGCTGGAGGTAATTTAATGGATTGGTTATCTACTTTGATTTATTTATTCATTCAAGTGATTTGAAAACTATATTAATAATTTTGGTGGGAGTTACATAGGTTCTTGTGACATTCCGGTTCCTGAGAAGAAACGAAGAGTATTTGAAGAACCGGTTATTAGTAAACCAAAGAATCCGCATTTTGTGAGGAATATCTCACATTGTACACTTTATAAACTGGTGAGTTGAAATAACCGTCTTTTTTTTTTTTTATAAATCAGTCTTAGTATTGGTTAACGTAAACCAATGTCGATCTCTACTGTATGTGTTTGCTAGGATATACCGACAACTTTTCTGAAATCGAACGGGATCGAATTGGAGAAAGAAGTGGAGCTTTGTGACGAAGATGGAAAGAAGTGGCCAATGGAGATTGTGCATCACGAGAAAGGATTCAGGTTCTCGCATGTTTTGTGGAAGCGTTTCTTTGAAAGCCATAAGTTGATGACCAACAATAAGTGTATATTTGAGTTTATTGTCGCAAGTAATGGGAGATGCAACGAGATCCAAGTTCGTATTGTCCGTGGGCCATTGCTTACTACTATGACGAAGAGTTATTACCACGTTCTTGCTTTGTAAACTTGCAAATATACAACGTTATATGTTTGGTGTTGTATTGGCTTCTTTTATGAATCTTTTTGTGTTACTGTGTTATTTCTCATTAGGGCAGTTGCATAAAATTTAGAGTCGATTTAGCTTAAGGTTTTTTAGCCTAATAAACAAGCGTGATCGATCACTAACACTATAAGCTAGCAAGCAATATTTTGGATGAAACTTTTTAAGTTTCTACAATACTGTTTTGTAACATCTTTTAAAAGTGCATTGACATCACATTATAGGGGGTGATCGCCCATAAGTTCCTTTCAATGGATTAGAAAACAAATTTCCTCTTTTTAGAATGAATATATGACTTGAAGACTTTCTTGTTATCTAACGGTGGAATTGTGTACATTAAGATATCGGGCTTCAATATTATATCGCTATTTCAAGTTTTGAAAACTTGTGTCGCTACTATTGAGAACATTGATTAAGTTTTCTTCCTATATCATCTATTGTATACATACAGAAAGTATAGTTAAAAATATTGAAACATCTTAATTTACTAAAACTAATTTGTTAGCGTTATGATTAACTCCAATAAATACCACGGATAACGGACTTCTCAGAGTGTTTCGTGTGTCATAAGTACAATCACACCCAAATAAAAGAAATTTCAGAAATGAAATTCGAAGTTAATCAATAGATTCAATACCATTATATGTTAATTGTTGAAGAAGAAAAAATTGACTTGATCTCATGGTGTGGTCGATGATTCCTTTTATAGACGACCATCTTCGAATTCTCTCATTACTCTTTCAATAACTGTTTAACTAAGTTTCACGGCGATCATATAACTTAGCATTGAACTTCGTTTTTGGATCTCTCGATTGTATTATAAAAAAACACAGTGCCATTTTCGGCTCATTATGCAAGGAGTAATAAAATAAAATTAATACTGGATTAAAGGCATTAAGAAGGCAACTAATGCAAGGGAAATTAGTTATTCAATTCAAAGCTAAAGCAATATGGCACGTCGGAGAGCACATAGTTTGTTGTGTCCCTTCTTTTGTACCAATGAAAAGCCAAAAATCAGCCACCGGTTTTCAGATAACCAATGTACCGCGGCCCAAAGTAAAATTGTATTCGCCAACATAAAACAATTTTTAATAACACAACTTACAAATATCTGCGTGCGAAGTCTCACCAATCCATTATTATATGCTCTCTATATAAAAACACACAAAGAGTTTGTGTTGTTAAGTACTACCAATATCTTGTTTGTTCCATCAATAAAGACTTTCGAGAGAGCTTTCCATATTCCTTTTTTCTAATGGAGTTTGTGAGTATGAAACGAGTCCAATCATCGGAGGAAGGAGAAGAGAGTTTGAAAGAGGAGCAAGTGTCGAAGCAACTACATCTTAAATCATCGGAAACGCAAACGCAGAATCTAAACAAAAGAGCGGTCCTCAACCGCATCCGCGACCACAAATGTATTCACAAAATCAAAAGTCTTCTCCACACTACCGCCGCCGCTAATAATAACGGATCCACCGTCGACGTTGATTACCGGTGGATTGATAGCGGCGATGTCTTTTCTTGTCCCTGAGAGACTTTGAGACGTGTTATGTCCACGCCACGTGTGTATGTGTAATGATTTTCTTGTCACTTCTTCCTGTATTTTGAAAACTTTAAATTCAAGTTGTCTTAAATGTATAACTCTAGTTAATGATTATCATTAAAATTGTAGATTTCGATGTTCACGATAAGTTGATGATCACCGTTAGATCTTAGAGATTTTATTATTGGGATTCGGATGTCTGCAATGAATAAATTGGGCCACGAGTGATTGTTGTTCTTTATCAAAGACCAACGAAAGCCCAATAAGTACAAACAAAGAGCATTGAGTCGGTTTCGGTTCGGGTTTAACATATTAACCAATGAGTCTTGAAACCAAACCAAGAAAACCAACCTTAATAAAAAAAACTGGTAAAACAACAAAAGACAAAACAGAGTGAAAACTGGATTAGCAACCTATTACACGCAAAAACAACCTTCATGAGTGTTAATGATTATCATCAAAATAACTACTACAAGTCATCACTGGTTAAATCTCTCTCTCTAGACAAGCTAATGCTCTAACAGTAGTAGAGGTGATACAGTAGAAGTAGACGATAAGAGTGATCTTCTTCGTTTGTAGTTGGCTTTAAAGCAAGCCTGTCTTAGCTTCTTAATCTTATCCCCAAATTCCCAATCAGGAACCTCCTCAATCATTTTCATCTCCTTCTCCAAAATCTCCAGAGCGTTCCTCAGCTTAATCTTGTTCGCTTCTCCATCCATATTCCCGAAGTGATCCTTAACATAAAATTAAAGACATGCATCCACATAAGTGTTATAACCTCAAAATGTATAAGTCCAATGATTATGTAACATATATGTATGTGTGGACGCACCATGAGGTTTGTACGTAGAGTTTCAAGGCTCATAAGCTTACGATGAGGCCAACGATGAATACCCAACTCACGACATTTCTTCTTCAAGAGGGTTATTCCAATGTTGAGCTCTTTGGCTGCTTTAGTTATCGGCATGTAGAAGTATGGTCTGATTGTTTCCCTTGACAAAGTCTTGAAGATGACTTCATCTTCTCTACATCTCCTCTTACGCCGCCTTGTCGTCTCTTTCACTGTGTTATTACCTTCATAAAGTACTATCTCCATATTTGGATTCCCTGTGCTGTCAGTTCTTGAACTTTCATCTCTAATTGGTTCGATCTGGTTATCGCAACTACCAGTATTTTCACTCCACGATCCACTCAATACATCTGCTACACAACGTTAAGTTAGTATCACAATAATACAATCATTTATTTATGTACATGCATGTATATATGTATATACCATTAGAAAGAGTAGAGATGGCTTCAAGATCAAGGGATGAAGTCATAAACATATTATCACCAGCCGCTAAACGAGTAGAGATAGGATTAAGTATGTCTTGGGAAGAAATAAAAATTTCAGTTTGAAAATCCTTAAACGGGTTTACGTAAGGACTGCAAAAAAAAAAAAAAAAAAAAAAATCAAACAACCAAAAGAGGATATTAAATAATATTTGCCAAGGCAAACAAATCACTTTTTTATTATTTATAAACACAGTAAAGCATCATAACTTACTTGTAATCGAAGAGAAGTGACTGATCGAGTAACGAGAATAAGTTTTCATCTGGAAGGAAAGATTCATAGTTGTCGGACTCCGACCAGATCACCAGAGATTTATGATCAGCCATTTCAGTTGCGAGGGATCGGAATAGATAAGTAACGCTCTTTTATGTCTTTGAAGAAGAAGAAGAAAACGAATCGTCTGTATTTATATGTATTTGAAATTTATAAACACTTTAGCGTAATTGTATGTATAGATAGAGAAAGTACTTGAGAAGTGAGAAGTTGGAAGTGGGTAATTAGTTCTCGGAGATAGTGAGCCGTCAAAATTATTATATGTATATTATGTAAGTTACGAGAGAGATAGATGGTAATTGTAGGAATTTAATGATTAGTGTTGATAATTTTGGATAATAGGAAAAAGTATATAGTTAATGCTAATTATATCTACTAATAATAGGGCTTAAGTTGTAAACGTTCGAAAATTGAATAGGCTTTAGGTTCCCCATCCCATGATTCCCATCACATGCACTGTCAGTTTATGATATACTGTCTTGCTTGTTGTCATTTTCAAAATTGTTTCGTTTTGTTTTCAAAATTAATCATGAAAATATCCTTAGTATATTTTGCGTGAGTAGTGAAAATTCCATTTTTTACGGTTAACAATCATATGGACATACTATTAGAGAAGCCATTACCTAATGAAGTTTCAACTATCACAACCGAGAGACCGTTATAAACTTTATGCAAAGCTTAAGCATACAACTTTTATGTTATTTTCGGTTACTTTATGAATCTTTTGTTGGGATCACTATTAGTATTTCTTACTAGTGAAAGAATATTGTAAAATTCGAAAGTACTTTGGTTCCCTCACTTTCTGATTTATAAATACGTATCTCTATGGTACTAATTTCAAATTTGAGATTTTGGTTTACAAGGTTCTTTGGGCCTCCCGCTCCCTCATTTGCGTTCTTATCAGTTCCGCAACGTCTTTCACATCTACATTTGATTATTTAGCTATCTCCACCGCTCGTTCCTTGCGTACGTGAGGGTGTTGTTATCTATCAAAATCTTTCATTTTTTTCATATATCATCATGAAAAAAACCTCTTTGTTCTTCTAGAGTTAAATTTTCAATGTTTTTTTTTTAATTGGGCAACTAATCATTATTCATTAGAACCGGTTTCTAAATAATTGTGTGGTTGTTAATAACAAAATGTTAGCTCTTCAAGAACGTATAATTGCGTAAGTTACTCAAAAAATAATTATAAACTTATATATATTTGCTCACAACACATGGAGATAAAAAAAAAAATGACACTAAAAAAAGATGCAAAAACTATTTCATTTCTTCAGAAACAAAAAATACTGATTATTTAATACTTCTAATTCACTATTCAGGTTTTTTTTTTTCTAGATAGACGTTATACATAATTATGTGTCATGCAAGCATTTGTGCATGGAGTTTAGGAAAGAAGGTACTAATTAAACTCCATGCCACCAACTTCTTGATGTATGTTTCTTTCTCTCCGTTCTTTGTGTCACGCACGTCTCACTGATCTTTTGCCGATAACTCAGTTGCCGCCTCCTCGTAAACCTGCACCGCCATCTCATAGGTCGGGAACGTTCCTAGCCACCTCCTTGCTTTAATACTTGGATCCCATATCCCCGCCGACCATTTACCTAATCGTTTGTGAAAGTACACGTAATTTAAAGAACAGGGGCGACTCAAACATGTTGAAACATTGCATATTATAACATAATTTACCTGATGGTTTCTTCCTCACTCCTTTGTGCTTCTTCTCTTTCTTTACCTCTTCGTGCCGTGGGAATGCGCAACCGTAGCAACCAGTTCTGTTGCAGAGAGGACAAGGTTCGGCGTTTGGAGGCGGAAGAGTTTCGCTAGCGATCCAGTTTGATGATGACGTGCCACCTCCGGGGCTGGATATCACTTGCCGCAAAGCAGATACCATGATCCTATGCTCTTGATCTCTTGTCAAAAGCGAAGGAGCTTGTGAAGCAGGCGTGAAATTTTCGTTTTGATTATAAGTTGGAACATTTTCTGAACCATCCATATTCGTGGGATCAAACTGATCGATAACAATTCATGCGAAAGTTTGGTGATGATTTGAAAACAAATTGATGGGGCTTTAGGGTTTATATAGCCGTTAAGTGAAGTCTGTATGTGTAAAACCAAAAAAAATAGTGAAGTCTGTATGTGGCAGAGTCTAGACGTGGGTCCCATGTAATCTTTGGAGTAAATGTTTAGTGTAAGTACACGCGGCACGAAGTTGTTACAACGTAAGATACTACTATACCTGTAATAAATGCGATTTCAAGAAGAAACAGGGGAATATAGTACGTATCTATTGTACTAGTTTCACTTTAGCTTTTTAATAACTAGAGTAGTAACTATCGTTTTCTGGTCGGCTTCTATATAAGATTTTTCAATCATTACACCGAGTAAGCCGAATCACTTCTTAATTTGATGTCATTTTTGCCAGATTAGCTTGATATATCACGTTTTAAATATATATACGCACATGTAAGTTTGGACAATTTTCAAGTCATTCCATGTGGTCTTCGTTCCTCGATTAAGCAGAATATCGACCAGCATCAAATTCAATGGTTGGACTATCTATTTTCTCGACACATACTTTGATATTCAGTAGTTATTTTACCAAATTTTTAAACTCCATAATCTACGAGTTGGCATTATTATGCACGTGGAAGTGTATATTTGCTTTATTATTACTGTTTAAAGATTAATATGGAATAAACGATACTATACCTTTAAAGTTGATTTATTCCTCCGATTAACAAAATAAAAACTTTAAAATTTAATTTCCCAACATATACGTAGGAACATTGTTAAATGGTAAAATAAAATAAAAATTATCTTCTTCTATATATTGTGACGTCTAAAAAACGTATTATATTTTCTTAAATTTCTATTTGTATCAAACAACATCACACTGCCTATATTATCCGAGTCAGGCTGTTCCTGTCCAATGATGAATCAATTACATAAGCTGATACAAGAACTTACCCTTAAGGCCTTAACCCTCGTTATAAGAACAAAAAACGGATGTCAAAAACTAAGATAGATCATCTCTTCATCGCCGCAAATCAATGACCAAAACCTTTTTCAATTATCTCTTCCACCGCTTCCTTCTCCGTTCTTTGTGTGACGTGACGCTGATCTTCTCCCGACAAGCTCAGTCGCCGTCTCTTCATAAGCCTGCGCGGCCATCTCTGCCGTCGGAAACGTTCCAAGCCACCTCCTTACTCTCAAAATCGGATCCCATATCTCTGCTGACCATTTACCTAGTAATTTTAAGAAATACATAAGTTTTCTTGTTATTGTGGTAACAAAATATGACGTTTCGATAATTTTACCTGATGGCTTCTTCCTCACTCCTTTGTACTTCTTCTCTTTCACAATCTCTTGGTTCTGTCGCTGGAATGCGCAGCCGTAGCAACCGGTGATGCCACAGAGAGGACAAGGGCCAGCTTCCGGAGGCGGAAGAGCTTCGGACGTGATATAGTTTGATGATGATGATGATGATGATGACGACGTGTCACCTCCAGGGTTGGATATCACTTGTCGTAGAGCAGACACCATGATCCCATGTTCTTGATCTCTTGTCAAAAACGGAGGTGGACGTTGTGGAACAGGGTTTAGATTTCCCTTTTGATCGTAAGAGGGATCATTTTCTGGATAATCCATTTTTGAGGGGCTAAACTGAAAATAATCAGTTCTTCGCAGCGAAGATTTGCGGAAGATGGAAGGTGGTGCGAACATTTGAAAACAAAAGTACGGAGTCCGGTTTATATAGTGGAGCTAGGAAGTAGAAAATCCATGTGTGGCGGCCACGTCATTCATATAGGTACACGTGGGTCCCATTTAATTTATTGTTTGTGGTTACGTCAAGTCACATGTAATCTAAAATTTGTTTGGAGTCTAGTATACGTACGCGGTGTGTAAATATTACCAATTATAGAGTATTAACACTATCGTTTTCGGGTTTGCTTCTACATTAAATACTGCCAATTATAGGGTAAACCAATTTGCTTGTTAACTTGCATGTCACTTTCGAATTTATAATGCCGTCTGTACCAAATTGGTTTCAATATATCACGTTTTAGTTACATATTTCCACATGTAAGTTTGGACTTTTTTTCAAAGTCAGTTAGTATGATATACGATCACCGCCTAATGAATTGGTTGACATATTTTGTAAGTACACAATTTCGTGAACATTTGACTTCCCGATAGTTAGAATATGCTATCAAAAGACTGCAAGCATTGTAGAATATATTTTCTGTCTTGTAGAAAGAAATGTCTATGTTGTAGGCTTGTGAGCATTATGTCTTGAGTTCGATTGGCATTATGTCCTTTTACTACTATGTTGGCAAAGATATGACATTTCGGCTTTTGGTTGTTCAAACTCTTTGGTTTAGAGATTAAAAAAGAAATTGAAATTCCTCATTGGTCAAACGAAAATAATTTTGGGGTGTGGAATTAAGGAGTTTCTTTATGAGAGATTTTTCTGTTGTCAACTTAATCAAAATTAAGTGATATGCATTACAGTGTGAAACTACAACGAACAATGTCATCTCTAACGAAACAAATGACTGGAGACATGTTCGAATTATTTCCACTTGTTTGTTTTGTTTTCACACTGTAATGATATTGTTCTCCTTTTGACAAGATCCATGTTCGATATGTTTTTCACATACATATGCAACTCAACACCCAGGTTTCTTGACTTAATCCAGCTACCAAACTAAGTTTTGTTCTCCTCAGTCCTAACGAAACTAAATCGGTTTTCTGACTAACACAACATACCAACATTCCAACTTAACAGAACCTAAAATCAATATTCCAAATTTCCAAGACCAATGATGCATGGTAGTTGGTAACGGGTCGAAAAGGCCCATACTAGTTATAGTCTAAAAGGCCCAATATCGCAACGCATTACAGGACCCATCAGACCATCATAAATATAAAAGCTTCCCCTCCATTTCTCAGTCTCTCTTTCACACTCCAAAATTTAATTTTCCTCCGATCGTTTTTCTCAGTTACAGTTACAGAATTCTCTACCAACATATCTCCAAAACCAAATGCCACCATCTTTCTAAAAATTTGCTCTTTCTCTGTCATGCTTGAATTATGATCGACATTTACCACAGAACCACCGGTTTGACTCCGGCTCACGCAGCAGGTCTCCGCCGTCTCTCTGCCCGCGCCTCCGCTCCATCCACTCCTACCTTTAGAAACAGCCTTCTATCTTTCTCCCCATTCGCTGATAAAGTAATCGCCCATCTAAAGAATTCGGGTATCAAAATCCAACCGGGTCTCTCCGACGCCGAGCTAGCTCGAGTCGAAGCCGAGTTTGGTTTCTTCTTCCCGCCGGACCTCCGTGTTATTCTCTCCGCCGGCCTCTCCGTCGGAGCAGGCTTCCCAGATTGGCGTTCTCCCGGAGCTCGTCTCCACCTCCGTGCCATGATCGATTTACCAATCGCTGCTGTGTCGTTCCAAATCGCGAAGAACAGTCTCTGGTGCAAAGCTTGGGGTTTGAAACCACCCGACCCGGAAAAAGCTTTACGGGTCGCGAGAAATGCACTGAAAAGAGCTCCTTTAATGATCCCCATTTTCGATCACTGCTACATTCCTTGTAACCCGTCTTTAGCGGGTAATCCGGTCTTCTTCATCGATGAGACCCGGATCTTCTGCTGCGGGTCGGATCTATCCGAGTTCTTCGAGCGTGAGTCTGCCTTTCGCAGCTCTGATATCTTCTCGAGAACCCTCACAAAGCAGCGCTCGCTGAGCGAGAAATCGACTGGGTCAGCGTCCTCGAATTTCTCCAGGAGGAGCTTCGATTCAGGTCGGACTAACGGATCGGGTACATCGAGATGGGTGGAATTTTGGAGTGACGCGGCGGTGGATCGCTGCCGGAGAAACTCTGCTTCCTCGTCGTCGTCTTCTTCTTCTACTCACTCTTCTTCATCGCCGGATTTTCCCAGAACAGAGACTCCGAAATGGGTAAACCAGTACGTAAACCGGATCGGATCGGTTTTGAGAGGAGGCGGGTGGAGCGAATCCGATATTGATGATATTATCCACGTGTCATCATCTGATTTCGTTGAGGGTGACATGGTAATTATGGATAAACAAGCGGTGCTTGATGTACTTCTCTTGAAAGCGGGTCGGCTTTCGGACTCACTCCGTCAATCCGGGTGGAGCTCGGAAGAAGTTTCGGACGCGCTTGGTTTTAATTTTCGACCGGAGAGGGAGAGGAAACCGGTGAAGAAACTCTCGCCTGCACTCGTGGAACGAGTTGGAAAACTTGCTGAATTGGTCTCCCGGTCATGAAAGTATTATGAACACGTGCATTGGAGTCATAATGATGATAATATTACAATAAAATCTGAAATTTGTATATTAATTACTGAAAAAATCAGCATGCTTTGCTGCTGGTGGGGGTTAATTGAGTAGGTTTCGTTTTATACGGGGGCGTTTTTAAAAATCGTTTATCTAGGGGCACCAACGCACGTGTGACGACTTTTCCCAAACAAACACAATCGAACACTGATGGGTCCCGCAAACTATGGCAAAAGACGGCGTCGTTCGAACGCAAAGTTGTTCTTTTTAAATTGTAACCCAAAGCCATGCTACAAAATCGAGTTACTGGAAAGTTGAAAGTTGAAACTATAAAATGGTTACCTTTTTTGGGTCAAATGATTACTTCCTAACACATAATTTCAAGTGAAATTGTTTTCACTGAAAAATTGTAAAGTAATTTTTTTTTTTAAGAAGTAATTGTAGAGTAAACAAGCAAAAAAACAGAAGTTATAAAATGCTCTCTCCTCCATCTCACGCGTGACTGGAAAGTCAGAGGTCGTATGTGTGATTAGAAATTGCTTGTGAAAAGGAAAATGGTTGAAGAAAGTAATTAACAGACAAGTAAAAGGAAAACCTAACACAGGGAAAAGTCATCGGCGCCGTTCAGACATTGAAATGATTCAGTGTACTGAAAAAAAAAATTGGGTTTGAAATTTTGTCAAGTGCCAAGAACAATTATTGGAGAAACTATATGAGTTACGCCAAAAATACAAAGAGGTGTACGTTACCAAACCTTAATAATCCAGAAAAAATGATATAATGTAGCTAGATGAAATGAATCGGACAGCCTTTAGCTGGATACACTTCAAATTATGTGTTACGTATGTATCATAAAAAAGGCAATGTCGTTGGTTACAATTATTATGTTAAGCAATAATTAATATCCCTAACTAATACTACAAGTATACTTTTGTATTATTGTATACAATTATTACAGTAAGTTTTTCTTTCTTTTCTTCACCTTCTACAAGAAACAAAAAACCAACAAAACTAACTAACAACCACCGTTTAGGACTTGATTAGTGTGTATAATTCTCCTATCGAAATTGTTGAATCACATCTTGTATATACTAATATACACCCACAAGTACACAAAACATTATCTACGCCATTAATGTTGTTCCTCCGATCACGTGGGAATCCCGCCCCCATCACGTGCCTAATCCGTCTGATTTATTCACGAGAGAAGTCCGAAAAGATCAACGCAAATAATTGTAAACAACAAAAACCACAAAGAGAAAAAGCTCATGCATAACCCACATGAATACACCAACAAAATTTAATAACAACCAGTCAACCACGTGGATTATTTGAAGGGTCCTATCTTAGAGAATATGCATAACATAGCAGCCGTTGATCACATTTACAAAGTACGATCGGATCTGCCGTTGCCGTGGCACTGTAGACCGATGAGCAAAGAAATATCAACCGTACCTTTTTACATCGAACGGCTTCTTCGGTTGATATATGCTACACTTATTATTTAGCAGATCGTCAATGATGATTTTTCAATGTTCCATAATTATTATAGCCAAAATGAACAGTAAAGATTTGTCGCGAAGTCAGACCAAGGAAGAAATATGTGAGCTAGCTACATAATAGCAAGTGGAATGCGACAGTGAGTATTTATGAAGATGGGACCTTACCTCAAACACCATAACATGTCAGCAAAACTATTGTTTCACTCTTTATCTTTTCTTCTCTTATTACTTTCACATGAATGTTCCAAACAGAGTAACATCTTCTTTTCTTATTCTATACAGAGAAAAGCATAAGTGCTCCAAATACAAATATTATCACATCATCTTTTCCTTTGCGGCAAAATGTTTTGAAAGACAGAAAACAATAGTTCAATAAAATAGTTAAATGTTAACACGAATTATCTTATCGTCAACGAAGCAAGATTCTCAGTTCAACGTGTTTAGCAAACAAAGCGTAACGTTCTGTATAATTATCTTTTGTTTCAGCCTATATATACATTGTAATGTAAGGATCAAGGAATAGGATATCTTTCGTTTGCGTTTGATAAAATTTCTACACAAATTATCGCCAAACTGAGAAAATATTTAATAATTTAACCGTCGGGTCACTTATTTTCAAGCTGCCTGGAGTAATTTGCCGTTACTCTCATTCTTACTCGTAGACTTCGGAGTTGTTCTGATCACCTTCACCCTAAACGCCGCCTGATAAGAACAAAACAAGACTCAAAACCGGGTTATATGAAACGCTCCGGTTAAAAAAAAAACGAGATTGGTAAATACAAGTCTCACCTTCTTATCTGAACCAAACTCGATGATATCGGACGATCTAAACCGGGCCGGGTAATTCGGTGACGCTCTGTATCTTCTTCCCTCGTTACTGGTAACACCATTCAAAAATCAAATATTTTGGATCAGAAATGTCACAACAGACTCGAGAGAAAGAACCAAATCTTTATCGACTTACTCGACCACATAGGTTCCGTGCTCGCTTCCAAGATCCATCAAGTAGAAAGCTCCATCTTTGTAGGTTACACGTGCATGCATCTTCGAAACCTATATATCAAAGATTTGAGTCCATTATGATCCTTGACTAGTCTCTGAATCTGTGTAGAAGTATGTGAAGTCACGAGTTTATATACATACCTGAGAAGAAGGGATCACAATGTGCATTCCAGGTAAATCTTGATCAGGTTCGCTTCTGTTATCAAATACATGTTAGAAAAGTGTCAAATATTTTAAGAACATATTGAAATGGATTCGCAACTTGATTTTCATACCCGATGATGCAAGGTTGATCCTCGTCTTTGGTTAGACGTATGGTTTCCTTGACGCTACTATCGTCTCCGTGCGGAATCAGATACCACCTGCAAAGATATTAAGTCTCAGACCAAACCAGTTTAAGAGAGTAAAGCTTGAGTTTAGGGATTGGTGGAACATACTCTCCATGTATAGTACGTTCAAGTGCGTCGTTGTCTTCAAACCACTCACGAAGCCGGTCATCAGCCTTCAAGCAAAGATTTGTACTTTCATCATATTACTCAAAGAATGAAACTTTTTTGAGTGAAATGGAGAGAGAAAGAAAGAAACATACTTTGTCAGTGAGTCTGCAACTAGGGGACCTTCCTTCCAGTTTTTCACTGCAAAAGCGTGTGTAGATGAGTTGGTTTTAAAGGACTGACTGCTACTTAAAGTTTAAACATTTCAATGTCTTATTAAGTAGGATGAATCGAGAGAAAGAACTAACCTGTTACCTCCAAGGACCCAGTTAAGCATCAACGGCATAGCAATGTCAATGAAGAATCTCCCACCAACTCTTCCTGGATGCGGCACTCTAAACTTTGTCAAGAACTGCAACGTATAGTGTTTTGAGTTAACACAAACAGAAACAAGAATGACTGTTGTCTCGCTGTCAATGTAAAAACTATGAAGATACTCACAGAGAGAGGTCCAAGCCCAACACCTAAGTAAGCTTTGTAAGTGGAAGCCATAATCGCAGCCATTCTCGCCATCCCATGGATAATAGCCACTCTGAGTCTTCTTGATTCCTCATATCTAAAACCATTTCAAAAGCCTGTTTAGTAGTACTCATCAGAAGCACTTTTTAATAATAAAAATAAGTTGTGTGTTTTAGTTATACTTTTTCAAAGAGGAAACAACATCAACAGGTGTATTCGTCTCAACACTCTGTTTCCAAGCTCCTTCAAGCTCCATTGCTAGCTGATAACTATCCTCAATGGCCATGCATCCACCTTGACCCATATTAGGCTGCATCGCATGTATAGAATCTCCGAGCAGCGTAACACGCCCTCTACCCCAAGTAAAACTAGGAGTTCTATCATATATATCTCTTCTCAGAATCGCATCCTCCTCTGTCGCATGCAACAAGTCGAGTACATTGTCGCACCAACCTTCAAATATATCAAACAATCTCTTCTTCATACCTGCAAAATTCAAAAGAAAACTCATGTGAGTGATTTGATACTAAAAAAGCAAACACCATAGAACACAAAACCAAATCAATGCAGATATTTTTACCATTGGGAGGATCGACACCACCAGCTGCTTCCTCGTGAAACGCGTACCATTGCATTTTCCCACCACCAACATCTGAAGATACAAAGTACTGTTTGTGCCCCAAGAAAACTCGGTAGCTACGAAACAGTTCCAATTATCAGAAAAAAAGATTCATAAAACAGAGAAGAGATGCATGAATGTTACAGTTTGTGTGCATACCCAACAGACTCGATATCAGCCGGTATGAAATCTGCAATGCCGGTATAACAAGTGTAGCCTGAATACGTTGCTTCACTTCTTCCGAACAAATTATTTCTCACCTATAAAAACAAAACACAAAGGCAGAATCTTTACTCTTCTTCATCATCCTAAGCAAGAAAAAGCTTCTTCTTTTTTGTTTAAACTCAAAACGTACTTTAGACCAAATGCCATCTGCTCCCACAAGCAGATCACCTTCATAGCGTTCACCATTCTCAAGCGTCACTGTGACCTAAACCAACAAAACCCATACATCAAGTTAGAAACTTTTCCTTTTCTAACATTTTTGGCAAATCAGTAAGAGAGATCCATTCATATCACCTTATCACCAGTGTCTTCAAAATCAACAACGTTACTCTCGTTTCTAATAATTTCTTCTCCAACCGCGCGTGCTAAGATCTGCTGCAGAGTCATTCTGCTAATTACTCGAGTCACCGGAAGTCCCCTTGACGCCGCCGGCGTGAAAGTATCAAACTTTACATACCTGATTGATTTAACAAATAACATCACAAACTACTGAATCCAAGCAGAGTGGTTACTCAATTTGACGATCAATCTGAAGATGAACTCACCAAGTACCAGAGACACCGTCGACGAGACCGTTAATCCGATCACCGGTGATACAACCAGCTTCCATAACTTCTTCTGCAACATCGGTATCAATAGCTTCCAAAGCAGCTAAAGCGTTGCTCTGTATTTGAATCGGTCCTCTGTATTGTCCTTCTCCTCTTATGGCGCTCAAATCCTTCTCGAACACCAACACATCGAACCCTTTCTTCTTCGCCGCTAGAGCAAACACCAATCCTCCGATTCCACCTCCGGCGACCAAGACCCTCGATTTCTTCTTCTCCGCTGCTACTTCCCGCTTCTCTGATTCCACCAACGCCGTCGCCGCTGCCGCCTTTACTCCGACCAGACTCCGACGACTCCTAAATCCCGATTTTCCGGCGAGCGATGATAAATCTAGGTAGAACTGTTTGGCAAGGGGACTCAACGCATGGGTTCTAGTGAAATCAAACTTTGATGGAGAAGGATTGATTGAATAGCAAAACGGAGTTGAACCCATCTCGCTTCTCTCCGGCGAGAAGAGAAAACTCCGTCCGAAATATAGTCAAAATCAAGTAAAATTCAGTAGGTGGTAACCAAATTTTATCTGTGATCCGTCTCTGACTTAGGACAATAGAGAGAGAGAGAAGTGGTTTGAAGAAGATGAAGAAAATGGTTTGAAGAAGGCAAATGATGGAGAAGGAGAAGACAGGTGGCGTCACCACAGCTTCACACTTCATCTCTCACTGCCTAACAAATATCACTCCCGATGTTGACATGTAGTTTTTCTCGGCCATTAGAAATTGAGTGAATAAACTAATTATATTATTTGGTATGTTTCGAATGTGACGTTATAAGCGCTTCCGGTGGATTTTCTTAAGGTGTGAAATGTGAATGGATAAATCGTCCTTTTTTTTCCTTCTTATCACCATTTTAAGCCACTAATTTCATTTTTTTATTTTCTTTTTGGGTAGTAGTCTTTCAATTTTTATCTCTTTTTTCAACACGTCTCTCATTTTTTATCATAAATAATAATTTTATTTTAAATGTAATTATTATTTTTCCATCATCATAATTTTAATATCACACGATTTATTTGATGAAGTAATAATTCTAACCTTTCTTGTCGACGTAATTCTAACCCTTTTTAATCAACCCAAATATACTAGTATAAATTTACCGGCCCAAACTAAATGGCCATATTACTAAATCAAGCCCAATCTAATACTTTTTCTTATTTATATAAGTATCCAATACTTTCAGTCATTGACATTAATATCTGAAACTGTTGGTTATATAGCATATATTCCCGATACTTCTAGTTATTTACCCAATTACTCAGCGACTTCTGACTATTTATAAAGGGATCCTAATGTTTCGATTACTACTTAGAGGTCCAATAATATTTTGTTATTACATCTTCACCTGATATTTACAATTATTTACATCTAATTCCGATAAGTTATGTGTACCCCATTTCTGCGTTTCACAAATTCGATGTTATGGACCCACCAATTACACGCAAAAACTCAAAACTTTTCTATGTTATGGATACATCTCTGTGAATTTCGAAAACATAAGGAGGACTTAATCTCGTGGCATTCACATAATCTTGAGGTGTATGATTCGAAATCCCAGGGACTATGATCCCCAAAACCCTAGCAACCTTCAACAACCATCCTTCCTTAAACTCTGATCCCTTCTCAGTCACAATCGTGAAGCTTCTTTTTAGCTCCAAAACCGCATTGCTCATCAGCCTTGTAATCCCCCACATTGAAAAATAGTTTTCGTCCGATTCATCTCTCAAAACCTACCAAAACAAAAACATTTTCTTAAAAAATCAAAGATACTAAATAATGAAATGTGGTAGTTATGTAGTTATATACCTTTGCTTGATAGTGTTGGTCGTAGTAGATGCAAGTACCAAAGTGTTTGAACATCAGATCCTTATCATCGTACGGCAACCTCGGAACGATGTCGTTATTATAAACGAATCTATAATATTTTATATCATTTTCCTGTAATTTCTTCTCCATAAATTCACCGAACTTGGAATCTCCAACTCTAGGTTGTCCGTACGTATAAACCCCTTGAATCCTCTTTAACAACTCGGTCTCATCGTGAATCACGAGCACAGCTGTGAACAATATCGCGAGGGCTCCTCCTAAGCTATGTCCGGTCAGAACAATTTTTGTATGTTCGTTTTGAGCAACCAAAGATTTCAAGGAGTCTCTTATTGAGTAGTAAGCTAAAGGGGACAATCGGCTAGGGTTTGGGAGAGGTTTCTTTGGCCAGCTGCAATTGTTTTGAAGCCCTAGAGCTTTCATGAAACCACCGTGGATCCTCCCAATGTTTGGGAGCTCGTACCATGTAATGTCAAAATCTGAACACCAATCTTCTGAGTTAAATGGCTCGGTGCCTCTAAACGCAACCACAACCGTTGTTTCTTGATCAGTAGACATCATAAAAGCTTGTGTTGTTTCCTTTTCTTGATACTCTGCCAAAAAAATATCAAAACACCTACACATTAGAAAATTGATTAACTAATTAATTAATGTGAGTAGTTTTTATCACACAAAAAATGAATGTATATATAATATACCGTTCCAATAGTCATTGAGACCTAGGTACTTCATATTCCAATGATTTTCGACGACGTGTTTGATGCGAGCCGAGTTTTCGTAGGCAAGTTTTGAAGACATAATAGACAATGCAGCATAGTATAAGTCTCCATCTTCACGATTTTTCGTCTTGTCTAAATTTATTCTCCTGTCTAAATGTCCGATAAATGATAGGTAATTCTCCGACGTCGTTTTTGGCATCACCACTTCTCCTGCGTAATCGACAAGTTAAGATAAATTACATTTACACACATGTTCAATATAAAAAGGGTCAAATTACCTATGTAGAATCCCATATTTCAAATAAAATGGACTCTTAATCAATACACACGTTACAATCGTATAATGTAAGGTTATCATTAGAGAATAAAGGACCTCGGAGGAAGAAGGCTGAGAAAGAGTTATCGGAGAGGAAGTTTAAGGAGAATTCTAAGGCGGAGCCAAAGAGAGCTAAAGGCTCGGAGAGGAATCGGAGAAGCTTGAGGAGGGCGAGAGAGACGAAGATAAGCCATCGACGTCGGAAACTTGGTTCTTTGGTTTCGGAGCTATCGATTGATCTCGGTTTCTCGATGTCACCGGAGAATAACAGACGGAGAAGTTCAAACGGTCGGAGCTCTTCCGGTCTAAGAATTAGATATCCTTCGGTATCGTCGCTGCTGTTCATCTTGTTTTGATTGTTGTGTGTGTGTTGTAATGTGAATGCGATTCTGTACGTATAAATAATATTTTTTTTCTGTATATTTGGATGTTTTAGGATTGGAAATGACCGTATTGTAGATTTGGAATACTTGGAGTTGTGGGAAACGACGTTTTGATTTTTAAAAAGTTGTTTGTAAAGGTGATCTATAAATTTGGTTTTGGAATACGAATTGTTCACGTGGGATTGGTTATCATTTTTATATGAATAAGAAACTTTATTGGATTGGTCGTTTTAATGTATTTATTTTATTTTTAAAAAGAGTTAAATTTAGTGTTATTCAGTTGTGTATTTGAAAAAAGTAGATTAAAATCCATTAAAACCCACTGTTATTGGATTACCTAAGTGTTTGATGTATTTCAAAATACTATAAAAACAGGTGTCATTCAATCTTGATTTTATTATTTTAGAAAACAGTTTTATTGGATTTTAATGAATTATCTCTCATAAAACATGAGTAAAACAAATACATGGGTTTTGTCTTGTGTTTTAAAACCTTGGGTTTGTGATGAATTCATTAAAACTCAACAAAATCCTTCAAAATTAAACTACTTTAAAACACTTAAAAACACCAAATCCAATAACAGAAAAACAAACAAAATTAACGGTAACCATGTACTAGTTTTCCTTATGAACGTAGTGGACCTAAATACACATGATAAGCCCATTAAACAGTGTTCGAGTAAAAAATATAGGCCCGTTGAAAATTGATCTTCCGCCTAAAATCTATACACGAAAGGAGAAAATATTTAGATACAAATATCATCAAAATAAAAATATATTATCTCATGTATTTGTTTTTCATATGTCGTGTGAGGTGCACTAGGGAAATTATAAATGAGTACATTTAACATAGCACAAAAGACGTAGGGGCGAGGAGTCAAAGAATGCACCAAAATACCAAGAATCAACAAAACCAAAAAAATATAAAGATGAATAAGATAAATAATACAGAAAACCAAAATTTAATAAAAATGTATTATGTATACTACCCAATTTAAAAGCATACTATTTATATTCAATAAAATCAAAATCTTTATCAACCCACCTATTTGCTTGTCCCCATTCTTTCCCGTAATTTGCTACTACTTTTTTTCTTCAAATTATTCAAATGAGTAAATCTACATTTTCGTTTTAGGACGCACCTACTAGAAAAAAGTTATAGATTTTGACTTTTGTTGGCATCTTGAAATATTTTTTATTTTCTTAAAACATTTACAGTGCTCGGTGCAGATTTTAGTTAGATCTTACTAGTATATATTGTACCTTTCGTAATGCGGTTAGTTTGGCAATCTCGAATACTTGTTTGTTCCCATCTTTGTATATCACCTTCAAGTTTCCATGCATTTGATATAAAATCATATAAATCTATTACATATCATCAATGATAACAAAGAATTAGAAGGGTGCATGAACTTTATCCTGTCACGGAGAACATGAGAATTTATCCGAAAAATAAAAAAGAGAGAGAGGAGAAGAAGAATAGGAAAAAGGAAAAAGATAATACAAGAACAACAACAACAACAAAAAAAAACTAAAATTTTCAATACTCAAAGAGAAAACAAAAGAATAGATTAAAAAAAAAGGTAAGATGATAGAAATGTGTCAGAAGAATACAGAGCACTTGCCCAAGAAGATATTATAAGAAATGTCTATATAAATCTAATCTTAAGGATATTGTAATGATCAGAGACTCTCTGTGGTGATGTTGGGACCTTTGTGGGATATCTCACGTGGGACGATATTTATTTTTCTTCCAATAACCAAACAACAATGTAATTCTCTACGGAATGAATATTGTAATAATTCACTAGATTGTGTGAAAATAATCGGATTGATTTAATATAATCATTAGTATAATTTGGGTTGTTAGTGGAGCAAGGAGCAAGGAACATGGATGATGCTTAGGACATGAACACGATTGTATCGCTACCTTGCCATGGGAGGCAACCTATCTCAATTTTGTATCTTAAGGTTCTTAACCTTATTTAAAATAAATAAACAATGATATTCGATTTCCACTATTCGAGTCTGTTATTCTAATGTTGTCACAATGGCACACTTGGAAACCGTCGAATATCCGAAATGTCCAAATTTTCCTGCTCGTTATTTAAAACAATAAAGAAAATTGTATGATTGTATCTATGCTAATTGCTAAACTTTAATTCCTAAAAATATACGATTCACTATTGTACTACTAGCCACAAAAAACTCAGATTCGAACATGTATTGATGTTTTACAATATCAAATGACCGGTTAAGCTACCGTAATTCGTTACATCGCTTCAAATACCGCAATCTGTAACCATTTATACATCCAATCAGCATAAACTTACAATTCAATGGACTAAGAGACACTGAGACAGCTTGGCCACTACTATGCAAAGGCTAACCAATCACATTCATATCTTTTAGACATGTATATGTATATATGTCTGTGGTCCTTCATAAGTTAAATTTTTTATGTATTTATTTACTCATCCTTTGTTCCCAGTGTCCACTGTGCTGTCACATAGATCTTTCGAGAGAGGAAAAAGAGAACAACAAATCGAAGGTCATAATAAAGTTCCAAAACTATCAAGTTATATAGTGAACAGTTTCCGACCCATAACTGTTATAATCGTAATGGACCTGTATTATATAGTGAATCGTAATCGATCATGAGTTCCATAACTATATATCCCTTGAATCTATAATCTCTAACGGTATATTATACTTTTTAACATATGTGTGACGATACGTGAGGACAGTTTCACAAAGATGAATGAGTATTTATTGCAGTGAGCAAGGTAAAAGTGAAAAAGGGATAAACTAGTTTCTTGATTGAGAGAGTCAATGCAGTGAAACGTCATCGCTTCGTAGGATTTTGCATGTTTTTGTGTCAACATAAGAGGGTAAAACAAAGATCGAAGCACTTGCTTTGTCTGCTTGTTTTTATCTAATTATGGGGAAGAACCATCCAACAAAATCAGAGTTACATATATAAAGAAAAATTTTGTCCAAAAATATATACATAAAGAAACAAAAACGAAAACGAGTCTTAAATGTGATTTTGTACAAATAAAGTGAGGCAGATCTTGAAAGAACAGTGAGAGCTTGTGATGTCTTTTTGGACTGAGTATTTTTAAGGCAAAATCATTTATTACTAGTATCCTGTTTCCTGTTACCATTTTAGTTTGTTTTCTATAAATATTAGTTAGCTACAGAGGGTCATTGCCTTAGATGATACCACTAAGTACTAACAGGTTTGATTTCAGGGATTTTAAGTTTTAACATTCCTAATCAAAATCATACGGTGGCTGAATCAGATTATAGTTCGAGAGATATCCTTTGTGGAAGATTACTCTTATAGGATAAAAAAATATAAAAATATATGTCGCCATTTGCAAATTGGTAGATAAAAAAAACTCCTCTCCTCTTTGCTGGGAATGATATCGGCTTGTCAGCTGCAGCAGATGATGATTCTTTAATTTTCGATTTCATCGTAAAATCTCTGGAAAAAACAAAAAAAAATTACAAAATAATAAATTGATAATTTGCATATCATAAACAGAAAAAAGCACTTCCGCCAGCAGGAAAGTCAGTGGCGGTAAGCAACAAAAGTATTTAATAAAATCTTAAAGTAAATTAAATAATGCGTTTCTAAAATAAAACAAACGAAAAAAGTGGATGAGAATAATAAAAAAGGGAATTAAGTCGTTCTCTGATCGGCTTTGAGAAGCGTGCCATATGCTCGATGTGAATTGAGATCCGATTTTATAATATAATACAGGACGTAATATTGTAACCATTTTCGTTGAGTATGAATGTATTATTTTATATAAAACCATAAATTTTACAAAATAAAATAGTGCTCCCTGGATTCTGACATATCTCATGTGGATGTGGGGTAATTGTATAGCGAAATTATATAAATTACAGGAGTCTCTGTATATCCTGTTATAAATTTTTTGTTTCGAAATTATATTTCTTGGATCAAATAAAAAATCTTAATACAGAAAAATCAGTGGCTTTGCCCTTAAGAGAAAATAAAAATGACTTTTTCAACCGCAAAATTGATAAAACAATAAGGGAGAATCAAATTTTCAATGATGAAATGTATAAATAATGGTGGAAAATGGAATTCCCGTTTGCTGTGCGGTTCATGCACCTTGTTTTGTCGCGTAGCTTAGAACCATTCGATGTATGACACGTTTCTGAGACAAACATGATCGGGACGGTCCATATACAATCTATTAACTTATGGTCAATCCCTGCGTGAATCGACGGCCATTACCGATCCTAATAAATGTAACGATTTTTTTCTTAGGCCGTTTTTTTTTCTCGCATGCAAGTTGAGTTACGCAATAGTTCTACTTATAGTAACTCCTACATGAACACGCTTTCGACGGCTTCTCTTATCATCAGAACCAAATTTTTCCGATCGTTTTATATAATTACATAATGATTTCTTTTGTAACATGTTTTGGGATTAGCATTAGATTAAGTTTAACGATAGCGAACCAATTCCACCATAATATATTAAAAATATCCTTTGGCTTGTTACATGCGTACTCCCAAGTCTTATTTGATCATTGATAATGATAAGGGTCGATAACCGAAAAAAAAAGTTTTTCTTCTGGCATAGCTATAGTTGACCGTTATTAATTTGCATTCTGAAATAGTAACATTATTCAAAAAATCATTAATTAGGAGTTTAGGACTGTCCGTGATCCTGAAATAGTATATATTTTTTTTAACTTACACTAATTGATAGATGACGTCACATATCGTAATTTCGACTGAGTGCATGTGTGAGATTGGAATTTGCATTGAGACAAGAAGACAAATTTTGAGATTGATATATTATTCAGAAAACAAATACGTAGAAATATAAATATACACATAAATGTGAGAGTTGAAATTAGGAAGAATTTCCTTAGATTTATATAAATGTAGGATAAGTTAAAAGAAGAGGATGGGCCACAAGTTGCTATATAAATCCTTTCATTTCTTGTTGTAAATATTACTTGAGTTCTGATTGGGCAGTACCAGTGCCGTTTCTCTCGCACATACCGTCTCTTTCTCTCATCATCGTCAATCATCAATCATCTAAAAAGAAAAGCCCTAAACTTCATTTTTGTAACCTTTTTCTCAGTTTCTCTCCATACTCATTTCACCAGCTTCTCCATATCTCTCTCTCTCTCTCTCTATGGATTCTGACATAATGAACTTGATGATGCAAGAAATGGAGAAGCTTCCCGAGTTCTGTAACTCTAACTCCTCTTTCTTCGACCACCACAACAACAACAGCACTTACCCTTTTCTCTTCAACTCAAACCATAACCACCCTGCTTCAATCACCCACGAACCGGGTTTCCGTCACGGTTCCGGTTTACTCACGAACCCTTCTTCTCTCTCTCCCAACACAGCTTACTCTTCCTCTTTGCTCGACAAACGAAGCAACGGCAACAACCACAACAACAATAACAGCGCAAACATGGCAGCGATGCGGGAGATGATATTTCGCATCGCCGTGATGCAGCCGATACATATCGATCCCGAGGCGGTTAAGCCACCTAAGAGGAGGAACGTTAGGATCTCCAAAGATCCACAGAGCGTGGCGGCTCGACACCGGAGGGAGAGGATAAGCGAGAGGATTCGGATCCTGCAACGGCTTGTTCCTGGAGGGACGAAGATGGATACAGCTTCAATGCTCGACGAAGCTATTCACTATGTGAAGTTTCTCAAGAAACAGGTGCAGACGTTGGAGGAGCAAGCGGTGGTTAGCGGCGGAGGAGGAGGAGGTAGAGGAATGACGGCGGCGAGTGTTGGTGGTGGTGGCGGCGGAGTGGTTATGAAAGGGTGTGGAGCAATGGGGACTCATCAGATGGTGGGCAATGCACAGATTCTTAGATGATGATGTTTTTTTCTTCTAAATTTTCTGTTATTATATTGATGTCTGAGATAAACATGATTCTAGGGAAGGTGAGATTAATTAATTTAAAACAAAAATTGGAACTGTGAGAGTTGTTTAACTTTATTTTCTTGTTTAGATCATGTGTCTGGTCTGGTCTGGTGATTCAAAAGTAACGAGATTCTCCATAGTTCTGGAGTGGGTTGTAAATTAGGAAGTGTTATCATCGTATGTTTGTTAATTAAATAATTTGAAGCATTAATGAGATATTTGTTTCCTGCTTCAACGCTTGTCTAATGGTGTTTTCAACGTGCTAAATATCTATAACTTCCATTTCCAGAATTAAGTGCACTCTTATAACGTAATGCAAGACAAAAGATTTAAAAAAAAAAAAAAAAAATCATTTATCTTCCTTTTAAACTCATGTATATTTAATCTGATTCATCTAAAGAAGAACCATGGTTTTCATTTCAAAGTCTCACACAATATTGGACCAGTCCGAAAGAGAGAGTAGTTTAAAACAGAACCCAAATTGTTAGAAAAGGCCCGGCCCGTTAATCACTTGTAAACCAGGCTGATGATGATCCAACGATTCACAACCAATAACAACTCTTATCCAACACCGTGTCCCACCAGATTACTCATCGTCATCACTCATCACACACCGAACAAAACCCTCACGAAGGTCGAGGTCCATAAATGGCGCATTTATTGGAACCCCCCAAAAAAGCGTAGTTCCACTTCCACAGCTGTAAAACCCCAATCACCTCTTCACATGTGACTTCTTCACTGAATTAGTTACTAACTCTGCTCTCTGCTTCTTATTTTTCTTCTTCCCTCTCTCGTCTCCAACATCGCCATCAATGGCAGCTCCGTCTCTGACTCTCCTCATCGCCATTCTCTCTCTACTCATCGTTTCACTCCCGAGATCTGAATCTCTCCCCGAACACCCATCCATGATTCTTCTAGGTGACGGATTAGACTGGCCGATCTCTCACGGCGACGCATTCGACATCGACGGAGAAGAAAGCAGCTTCGACGGCGAACCGGAAGAAGACGAATTGGAGTTGGACGGCGCGGATCGACGGTCGTTGTACTGGCAGAGGAAGACATACTACATATCGTACGGTGCATTGTCGGCGAATCGAGTCCCGTGTCCTCCCAGATCTGGAAGATCTTACTACACTCATAATTGCTTCCGAGCCAGAGGTCCGGTGCATCCCTACAGCCGTGGCTGCTCGTCCATCACTCGATGCCGGAGATCTGCTTAATCCATTCATGGAGTCTGTTTTGTGTTTTTTAGTGTTCCATGTATTGTTGTAATCCGTGATTAATTACGTTTTGTGATATTAATTAAAACCCCGGGATATGATTATCGTTTGAGTGCTGTGTGATTTATTCAAAAAAATGCCAATCAGGCAATCACTGAAGCTATGAAGGGTGGATTAGTAATTTGTTATTGATCTTGTCTGTTTTTGCTTTTTGTCGGTGGGGTTTTAAATTTCTTGTTTTTACTGTACTGTTTATTTTTTGTCGGTGGGGTTTTAAATTTCTTGTTTTTACTGTACTGTTTATGAGCTTTAATCCGGGAATCACATGTATTTGGATCTATCAGAGTCTGATAATGTTGCAAACTTTTCATATATCATCTGGAATCTGTATATACTATATGGTTGTTGTTGGGTCATAGTGACCAATTGGGCCGTCCTGTTATTGGGTGATGGACCTGTCTACAGCTTAAAAGTTGTAGTCTTTTTTATCACGTGATAAATTAAAGACCGCAAAATTAGGTTTCGTTGAAGCGTACTAAAACACGCACGTGTGGTAAAAACTCTTCTTATCGTGATGAACAGTCAAGAGATGGCTTTTTCGTTTAAAATTCAAAACTAGAAGGATTTGGAGTTGGTATGTTTTAGGATGGCCTTTGACCCATATTTATAGTCAAGTTCATAAAAAACGTGTTTAAATTGAAATGCATGAATTTGCGTTTGGCGGCTTATCATGCGTTTTGTTTCATGTGACCTGAATCTGAATTTGACAAAAGACTAATCGCATGCTTGTTCTAAAAGATAATATATTTAGTTTGACTTGTATTTGTATATATACAGAAAGGTATTATGCAATGATAAGGATGCGGCTTGACGTTGCCCTCTCCTCGTTCAAAGGGGTCGTACGTATTCTAATTCTAGACGGAATATTCAAAAAAAAAAAATGGATTGTAGATATCTTCAAAGGACCCCTATTGACTTGCCTACAAGGTTATATCCACTTGCATGTGGATGAATTCGAACGTGGAACAGACCAACTATTATCTCTGATTAAACTCTGAAATAGACTTGCGTATAAACTCATCAAGCTATATTTGTATATACTTCAAAGTTATTTTGCGGTGTTAAAACTTACACGACGTGATTTATTTCAAGATTCTTGAATTTGACATGATCCGTGTGTATAGAAAGAGGTCTCGCAACTTAATGGAAAGTGGAAGCTGCAATAATTTAACAAGTTATAGGGCGCTGATTAAACCAAAAAATTCAAAAGTATTTGATGAAACATCCGAGAAATAAACTGTGGGCCGCCGTATTTGTTTTCCTTACTAAATTAGTACTATCAAAATAGGAGTATATAATAAATATTGCCTAGAAAAAGGGGATAACAACTCTCTCTTCCTCGGATTCAGTGAATTCTCCAAGTCGCCTGGGCGGTGTTGGTTCATCTCCAATTATCCATTCCCCTTCACTTTTCTCTCTTATCCAATCCTAGTAGTATGTAAATGAATCTTGTTCAAACATATGTATCTTTTCTGAAAAAATATATATTTGTTTTTGTACTATCGATACTGCATAAGTCATTAGATAGTCTACTTATCGTCCGATCTCGTGTTTCGCCTAACCAAATTATCGCCTAACCAAATTATTTCCAGCGGAATATATATATTAACTATCAGTCTATCAGTTCATTCACAATAAATTTTGTTTATTTAATAGCCAAAGCAAGTTGTAGTAGACAGGCTCGTAGAGATCGCAACCCTCTCCCAGTGGCTATGGATCACGTCCATGTGACCCTTTCTTCCAATATATTCCCATAAATAATTTACTATTCAAATAAAAAAAAACATAAAAACGAAAAGATCGGAGTATATGATTGGTTTATATGAGGCCTTTTTACTTTATCAATTGTTTTTCTTTAAAAATATTTATTTGTGTTAAATGTTTTTTGTAAGGGAGAAAAGAATAAAAACAAATGAAGGAACGAACATGGACATGTGACGGTAACGGGGTTACAGCTACTGTTACTGCTTGCGATTCTTCGTTCAAGTTGTCTGCGTCTCGATGTCCGTCAAGCTCCGTTAAAGCGTCTATTATCTTTTCTTATTACACAAAATATCACAGAGAAGATTTTTGTTAATCGAATATAAAATCAATTTGTATATGCACTGGAAGAAATAAAATTCAGAGCCGCCGCAAGTTGCGAAAGTCTGTTGGGGCTGAATGACTTCAGTGTGAAGCACCCCTTTCCACTCCCGCGCTTTTCTTTAGCCATTCTTATTTAATTCTTACTCCAAGCATGGAAATGAAAAGCTAGAATTATTAAAAGAAAAAAAATATATTAAATGTTAGTGTTTTCTGTATGATTTTATTTATGAAGTCATGCCCATAGGAATCCAGACTTGGGCAGGCAAGTTGGCCATGAAGTAACTACATCAAAACATTATAATACTAATATACTATACGTCATTACTAAAAGAAAATAATGATTGGAATATCCTTTATCGAAGCATCAAAATCAGCTGCTTTACCAGTGTTTTAGTTAGATGAAATGAAATGAAACTATGATTCTATGAACCAAAACTCGAAAGACCAAATATTTTGTTTACGGATCGGAATCTGTATTAGTCTTTTGCGTAATCTAAAAAGATTACCAGAAACTGACCCAAATTATATAAAATCCCATTTTGCGGCTTATCCCAGTTGTGATCCGTCGTTAAAGATCGCTTAATATATTCCAGAGTCAACTCTTGTAGTTGGTAAAAAGTCTAAACGATACTTAAATAGACGGAACAAAAAATGTAAAAAGTGTCTCCAAAGGAGAAGGATTTGATTCTCAGATTGACCCCTAAAAAACAATTACAACGCCAACTCTTTTTTTTTTTTTTTTTAGTAACATTACAACGCCAACTTGCTATATAGTTTTATAGTATTACCAATGGTCCAAAAAGAATATTTACGTAGGTCTTTTTCTTTATTAAAAATAATTTTATTGGTTGAAGGCTTGAAGCAGAATGGTAATCGGGTGAGACCATGATTTAACTACAAGTTGCATTCGTATTGTTCTTAATATATGTACCTATGACTTGACAACATTCACGACATCGTGGCTGCATTATTCTGTAACCGTATATATTTTGTTGTTGAAGAACATTGATAATAGTTATAGACTCTTATAGATGTAAACAAAAGATAAAAAAAAAAAAAAAAAAAACCATTTGTTAAAATATTTCGACTAAAGTTTAATAGAAATATCACTTTCAATAGTTTAGTCATGAGAAAAAATCAAGTACATAAATAAAGTCATAAACACAAGCGATGATCTGTGTTTCTCATTTTCAATAGTTTAGTTTCGAGTGTGGTTTAGAGAATTGCTGGTAGATAACGTGAATATAATTAGCGACAGCTGCGAAGGAGTGGCATATGCCAGGAGGATTCGATTCTATGCCTATTAACACCAATCACGATAGGGGGAGAGTCCATAACAGAGTCGAAGAAAAGAATATTATCTCTAAACAAAACATACGAATTCCCTTCACGTCAAATTAAATATATATTCATTATTTATTTGTAATATTTCATTGCAATCTCTGGTGTTACGTTTTCACGCAAAGATAATTTATTTAGTGTTCCGAAACCTATATATTTGAGTTACACAATTAAACGTAAATTCAGTATAATAACGACCTCATTGAATGAATGAATATCAAGCATGTTACTAATTTACTTACTTGTTTAGGGAAATATCTACATCGTTTTGGAACAGATATATGATAAAGAGTTAAAGTCATAAAGATATTCAAGTTATTGTACCATAACAATAGTCGTGCATGCGATAATATTTATATTTGTAATTTAATAACGAAAATATCACGTATTTAACAAAACAATTAACAACGATGAAAAAATCTGCACTCGTCACGTGCATTAAATACTTCCCAAAATCCAGACTTTACAAATTTAATTATATTATTAAAAACAAAAAGAGTAACCCCAAGTTGTTTCTTATTTTTGAATATATATACAAAAAAATGAAAAAAAAAATCTCAGTATATATATATCTTGAGGAAAACTGGTTTGTACCAATAACCGTCACGAGCTTTCGTGCTCTGTTTCATTTCCTATATTCCAAATAGTTAATCCCAAATCAAGTTTGATCTCAAGAAACAAGTTTGAATTTTGTTTCAGAAATTGCGTCAAAGGTTTGCTTCAATGGAGTGGGTTCGAGGAGAACCAATCGGATACGGAACATTTTCTACAGTCAGTCTAGCGACGGTGTCTAATACCGATTCCGGCGAATTTCCTCCGTTCGTGGCCGTCAAATCCGCAGACTCATACGGCGCTGCATCGCTCGCGAACGAGAAATCGGTTCTGGACAAACTCGGAGACGATTGCAACGAGATCGTACGGTGTTACGGCGCGGATCGGACGGTCGAAAACGGCGAAGAGATGCATAACTTGCTCTTGGAATACGCTTCGAGAGGAAGCTTAGCGAACAATATCAAGAAATTAAACGGCGAAGGTCTACCGGAATCCACCGTGCGTCGCCACACGGGATCGGTGCTCCGTGGTCTACGACACATCCACGCCAACGGTTTCGCTCACTGCGATTTAAAACTCGGGAATATTCTGTTGTTCGGTGACGGCTCCGTTAAGATTGCGGATTTCGGATTGGCGAAGAGAACGGGAGATGTAACGGCGTCAAATGACGATGGATTGCAGATTAGAGGCACGCCGTTGTACATGGCGCCGGAATCCGTTAACGATAACGAATACGGATCAGAAGCTGACGTGTGGGCTCTAGGATGCGCCGTAGTTGAGATGTTTAGTGGCAAAACGGCGTGGAGTCTTAAAGAAGGATCGAACTTCATGTCGTTGTTGATGCGCATCGGTGTTGGAGACGAGCTTCCGATGATTCCCGAGGACTTGTCGGAAGATGGAAGAGATTTTTTGTCGAAGTGTTTCGTCAAAGATCCTAAGAAGAGATGGACGGCTGAGATGCTTTTGGATCATCCATTTGTAGCCGTCGATCTTGATCACGGCGATTTGGAATACGAAGAAGAAGAATTCGCTGTTCAATTCAAAACAGAGGAAGTTTCGACATCACCGAGATGCCCATTTGAATTTCCCGATTGGGTTTCGGTTTCTTCCGGTTCACAGACGCAGTTCGATTCGCCGGAAGAGAGAGTTACGAGTTTGTTGACTGATTTGATCCCTGAATGGTCTGTCACCGATAACTGGGTCACCGTACGGTGACGGTAGTGGTTGATAAACAGGGGACAAAAACAGAGTTGCAGTGAAAGGCTAGAGCTTTTTTTAATTCCTAGTCAGATTCAACAATTCTGATCAATTTCGTTGGATAAACATTTGTTAATAGAAGAAAAGTTATTTGAAAGTTTGGTATATGTAATTAGTTAATCCGTGATCATGATTCTCATTAGTATATGAAAATACCAATTTTGTATTCATTAGCCATAGACCACAGTCTTAAATCTTAATTCTCTTTCTCCACTCTCCAATGTCTCCATGAATGAGAATTTCTTGAAGATCGTATCATTATGCAGAATCTCATCAAAATCACACAAACAAATTAATTTTTAACGTAAAACAAAAACAAATGTTTTTAAACATAAAGTAAAGATCTTAAGACTCTTGTACAAGGCTCGTGGCCACCACAGAACAGCTAACTTCAAACTTAGCGTCTTCATCATCAACCCAACTCACTAATCCATAAATCACGTTCTCTCGCAACGCTCCAGGACTCTCCAATCTCACAGTGTAGCTTAGCCTCTCATTTTTTAAGCTGAACATTAGTCTCTTTGGCTCTACGACGACGTTTAGACCCTTCAAGCCTCTCACTCTCACGGTATAGCTTCTCTTTGCTTCTCCCACGTTTGTCAACGTCTTTCTAAAGATCTTGGGACCAGCTTGATCAGACGTGAAGTACGCAATGATTGAAGGATAGTTGAGATACGGAGAGGGGTTTTTACACGCGTCAGAGATATTAGATCTTGTGATGATATTTATCAATTTTCTTGATTTTTTTTCCTCGTTACAAAGGAAGTTTACAAAATCTTGTGGAGTTGTATCATATATTAAGCCAGGGTCCAAGACTCTGTTCACACTAACTTGTCCTGCTCCAACAGCTAAAGGGTTGTCTAAAGTCACAGCCGTTGTCATAATAGCAGATTTTATAGCCGATGGACTCCAATCTCGATGGACTTGCTTTATAAGCGCCGCGACTCCGGCTACATGAGGTGCAGCCATTGATGTCCCGGTTAAGAGATTGAATCCGCTGTATAACGGTCGTGTTAGAGTTCCGGCGACTGGCTTAACCGGTGGCCAAGCTGAGAGTATTAGTGTCCCAGGAGCTAGAATGTCCGGCTTGAGGATTTGAGGGAAGCTTGTGAAGGGACCTCTCGAGCTATATCCGTCTACTTCTGGTGCTGGTTTTGTCCCGGTTACGGTTTTCCGAAACTCTAGCTTTGCGGTTGCGTTGTTATTGTTGCTAGATGCGTAGTTTTTAATAGTTTCGTGGTGTTTTGAGCTGATGAATGCTACCGGAAACGGGAATTTGATGGTGTCTTGTTCCTCAAGTAACTTATCTGCTATTAGAACCAATGCTACAGCTCCGGTAGATTTGACTTGTTGTACTTGTAGTATGCTTCCGATGTTTATGTTTTCATTACAGACAATGATTATGTTCGGAAGAGTCTTGTTTCCGACATTGCAAGATTCGATATAGGTTACCGGAAACTGAACTGGCGGGAAATCTTCGGGAAACAGAGACGGAAACTCGAAACTAACTCCGTTTCCTAACGTTAAAATCCCTTGGAACTCCCGACCAATTGTTCCCGCTCCGACCGTCATAATCCACGGTGCTCCGTTAATCAAACTCCAGTAATACGGACCGTCGTTACCACAAGAAGCAACAACGAAAACGTTTTTTCGAATCGCTGCAAACGCTGCGACTGCGATTGGATCATTTTCTAGTCCTGCATAACCATCTTCGTCGTCGATGCTTAATCCCAGCGACAGAGATATCACGTCAACACCATCTCGAATCGCTTGATCAATCGCTGCAATCACGTCTGATGAGTAAATACCTTCTTCCCAAGCGGCTTTATACATTGCGATATGAGCGTGCGGCGCGATTCCTGAGGCGGTTCCTTCCGCGTAAGAGAAGTAAGATGCGTTTTTAACGTAATTCCCAGCCGCAATGGCCGCAACGTGAGTGCCATGTCCGATTGTATCGTAAGGTGAAGAGTATTGATCAAGCTTGGTTCCTCTTAGATCAGGGTTGTTGGCAAACAAACCCTTGTTGAAAACCCTAGCACCAATTAGTTTCTTGTTGCACAAGGAAGACGAATTGAATTCACATTTCCCTTTCCACTTAGACGGAACCGAGCCTATCCCGTTATCGTGAAAGCTGGGGCTATCCGGCCAAATTCCGGTGTCGATTATACCGATTATTGTACCGGCTCCATAATTCGAGACCGGCCAAGTACCGGAGTTTGAATGGAGACCGATGAATTGTGGAGAGAAAGTGGTGTGAAGCTTAACCGGTAAATCTTTGGTGAAAGAGACGTACCCGGGTTTGTTTCTAAGACGTTGGAGCTCTGAGTTGGTGAGAACTGCGCTAAAACCGTGAACCGAATCGGTATAAGCGTAGAGAATCTTTGGTTTTCTCCCGGTTACAACAGAAGTAAGACTCGTGGAAAACCAGCTCCGGTGATCGGAGAAAGGCAACGGCTTGGCGGTTAAGTCCATGTGGATGATGTATGTAGAGGTCTCCGCCATTGCAGTCACTACGAAGAAGGAGATGATTAGAAGAGTCTCCATAGTTGTCTCCATTTCTGACCAAGTTACTAGAAAAACTTACGGGAAAATTATAGTTTTGTTAAGTGATATTTAAATGTTTTGTTTTTCTTCATCAAAAGAGGAAATATTTAAATTGAAATGTTCAATCTTTGTTATAACAAAAGGTTGCAGAGATTGTAACCTTTGCTTCCCTTTTGCTTTTGTCAAAGTGGTTTTTTAGGTGGTCGACATTACATCTCATCATTGTATCTTTTACTTTTACTTTACACTGGGCTCTGTCTGTTGAGGAAGATCGAGCCCATTAATATCAGGCCTATCGGGCTTGAAAAAGTAGAATTATTTAACGTTTGTCGGATTCGGATCTCGCATGGATGGCGCTAAAACTCAATGGATTTTCCCGCCAATCTTAATCGACAAATCTGGATGTAAAATCTAAATTGAATACACTCACTCAGCTATCGCAAACCCCCCAAATTCGAAGAAATTGAAAAATGTCCGGCGATGATTCAACGGAAATTGGCCGACGACGCAGCCGAGGCGCGGAGGCGTCAAATCGGAAGGATGCCCTAGAGCGGCTGAAGGCGATTCGGCAAGGAGGACTCCGGAATCTAGCGGCTGAAGGTGGTGGGTACGATATCAGGCTGGAGAAGCCGATCTACGACACGGTCGATGACGACGAGTACGATGCACTTGTTTCCCGGCGGCGGGAGGAGGCTCGCGGGTTTGTTGTCGACGACGGGGGAGATGGCAATCTGGGATACCTCGACGAAGGTGAAGAAGAGGACTGGTCGAAGCCTAATGGACCAGATTCGACCGATGAATCTGACGACGGCGGTAAGTTTAGCGGAAGGCTTAAGAATAAGAAAACCGATAAGAAGGAAAAAGCGCAGCAACCTCAGGTTAAGAAGGTGAATCCGCTGCTTAAAGCTGCGGCTACTATTACCGGTGAAGGGAGACTTTCTTCGATGTTTACATCTTCGAGTTTCAGAAAGGGCAAAGAGACTGATAAGGTCAAATGCGAGGGGATTCTCGACGAGGCGTTAGCAGAGGTTGCTCCAGACGATTCGGATAGAGAAAAGCGTAAGAGAAGGAAACAACCAGCTGCTCTTGCTCCAATTACTTCTATTAGGAACAGAAATGTGGTTTCTGTTACCTCTAGGGATTCAGATCCCAAACCCTCAGTTTATCAGGGTGATTGTGATTTCATGGAGAAGGAGATGATGAAAGAGGAGGCTATGACGGAATCTGAAGTCGTCATCCCTCCGCATCATTCAGAAGAGAATATGGAATTACCTGGAAGTGAGAGTGTTATAGAGGATGGAATAAAGGAGATTAGACAAAGTGAGGTGAAGATTGAGTCAGGAGAAAAGGAAGTGTTTACATTGAATGCAACGATTGATATGAGAGAGAAGGATTCAGCTTTAAGCGCTACTGCTGGTTGGAAGGAAGCGATGGGCAAAGTTGGAGGTGAGAACGGAGCTTCGCTTGGTTCTAATTGTGAAGGGCAAACGGAGTTTGATGTGGATGCTGATGGATCACTTCGATTTTACATTCTTGACGCTTACGAGGAGGCTTTTGGTGCGAGTATGGGCACAATATATCTGTTTGGGAAGGTGAGTCTCTTGGAGTTTTTGTTTTTTCACTCATTTTTCTTCTTCTTGAGTTGATTTTTGGATTACTCTCTAATTCAGGTTAAAATGGGAGATACGTACAAGAGTTGCTGTGTGGTTGTAAAGAATATACAGAGATGTGTTTATGCTATTCCAAACGATTCCGTGTTTCCTTCTCATGAACTAATCACGCTTGAGCAAGAGGTGAAGGACTCTCGACTTTCTCCTGAATCCTTCCGCGTGAAGTTACATGTGAGTTTGTCCTTTTTTTTTGTTATATGCCTAGAGGAATCAGTATCCTTTCCTCTGTTATTTACTGTTTTTGGCCGTGTCTTCTCAGGAAATGGCATCAAAACTGAAGAACGATATTTCTCAGCAACTCTTACAACTCAATGTTTCAAATTTTAGCATGACGCCTGTCAAGGTTTGGATATTTACTTCTATTGTTTGTTTTTGTTTTCATGTATTCTACCAGCAATACTTTTCGCTAACTCTCTAATATGCTAACTGTGGACGAATATCAGAGAAACTATGCTTTTGAGAGGCCTGAGGTGCCTACTGGCGAACAATATGTTATGAAGATAAATTATCCATTCAAGGTACATTTCAGCTGATTGAAGTAAAAGTAAAAATTCTTTTTTGGGGGTTAAATAAAGTTCTTACATCACATTACAACTCTATGACACTTGTGCTTAATTATAGGATCCTCCACTTCCAGAAGATCTTAAAGGGGAGTCTTTTTGCGCTTTGCTCGGGTCTAATACCAGGTTCGAGCTCCTTACTACTGAATTTCAATACTTCATTACCTTTCCCTGTATTTGGTAGTTGGTCAGTTAATGTATTACCGGTGTTTTGTAAGCTTCTTTGTTAACTATGTATTTATGTCTATTTCAATTAGCAAGGTGCAATTTTTCTCTCTGATTATTAAGTTATTTTATATGCAGTGCTTTGGAGCTTTTTATCCTGAAAAGGAAGATCATGGGACCTTCTTGGCTCAAAATTTCAAACTTCTCTACCTGTTCGCCTTCTCAACGAGTAAGGCCTTAAACAAGTGCCATGATCATATTTCATAGTGATTTTCAGTTATGTTTATCTCCGATAATGAGAGGACTTAACACTTGTGCAGGTGAGCTGGTGCAAGTTTGAGGTTACTGTTGAATCTCCCAAGGTTATCAATGTTTTAGTTTCGGAGGAGAAAATGGTTCATCCTCCTGCTGTCGTTACAGCCATAAATTTAAAGACTATAGTCAATGAAAAGCAGAATATCAGCGAAATTATATCTGCATCTGTTCTCTGCTTTCACAACGCCAAGGTTTGTTCTACAACATCTGACGAATGCTTCTTAGCTGTTCTCTTTGTGAAGAATATGGTACCATGTGTTTATGTGTTTAGGCTGGTTTGTGTTTTTTTTCTTGCTCATATGACACTCTTATGCCGACATGAATAGCTTGACGTTTGATGTGCCTGTTCCTTGATCTTTCAGATTGATGTTCCAATGCCAGGTCCAGAAAGAAAGAGATCTGGTATTCTGAGTCATTTCACTGTTGTTAGGAATCCTGAAGGAACCAGTTATCCAATTGGTTGGAAAAAAGAAGTGGCTGACAGAAATTCAAAGAACGGCTGCAGTGTTTTAAGCTTCGAAAACAGGTACTTTTGCAGCTCTTTGGCTGCTGTATATATCTTTGGCAATTCATGTTGCTTCATCTCACATCTGTTTCCTTTTCTTACTGCAGTGAAAGAGCATTGCTGAACCGATTGTTTTTGGAGCTGTACAAATTAGACAGTGATGTTCTTGTGGGACATAATATATCAGGTTTTGATCTGGACGTCCTTCTTCAAAGATCCCAGGTAAAGCATACACTCTTTTTACCATTAAGAAAAATGGCTGTACGTTGGGTGTTCTTTTCCTCTTCTATGATGTGTGACGTAACAGTGATAGGAACATGGTCTCTTATTTTACTGTAAATTGAATGATTACTGTGCAGGCTTGCAAAGTTTTGAGTAGCATGTGGTCCAAAATTGGCCGTCTCAAACGCTCTTTCATGCCTAAGATTAAAGGGCACACTAATTTTGGGTCAGGAGCTACACCCGGGCTCATGTCTTGCATTGCCGGAAGACTCTTGTGTGATACAGATCTATGCTCTCGTGACTTCGTGAAGTCACAGGTATGATGCTCAACTGTTACAACTTACAAGCAGTGGACTGAAGTTCAGTCCCTCATGTATAAGCATCTGGTTCTTGCAGGTCAGTTATTCGTTAACAGACCTTTCCAAGACACAGCTGAACCGGGACAGGAAAGAGATAGCGCCTAATGATATTCCCAAAATGTTTCAGTCATCCAAAACACTTGTGGAACTTGTAAGTTCTTCAATTAGGCCACTCACATCTGTTTTACGCATATGAGTTGGTACAAGAGAAGAATAAATGACTTGCAGATAAACATCAGCTGACGTAATGTTGTTGAGTGACGACTGCATCTTAAATTCTAGCTTGTATAACCTTTTGATTTTCTTTCGTTCAGATTGAATGTGGTGAGACAGATGCATGGTTATCCATGGAGCTCATGTTTCATCTAAGTGCTCTTCCTCTCACGCTCCAGCTTACTAACATAAGTGGCAATCTTTGGGGGAAAACTCTGCAGGTAATCAGTCACCTGTTTCAACTCTCTCTCCAAAAAGTCATGCGCTGGGAATCATGCTTTTTTTTTTTTTTTTTTTTGTTCATTATCAGGGAGCCAGGGCGCAGAGAAACGAATACTACTTACTACATACATTCCACTCCAAAAAGTACATTCTCCCAGACAAGTTTTCGCAACGTATGAAGGAAATAAAGTCATCAAAAAGAAGAATCAATCATGGTCCAGAGGACCAAAATGTAGATGAACCTGATGCGGACCTGGCTTTGGAGAATGATCCGTCTAAGGGCAGCAAAACAAAAAAGGGTCCAGCCTACGCTGGTGGACTGGTCTTGGAGCCAAAGAAAGGCTTATATGACAAATATGTGTTGCTTCTTGATTTCAACAGTCTTTACCCTTCTATTATACAGGTTAGCAGACTGTTTTCTATTTCTCAAGCCTTGGATGGCTGTTTCCCCTTTCTTTGTAGATAACAGTAGTGGTAATTTCAGGAATATAATATCTGTTTCACAACGATACCACGAACAGAAGACGGAGTTCCTTGTTTACCTTTGAGTCAAACACCTGGAATTCTTCCAAAGGTATATTCACCGCTACGCTAGTTGCTTTTTATTGTGACTTTTCTCGATTCTGTATAACTTCTTGATCTGTTATAGGTCGTCTTCAAACACACTTCTTGATCTGTTATAGGTCGTCTTCAAACACAAAATCTATAAGTTACCCCAATCTAATCAGAAATTAATAGAAAGAAATAAAACCTCAACAAGCAAAAATAATATCCTGCCTCGTTACTTTCCCTTATCTCTCAAGTTATATTAAGAAAATCCTCAGAATAATGCGACCGAGCTGTTCAGTATTGTATTAGTGATTGGTGCTTTCTGTAGTTCAAGTAAACTAGTCTTGACATCAGTTTCTAAATTATTCCTCTATGCATTTTCGGTGCCACGACTTTGTTTTTCTCTGCTTGTTCTGTTTTGCCCAGTGTGATAAAGATTAGATCATGAATCTCACTACCTGTCTTTGTTTTAGTTGATGGAACATTTGGTCAGTATAAGGAAAAGCGTCAAACTACAGATGAAGAAGGAAACAGGTCTCAGGTATTCGGAGCTTGACATTCGGCAGCAAGCATTAAAGCTCACAGCCAATAGGTTTGTAATTATGGTTTTAGATTCTTCTAGCAATAATGGCCAATCACAACATTTTAGTATTAATGTTTACTTATTCATTCTAAACACAGCATGTATGGATGTCTGGGGTTTACAAATTCAAGATTCTACGCCAAGCCTTTAGCAGAGCTCATAACACTACAGGTAAAATATGCTTTCTGTGTTTCCTAGTGACCGAATTTGTTTTTTTCCCATATATTCTTCTTGTGATCAGGCTAATTCCCTAACATTTCAGGGCAGGGACATCCTGCAAAGAACCGTGGATCTTGTCCAGAATCATTTAAACCTAGAGGTATCTCCTATACTTTGAGTCCCACGAAATGATGCATTTCAGAAGAGAAACTAATATAGTGTGTTAACATCTCTGCTTTATCAAGTGTAGAGTTTAACATCTTGTTTTTACGCAGGTGATTTACGGTGACACCGATTCAATCATGATTAACAGTGGACTAAATGATATTGAAGAGGTGAAATCCATTAAAGCAAAAGTTATCCAAGAGGTAGGCCTTTCACCTTGTTATGATTAAACCAAGACGCATTAAATGTTTGGATTGATGCATGAAACACCATCCATTCGTATAGCTGTTCTTAGGGAGAGTGCTTCTCGGAGCAAATTATAGACAATTTACACCGAAAAAAGTAGACATCTGATTTTGGGTCTCACCTTCTCTCTCTCAATTTGTAGGTCAATAAGAAGTATAGGTGTCTAAAAATTGACTGCGATGGCATATATAAGAGAATGCTTCTTCTTAGAAAAAAGAAGTATGCTGCTATCAAGTTGGAGTTTAAGGACGGGAAGCTTTACGAGGTAATCATTACTTTACACATTCTGGCCACCATTACTTATAGAAAATGTCTGGGTACTTGATGCATTCTCGATGCAGGAAATTGAAAGGAAAGGTGTGGACTCGGTTCGTCGAGATTGGAGCTTACTCTCTAAGGAGATTGGAGATTTATGCTTGGCTAAAATCTTGTATGGAGGGTATGTTCTAAAATACTCACTAAAGAACATTATTTTTACTCTCATGCAAAGCACGACAAGTCTTTTCTTCTTTGCAGGTCGTGTGAGGATGTTATTGAAGCAATTCATAGCGAACTTATGAAGGTAAACTTTGTTAACATTTATTAGCTCTTCGTTACCATCCAATACATGTTGGTTTGTCCATGCAACAGATAAAAGAGGAAATGAGAAGTGGGCAAGTTGCACTTGAGAAGTATGTCATCTCCAAGGCATTGACTAAGCCACCAGAAGCTTATCCAGATTCCAAAAGCCAACCACACGTTCAAGTGAGTATGAGAGCTATTATTCGGATTATTGCTCCAGGAGATTATAGTTTCATACTTTTTTTACATTTCACTGAACTCTCTGATTGTGCGGTTGAATCGTTCTTCTCAGGTCGCACTCAGAATGAGGCAACGTGGTTATAAAGAAGGTTTCGGTGCTAAGGATACTGTACCGTATATAATCTGCTATGAACAGGTTCGCAACACAGAAGACCAGCTTAATATTTTCAGATACCAAATCGTCTTTCTACTAAATCTTTCTACCTTTCCTCTGTGCAGGGTGGTGCTAGCTCTGTCAGCTCAGCAGGGATTGCCGACCGTGCTCGGCATCCTGATGAGGTGAAATCAGAAGACAGCAGATGGATGGTTGACATAGATTACTACTTGGCACATCAGATTCATCCGGTGGTGTCTCGTCTATGTGCAGAGATTCAGGGCACTAGTCCTGAGCGTCTAGCCGAGTGTTTAGGACTTGACCCATCAAAGGTAAAAACAACTTTTCATTTAAGCCAATCTCCAATTCCATGTCAGATGATTCTCAGTTACTGGTAAATGATTGGAAATTATGTTTTTTCTTAGTATCGAAGCAGATCAAACGATGCTACAGGCAATGATCCTTCTACAGCCCTCTTGTTTGCTACAAGCGATGAAGAACGGTAATGAATAATATCTTGTTCCATTTTTAATTTGCTTTCAGGCCTCCTCCTTAAAGTATATTTTCGCAAGGATTTCCAATATGCATAGGATTCAAGATCTGCAATAACATAATTTACATGTAAAAAATACAGATATAAAAACTGTGAGCCGTTGGCATTAACATGCCCCACCTGCTCTGCTTCTTTCAACTGTCCATCTATTACCAGTTCTGTTTGTGCGTCGATCAGTAAGAAACCTGAAACAGAGGAATCCGATTCTACATTCTGGCTTAAACTGCATTGCCTGAAATGTCAGCCTGAAGGTACCACTGGAAGAATATCCCCTGCAATGATAGCTAACCAGGTAAGCAAGCTTTTGTCGAAAAGGATCGTAATTTCTAAGTTTCTCAAAGTAAAATCCTTTCTGATTTGGCCTGTACAAGTAGAACAAATGCTTTGGTTACTAACTTTATCATGCTTTTTAGGTGAAAAGTCAGATTGATGGGTTTGTGTCAATGTACTACAAAGGCGTAATGATGGTACATAAAACCTTCTTAATCGCCTCGTTTATATCCATAATCTGAAATCCTTTCGTTATGAAGAAGTTTTTTTCTCTTGTATTTTGCATTCAACAGTGTGACGATGAGTCTTGCAAGCACACGACTCGCAGCCCCAACTCTCGACTGCTGGGCGACCGTGAACGTGGAACAGTTTGCCCAAACTATCCGAGCTGTAACGGAACCCTCTTAAGAAAGGTTGTATATGCCATCATCAACCTTATTAAGACCTCTTATCTTTTTCTGTTGCTTCATAGAACATCTTTTGACTTCGACCCTTGTCTTGTTATTACAGTACACTGAAGCAGACTTGTACAAGCAGCTGTCTTACTTTTGCCACATATTAGACACACAAAGCTCTCTAGAAAAGGTTTCTACTTTACAATCTTCTAATATCAGTATTGTACATTTATGACGTTTCCCTAATAAACATTTGAATTAGCAGATGGATGTTGGTGTAAGACTTCAAGTAGAGAAAGCAATGGCAAATATAAGACCCGTGGTTGAGTCAGCAGCAGCCATGGCTCGACTTGTTCGAGATCGGTGTGCTTATGGATGGGTGCAACTCACAGACATAGCCATTTGATAGTTGTAATAATCATCCCATGTAATTAAATTGATATCATCTTCTCCTTACATCATCATAATCAAACTCCTTGGTTTTCTTCAGTCCTAAAACTTCAAAGCGAACTTTGAAATCTAACCAATACAAAACTCGAATAAAAAAAACAGATCTGACTCTTGTTTCTGTAGCAGGTACTAGAGAACATGTGACGGGTTTGACGCCGAATCGTCATCACTTTCTTAAAGCAGAGTGGTTGTGGAAAAGCACATTTCTTGACTTGCCTCGGGTGGTTCACGGTGAAGCAGCGAGGGAGGAGGAGCAAGCAGAGTCTGTAGATTCAGCTCTTGCTCTAAAGCCTCGTTGGTCCTGGTCTGTGCTGGAGGTAGAACCGGTGGTAATCGCATAGGGTTTAGGCCTAATCCATTCATAACAGCTAAAGTCTGCATTAAAGTTATGAATCAGATAAACAAATTGGACTTTTGATTTTATGAATATGATCTTAGTGAAGCCAAAAACCTGCACTTGAAGTTGAAGCTGCTTCAGATACTCTATAGCTTCATCAAGCATCGAGGCTTTATCAGTCTATAAACAACTAAACAATCAAAAACAATGTTTCTCACGATTCAAATCTCAAAAAAGGTTTTGCGCATATTAATTTACCTTGTTGGAATTGGGTATTAATTTCTGCAAAGCTTTCATTTTCTCATTGATCTTGCTCCTCCTCCTCTACAAAGTTTCAGATTCTACTTAAAATCTCAATGTTTTTCCTTCTTTCCGGAAAATATAGAACTTTAAGGATAAAGAAAAAAAAAGAACCTTCTCAGACAAGTTGTGGAACTGAGCATCAATGTTTCTCTTCAACGAATTTCTCTGTCTAGCTCCGTTTCTCTTTGGTATTGTTACCATTTCAACAAACAAAAACAAAAAAAAAACTCAACAAAAGTTTTGGTTTTTCGTGTTTGGTCACACAATCAAAGCGAGTGAAGTTTCTCGACAGCTAAAATTGTTAGTTTACCTTGTTTTCAAAAGCATATCTTTCATCGCCAATTTCAGCGACTGCATAACCGCCGGCAGAAACCGCTCCATCGGAAACGGAAGGGAAAGTCCGATCAAACATCTCAGCGGAGGAAAAGATTCTCTTCGGTGGCGAAGAAGGTTGAATTGTTGGAGTACGGGACAAAATTTGCCGGAGAATGCTGGAGAGCTCGTCGGAAGAAGACGGAGGAGGAAGACGATCACCGTCGTCGGCATTACCCATAACTCTCTGTCTATCTCTCTCTCTCTGTGTAATACTCTCACTCACTAGCAACTGAGTGAATGAGGCTTTTCGTAATAAAGGTAAAATAGGCGGGGAGGTAGGCGCGTGATATACGCGCTTAGGAGTAGCGCGTGGGGGTTCTGAAGAGTGAGTGAGTGGCGAATCTCTCTAGACATAATCTGGCGTCTCACATCACACTGTCTATATGAACAGTACCGTTAGTATTTTTTATTTAGTTACACAACTTTATATAGTTATGTATAAATAATTGATTGTATTAAATTACATATAAATATGCAGATTTTTTACCGGAAAGAAAAAAAGTGGGGTAAATTTCAAAACTACACCTCTTGAAGTGCAAATTTTCAAAAATACACCTCTATGGTGCCAATTTTCAAAACTACACTTTTTTCATTTAGTAAAAAAACTCTAAACCCTAAAATATAAATCCAAAACCCTAAAATCTAACATTGAACCCTTAAATCTAAACCCTAAACCCCAAAATCTAAACCCTAATATAGGATTAGTGAACCCAAACATATATATTAAAATTGGGAAAATGTGTATTTTTGAAAATTTCCACACTATAGGTGTAGTTTTGAAAATTTGCAAATCAAGAGGTGTATTTCATAAAATTTCTCAAAAAAGTGCAGTCTTTTTGTTCTCACCCTTTTCAAATGTGATAAGTTAAATATAGAGCAGTGATGGGTGGAGAAACCAGTAAATGAACGGTTGGCAAATAAAAAAGTATTGATAAGATAGGATACTGATAGTCATAAATAATACTATTTAATTAGTATTATGACTAAACATGAAAATGGAGAATCGGTTGAAAAGTAAGGTCTTGCAAGAGTTTCACCATTTTTGACAAACTACAACACATCTCTCGTCTTATTTTGTTTTCCACTAGTAAAAGTGTGTGTTGTCTTTGGATGATAATAAACGGCCAACATTAAGAACGAAACTTAAAAATTTATTCCACTGACGAACGACTGTAACTTCAGAAAACAAAATACGACTTGCAATAATGTTAAGGGATAAAGAATCAACCTAAAACAAAGTTGACTCACGCGCAATTATCCAGACTTCATAAAAACCAACTAAATAGCTCCTTGCTTGCAAAGAGGGCACATGTTCTTGACCACCAGCCATTCTTTGATGCATCCAAAGTGAAAGTCATGCCCACATCCGAGTTTAGAAGCTTCCTCGTTGTCCTTAAGTTCGTCCAAACAAATCATACATTTCTCCGCTTGGCCACCAACACCTTCGTACTTTCTTCGGCTTAGCGTTTCATCAATGGTCTCAACGCTTAAACCAGTGCTGACATCTCCAATATGTTCTCCGAGTTCCAGCAATTCCTAAATAAAAAGGTTGCGTTAATAGACTATTATATAAGGAGTTCTGAAGTTTACACAACTTGTGCAACTGTTAACTAAGCAAATCAAAATGGTACATATAATTTTTACTAACAAGAGTAGAAAATTTAACAAATGCAACCGATTAGATTACCAATACTATAAGCATTACAAACAATTCCCCACAAATTTTAGGTTCTTTTTTTTTTGCTGAAATTCAGTTCCAATATGTGAAAAAATATATATATATATATATATATAGATTTCTTATTTACAGAGGAATTTGATTCATAATAGCTTTCTAAAATAGAAAATAACGATTACCTAAACTTCACGAGAAACCTAGATATTAACCTAAATTTTTTAATGTCGTAAAATTAAAAGTTTTCAATTTTACGAATTATGGAAATTTTGGAAAATCTCTAATATACAACTTTCGTAAAATATAACCCTAAAAACATCAAGCTTCTAAAACAGGATATAAAATAACTATTACGTAAATTTCGCAAAGACTAGATAAAAAATAACACAATATTCTTTTTTAATGCAACGTAAAATTTAATAGTTTTCAATTTTATTTTTATCACCTAAGCTTCGTGGAAAACCTTCGAAATAACTTTTCTTAATGCAATGTAAAAAATAATAGTTTTCAATTTTATTCTTACGAATATGTGGATACTTGAATATTTGAGTACATAGTTGTATACGATATACCTCGTACGTGAGGGTGTCTACATCGAAAGACATTTCAAGAACTTCGTCCTGTGACGATGTTACAAATTGTTCATCATGAGCCAGTGACTGTATCCACTGCTCGACCATTTCTTCCTATACAGTTTAAACAAATACATATGTTTCAATAAACGTTTTATATCTCATAGAAAAGCATAAGATTTCGTCAAAACACACACACGCATTCGATAATAGAACATTACCATTTCAGCAATTGTCAGTAGAAAGGGACTAGGACCATCACTCTCAACTGTTGCATCTGATGAGTTGGCATCAGCGTCAACTGTTGGGAAATTGTCCCACCGTTGCCAGTCGTCTCCGCATAGCAGCTGTTGGAAGCTAAAAGGACTTTCCGGTCTCGGAATGTTATCTCCGTTTTCGTCCATTCTGAATGTGTTACCTGATTCACACCAAAAGGGGATAGATTAAGATACACCAATAAAGATAACACTCTCAAGTTTTACCATTAATTGTTCCATTCAAATGCAAACACTTCGAGGGATCGGTCATGATCTTAATTAAACTCTTTGTTTTGATAAGATATCACAAAATACGTTATTAAAAAGTATCACTATCTATATGAACAGCTCGTTTAAAAGAAAATCTATCCCAAACTTAGTTGATGAACATCAATGATGAATTAAGATTAGTTTTCTAGGAGATCGACTACTGAAAAGTTATAACTAAGAAACCTCTAACCAATAACCACTTGTAGATAATAACCCTTTTATCAAGAAAAACCCCAATTATAATTTAAATTGTAAAATGGAGAAAAGGCACGAGAGAAGTCCTTGAACAAAATGTATGAATTAGAAGTCGCTCAACGAAGATATTTCATTTATTTCATTTCGTAATGACCGGATCTGTCTATGAACAATGTTTTTTTCAACCTGAAACCAACATAAACTAACACACACAGCCTACAAATCAAATGGACGTGTACATGTAAATAATATCTTGAGCAACAGGGATTGCTAATAAAAATCTCGAGCAATAGTAGATGAATAGAGATTAGTTTTCTAGGAGATCGACTACTGAAATTAAAGTTATAACTAAGAAGCCTTTAACCAATAACCACCCACTTGTAGATAATAACCCTTTTATCAAGAAAAAAAATCAATTATATGCTTTGAAATGTAAAATGGAGAAAAAGCACGAGAGAAGTCCTTTAACAAAAAGCATGAACTAGAAGTCTATCAACCAAGATATTTCATTTCGTAATGACCGGATCTGTATATGAACAATGTTTTTTCAACCTGGTCAACCAACAGAGACTAACACACACAATCTACAAATGAAATGGACGTGCACATGTATTTCATATCTTGAGCAACAGGAGTACTAGTTAAAATCTCGAGCAATAGTAGATGAATTAAGATTCATACCTCGCAGATTGATAATGAAAGGATAACTTGTAACAAGAGTGATTTATGAATAGACAAACACTTAATTTATCAGCTCGAGTGTGCTAACCAAGCTTTATAAACGCATTTTGTGTATCACAAAAAAGATAGAGAACCACACATTCTCATTCTAATTTATGAGATAAGCAATAATGGGATAAGCAATACACGTAATGCACATCCATGGTTAATATTAATGGATTTAGCCAGTTTTTAAGTAAAAAACGTATATAGCAATAGATTTTTAAGAAATAAAATCCAAAATTTACAGTTGTGGAAATCCAGAAACGCTAACATTTTCTATAGAAAATAACAAAATGGGTCTTTTTTGCTGGATATTTCTATACCTGCTGTACAAGTGTCTTTGATACAGATAGAAATTTTGTTTTGTAGAAAATTTCCCTGTTGCAATTTCCTTCAGTGGAGAAAATATCCATTTTTAGTGATTTAGTATTAACACTAATTAATGCATGTCTTTGTATTCTGCTTTTCAACGTCACTAGTCACACTAAAATACGCTTTTTTTAACCGGCAACAAAGGCTGTTTTTGATAATTCCATTATTGGGTATTCATGAACACTTAGAGCCTTTAAGAGTCAGAGTTTATGTCCGTCCAACTAATGTAAGCCCAGTAAGATACGTAAATGGGCCTGACGAGTTGAGAAGTTCACAATACGTTCAAGGGCAATCTTGTAATTTCGCAAGGTGGGTTTTCGTCTGCCTCTCTGGATGTGATTTGACTGTGTGTCTTCTCAGACTCAGAGGAAAGAAGATGTAGCCGTTGAGTTTTTTCAAACGGTAAGTGCTTAAACGGCTATATTTTTGAAATGTATCCGTTGAAACTTAAACGGCTATAATTTGATGATGTATCCGTTGAGACTTAAACGGCTATATTCTCGAGCTCCAACGGGAGAGTCTTTTTCCCTATAAATACCGATGAGTTTGCTCCATTTCTTCAGCACAGAAAATTACAAATTAGAATTCGCTCACGAGCCTTCTTGTATTTTAGTATCAATGAGTTTGCTCCATTTCCTTTCGCTTACTGTCTTATGTTCTACTGAGCTCGCTTCACTGTCTTCTGCTCTAGTGAGCTCGCTTCACTGTCTTCTGCTCTAACCTCTTCCCTGCTTCTCACTAAATCCGGCGATTGCTCAAAGTAAGTTCTAAAATGGAATCTTCTTCAATCGTTATGTGTCTTGTTCTCTCTTCTCTGATTTGGCAAGAATCCATCTATATTTTTGTTTCCCGAACTGAAATTAGTTTGTGATTGTTTTTTTTATTACAGTTATTGAAGCTGGATTCCGAAAAATAGTGGAAGCTTTGGATGTATTTGTGTCAGCAACCCGACAATGAGATGAGAGGCTTTGGTCGGTGGAAGCTTTTGCTCTCGAGCCAAGCCCTGTAAAGAAGCTGCATTGAATTCAGGTAACTTTTAAAGCTAGAATCTTGTGCTCGTGGTTATATGATCTGATCTCTGTTATATAGTGAATTACTGTTAGTTTCTATCTCTCTTGCTTTATTGTCTGCTAGGATTGTTTCATGTCCGGTTTAAATAGAAATGTTAAAGATATCACAGAGCGATCATTTAGTGAAACAGACATGGATTGAATTATGTCCACTTACTACCTACACTTGCAACACTTGTTAGACTAAACCAGCACAGAGAGACAGAGAGGAATTTAGTGTTGTCACAACTTAATGCTTCCCAATATATAGTATGTGAACTATGGAAAATCCACAAAGATTTGAAAAAGTTAAAATGAGAATGCTTTAGGAGATGTTACTGAGTTTTGATTGTTTCCTGTTGTGAAATTTTGGTTTTATGAGGTGAATAATTTGATTGTGATTGGGTGTGTGTATACAGAGAGATGTAAAAGCTTTGGGAGATGGCGTTGGTGGTTGGTTGGAGACGGAAGTTCCATTCACATACAAATATACAATATCAGGTAAGTTGTCGATTTATCTTCTTGCTTTGTTTGTTCTCTGGAGTGAATTAGATTTTGTATGTAAATTTAGCACTCGGTTTTCTTAGAACATTAGATTTTCTCCGTTTTTTCGGAGGGATAACAAACTGTAGATCATTAATTGTGATCGTACCACAAAAGTCCAATTGCCTGATTTAGTTTGACAACAAATTGTTTTGAACTTTCACCGAATATTTTCGATTTTTGAACTTGCAAAAGAACTTTAGATTTCAGATATTTTAAGTTTCTGTTATAAGTGTCATTAGTGTGAACCGAGCAAGGATAAACGTAGTGAATGCAAACACCTTTGTCCTTAGATTTCAGATATTTTAAACTTTAGATTGCAAATATTTTAACTGTTAGAAGTGTCATGAGTATCATTTGTTTGTAGCCGTGGGTAGTGACATGAAAGGATCATGTATAGTTATCTTCGAAATGCATTCTGGACTTAACCTCTTCATGGGGAAATAGTGTGAGTTATATGCAATGGTTGTTATGTTGTGTGATTGTCAATCAGGCGAGAAGATAGCAGCAACATCCGAACCGGAAAAAATGATGAATGCCTTTTTAGCACACTTCCAAGGAGTGTTCACACTTGAGAGTCAAATAAACAAACACGAAAGCGGGACAAATCAATACGACGAACACAAATTCAGATTTGTTATATGTTACTGTTATTATACCTTGAATTTGATTTCCGCAACCTATTTAAGTTTTGTATGTGGTTGAGTGTTTTGTACGACCATGAAAGTGTGACAACATTTTTCCATTAAAGTAGCAACACAACAAGTGTCCCCACGCATGTGAGCACCGTCGGCCATAATATATAAAAAAATAATATAAATCACAGTGTACTTCAACAAAGGAGTAAAATTTTGTGAAATACTTCTAAGAAACATATATTCTCAATATTTCTAAGTTATGACAAAGATAATTATTGTTCTACTCACCAAAAAAAAAGATAATTATTGTTCTTAGAAAAGATTAAGGTTTAGGTCAGAACAGTAACGTAATTACTGACACTAGAACTGGTGGGAAAAAGATTCAACCTTGTCCAAGAAAACAAGAAAAAAAGCAAACCTTTTCCTTTAATTTCCTGTCTTCGAGAATATTAAGTTTGTTTAACAAATCGATGAAGCCCGCGTTTTACTACCTAAAACATCTTTTGTCTTTGTCTTAAAACCCCAATCAAAACAGTAGATCGAACAAAAACATCATTCAGATTTCTCTTTTCTCTCTCTCTATCTTCCTCTCTGCATAAGCTAAGGAGCGATGTCGGCGTGCATCAACGGCTTATGCAGAGCCGCAACAACAGTCTCTCTCCTTCTACTTTCTTTCACCTTCCACTACGTTTCCTCCGCTTGCTCTAATGGAAATTGCCAGGTCTCCAAATACCGAGTTCTTGATTCTCTTTGCTCATTTCTCCGGTTAGCACAATTGGGTCTAAATCTTTACGGATTTCTGCACTTTTTGTTTGCTTTTTCTTTCTCAGATGCTGGATTCATGCTCCTCAGCCACTGATTGCGTCCCAGGTTTGTTCTGTGGAAACTGTCCTGCCGTTGGAACAACTAAACCCATTTGCACTAGAGGCCAAGCCACAATCCCTACTTCCATTGTAAGATTTGCTTCCCTTCTTTCTATAATTGCTTTCCATTTCTAATAAATGTTCATTTGGTTGTATCAAAAGTTTTCAACTTTGAAGATGGGTTTTAGCTGAAGATATTATAATTTTGTTTGTAGATCGATGGACTGCCTTTCAACAAGTATACATGGTTGATGACTCACAATGCTTTCAGCAATGCAAATCAACCGCCTCTACCAGGTGTTGACAGGATTACATTTTACAATCAAGAAGACACTGTTACTAATCAGCTCAGAGTAATAATGTCTTCATTATTATCTATTTATTTACCTATTTCCAAAGTCTCTTATTTTGGTAAACTCTTGAAAGTGTCGGTTTTTTTTTTTTTTTAATTTGGCTGTAGAATGGAGTTAGGGGACTAATGCTGGATATGTATGACTTCAACAACGATATCTGGCTCTGCCATTCTCTTCGAGGCCAATGTTTCAACTTCACCGCTTTTGTAAAAACTAAACCTTTTTGCTTTTGGATTGAAAGCTTGAAAACTCATATTAGCTTGTTAAATGTGGAATTTTGTCTATCTTTTTGTTATCAGCAACCTGCAATTAGCACATTGAAGGAAGTTGAAGCATTCTTGACTCAAAACCCAACAGAGATTGTCACCATTGTAATTGAGGATTATGTGCACAGACCTAAAGGTCTTATAACTCTATTCGCTAACGCTGGTTTGGACAAGTACTGGTTTCCTGTTTCGAAAATGCCTAAAAAGGGAGAAGATTGGCCTACTGTGACTGACTTGGTGCAAGAGAACCACAGGCTCCTTGTTTTCACTTCTGTTGCCGCCAAAGAAGATGAAGAAGGCGTTGCGTATCAATGGAGATACATGATAGAAAACGAATGTGAGTGTTAGTTACTACTGAAAAAAAGTTTACATCTTTATGTTTTGTGGAAGTGTCTCTCTTTGAATTAACCTTCTTTTGTTCCATTTCTCGTGTAAAAGCTGGTGATCCTGGAGTTAAGAGGGGTTCTTGTCCTAACAGAAAAGAGTCACAACCTTTAAACTCAAAAAGTTCGTCGCTTTTCTTGATGAATTACTTCCCGACGTTTCCGGTTGAGAAAGATGCTTGCAAGGAACACTCGGCTCCACTAGCTGAGATGGTTGGAACCTGTCTCAAGTCAGCTGGAAACAGAATGCCTAACTTTGTTGCTGTCAACTTCTACATGGTACTATTGATTCAACCTTGAGAGCAACAGATATCAAACTAAAATATCATTTTCTTTTGCGAGATTCTAACTAACAAACCACATGTGAAATTTGGTGCAGAGAAGTGATGGAGGAGGCGTTTTCGAAATCCTGGATAGAATGAATGGGCCGGTACTTTGCGGTTGTGAATCTCTTGCTGCCTGTCAGGTAAATAGCTTCTCTACTCTTACTTTCACTTAACTTTATTGGATAGAAATGAGGTCTTATGGTTCTTGATGTTTGCAGCCAGGAGAAGCTTATGGTTCGTGCAAAAATGTTACTGTTCAGACAAGAAATCCTCCAAACATGGATTCAACGGCTGGAAGCTACACAGGTTCAGTTCAGTTCTCAAAATCCTTAGCTGCTGTTGCTTATTCACCGAACACCATTCTCGTCTTGTGCTTCTCATGGATTCCATTGCTGATGTTTCTACTATGACACACCCCAACCAATCTACTTGGAGAGATTCTTTAGGTTAGAGAATCTTGATCACTTCTTTAGAACGAATGAGAAGTCCCAAGTTCAGGATAACATGAATTTGCCTTAGAGAGAGAGTTTCAGATTTGATTCCTTGTATTGTAGACTGCAGATTTAAAGGCAGAAAATCTTGTGTATGTGTGTGTGTGTCTTCAGCTTCTGCTCAATGTTATGCAACTTATATATATATAAAAATTTTTACTGAATATTTTATAGAATCGTTATTGATGAAGAGGACACAAAGGATCCAATTTTTATGAATTGCTATCTACAAGGGCAAAGCAAGAAACAAGAGAAATGTTGGGGGAAACACTTAGACAGCATGCAACAATGGTGGAGGATTCTGAGCATTGAGGAGCAATTGAATGGGTTTGATCTGAAGTGCAGGACTGATTGTGAGTAAAGCAATGAAGCAATCCACAGGAACCCTAGTTCCCCATAAGTTGATGGATTCGAGTTTCCTGCATTTGTTGACAAGAACAAGAAGGCCTCTCTCTGTCACATGGCGGCAACACCACATACTGATTGTCTGCATAACAACACATAAAAGAGAGTAATTTGAATGATTTCAGATAGACAGGAAGAGATTAGGTTTATTGTTGTTTACCTTAAGATGATGGCAGCGTTCTGCAATTGCCAAAAGGGACTCATCGGTGATGAATGTTCCTCCTATGTTGAGGTGTTGCAAAGAAGAAGTTCTTGATACCTGTCAAAAATCAGTTCAGAATAAACGAAAAAAACAAAAAAGGAATCTTTTGAATCTTGAAGATTCACGATTCTCACATAAAACGGCATTACATAACAATAACATTACCAGCTGAACAACACCAGAATCAGTAATGGCGGTCATGCCCCATAAAGAGATTGAGCTTAAATTGGCTACACATCTTGCAGAAGCTATTTGGTAAAGACCATTATCAGTTATATGACAACCCCATCTGCTTCGAGATCTGCAAAACAGAGAAAAACATGAAGAAACAGTTTTTTGACCGAGTAAGTGGATGTCCACAAGACCTAAAGGTAAAGTTGGGAACTTTCCAGACAAATAGACCACAAGCAAAGAGAGAGAGAGAGAGAGAGAGATTACATGTCGAGTTCTTTGAGATTGTAAGCAAGATGTACGAGACGAGAAGTGGAATCATCGTCCATTTTCCAACCAGCAAAGCTCAGAGTTTCTCTTCTCGCCATCGATTCATTCACTGCTTTTCTCCATTTCTTACAAACCCCACTTGCCCTTAAACCACCAACAAAACTTCAGTTTCCCACGAATTTGTTCTTGAATTAGAAAAAAAAAAAAAAAAATCAAGAACGATGATCGAAGACTTACTGTGCCAAATCGGTGAAAGAAGTAACCAAGGAAAGTATATAAGCCAAAAGGTCTAACGGTAAACGATCAATCGCTGCTTCTCCACACATGATTTAAGAGTATTAATATTTGCAGAAAGCTTTTATAGTTTGTATTTATGCAAACTTCTTCAAATAGTTCTTCATGATTGCAGAGGAAGAAGATGTTGTCATTTTCTTAGTTTAACCAAGAGAAGATGTGGTCATCGTTCCGTCATAGTTTTGAATCGTTATAACTTCTTTGAATTATTTTTTTTTTTCATATGGTTTACTTAATTCATTTTAATTACACGGTCCAATATTTTGCGTGGGAAAAAGACTCTCTATCGGTCTTTTTCTTTTATACGCCACGTGGCACGTGCCACGCCCTACGGTTCCTAATCAAATCTTTTTATTTTCACACAAAAACAGCTTTTTTTTTGGGTGTTGCTTCACAAAATATTTAAATGTTCAGAGAAATAACAGAGACGATTAGCTAAAGTTGACGTGACGTTATTGTATTATTTTTTTTCCGTTTGTTACATTTCTACTTTAGCTGAAGCGTGGACGAATTTAACACCTGAACCATCGCAATCTACGAAGAAGGACGCCGTTTTGTCATCTTCGTTGTCGGTCTTGACTAGACGTCCCGCGAATGGGTAGAAAATCTTCAACGCGACGGAAAGAGAGGATTTCAGTTGAGCGATGAAATCGGTTTTCGGGTCGGGTTGTGGAAAGAGCAGACCCCTTTGTGGGTATTCGGCTCGAAGAAAGAAGAGATCCCATGGAGAGAGATGGATCTTAACCCGACCCGATCCTTCGTCGTAGCTCTCGGGTCGGACTATGGTCTCTGAGATCACTACAACATCTGCCATTTGTTTTCTTTTCTGGTGGAGATGATTAACATCTAACTTTACAATATATGGGATGATTGGTTTAAAAATTAAAATTGATCATTCATGATTCATGATTGCACCAGCTACCAACTACACTAGAACGTGTTTTCACGTTGACAAAATAAAACTGTGACATGTAGACGTTTTCTACTAAAGATTGGATTTGGGTTGGCTTATTCGAGACCTTGTCTTGTCAATGGTGATATGCTGCATTTCTCCTTACATAACATAATTGGATCAGAGAAATCAGATTTTGGAAAAGTAAGTTCAAAACAGAGCAGCTTCAGAGCCTATGCAAATGCAATTGACTTTTTTATCATTATGTTGGGCCCACAACTTTTTATCAATCTTCCATACACATACAAATACTTTTTTTTTTTTTTGCGACTGCAGAAAGAAATAAAAGAGAGTAAACGTTACAAAGCCAACTGGTTTGCCATAACCTTTGCCTTAATTTTGAGACACGTTACAAATGATTATTTTTTCTTATACAACAACGCATGCATGCTTCAAAAACTCTGCATCATTCGATAGTTTCTCCAAAACGCGAGGCGATAAACACGTCTGAATCTCGATGTTTCCTTCTTCTACCCCCGGGTAAACAATGAGTTTACCATCGCTGGTATTCCCCGGTCCAGCTCGAACCGCAATCGGTTTACCCCAACCGAAATCATTTCCATACACATTGAACCAAGGAGAGCTCGCAACAACGATCGAATTACTCACTGCCACGTTATGCGGTATCTTCGGTTTCTTCACCCAATCCTCAGCAAACTCTCTGAATTCTTCATTCGTTTGTGACCCCACAGCTTTGTTTATTTGCAAACCAGCCCAACCCAGCCCGTTGTTAAGCATTTCTCCGGCGGTTGTCGTCGCCGTCGCGAATCCAACCACGTTCCCGAAACACTCTTTCTCGAGCGGAGGGTTTAGTCTTCGTCTCATATCCATCAGTAACTTGCAATGAATCCCTTGCTCTGGTTTCAAATCACTGTTTCTGATTATCGATCGCCACATATGCGCCGAAATCGCTTGAAGCGACGAGATTTTCCGGTCATCTGAACTAACCTCTCCGTTGGCTTTGGATTTTAGCTCAGAGATGTTTCTACTCGTGAATCGGAAAACCTTCTCTTGTAAATCGGGTGAGGATGAATTAACAATCCGAACCGGTGATACCGTCTCCGAGATCGGAACTCGAATCGGGTAATCAATCCCGTCGAGAAACCACCCGCGGAGAAGCAAAGGTGGGAAATTTTTCCGGTCGAACCCGGTGGAGCAAATATCCGACCAAGTGTTGAAGAAACTCCAGAACGAAGATCCATCGGCAATCATATGGTTGTAACCAAATCCGATGAAAACTCCATCTTTCAACTCCGTTACTTGAAACGCGATCAACGATTCCGAGATTCCTTCGCTGCTCCTAACTCCGTTCGCCGGGAAAAAACTACGTATGAAACCGGGGACGTTACCACCTTCCGGTTCCAAAACATCACTCACCGAGACGGCTTTAGCTGAAGCATGGACGAATTTGACACCTGAACCATCGCAATCGACGCAAAACGACGCCGTTGAATCCTCATCGTTGTCGGTCTTGAGCAGACGACCCGCGAATGGGTAGAAAACCTTCAACGCGAGTGAAAGAGAGGATTCCAGTCGAGCGATGAAATCGGTTTCCGGGTCGGGTTGTGGAAAGAGCAGTCCCCTTTGTGGGTATTCGGATCGAAGAAAGAAGAGATCCCATGGAGTGAGATGGATCTTAACCCGACCCGATCCTTCGTCGTAGCTCTCCGGTCGAACTATGCTCTCAGAGATCACTAGAAACTCTGCCATTTGTTTTTTTTTGTCGGTTTCTTTTTCTGGTGGAGATGATAATATTACATAAACACACTCAAGTGTCAGTGTCGGAGCCACTCACATTATAAATGATTAACCTTTATAAAAAAAGAAGAAGGAATATTCGATTGAAATTTGTTAAACCAAATGATTACAAGAATGCACATACTGGAGAAACTCAACGTCCTTGGATAAGTTTACAAGTACTTGAGGCCGTAAACAGACTTGCAAATCAAGACTTCCTTCTTCACCACCTTGGAAAACGTTAAGTCTCCCATTGAGATACGGCGGTCCGGCTCTTGCAGCCACCGGTTTACCCCAACCGAAATCGTTGCTGTAGATATTAAACCAAGGGGAGCTAGTGACAACCAAGGAGTTGCTCCCGAAACCAATCGGAATCTTGTCACTTTTCAACCAATTCTCAGCGAAAGCTTTGAAAGTCTCATTCTTCTGTGACCCCACCATTTTGTTTATCAGCAGAGCAGGCCATCCTAGTCCATGGTCAAGAAGCTCCCCAACGTTGGTTGTGGCGATCCCGGTCTGGCTCACATTCCCAAAACACTCTTTCTCCAGCGGTGGCTCTAGCCTCAGCCTCATGTCTGCCGGTACTCTACAGTGAATCTCTTCTTCTCGGTTCACGCCTCTGTTTCTAACCGTCGAACGCCACACGTGTGCCAACACCGCTTGAAGAGAAGAGATCTTCCTGTCATCAGACGGTCCAGCCTCATCTTTGGCTTTGGCTTTCAGTTTCAAAACGTTCTCCTTTGTGAGATGAAACACCTTCTCTTGTAGATTGGTCCGTGTCGAAGCAACGTAGCTAGGTGCTTTTGCTTCAGGGTCTGGAACATGGATCGGATAATCTACCCCATCGAGAAACCAACCTTTGAGGACAAGATGATGCGTAGAAACTTCCTTGGAGCAGATCTCTGAACATGCATTGATGAACTTCCATATCGATTTCCCGTCAGCAACGGTATGGTTATAACCAAAACCGATGAAAATCCCATCTTTTAACTCAGTTACTTGAACCATAAGTAAAGGGTTTGACACACCTTGATAGTTCTTGATTCCGTTCGCAGGGAAGAAAGAACTGAAAAACCCATCGACGAAACCAGAGTAGTCAACGATATCACTAATCTCGACGTTCATAGCCGAGGCGTGGACGAATTTGACGCCGGAACCGTCGCAGTTAACGGAAAACGAGACACTACCGTCGTCGTTCTTTACCTTGATAAGACGACCAGCGAAAGGATAGAAATGATCGAGAGCAATTGAAAGAGACGTTTTCAAACGTGAGACTATATCATCAATCTTTTGATCAGGCTTGGGAAAGAGAAGACCTCTTTGTAGATAACAAAGCTGAAGAAGGAAGAGATCCCAAGGAGTCAGATGGATCTCTTTCACACGACCTGCTTGGTTTACTTCTCTCGGACGAACGATGCTCGTTGCTATCATCTCCAAATCTTCCATGACTTGCTTCTTTGTTTTCCTTTAGTCAAAATCAAGATCTGGCGATAGATAAGGTATTTGATAATGTATGGTGTTGGATAAGTTACTATAAAAGATCGTCTCTTTTATATGAGTCGGTTCATTTACTATATTTGCAATATTCAATGACATCTTGATAAGTGCACTGTGCACCCACCCAATATCTTGTTCCGATTCTAGATTTTTAGCTGATAGCATTTTGGATATGATAAGATTTTTATATTATGATAATGTTTTTGACGCTTTTTCTATACTGCTATTGAAACAGGAAAAGAGAGAGGGAAAATAAGACCAAGAGATGACATATTGATTTAACATGTTAACCAAATCATCATCATACAAATACAATGCTCACATACTCGTTAAAATCAGCATCTAATAACAGTTTCTCCACAACACACACACTATAAAAGTATAATTTATTACTTTTAGAAAAGAAGGAATATATGATTGATTTAAATTTGTTAAACCAAATCATTAACAAGTATACACATACTGGAGAAACTCAACATCCTTCGACAAGGTTACAAATACTTGAGGCGGTAAACAGATTTGTAAATCAAGACTTCCTTCTTCTGCACCTTGAAAAACGACAATTCTCCTATTGGGAGACGGCGGTCCAGCTCGAGCAGCCACCGGTTTACCCCAACCGAAATCGTTGCTGTAGACATTAAACCAAGGGGAGCTAGTGACAACCAATGAGTTGCTCCCGAAACCAATTTGATTGTCGTTTTTCACCCAACTCTCAGCAAATGTTTTGAAAGTTTCATTCTTTTGTGACCCCACCATATTGTTTATCAGCAGAGCAGCCCAGCCTAGGTCATGGTCAAGAAGCTCTCCAACGGTGGTCGCAGCTATCCCGGTCTGGCTCACATTCCCGAAACATTCTTGCTCCAGAGGTGGCTCTAGCCTCAGCCTCATGTCTACCGGTACTCTGCAGTGCGTCTCCTCTTCTCGGTTTACGCCGCTGTTTCTAAGGATCGAGCGCCATATGTGTGCCAACACCGCTTGGAGAGAAGAGATCTTGCCTGGTCCAGCCTCATCGTTGGCTTTAGCTTTCAGTTTCAAAACATTCTCCTTTGTGAGATGAAACACCTTCTCTTGTAAACTGGTCCATGTCGTAGTGACTACGTAACTAGGTGCTTTTGCTTCGTCTGGAATATGGATCGGATAATCTATCCCATCGAGAAACCAACCTTTTAGGACAAGATGGTGCGTAGGAATCTCCATCATGTCCTTGGAGGAGCAAATCTCTGACCATGCATTGATGAATTTCCAGACCGATTTCCCGTCAGCAACGGTGTGGTTGTAACCTAAACCGATGAAAATGCCATCTTTTAACTCAGTTACTTGTACCATAAGTAACGGGTTTGACACACCTTGGCAGTTCTTGATTCCGTTTGCAGGGAACAAGAAACTGACAAACCCGTCGACAGAACCAGAGTAGTCAACGATATCACTTAGCTGGATGCTCGTAGCCGAGGCGTGGACGAATTTGACGCCGGAACCGTCGCAGTTGACGGAAAACGAGACACTGCCGTCGTCGTTCTTTACCTTGACAAGACGACCAGCGAAAGGATAGAAATGATCGAGAGCAATAGAAAGAGACGTTTTCAAACGTGAGAGTATATCATCAATCTTTGAATCAGGCTTAGGAAAGAGAAGACCTCTTTGAAGATAGCAAAGTTGAAGAAGGAAAAGATCCCATGGAGTCAGATGGATCTCTTTCACCCGACCTGCTTGGTTTACTTCTCTTGGACGAACGATGCTCGTTGATATCATCTCCAAATCTTCCATGACTTGCTTCTTCTTCTTCTTTTTTTTTTCCTTTACTCAAAATCAATGACTTTGCTTCTTTGTTTTCCTTTATTCAATATCAAGATCTAGATCTGGCGAGCAGAAGAGGGTATTTGATGATATTTTTACTATCTTAAGTACAGTATACTATTTTAAACGATATTTTGATGAAATCAGTATCGTGCTTTGATTCCAATTGATAGCATTTTGAATCAATATCTCTCTGTCTCTGAATAATAATTTTTGTAGTTTTTTTGGCTGTTTCTCAAAAATAAATGTTTAAAGTTTTTGATGCATTTGCCCTTTTCATTACTTCAAAAAAAAAACTAGATTTCAAGAAATATTATTTATGGGCAATAAGTTAATAATTAAGTTTCTTAGTTTTATAATCAAACATTAATTTTGTTCTTAATTCGTGTGAAAAGTATGCAAAAACAGAGGGGGTAATAATTATCTCAAGAGAGAGCTATGGTTTTGCATACATATGCATTGGAATCACATGAAACAGGAAAAGAGAGGGAAATTAAAATCAGTAGATGACAATTTTGATTTTGTTTATTAACTTGTTGACCAAATCATCATCATACAATGCTCACTTACTCTTTAAAATCAGCATCTAGTAATAATTTCTCCACAACTTGTGGCGTTAAACAAGCCTGAAAATCAAGACTTCCTTCATCAACTCCTTGGAAAACAACTAGTCTCCCATTGAGGTATGGTGGTCCAGCTCTTGCAGCAACCGGTTTACCCCAACCGAAATCGTTGATGTACACATCGAACCGGTGTGAGTTAGTGACAACCAAATCTTTGCTACCAACAGAAACCGGAATCTTTACATTCTTCACCCAGTCCTCAGCAAATGATTTAGCATTTTCATCTGTTTGCGACTCCTCCATTTTGTTGATTTCCACAGCAGCCCAGCCTAAACCGTTCTCCAGCAGCTCCCCAACCGTGACTGTAGCTATACCGGTTTGGCTCACATTCCCAAAACACTCTTCTTCAAGCTCCGGTTTGAGCCTGCGCCTCATGTTTATAGGTAACCTGCAATGAGTCACTTCTTCTCGGCTCATGCCACTGTGCTTAATCATTGAACACCATATATGTCCCAACACCGCTTGAACAGACGAGACCTTCTGATCATCAGCCTCTTCGTTGGCTTTAGCTTCAAGTTTCGAAACATTCTCCTTTGTGACATGAAACATCTTCTCTTGTAGGTTCGTTGACGTTACATAACCAGTTGCTTTTGTTGTTTCAGGATCTGGAATATGGATTGGATAATCAATCCCATCAAAGAACCAACCTTTGAGTTGAAGATGGCCATGGAAGCTTTCGGATCTCAAATTCTTGGAGGAGATCTCTGACCATGCGTTGAAGAACTTCCAGATCGAAGTTGCGTCAGCCACGGTAGAGTTATAACCGAAACCGATGAAGATTCCATCTTTGATCTCAGTCACTTGGACCATAAGTAAAGATCTTGACACACCTTGATAGTTCTTGATCCCAGTCGCGGGAAAAAAGGAACTGAAAAAACCGGGGACAGAACCGGACAGCGCAAGGACATGACTGAGCTCGATGTTTCTAGCTGAGGCGTGAACAAACTCCACACCTGAACCATCACAGGTGATGAAAAACGAGACGGTATCGTCCTCGTTCGCTACCTTGACAAGACGACCAGCTAAAGGATAGAAACGATCAAGTGCTACAGAGAGTGATGTTTGTAACTGTGAGATTATTGTGTTGATTTTGGGATCAGGTTTGGGGAAAAGAAGACCTCTTTGAAGATAACCAAAGCGAAGACGAGAGAGATCCCACGGAGTCAGATGAATCTTCTTCTTCACAGAACTCGATTTGTTTACATTTCTGGGATTTACGATGCTCCTCGAGATCACCACCAAATCTTCTTCCATCGCTCGTAATCAATGAGTTTTTTTTGTTGGTTGTTGCTTACGTGAGGTTCAGTTTCTGTTTACGGTAATCATTAATTCAGTGTAGTGAATGCGTTGGGTCCATATATTCGAAGTACTAAATAAATTAAAAAAAGACCAAGAAACATGTGTTACATCTTACTTTCTTTTGTGACTGTGTGGTCATTATATTGAATGCGTTGGGTCCATATATTCGACTTGTTTTTAAGAAAATAATTTTGGCATTTGGCGAAATTGTATAACATAGTGTAAGACTTTGGTTAGGTGAGTGAATATGGAATCTCTATGATTGGTGTCGTGTTTCGCATCACTTTACCTTTAGTTATAGTCGTCTAAAAAGCATAGTGCTATACACATGTATATCTCAATAAATCAACATTTATAAAGCATATTTATTTATTCACTTCAAATATAAAAATTTATATTCTACGATTTGTTTCTACAGTCAATTATAAAACAATCATGTAAACCATATAATTAGTTAAATTCAGTGTTGAATAGGAAGAAGCAACAATGAATCATTATCATTTACCAAATATTTTGTTAAAACATAAAAGTAGTTTTGATAATCTCTTGATTCTCTTCACACAGAGACAGAAGTAGAAAAATCACAAGACAAACAAAACACGTTAACCATGCAAAAAAAAAGTGTTGACCAAATCAAGAAGCAATCTCAACATACTCCAAAAACTCAACATCTTTCAATAGTCTTGCAACTACATGAGGAGGAAAACAAGCTTGAAATTCAAGTCCTTCTCCAACGCCTTGGAAAACCACGAGCTTCCCATTGCTGAATGGCGGTCCAGAACGCGCTGCGATTGGTTTACCCCAACCGAAGTCGTTTCCATACACATTAAACCGGGGACAGCTAGTCACAAGTAGGGTCCCACTAACCGAAGCTGGAATCTCAACCTTCTTAACCCAATTCTCTGCAAATGCTTTAGCGTTCTCATCGGTTTGAGTCCCAACCGTTTGGTTTATCTGTAGAGCCAACCACCCAAGTTCACGGTCAACCATCTCCCCAACGTTAACCGTAACTATACCGGTCTGAACCACATTCCCGAAACACTCTTCTTTTAACTTTGGGTTTAGCCTCTGTCTCATGTCTATTGCTACTCTACAATCTGTCTCCTCTTCTCGTCTCATGTCACTGTGTTTGACCCTTGAACGCCATATATGTCCCAAAACCGCTTGAAACGAAGAGATTATTCCATCTTCGGATCCTGCCTCGGTGTTGGCTTTAGCTCTCAGTTTCAAAACATTATCCTTTGTAACACGAAAAACAAACTCTTGTAGAACTTTTTTTGCTGAAGGAACATAACTACTAGATGTTCTTGTTTCAGGATCTGGAACATGGATTGGATATTCAATCCCATCGAGGAACCAACCTCGAAGAGACAAGGACATTTCCATGGATCTAGATCCTGAGCAAATCTCAGACCATTTGTTGATGAACTTCCAGATAGATTTTCCGTCAGCAACGGCATGGTTATAGCCATAACTTATAAAAATCCCGTCTTTTAACTCGGTTACTTGAACAAGAAGTAAAGGGTTTGACACACCTTGATAGTTCTTGATTCCGGTCGCAGGGAAGAAAAAAGTACCTAGTAAACCGTCGACAAAACCGGACTTAACCAGATCACTAACCGCGATGGTTTTAGCTGCCGCGTGAACGAACTTCACACCGTAACCACCACCATCGCAGCAGCTAACGGAAAACGAGACAGTGTCATCGTCTTCGTTGACCTCTTTGACAAGCCGACCAGCTAGAGGGTAGAAATGGTCGAGAGCAATAGAGAGCGAAGTTTTTAAGTTTGAGATTATAACATCGATATTTGAATCAGGTTTGTGGAAGAAGAGACCTCTTTGAGGATAATCAAAACGAAGACGTAAGAGATCCCATGGAGTCAGATTGATCTTCTTCACCCGATCTGATTGGTTAACAACATCTCCTCTGGGATGAACAATGCTCGCTGATTTCACCACCACTAAGTCTTCCATCACTTAACTGTAACTTCTTCTTTTTTCTTGAGATGAAGTAGATTTGGTTTAAGAGTCGTTTCTTTGGTGTTTTGATTTTCTCTGTTTTTCTATTGGGGACTAGCCGAATCTGTGCATAGTGCACTTGTGCAGCAGTGTCCACATGTTTCTTGTACATGTTCGTTAATTACAAAATTTGGTGCGTGGGTCACGTTTCCCTTTCCATACGTATTAAATCAGTCAAAAACAAATGCGAATTGCCTCGTATGTAAACGTAAACGTAATTGGGCCTAATTTTATTTCGGTGGAAGGCGTTACTCGGGCCCAATAATCTTCTCGTACATGGTTGTACCGGAGAATTGGCGGCGACGAAATCTGCTCATAGCGCCGCCGCAAGTGCAACTATCCGACTAACCCAGCTTTCCTCTTCCTTGTATCTGGACTTAGAGAATGGCGAAAGCTAAGCCGCAGAAATCTAAGCCTAAGAAACAACCACATCAGGTGCGATTCAGCTCACGATTCTCCGAGTTTTGATATTCGTATTATCAATCTTCCAACATATGATTTTAAATTTCCTCTGCTGCTGCTGTTTTCTGCTCAAGGTTTCGAATTGGTGCGTTTTCTGATTCGATTAGTGTTGGTGTCTGTTTCATTGATTTCATAGGCGAAAGCGAAGAAGCAAGCAAAGGATGGTGATATGTCTCAGTTTCGAGCTCAGCTTGACGCTTTAGGGCTTAAGATAATCAAAGTGACTTCAGACGGTAATTGTTTCTTCAGGTCCGTCTTTTGTTTTTTGATCGTTTCTTCTTAGTATCGTGCTCAACAAATCACAAATCGAACATCATCGGAAGATAATCATCACTTGACAGGTCAATCGCCGATCAATTGGAAGGCAATGAGGATGAACACAGCAAATACCGTAGCATGGTTGTTCAGTATATAGTGGTAAGTGTAGTCGCTCATAAAGAATTAAACATGTGTTGCAACCAAATTCTGTGTAGTCACTCAGTTCTTGGCTTTTTACAGAAGAATCGTGAAATGTTCGAGCCATTTATCGAAGACGATGTTCCATTCGAGGATTATTGCAAAACCATGGATGATGATGGCACTTGGGCTGGGAATATGGAGTTACAAGCAGCTTCTCTTGTCACACGCAGTAATATTTGTATCCACAGGGTAATTAATAAATGCCTAATCTGTTTCCTTCTGATCCGTGTGACATAGCTGGATTTTACATGAGACATACTTTTGTTTTATTTGTTGCAGAACATGTCACCGCGTTGGTATATACGCAACTTTGAAGATCCAAGAACCCGCATGGTCCATCTGTAAGTACTTAAAGATGATTTCACAAAGATGGAGATGGTTGAATTTTTCCTGTACTTGAAAAGGTTCGTTTTGTTCAGGTCTTACCACGATGGGGAACACTACAACAGTCTGCGTTTAAAGGAAGATGCATGTGGAGGACCAGCCAGGCCTGTTGTAATAGAGGTTTTTACTTGAAACTTTAGCTAAATATGGTGTTTATGGGTGTAAACAACACTCTGTCCCACTGCGCCTAATAAGTTCCAGTTTTGTGGAAGGCTGATGCTAAAGTGTCAGCAGCATCTAAACAAGCGAAAGCCACTGAGAGCAAGTCCAGAAACAGAGCTGCTAAGTGTAATGTGGATGCTGGGGATATCAAACTAGTCATGTCCGGTACTTGCTGTGACAATGCTGAAAAAGTTGAACAGGTGATAAGCCTGAAACTTGGGTTTTAGCCTTTTAGGCTCTTAGCTGTGTGAGAAAATATGATCTCTTATCTGGAATCTTCCTTTAGGTTATAGCACAAGTGAATGGTGATGTGGATGCTGCGATAGAATTCCTTATAGCAGAGCAAGGAAATGAAACTTTGTCTGAAAATGCTTCTGCAGCAGATACCACAAATCCAAAAGCAAGTGATAGTACAATGTCAACGGAAGGCATAGAGCAACGCAGAGAAGAATCGAATGAGGAGGAGGAACCAGCTAGCAGCTGCAGCAATATCAAAACAATCCGTGCCGAGTGCAGTTCACAGTCCGATGATAAGGTTCTTTAGCTCGCTTAGACAATGATAGCTTCTAAATGTGATATTGAGTATGATTTATGAGAGTAATTATGCAAAATCTGCAGAAGATCCCGAGGAATAAAACGTGTCCATGCGGTTCGAAGAAGAAATACAAGGCCTGCTGTGGAACATCAACTGGGAGATCATCTGTTAAACTGCTAGCGTAAGTTTCTTGATTTCGATTCTACAGAAGAGTCTCAGGACTTGGCCTAAATATCAGTGTTTCTGCAAATTCATGCAGGAGCCAAACAATGGAGTCGAAGAAGGGGAGAAAGAATTTGAGGAGAGGAACATCATATGAAGTCGAAGCTAATGCACCAGACGTTGGTGCTCTCTGTATATAAAGTCACCTAATAGGCTAATACACACACACAATAAGGTGATCATTTTTTATTCACGCCCAAGTCCTAACTCTTTTGTTTGTAAAGAAAGACCAAAGTAATTGGTTACTTAATCCCGTTTGGTTTCTGTTTTTCAGGTGAATGTTTTTTTTTACAGATTGGCTGCAACCTGCAAGCTTCACATAACAGCTTGCTCAGGTATTGGATTACTAAGAATTTCGAATTAGGATCGATCACTCGCGGGTTTAGCTTTTGTTGTATGATTAAATTACCAAAAGGAAAAGAACTCTTATAAAGATTCAAGAACCTATATGTATACATAGACAGAGTCCAACAAATAACTCTGGTAATAACCCAATTCTTGAAAGCATATCTTGATTGACAAGAAGTAGCTCTGGATGATGATGGTGATGCATGAATCAGGAGGGACGAGAGAAGTGGAAGGTGCGAGGAGACTGGTGGTGCCAAGGAGAATTGTGAGAAGAGAATCCTGATGATGCCGCCACTATCACTCCCTTTCCTCCGCCGTCCGATTCTCTCTCTTGCATTTCCGATCCGACGGTCGTGGTCGCTAGCGAGAGATCGCTTCCTAATAATATCTCCTCATCTCTAGTCCTATTTCTCATGCTCGCCATCTTTAAAATTTATCATTGAAACCAATATCACAAATTAATTATTTTCCGACAAAAGCCAATATATACAAACATGAACACGAACACGAACACTTACCTCGGATTTGGTTCCAAACTCTTCCGAGTTGGATTCTCCTAGACTTAGATCAAGGTTATGATCATTATTCCACTTCTTCTCTGTTGAATTTTACCACAAAAATTATGAAATGGAACAAATTTGTATACTTTTTAATCTGAAAATGTAAAATCAAATTACCTGGGCTAGTCTCTTCCTCGTAGACTTTAGGATCAAAATTGGTAACTGCGTCTTTTCCGTTACACTTTATTGCCGCTTTATCATAAGCTCTACATGTATATTCAAATTTCTCTTTATTAGGGATTTCGTACAAAGGAATATTTATTTTTGAAACGTGATGAATGATGATTTGACATTCAACAATAAACCCGTACCTTGCAGCTTCGATCTCGGTATCAAAGAGACCCAAGTAAACGTACCTGAAAAAAACAAGAAAGCAAACAGTACAGTACAAAATTTAATAACTACTCCGTACCGGAAGAAGTTGTAAATTTAAAAATAACCCCAATACTTTTAAGTAATTATACTTTTTGTTCAGAAATTGACCCAATCGGGCCTCCCATCTTCCACATTTATGCAAAGTGACTCCTCTATACTTAGAACTGCCTCTTGGAAACCCAGTGCTTTGCCTTCGAAGAACGTGCATGAACTCTTCCTTGGTCAAATTGCTCATCTGCAAATAATACTTGTTTATGTCCCATGTCGTAATAATGTATCAAATTACATGAACCTACAATAATAATATCAAGAAATAGTTTATACTTAAACCTGTTTCAAATCTTCCACGTAGTCTTCAATGTCGAAGTTGATATCTGCATCTACACCTCTAAATTTAACTGCCGCTCGATCATATGCACTGTCCCAAATAGTTATGCATCCAAATTAATCGTATAACAACAAATAAAAATAAAAATAAATCTAGATTATGATGTTTAAAAAAAAAAAAAAAAAAAAAACAAATCTAGATTACGTTCTTCTAACTGATATAAGTAGGATGAGAAAATATACCGAGCAGCGGCATGTGCTGTGTCAAAACCACCTGATGATATGTAACAAAAACAAGAAGAAAAATTAACAACCTTTATTTTGTCAAAGAAATCGAATAAAAAGGGACAGGCAAACACAAGTAATTTCGTAGTTAGTTTTTCATAAGAAAACTGATTTGTGTTTCAAAAACCAAACCATACCTAAGTACACCTGCTTCCCACAGTCCCTGCATAATTTTCCAAAAAGAAATATCAAGGTAGCGAGTCAAATCAAATGAAACATATATTTGTTGAATTACTTTGTCAAGTTACTTATTATATGGGTAAAGAATATTAAAGTACCAAATATGCGACTCCCATCTTCCGGTTCGTCGGTAAAACGTTACTCCTCTATACTGAGAGCTCCGTGAGCGAGGACCGCGTCGGCTCTTTTTCACCGGCGGCGGTATCTCCGGTTCTTGCTTTTCCGGTCGACCCGAGCCGCTAGGATCTGACTGACCGACACATTGACTTTTAGTGAAACTGGTCCCGGATATTTCTCGAGCTTCCGGTTCCATGATTTGACCCGGAAAAAAATTCCGCGTCACCGGAGGCACAGACGACGTCCACGTGACAGACTGACTCATCGAGCTTGGCACGTGTCCAAACCGATTCCCTCTACCGTTGGATTCTTCGTGATGATCGGGTGAGTCGTTAAGGTTCCACATTTTTTTTCTTTTCAGGAAAAGGGAAAAAATAAGAGAGAAGACTCAGATGAGAAGAGAACCATCAAAGGCAAGAAGGTGGGATCGAATAAATAAACAAATTATGAGGATCCATATATACGAATAAATATCATATTATTAATAATAGAATAAAGAACTGCTAAACTCTGTCCATTGCTAGAGAGGGCTAGAGTGGTGCAGAATTTGTTTTGTCAATGAAAGGAGTAGAAAGAAAATTATAAAAAGGTTTTTGAATACATCATTTTTTTGAAATTTGATTCTTTCCAATACTAGTGCATTGGACTGTTTCCTAGATTTTGGTCTCCTGAGTATTGACACCATGTATATTTTTGTATATAAAGGGAAATTAAGTTCAGAAAATTCAAAATTTTACTGAAAAGATTGTGGATGAAAATGGTAGGATGTAGACATCTTATTTAATTTCTTGTACTATTTAGTTTCTCCTACTCCAACTACTTAAAATTTAATATTTTCCCTCTTTTTTTGTATAAGACTATGATGTTTTACAATCCTTCTTCTCCGACCAATATTGGCACAACAATTCAACGTGGTTTTTTACCAACCAATTCAATGTAGACATCTTGTTTAATGGATAACTTTTAAAAATATTTTAGTGGAATGGAATTTTTTTTCTTAATGTGATTTCGTTTCAAATGTTGACTTACAAAAGTTTACAGTGAATAGTAAATATAAAAAGGAGAAAAATAAAATTACTGATATTAAATAAAATCAAAAACAAAATTAGAATGGACAAATCCGTGAAAGGTTTTGGTAGGAGGAAAAAGAAAAGGAAACGGAAATAATGTGAGGGGAAAAATAAAAAAGGATGCATTACCGAAAATGCCCCCATCCTAGAGTACGGGAAACAGGTATCTCACTCTCTCTCTCCTCTGCACTTCTTACGTTCGTTGTCTATCACATCTTCACTCTCCACATTTGTGCGCGTGTACTCACGCTCCTCTTCAAGGATTTATGATTTATCCTTTTTATTTATTTTTTCGAACGTCGAAACAAGTTCATTTTCAAAGAAAAACAAGAAAAGATTCCATTAAATGAATACATGATTTGTATGTATTTTTAAGGATCTTAAATTTGAAAAGGAAAACAAACGCTTATTTATAAACACGTGTTTAGAGGTGAATAAAGCAAAAATAGGTGTGGGTAAAAGGAGAGCCAAAGCGTGAAAGAGGAATATAATTACAAGTGGAGTGGGGTGAGAAAAAGCCAAAACTTCCCCTAATGGAACTATGACGATGCCTTTGATGCTCTCTGTTTCTTTCCCTAAGTAGTAATTAAAAAATCTCTCTATCGTTCTCTCTCTCTATTTATCAATATGTGCCTGTTGATTCAATAATGGAAGTCTTAGCCCCACCACTGTTTCGTTAACAAATCATCATATCGGATCCTCCCCCTGTTATAAATTCCAACCAATTTGAAGATGATATAAGCATATGTATACAGAGCCGTCCTTGGGAGCAAACAGAGCAAGCTCCTGCTTGCGACCCTTCTTTTTATATACAATAATTCGGCCTATATTTCCAAAGGTTTCTCTTAGTCTAGTGGTTACGTTGCTGTCTTATTAGTATTGAGGTTCTGAGTTCAAATCTCCTAGACAAACTAAGCAGCCCTTTTTAAAAACTAGCTTGCGGCCACTCATAACTCAGGACGGCTCTGATATGTATATCACCAAAAATTAATCATTGATTAGCACATATTTACAACGGGTATCAATCAAGATTACATGTATGTTCAAGTTTTTTCTAAAAATTGAATTTCACGCTCATTTAACAAACCTATGGTAATTTACTGATTAAAAAAAAAAGAGAGAGAGAAAAAATTATACTAGTACAAATCTTTTCATTATGAAGTTTACTATGAGTCTATGATTGACTATATTATTAGCATTTTGAATAATAAAGATATTTGATGTTTCCTCATGATTCGACACTAGTCTTATCTGAGTTCATAACGTTTTCGTTGTGGAAGTGCTTGTCCAGATCCTACATTCAACCCTATCGATATCATCTATGTATGGTCAGTTTTGGACCAGACAACAGTGATTAGATATTGATTTCAGTTAAATTTAATTAATCAGGATTTGGAGAGTTTTTAGATTTCGTAGTACATGAAAAACGTGGCTTTGTATGAAACTTTTCAATAGTATAATTATAAATTTATAACTTCGTACAAAATTTAATATTTCCTCGGTTTCACAATGTATGATGTTTTAGAGTTTTCACACAATTTAAGAAACATTTATTGTTTAACAATTAATACAAAGTTTTCTTACACAAATCACTTTTTAATAAATTCGAACCAATAGAAGTTCAAGAATTCAACTACTTATAATAAATAGTTCTTGAAATTTGTAATTTTATTAGCATTAATTGACTAAAAGTACCTTAAACATTCTAAAACATTGTGAAATAAGCAAAATATCTAAAACATATACATTGTGAAATCGGAGGGAATATATTTGACACAACAGTAAAACCAAAAGCGTGTCGGCACAATCATCTCAAATTAGAAAAATTGTTGTTTATTAAATTGTTTTCTTTTTTCTAAATACGATGACAGCTTGGAAACATCGGACGGTGTCGATAAATCATCCTCGTACTGTCGGTGAATCTAGACAGTTCAAATATGTGGGCTCCACTTTTCATTAAGATCACGGAAGCATATCGCTATGCAACGTGACTCACGTGAACAATAAATTTACGAATTTTACGTTTCTCTTTGTTTCAATTTTTTAAAGTGCTACAAACATACAGTATATACTATTCGAATCATCATCATTGGTTGATATATATCACTGTAGTTGATTGGTGTGCGTTATATAAAAGTACTGTACCAAATATCAGGGCAAAATTTGAATATTTACCTTTTTATCTTTTCAAATAATTTTTCACACATCTATAAAGTGTATTTTAATAATAATCTAATCAATCGCTTAGATTGATAAAAAGACGACTCCGGGCATTGTGATATAAGTAGATAATAGAAAAGCTAGGATTAGGAGCCAACGGTTTTGAAAACTTTGCCTCGAATTGGAATTCAAGAAACTGATGGGAGCGTTGAAGCCAAGGTGTTTTGATATTCTTATTCGAGAAACTTTCTATAAATAAATTATTTTCTTGGTTTTATTCGACCAATGCACCCAACCCGATTTGCAAGTAGTACATACTAAAATAGTATAAAGGCATCGCGCAAGAAATCGACTGGTACGATATAGCTATCACCTTGACTGCCGACACACGGAAAAAAAAAACAATGTTCTCATGGGCCGGATTAGGCTTCCCAAACAGAACTTTCCTACGCCTTATATCAAACCCAATAATCGGTAACGATTACACTTTTTATGGGTTTAATGTGATGTACGGCCCATCATTTTATGAACGCAGTGAATATCCTGGTTTTGTGTCCTGTTAAACATCTTATCAGACTAATCAGGACATAGCTCTGACGTATAAATGAAAGAAATGAGAAGGCAACGAGATAGCTCTGACGTATTTTGTGCTTTCGATGATATTTGTGAAATGAATGAGATATGATTTGTGACTTCACACATTGCTTCTTTATATAGCAAGAAATGTATATTTCCGGCAATTATAATGTGAACTTGTTGTCGACTATCTCGTCTTATAGTTCCTACATTACTAAGGTGATTTATTGGTGTGATACATACATCTCTTTTCCATTTTTCTATAAAAGAAACAATTGCTAAAATTTAACAAAACCTATCATTTTGTCTCAAGAAAATCAAACAGTAACAACAAGATGTTGATTCATTTAAATATATAGTTTCTTGATCTTAAGTTTGGATACCAGTTTATGAATCGGAGTTTCGTATTTTGATTTGATTTTGGTTCAGATAATTCACAATTTTGAGAAAACTCCATCGAGATAATGACAACGAGAAACAAGGATCAGACAGGGAGTTGGGAGCAGATGTGGACTTGTGTCAATATTGATTTTAAATTGATTTATCGAACCGTGTACTGAATTCGCCTTGGTCAGATTCGTGATTAGGGTGCAACTACAGTACTATGGTCGGTTGGATTTTATTTATATCAATTTTAATCAGTAGAAAATCAAACTCAAGAAAACTACCTCGCTTATTATGAGAGCTATAAGACATAAAATCGACATTACCAAACTTTAATTTTGGTCCGGTTCAGAAACACTTTTTGTGAACAAAATTACTACACGAACAGAATAAAAAAGGGAGGCCCATCAGATATCAAATCAAAAGCTCCACTTTTGCCAATCTTGTTTTGGACTCATACACATGTACTCTTTCTTATTTTGGTATCTTCGCATTTCCTTCCTCTTTAATAATAGAGTATTAAGTATTAACAGAGATCGCAACAGTGTTTATGATAAGTGTTTATGTTGAAAAGTAAAACGTTATGTTTTTGACCAATACTGTATTTCATCGCTATTATATTGCTGGTTTCTGTTCCGATCACAGCCTTAAGTTTTGTCATTTACCTGAATATGTATGGATGTATGCGTTCCTTGCTAATTATTACTCTTGATAATAATGACAAACATAAACAACAGAAGTGCTAGTATAATTCGTGCAATAGAATTATAGTTTTCTTTAATTTCCCCCAAGAAAAATCATTCTCATAATTAAAACTCCCAACACGGTCGATCCTCTAGGAATTATGAAAAGAAAATAGAGAATGCAATACATAATATGATAATAATACAACTGACTTCATTGTCAGTCGCACGTAAATAAGAAATATTATAAAACGCACGGTGAAGGAAATTTTTAAGCTCCTACTATATAGAGATAGATCTAAAAATAAAGGCAACAATAATAATAATTTGTAATAATAGAACTTGAAAAAGATAGAGCATATAAAATCTAAATGGTACCCACAGAACAAATAGAAATGGAGCAGAAGACAAAAACAAAACACACCAAGTCCCCGACGACCCGAAATCTTATCCATATATGCATTACATATGTA